GGTTTAGCTACCCCTTTCCTCTCCAACTAACTTTCTATTCTACTAACTACACGGTCTCCACCCTCTGACCCGACGCTGTGCCCGAGTAAGAGCAGCGTCACTCTAGAACACAACCTAGAAAGACAGAGACGTCCAGGAAATGGACCGTTTTCATACACTACCCTTGTAATACTCTCCTTTGTTTAACAGACGCGGAAAATGGAAAGCGGCAGGAAAGAAATATATTGACAAGGCCATAAGGACACAAGGCAACCATCATGTAATTAGTCATCCTAGCTAGTTCCCCACATGGGCCTCGCAGAGAGGCCTGACAGGCGTATGAATCTCTCTCTCTCTCTCTCGCATGTCGTTTCGCAGGGATGTGGTTTACTCAACCGAAGGTTCCGTATACCATAGCGAGCACTACGCACCTCGCGAATCCAAAGGGAGAAGCTCCTAAACTGCTAATCAGCATCTCCGAGCAGTGGTGAATGCTCTACAGGTCCCAGAAGGCACACATCCAGGAGAAGGAGATGCGCATCCAGGAAATCGAGTGACACTCTTCTTCCCAAATTTTAGGGACTGTAAGTGTAGAGAATACTCCAATAGAGCAAAGATCACGTATGAGAGAGAAGAGCGATGTATTGGATATAGGTACGGAGTACCGTCTACCTGTTCACCCCCTGCAATCCATACACAGTCGTTCTCGTGCCTATCACTTGAGAGCAGAAGCAGCCAATTTTGTAGGGGCAAAAGCAGTTTTTATAGTGTTTTAACCTCATGAAATGGGTGGACTTACTCCATCGTCCTCGATTTGTTCAGGTTGATGTGGCCGTATGTACTAGAATATGGAAATTTTCCAGATATACTTCAACCATGGACCCATTTCGCCTTGCTTCAGCCGATTGATGTTGCTCTGCTTTTGTATATGCTCCAATAATTTAAATGGATCCTCAAAGCCCGGAGCTTTTGAAGGTATGTTACTATCGCAGTTGTGGAGAACTAGCACAACACATCATGAGCAGTCGTCTAGATACAATTCATCTGTATCTACCCCTGTGGAGACATGAAGCTCTTAAACATATCTGCCATCGCCTTTGCACTATCATCACCTCCAAACATCAACTCACAGTTAGCCACGGTCTCGTCCGCCTTCTCCTTAGCACGCGCCCACATGTCCACTTCGAATGCCTTCACCAGGGGATCCAATGCGCTCTGGAAGGACCTCGACTCTCCTTCGGCACCCTCGTATGCCTGGATGATGGCTCGAGATAGAAGCAACGAGTCCCACATAGCCAGGTTGACTCCTTCCCCGGCCCACGGACACATAAGATGCGATGCGTCACCGATGAGGGTTACTCCAGGTCGGTTCTCCCAGGTATGCCCGACGGGCAGCATGTAAAGCGGCTTGATATCGGCCGCGGTGCCCGGATTATCCGCCGACTCTTCGTCGCAGGCCACGGCTACTAGTTCTTTGATGATAGAACCCCAAGGTTTGAGCAGGGCGTCATGGTTGAGGAGGATGTCCTTGGCTTGCTCCGCGGACTTGCCCTCCAGTCCAAATACGGTTGCAAAGTGCTCGTCCGCCGTGCTCAGCACGAAGTAGATCCGGGCTGAGTCTTGCGACGTGCGTTGGGACATGACTCCATGCTTTGTGCCCAGTGCCATGAACGTTCCAGCCCCGACCAGCTCGGCAAGCTTGGGATATTTCGAGGTGATGTGCCGGATCGTGACATTGATGTTCTGGATCCCCGAATATCGCGGCTTCACATCGGTAAGCACGTTGCGGACCTTGGACCATGCACCGTCGGCTCCTATGACGAGGTCGAACGTGTGCTTTCCGTGGGCACCAAAGTCTAGTTCGGTTTCGGTGTGGCCGGATACAGTAATACTAGTAGCAGAGACTAGTTTATGGCTCCATTGGATCGACTCCGGAGGAAGATTGGACACCAGGAGGCGGTGTAGAGCATTGCGCGAAATTTCCGGGCGCAACGACAGCTCGCCTTGGTCGGCCCAGAGAAGATTGCCGTCCTGGTCCGCCACTATATTTGACTCTGCACACTCGCCAGTGAGAGGAAGGAATGCGTCATAGACACCACATTCTCGGATCGCCGCAAGGCCGGATTCTTCATGGAGATCCAGCATGCCGACGGGCTTTGCGAGGTCCTCATCGGTGGGCTTCGGACGAAGCTCGAAAATCGTGAAGGGGACATTCTGTTTGTGCAGGAGAAGGCCAAGTGTGAGACCAGCGGGGCCGCCGCCAACAATGACTATTTTCAAGGGGGAAGAAGAAGTCATGGTGAGCTGATCAACCGCGAAAGTCATGACTTTGGGGCTAAAATGAGCGATGTGACTGAGCTGTCAACTTACCAGTGACGATGGCATTTAGAGAAAGGATGCAGTTCTTGCCGGGATCTTATCCGCATGTCAGTGAGACCAGTGACGAGCCTCCATTGCTCTGCTAGCCTCAGCGCTTTACCGTATACATTCCTTAGTCAATGGATAAGCTTCTCGAAGCTTTCTCACCAGGAAGCTTGCCTCAAACCATCTTCAGCCTATCCACTCAAGGCTACTATGTATGATATCGAAACATCCTCGATCCTGTTACCCCGGAATATACATCTGCTTCCTTGCTTTTATGCTCCACGCAGACTTTGGTTGGTCCTCCGCGACTAGAATAGTAGCCTGGAGAAAAAATCGTTGCGGCGTTAGGTATTCAACCTTTCCTTATCCGATGGCCGTCCGAAGGCAGGGTTACCTATTGAGGACAGAAAGTTGGTTCGCGCTGCAAGTGAAATGAACAATGTCTGATTGGTGCTTGAGCCTTGAGGTTGGATGGTGGACTGGAAATGATGAATTCCCATGCGAACGAACACCTGCAGATTTGAAACTATATGCGGGTAGTACAATCATCATATGTGCCAGTAATCAGGATCCACATGAAGTCACGAGGCCCCTCCTATGATCGTCGGTGGCCTTCCTCTACTTTAAGAATAGTTGTTGAAGATGTGAGAATGAAGAAGGATACCGAATGCGAAACAACCAAACGACTTGGAGATAAGTTCACTCTTAAAGGTTAAGTACTTACAAATCAGTTTGACCTGTGCTAGACTGACAGTTTTAATTGGTGGCATGCTTACCACTGGTGTTTATTGTAGTATGCAATTGTTGATGATGAGTGCATCTGGTATTAGACGCTGGATCTTACAGATGACCTGTACACATGCTCACTTGCTCAGACCCTCGCCGAGTCCACCACCGAATCCTGTATCAATCCCATCTCGAAGAACACCCTTTCCAAATAAAGTCTAATTCATTCCCAACTGCATCTCCTAGCCATGCTCAACTCAGGGAACACAATCGTCACCTTTGATTAAAAGTCCGTGGGACGATAGCCTAGGACATGCCCTACATTCCCAGTTCCTAGTTCCTCTCTCGACCAAGTTGCATCTAACACCGAGCCGATATTGAGTAATCGACAACCAGAAATGCCGCGACCGGAGGAAGATACCGAAATACATAGGAGTCAAGGACGATTCTACATAGGAATACCTGCAATTTTCTTCCCTTTCTACGTCAGTTCCAATCCGATCGCAAGCAGGTGTTACAGCAGTCTCTAAACATCATTCTAGGGAATCATCTTCTTCTGCACCCATTCATTTCTCTGGCCGCTGCTCAAAGCCAGACTTATACCGTGCCTATTACTTACTCTCTTCGTGCTATTCAATTTATTCTTCTGGACCTATCTTCCTCAAGTCGCGTTTCTCGCTATTTGGCACGGGCCGGCGGCATGGGCAAATGGCACGATCCTCGTCCTTGGAGAGGGGGCTGTGATCACTGCGCTCCTCTTCGAAGCCTTCCTCGTCGACGAGACGCAAGTTGACATCTTTGACTCTATCCTCGTCTACAAGGGCCTCGAAGACCTAGTATCCACAACGCGGCCTATCTTGGTGGATGAATCCGATCCCCGAAAGCGACTTGGAAAGCCTTTTCGATCCTCCAACTATGCACCGTTCTCCTTCCGGCAGATCATCGAGTTCATGTTCCTCTTACCACTGAACCTCATCCCTATCGTGGGAATCCCACTCTTCCTATTGGGGACGGGATGGCGAGCCGGTCCACTGCAACACTGGCGTTACTTTAGGCTCAGCGGGTTCGACAGGAAGGCGCGCAATGCGTTCATCAAGAGGCATCGGTGGCAATATACGTGGTATGGATGACCCCAGCCATGAATTTGGACTCTGCTAATGGTCGAGAAGGTTTGGAACGGTCTACCTAACATTACAACTGGTACCCGCCCTGAGCATGCTGTTTCTCCTTACCACTGCTGCTGGCTCTGCATTATGGGCAGCCTCGCTTGAGGATAGGAAGAGGGAAGTGGAGAATCGCTCACAGGAGCCACCGGATTATGTAGACGCACCTTGAGGTACATCCCTGTGTATGAGAATATGCAGTTATTGTGAGGTCGGAGATAATGTATTGATGAAGCTCATGAAACACTATGTATGGTGTCATCGTGCTATAGCAGCAGATATTGTGCAATCAGCGAAATATAAGCCCTTTCCCATATTCTTATACTAATTCCTATACTAAGTTACTAACATACAATCACTGAGAACCGCAAGATAGTACTAATTACCACGTATCGTATGTGTTGCAGAGTGGACGACAACCAGAAAGTTAAGAGAGGACAGAAACTCAGAGTCAGCCTGAACTTGCGGAGTTGGTTGCTGTGGAAGCTACCAGGAGACACGTTGGGACTAGCGCGCCATAGCCCCGAACCGTAGAGGCCCAGTCGCCCAGACCCCAGACGGTCATACGTCAGCACAAGCTTGCAGCACATGATGTGGCAGGAGTGCTGCCTTGGCTTGGCGGAGTTGCGGAGTTGGCGGCAGCAACCCCCAAACCGAAACAGGAGCTCCAGGTCCAGCCACCACCCAAGCACCCAGTCACCACTCACCCACCAAGCTCCGGCTCCCTCCCCTTCCGACAGACTGCGGCGCTTCATAATCATCCATCTTCGTCTCTCCATCCCAATACCACTTACTGCTGCAAGACCCTCGACACTCTTTCTCTGCTTGATAAGATTTGACTGCCACTCGTTGCCCACTATGAAGAACGCCGTTATCCTGGCCGCTGGCGCCATGGTCGGCTCCGCCTCGGCGGGCGTCCACAAGATGAAGCTTCAGAAGGTGCCTCTTGGAGAGCAGCTGGTACGTAACTCACGGAGCTGGCGGGTAACGGTCGTTGGAGGTTTCGCATGCTGATATATGGTCTCTAGGAAAATGCGAACATCCATGAGCACCTCCGAGGCTTGGGACAGAAGTATATGGGCGTTCGACCCCGTAACCACATGAGCGAGATGTTCAAGGAGACCTCGATTCAACCGGATGCTGGCCACTCAGTGCCGGTTAGCAATTTCCTTAACGCTCAATGTACGATCATAACCTGCATGACATGTATATCCCAAATGACTCACTCCGATGGCTAGACTTCTCAACCATCACCATCGGTACGCCGCCACAAGAGTTCAAAGTGGTTCTCGACACCGGAAGCTCCAACCTTTGGGTTCCGTCGAGTGATTGCAACTCCATTGCTTGCTATTTGCACAGCAAGTACGACCATTCGTCTTCGTCGACCTACAAGAAGAATGGATCCGAGTTCGAGATCCGATACGGCTCCGGCAGCCTCAGCGGATATGTCTCGCAAGATACGCTGCAAATCGGAGATTTGAAGATCAAGGATCAGATCTTCGCCGAGGCCACCGCCGAGCCCGGCCTTGCCTTTGCTTTTGGCCGATTCGATGGCATTCTTGGGCTGGGATATGACACCATCTCTGTGAACGGGATTCCCCCACCTTTCTACAACATGATCGATCAGGGCCTGATTGATGAGCCTGTATTTGCGTTCTATCTTGGCGATACGAAAAATGAGGGCGATGAATCTGAGGCTACCTTCGGCGGTATCGACAAGAGCCGCTATACCGGCGAGTTGATTAACATTCCGCTGCGCCGCAAGGCCTACTGGGAAGTCGATCTTGACGTGATCTCTTTCGGCGATGAAAGCGCTGAGCTCGAGAACACCGGCGTTATCCTTGACACCGGCACGTCGCTCATTGCCCTTCCGTCCACACTGGCGGAGCTTCTGTAAGTGACGACAGCAAGATCGTCGGATTCCACACCGCTGACCAAATGCAGGAACAAGGAAATCGGCGCCAAGAAGTCCTTCAACGGACAATATACCGTCGAATGCGACAAGCGTGACGGTCTCCCTGATCTCACTTTCACCTTGACCGGCCACAACTTCACCATCGGTCCCTACGACTACATTCTTGAAGTCCAAGGATCTTGCATCTCCGCGTTTATGGGAATGGACTTCCCCGAGCCCGTGGGTCCTCTCGCCATCCTCGGCGATGCTTTCCTCCGCAGGTGGTACTCCGTGTACGATGCGGGCAAAAACTCGGTTGGTCTCGCCAAAGCCAAGTAAGCTAGGAGATACGGTTTGTCGTTGAGTGTCAGCATAGATAGCGCGTACCAGCGGATTGGGAGGAAGAGGGAGCAGAGTATAGTGCGATAGTATCCATGGGCACTGGGGTCATGAAGGGCGTTATGTACAATGATTTATTTTCGTTTGCTACTTTGAAATGCTCTTGTAGTATGCATAGTCTGTAGTCGGACATCATTTCTACTATCTGTTTCTCTCTACTTGCTATACATGGCTACTGTCAAGCTTCAACCTACCTTATGCAGTGAACTTCTAGTACGCTCCGCTCGGGATGTTGACTCGTTTTGGGATGCCCGCTCATCTCGTCTTGCCATTGGGGGAACAGCACAGTCATTTCTCCATCGAATCTACATCTGGTACTATCCGGCCCTCCAACAATAACCGAGAGCTGTGACTAGATACTGTTCAAGTTAATAATAGTTAACTTCATATACTCCGTACTGGGAACATTTCCCTGCTTGGATCCAATCATGTGATTATGACTGTCCATGATTTGACGACTGCCTGGTTCGGTGGAGTGGCTGACAAGGATGTTCGGTGGTTCGTGGGGCTGGTCCTCCCAAAGTCGCAGCACCAGACTACACATCTACTCACTTCGCACATCCAGAGGCAACACCACCTGGAATCCGTTGGGAATCTCGGCAGAAGATCAGCGGACATTCCTTATACCTAGATCTGGTCATCGATGATGTGACTCCTCCCCGCTCACGACGGCAGCCGTCCTCGGAGATTCATACGATTGTATATCACGTCGAATCCCACCCCGTAGTAGCACTGCCAATACCGCCACCCTTAGGCAACGATACACACGCGGGATAGGAAAGGGCAGAACGCCTTTACACATAATCTTCGGCGACCGAACACTCATCATGGCACCAGATGCTAGGTTAAGGGAGGACTTGGGGCGGAAACTGGCCAAGACGAGGGGAGGACGGCCCAGTCGATCATTCGAGGTTCCTGAACGACTACGCGAGGGCGACGATGCGCATGAAGATGTCACAGCACCCAAAGGTGCGGTGCCGGGGATGTATATGAATCAATCCATCTTCTCCATGGTCGCTGCTGCCGGGTCGAACGTTGACTTCACTGCAAGATTCGACGAAGAGTCAAGTGACAGCAGCAGTGAATCCCATGAAAGCGACGACGAGACCTCCGACAAAGCCCAAAAGGATGATTTGGGCACCGCTTCCAAAGAAGCTAAGATAAAGGAGAAGTCCCGGAAGGCCAAGCTCTTCAGATCGATGCCGAAGCTGAGGATGAAGTCTCGCAAACATAAGCTGAAGGAAACCGATGAAGAACGAATGTCCTCCTCCCAGATACTCCCACCGAAAAAACATGATACAAACGATGGCAAGGACGATGCCGAAAGCGATGATGAAACAGACCAACCCAATCATGGGGGTGTGCCAGTGATGAGCCGCATGCTCAGAGCACGCGCGGAACTTGACGTGTCCGAGCATCGTGGCGATAAAGGCTCAAAAGAGGATGTCGTCATTGGCACGCATCGGGGAAAACACTCCGTGAGCCTACCAGACCGCTTGATGGAGATTTTCGGCTTTGAGTCTCCGGAGGAAGTCATCTCCGGTACGTACCCATGCGGATATCTCAAGGCGGACCGTCTAACTATCTTAGAATACCCCTGCTGGCTGCTTCAAAGCGTGCTGCTCCAGGGTTATATGTACATCACCCAGCATCACATCTGCTTCTACGCATATCTACCGAAACGCGACAGCGTCATTGCGAAATCCGGATACCTGTCGAAACGCGGCCGGCAAAACCCAAGATATAATCGCTATTGGTTCCAACTGAGGGGCGACGTGCTCAGCTACTACACCGATCAGTCACAGCCTTATTTCCCGGCAGGCAACATTGACTTGAGATATGGCATATCGGCGTGCCTGGACAAAGATAAGGGCAGGGACAGCACAGGGTTCACCGTGACGACCGATAAGCGAAGCTATTCCTTCAAGGCCGATAGCTCGACCAGCGCGAGGGAATGGGTCAAGAATCTCCAGAAAGTCATATTTCGGTCGCATAATGATGGAGACAGTGTTAAGATTTCCATTCCGATTCAGAATGTTATGGACTTGGAGGAAAACCCCGTCTTAGAATTTGCGGATACGGTCAAGATTCGCGTGATAGACAACGATGATACTTATGTCATAGACGATGTCGGTCATTATCTGTCCCTCTTTGAATTTCGTCGCTGACAGACAAGCAGTATTTCTTTTCCTTCTTCAGCTTCGGCAAAGAAGCGCTTCAGATCTTGCGCATCATGATTGATGCCAACGGGCTAAGTGCAACTGAGGAAGAGCCGGGGGCTGTGGATACGTCCTCGCAAGGGGCGGTCCAGACTATGACGCCGAACAGAGCATCCCTTCACGTCCCTGGGTCCCCGGCCCCTCACTTTGAGAGTGTGAAAGCAACTATCCGGCCTGGTATGCCCCAGAGTCCCAGAGTGAGCGGGGATATGGGACGGATGAGTTCGGAGCATTTTCGACGAAGTTCTAGTCGTCCTCGAGCCAGCTTCGACAAAACCCGGACGAGTTTCAGCGTGAGTCCACGACCGCTTTCTCGTGTGGCAAAGAAAGATGAACCGGATGAATCCCCTCATCCTCAGCCTTCGACGGGGTCCAATAATTCGTTTAGCCCCGGGACCGAGTCGTCAGCGGCGATCCAATCATTGGATACGAACCTCTCCGCCAGCCAGATTCTGAATCGTAGCGATGTCTTTCAACTGCCTACCCAGCTCGATGCACCTCGAGTCAGCACTTCGGAGGTTTCTATCGAACGAGGACGGAAGATATCGGAAGACACAACGAAGGTTCCAAGTTCTAAGCCGCAGCATACTGGCCAACGATCGCAGAGACCAGGGTACCTTGATCGTGGTGACTCTTCGGGAGGAACGACCAACGATGCCGAAGACGATAGCATTGCTGCCAGCGATAGGTACCAGAAGGCAACGGCGTCAACCGCGTTGCAGGACATCCGAAAGGCTGGCTCATACCCATTCCAGCGTGCAACCGAGCTTGCGTTTTTCCTCCGCTCCCGATCTCAACGCGTGAGCACCATGCTTGCTACCGAGAGTATGGGTTACTACGAGAAAGTGTCGGGCATGTGGGCTGGTGGCCACCGACACTATAGCGCCCATGGCACTCCATTGGATGAAGAAGGGGATGAACAGGACGAGGAGGATGCAACCAACCATGGCGACCGGTTCCGTGCGCACTTTGCCTTACCTGCCTCAGAACCCCTTATTGCCACGTACTTTGGCAACTTTCACCGGGTTCTCCCTTTGTACGGGAAGATATACGTTAGCAATAAGCATTTTTGCTACCGTAGCTTGCTTCCCGGAACGCGCACCAAGCTAGTCTTACCGTTCAAAGACATCGAGAATGTTGCGAAGGAGAAAGGCTACCGCCTTGGATATTCTGCCATGGTTGTCGTTATCCGGGGCCATGAGGAGCTGTTCTTCGATTTCCGGTCGGTTGGAACGCGGGACGACTGCGTCGTGACCTTGATTCAACGGCTTGAAAAGCTTCGGTATATGGAAGAGCCTAGCGATCTCACCTCGGAAGAAAACCAGGAAGTGGAATATGCAAAGTTGGAGAATCGTCTGCTGCAGGAAGCTCGCGCTGATGGGCACGCGGAGCATGATATCAAGCTGCCAAGAGACACCCCGGCGGAACCTGAAGCCCCCATGATCCTGTTCGACGACGCTCGCGCTTCCATCCTCAACTTCAAACCGACTGAACCAATGCGCATTACGTGCTTGACGATCGGTTCTCGGGGAGATGTCCAGCCCTATATCGCTCTATGCAAAGGCTTCCTGGCCGACGGGCATAAACCGCGGATTGCAACGCACGCAGAATTCGAACCCTGGGTACGGAAACATGGGATTGACTTTGCGCCGGTGGAAGGCGACCCAGCGGAGCTCATGAGAATCTGCGTGGAAAACGGCATGTTTACGTACTCCTTCCTCAAGGAAGCCACCTCGAAGTTCCGCGGCTGGCTTGATGATCTGATGTCCTCAGCCTGGACGGCTTGTCAGGACAGCGACTTGCTGATCGAAAGCCCCTCGGCCATGGCTGGCATCCATATCGCCGAGGCGCTCGAAATCCCATATTTCCGCGCTTTCACCATGCCCTGGACGCGCACGCGGGCCTACCCGCATGCATTCACCGTCCCCGAGCATAAGATGGGCGGAGCGTACAACTACGTGAGCTACGTCATGTTCGACACGGTCTTCTGGAAGGCCATCGCCAATCAAGTCAATCGGTGGCGACGGAAGGAGCTCGGCCTTGGCGCCACCAGCTTGGACAAGATGCAGCCGAACAAGGTGCCGTTTCTGTACAATTTCAGCCCTTCCGTAGTGGTGCCGCCGCTCGATTACAGTGATTGGATTCGCGTCACTGGCTACTGGTTCCTGGATGAGGGTGGAGAATGGCAGGTGGATCAGGAGCTGGTGGATTTCATCGCGAAGGCGCGGGCAGACAACAAGAAACTAGTCTACGTCGGCTTCGGTTCCATTGTTGTCGAGGACCCTGCCGCCCTGACCAAGACGGTCGTCGACTCCGTCATCAAAGCGGACGTTCGCTGCATCCTCTCCAAAGGCTGGTCCGATCGACTCGGCAAAAAGGACGCCAGCAAGCCCGAGGTGCCATTGCCACCCGAGATCCTGCAGATCAAATCCGCGCCGCACGACTGGCTATTTCGGCAGGTCGACGCCGCAGCGCACCACGGCGGGTCGGGGACCACGGGCGCCAGTCTCCGCGCCGGAATTCCCACGATCGTGAAGCCGTTCTTCGGCGATCAGTTCTTTTTCGGGTCCCGGATCGAAGACTTGGGCGTGGGGATCTGCCTCAAAAAGATCAATACGAGCGTGTTCGCACGGGCTTTGTGGGAGGCCACGCATAGTGAGCGGATGATCGTTAAGGCTCGGGTTCTAGGGGAGCAGATTCGACAGGTACGTACATCCACATCTTTACATCCTTCTTGCATTCGAATCTTGCCATTTTAGTCGATGATCGTTGATGCTAACACAAGACAGGAGGATGGCGTTGGGCATGCGATCCAAACTATCTACCGTGACCTGGAGTACGCGAAATCCCTGATCAAGCGCAAGCACAAAGCGGGCCCCGATGGGGAGCTGTTACCCGATGACTTTGAAGAGACATGGACGTTTCTAGGGGATGAGTTTGATCGGGAATTACTACGGAAGCAGGCCATGGAATGGGAACAGAGCCAAACCGGCGGAAGAGGATATGGCAGCGTCGTCCCCAAGGCTGCTGAGGTGGGCAAACAGGCGGTCAAATCCGCGTCATAGGCATGGATTTCGATTGCATTGGTCGGGTATCCTATTTGATATTCTGTAATGTAGCGAAGGTGTTGAGGCTGGGTGACGACACAGATGGAATGACAATAGACTGGCATAACGGCACTTCATAACGAATGGAAATTTTTCTCTGAGATTCCTATCCGTATTTACTATTTACATACTCTGCCATATCCCTGTTGTACGTACAACCGGATTTTGAGACATGGATAGACCTAGAAATCCTGGGGTAGAAGGGTTTTCTTTTTCAACGTCTCACGAGGTGATTCCCACTCTTCCCATCTTTCTGCATATCCTGTCCATCCAAATTTTCTCCCTTTGGGTCAGGCTGCCCACGCAACTCTAGGTCTTACCAAAGATAAACGTCAAGAGAACCTGGTTGATTGGAGTGGCTGCAAGCACTTGAAGGTTGGACTATTACTGGAAAACTGTACGATGCAAAATGATTGCAGAGGCACAAGGGGATTACGGAGATCAAATAGAATACGGACGACGGCAGAAGGGCTGTTCAAATCATTCGTTCAACGATTTCGCTATATTTTGATAAAAAGATCTGCGCTGGTATATCGTCGGAAGAGAAGGTCCTCCGCATGTCGCTCAAAGAACAGGAAGAATTAAAATAAAAAAAAGTACAGTGGTGATATCTGGCAACGCTCCCACAACGCCCAGGGTGTGTGCAAACGGCACATCGGCACGCTAGTGCCCACCCTCAACCTTCTCCAGCGCGATGCCCTGACCGTCGCCCGGGTGCTCCGCACTGGCGCTGTCACTAGGCGCCCGGCCCTCGAGCATCTGACTGTGCTGGGAGATGCCGTGGCGGTCGCCCTGTGGGATGTTTGACTCGCTGGTGGAGGGGTCGGCTTTGGCGGGAGTCCAGGCGAGGTAGTCGCGGCGAACCTCGACGTAGTCGTAGGCGAACTCGCCCAGTTGGTCGTCGTCGAGGCCGAGGAGCTCGGCTTCCTCGGTGGCGCGGAGCTGGAGGCCGGGGATCTTGTTGATGGCGAAGGCGATGAGGGCAGACATGACGAAGGTGTAGGCGGAGGCGGCGACGATGTAGGCGACTTGGATGTACAGCTGCTTCCAGCCTTTCTCGACCCAGCCACCGTCGGCGCTATTGACGCCGTCGAGGCCGATGATGTAGCTCGCGCCGAAGATGCCGTTGAAGATCAGGCCGACTATGCCGGCGATGCCGTGCTCGGAGAATACGTCCATGGAGTCGTCGATCTTGATCCAGAATTTGACTGGGAGGAGTTAGTGATTGGACCCGAGATGCAGAACGATCGTGGAAACATACCCTTGGTGCCGAAATTGCACACAATGCCAGTCACGATACCGAGAGCAACGGAGGCCCATGGGGTAATGAATCCAGAAGCGGGAGTTGCAGCGACCAGGCCAGAAATAGTGCCTGAGCACCAGCCGACCATAGACCATTTCTTAGCCAGGCGGAAGTCGAGGAGAACCCAAGTGATGGCGGCAAAGCCAGCAGTAAGGTTGGTGTTCCAGCAAGCCATGACAGCGCGGAGGTTGGCACCGAACGCCGAGCCACCGTTGAATCCGAGCCATCCGAACCACAGGAGGACAGTGCCGAGGGTGATAAGAGAGACGTTGTGCGGTCGGAAGTTGAGCATCATCTTCTCCTGGCGACGCCCCAAAACCATAGAGTAGGCGAGGGCGGTGAGACCGGAGCCGATTTCGACAGGACCGCCACCTGCATAATCCATGACACCCCAGTTGAAGGCCCAGCCTCCTGCACCCCACGCCCAATTGGCGAGCGGGCAGTAGACAATGGTGGCCCAGACCCACAGGAACACCATCATGGGGATGACACGGCCCCGCTCGGCGATCGAACCCGCAATGATAGCCGCAGTAACAGAGCAGAACATACACTGGAGTCTTTAGTTAGTGGCTGCCGACGATTTGGGGGGTATATCGATATGGCATACTTGATAGATAGAGTATAGTAATTCAGGGACAAGAGGAGAACCAGGACTGGGAGCACCGAGAGTCCTCCTTAGGCCGAATTTGTCGAGATTGCCGATGAAGCCGTTCGTGGCAGTGGGGCTGAGGGCGAGGGAATAGCCCCAGAAGTACCATTGGAAGCAGATGACCGAAGAGGACATCATCACAGCCCAGAGCATACTGAGGGCCGACTTCCTGCGAGCCAAACCGGAATAGAGGAAAGCCAGTCCTGGAACCATGATCAACACCAGACCCGTCGCAATGATGATATATCCCGTGTCGCCAGCATTGAACCATTGGTTCAAGTTCTCCGTGCCTGGAAATAGGTGTTAGGACTCTTTCTCATGATATTGATGGTCGTCGTCTCGGGATGAGCAGGAGATGGACTGATTGGCCAGTTTGGATGCTAACACCAGGACCGGACAGGATGAACTTACGGGAGTCGCCACCGATGTCTTCATAACCCTCTGTCGCATTGTAGTTCGACGGAGCTCCCACATACCCGTAGTTCGGGAAGTAGGCGTCCGCGGCCGCCATGTTGGAATCGGGACGGGGGATACTGTTATATTGAATGAAAAAATCGAAAAGAGTGTTCAAGGCAAGCACAGCGCCAGGTATAAGAGAATATATCAACTCTGACTCTGAACTGACGTCGAGAGGGAGGGAGGAGGGAGGGGGATGAGATCGTGAATTCAAGAGCAAGATCGCACAAGATGAATGGGACAGGAGGGATTAAAATAATGATCGCGGTCTTCGAACGTCTCGAAGCCAGGTCCACTAGGAGAGAACACGCCAGTGGGCTTTCCGGGAAAATAAGGGAAGCATGCAGACCATTCGGCAACGCTAGGCCTGGACTGACTTGCATCGACCTGCGCAGCTTATCTGCCCTGGCCAGATGGGGGAACCGGGTGGGCAACTTTGCGGAAGGTTAGACGAGCCGCAGATCGAAGGCTGGGACGCCGGGATATGATTGGAATTCGCATTGAATCTGGGTGGCGCCATGTTGGGGGACACACCCAGACTCCCACACATTCCATCAGTTCCATCCCAGTGGTCGTGGGGAGAACAGGGCTAGCGGAAGCTCATCTTCCTTGCAGCTGTAAATAGTTGGTTATTGGTACCGTTATGGGACCGGATTGAGTGGGACGAACTCGGTCGCCTCGACCCGTCAGCTGGCACAGACTGGAAGGGTCTGCCGGAGAGAGAGATAGGGAAATGGGGCGGGCAACTATACGGCTTACCATTCATATCTACGCGAGCAGTTCCGATGCCTTCGATGGAGGCGATCGTTATCATGATACAATCTGGTTAGTGTCCATCGTAATGCTAAGTCGCGGACCGCAAGTACCATAGCAAACTCGATCTATTCAGTGGCTCAGCATTATTACTGCTGAATGCCGGCTCTGTTGGACCCGAACGCTACCGCCAGGGCACCAGCTAATTCCTACGATCGACATCCAGGATCGTGACGGCGTGTGGAATTGAGTTCTGGTCGTGAGTGTGAGGGCGAGATGTACGACGTTGACACAAAGATAAGCAATCTCCGATTTCTGTCCAGGCGACGTCCTTATCAGTTTTGGTTGCATCAACGCCTTACCAAAGCGACAGGGATGCAATCGGGCAAATGCACGTGCTGATTGGTCAACACCAAATCGGCCCTGAATTGCCGTGTGGGTAAGCGTGGTTCGGTCAGGTTTGGTCGTCCCTGTCCATGGAGGGTTTTTTAAGGCCCTGGCCTTAGACGCGGCGGCCAGTCGTTTCGCCATCAATCCGTTGGCTTGGCATTGCTTGAATTCCCGCTGGTGATTGGCTGGAGAATGGAGAAAGATAAGGCCCCGACCCACTTCCCAACATCACCCCGATCTTATCATAATTCATATCAACGACTCACCACTCACCACTGCTACACCATAACAAGCCAAGTCCATGTGGCTTTCTCATGTTCATTTTCAAGCTGACGAACAATCCGATGTGAGATATATCGATTTCAGGTTGAATGAAGCGAGGCATCAAGCCCTGGCGCTGCGTGGCTAAGCGAATTCACGTGAGACAGCCAGAGAGGGGACCATAATGCAGACCATTTTGCATTTTGTAAGCATCACTTCACTTCAAGGACAAAAGTAAGGAGCGGCTATTATTCTGTTCTCATATCCACATATGATATCATTAATGTAGTTAAAGTCACTCAAAGGTACTCCATAGTCTCCAGGGTTGGTCAGCCTTGGCGTATGTTCATGTTCCCAAGTCCCAACGTGAATGTTATGCCGTGCAGTTGAGGTGCTAACGCACGGGATCCCCGCGAAATCAAACAACAAGATCGATCGAAAATCAGTTGCTGTCACTAGACTGTCGCGTGTTTTCCGTGTTATATGTCCGGTACTGTGGGGTGACGGACACATTCACATGGGATGCTATTATTATTCTTGCGATTCAGCTTGTCCATCGCCAGACTTGGACCAGACAAGGATCACAGTGGTGCCTTGGTGCCTGGCGCAATCGGATCGATGTGTTGGAGAGTTGGGTCATCGCTATCTCACCAATCTGTTGTGGACGTGGGATTTCATGCATGAGGTGACACCATCCATCTTGTCAACCGGAGATAGAACTTTTGACATGGGTCGTATTCAACCTCCTACTTGGCACGGTCTTTAGGGTACAATGTATACGAGCATAAGTTAATGTTGAGTCTTGGAAGTTGGAATATGCGAATTAAGGATTCACTGATGGGTGGGTCGCATGCACGTCCTTCTGGCCCAATGTTATTTAGAAGCGTCGTGACTAAATGAAGCGTAGCTGTTGAATTTGTCAATTCTTCCGATCACTAATACGCAAGGGTCATATTAGTCCTCCGATTTCAGGGTATCGCAAGAAGGAAGCATGTCTGGTCCACCTTGCGCCGTGCCAAGGCGCAGCGGAAACTTCATGTCATGGTTTCGAGAAAGGATCGAGAGAAAATAAACCGCCAATTTCCCAATTCCCACCCTTGGACCTCGACAAGCCGGGAAAGTGGGAACGGATGACTAGCATCAGTGGCGTCCATCTGCTTAGTGCTCGGTATTCGGCAGTTCAAGGACCGTACTGGGAAATAGTCCAGAACTTCCAGAAGCAACGTCGTGAATGCCAATTGCGTGTCCGCTTACCCACCATGTCTTGGTCTCTTCGCCGGCCTCGTTCCAGGGGTTCCGTAGGCTGCTGGAGAATTGATCCATCTCTGCACAGAAACGATGCGGCTGTCCCGGAGAGTGCCGCCAGGAGTCCCCTCGTCGCCATTCAAATCGATATTTCAGCCAGAAATGGATCGGATCGTCGCGCAAGTATCGGTTTACCTACCCATAGAGTTCAGCAACTACCGACCTGGGAGGAGGGAAAGGCGGATATGTAAAACAAGAAAGTTGTAACTCCGTACGGAATACACAGATCGCTTGCTTGCTCTCAAGCCTCAAGTTGATACAACCAGACGGGGTCTAGTCGATATCGGTCGGCAGGAATGCTCGGGTTATACCTCTAACCAATAATGGACGTCATCAGGATACCCAGGACACACAACGTCAAGGGTGTACGAGCCGTCGAGCTCACTTGACAAAGGGGGCTGCCATCGTCTCCAGGAAGGGTAGATTGGGATGACAACACCAACTTACTACATTGCCACGGCTGATATCGCCAACGCTGACCCGGGAACCTGGGCTGACCCCGAACCGGAGCATTGGTGCCTCATTGGGTGAACTGTAGCCAGCGCCTAAATTTGTTTATTTACCCGATATTACTCGGATAGTTGTCATATGCGCCAGTTCACTCAGTTGTGATGGTTGGGTACTGAGATGTGTCGGAACGGAGCAAGCAATTTCATCGTTTATGTGTTCTGAACCGGCCGGGACAATTCCTTAACCATGAGGATGGCGATCGTCACGACGACCGTGGCTGTCACCATGGCGTCGTCGGCGACTCGTATCCCTGCTTCTACTGCGAGGTCTGGATTTCAATCGGTGCTGGTGCCTTGCATGACGCCTGTCATCGCGGGATCGTTCCGGGACACGTTGGGCGCTCGCCCGGCGTCCCTCCTTGGCATCGAGGGAAAACCCGTCCAGACTGTCCGCGTCGTCGATATCGATACTTGCTCGGCTGATGGACCTTGCTCTCTTGCGGCGGTCTTCATGCTTCCGTTTCCGGGAGGAAGAACCCTCCTGACTGCGTCGCAGCGCTGCCTCTTCCGCTTCCCGCTCGTTGACCCAATCCTTGCGTTGCTTTTCCACTTGCTTCAGCTTCGTTTGCGCGGTTTTCATAAGGGCAAACGGGTCGTTGGAAGTAACTCGCGTCCTTTCGCGCTCGATTCGACGAGGGTCGGGCTTCCCCCAAACGTCCTTGCTTTCAACCAGAGCAAATGCCTCGCTCTTGCGGTCTCGCCTGCCACTGTCTTCCGTGACGTCGTACTTCGAGGCGGGGAGGTTCGCAGTGGCGCGAGCTGTGTACCATGGAGCCCGTGAATCCGGATTGTATCCAGAAGCATCGACAAGCTTCATTCCCTCTCCGCTCTCCCGCATCAACTGCCGCTCTTTCCGATCTCGTTTATCCTTAATCTCTGCATCGGCGTTCCTCACCGGGACCTCCGGGGCGGGAAACAGGTTGATATGACCTTGGTGGTCGATGACGGCAGCATTTCCATCTTTCCCATGACGAATGCTGCGACTGCCACCCCATCCCACATCCTGCTCCGCCTGGACAGCTGTAGAGTGGACGGACACTGTATTCTGTGCCAACCGGATGTCTCTCTCGGTGTCGTCTTCCCCATGTCGTCTCCTCTTGATCCTGTCCTGCCCACGGCCTTTCTCACCCGACACGTCATCGTCGCGGAGACGTCGCTTGCGATCCTCTTCGGTAAGTCGTGCTGGTGGCGGAGGCGGCGTTGTCCCGCTCAGGATTGCCAGGCGTTTCGCTGCATCGTATTCATCCAATATCCGGTCTTCCTCTTCCTCGAGCGCGGCAGCACGAGCTTCATCCCGCTTCACCCGAGCGATGTTCTCTGCGTTGGCGACGTGCCATGATTTCTTCGGGAGTAGGTGCCTGCGTATCAAGGCATGGGTCAGCGAATTCACCCCTCAAGCAGATGTCACTAAAAAATGGTACGTACAGGGGCATTGTAGTGCGCCTCGCCTGAATATTCCAAAGTGGTTAAGCTGGATGATGCACAACCGAACCGGCCAAGGCGCGTGAAATATCGAGTTGCGGAGTTAGACACTTCGACGCAAGACGTAGGCTCGTTCGAATCGCAGGTTGGGCTAAACGATTGTCCAACATCAATAATGCAAGATGATGGATGCAGGCATAAATACAGACATGAATGCTAATCATCATCCATCGTGCAGAGTGCAGACTCATTGTGCAGATGGATCTCCTTTGGATTCCCCGCGCAGTCCCATGTCATGGGAATCCTGGATTGGCCCCAGACTCACCACGGACGGAGCCGCAAATCTAATAATTATGGTCCTTAAGTTCCTATTATGAGCTTCCAATATGTTCTCAGTCCTTCTATTCTTTTCTTTGGTTCCTTACTTCCAAGCAAACAAATCGTCGGATAGCACCAATCATTAGTCCGTAAGCCATATGGTAAGGCCATAATTATTTATCATTGATCTCACGGGCCACGAAATACCAGCAACCCCCTCAGAGGTCGTGCTGGCTACCAATTCCCGGTTCACTCCCTCCAATAGCATGAACGGAGCCTGACGTGGTGTTACCCGGTTCCAAAAGCCTTTGCATCATTGCGTGGAGCCGCATCAATGTTTGGACGCGCTTCGAACGCGAGCATCACGTATAATACGTTCTGATATTGCTCGGTGACAGTTCGAAATATCCTTTTGGCGCGACGTGCGTGGTCGGCGGCGGCAGGGATCACGAGAATCGGGAGATCTGACAGCAACGGGAACTCAGTTTGTCCCCCGATTGTGCGCTCTGCATCCTTTTTGCGACTGTCAGTCCATTCCCGGCGACACAAAGTTGACCTTTGATTTCCTGAAGTCTCACAAAATCCTCTCCGAACGCATCCACGACGGTCCGATCATCAGTCGCCCAAAACTCCCCTTTGGTGGGCAGTGGTCGATTACATTAATACCATCTGGGCCTGAAAGGCACCTCTCCCTTCCAATTGACAGTCTGATACTCTCCCAGAGCATCCCCAATCTTTCAGACAGCGAGGAATCCATCCACAATGCCGACCTACCTCCTTCACGGCTTCCGGTGGCCCCGATCGCTCATCCGCATCCACATCATCCTACAGAACCTCGATGACGCCGCGGCGGAATGGCTGATGGCTCCGATGACCACCAACACCCTCCTCAACAACTTCTCCGAGACTCACCCTTCGATTATGCCGTCGCTGCCCTCCCTACGATTCATCGAACAGTATGACCCATTGGACGAGCGCGCAGAGAGCAAATCGCAACCGTTTGCGTATGTGGCCGATGTGGTTCACGAGATCAAGCTGGGCGTGGACTTGGATGAGGTCCGAGGTAAAGGCGTGGACAGCGAGGCTTGGGGCGCGTTGGTCGAATTGAGAGACAAGTTGGCTCCTGGCGAGAAGGTTGCCTGGTATGTGGTTGTGTGCGGAGATACCGAACGCGTGGCACCGCCTCCAGAAATCCCCAATGGCCTGGAGGCAGGGGAGCAAGGCGCAAACGGCTGGAGACATCAAGCTGGACCAGTCGCCAGCGTGAATGGAAGCATTAGTAGCGGAAGACCACTTAGTGGTGGCCAGGTGAGCAAATGGCTCCCAATGCGACATATTCTACGTCGTAGATCCGAGCCTGTACTAATTGAGCTACAGCATTCGCAGACACAAACTGGCGCTACGGCTCCCAGAGGTCTTCGCAAATTTTTCTCGAGAGGGAACCTACGAAAGGCGAAAAGGTTTGATCTCTCAGGCTTTCTGTACCTAATAAGGGTTATGCTGACTATTTCCGTAGCATGAAGTCGCTTCGGCCCCAATCTCAAGATTCGGGGAAGAGTGCGATTCCCCCAATGCCTAGCATGCCCGGCAGGACAACGTAATCACACCTCGCTCTACGAGAACTTTGAAAAGCCTTTATGTGGCAATGTTTCCTTAATCCGGGAAGGAAGACAGCAACCGCATTAACTGCGAACACCATTGGGAAAATCTATACCCATTTTGCTTCTCGAATATACTTCGAGCTTATCTACGACAGATGGGAGTTATGATTTAAAGTTTCATACTGACAGGTGAAACCCATTGGAAATGGCTCAATGGATTTTCAGCCTGGTCGAGTGCAACGAAGTGAGTTTTCAATTGCTTACTTGTATGATTATGATTACCGGGGCAGACCGGGGTACCCATGACGGGCAGGCTATATTGATCAGCGCGCCCAACTGGAGTGTTGTTTGCAGCGTTGGCGTTGAAATAAGCGTTACGAGATACAAGAAGATTAATTGGATATTTATGATTCCAGAATGATACGACTAAGACGCAGTGATGCAGGAAGAGATTTGCCTCAGTCCCCGACTGCCATTGCGACGGGAACTATGCTACGGCAGGCAGAGTCGTGTGACTAATCCACTCCACTCCAACCAGGGAATACGGTGGTATTATGATATCACAAGATCTAGGCACAGTACTAAGGTGTAGGTGTCTCGCATTCTGCACAATACATTGACGTGGGAATATAACGGGAAAGCAGGTCGCGATTCCGAGCCATCCGTCCTCGACCTTGTCCAGGATACAATACCTCAACCTCGCTTTTCTCCCACGACTTCCTCGTGCTCAACATCGTGAGGTTTCCTTTCCATTGTACCGTGCTCCATATCTACCCCATCTGTCTGCATTCTGATGCCACTCTCTCCGATCTTGTCCGCGGGGTCCCGATAAGCGGGAAGAAAGTTCACGCATATTGCGTATGAAAACGGTACGACAAAGAACAGGACAGGGACGACCATGGCAAACGGCGTGGTTCGGGCATCGGCAACGGCCCCAAGAATCGGAGGCACTATTAACCCATCAGAAATGCGGAAGATAGCATTGCGAATGGAGGCTGGACGTACCTGCAGCTCCTCCTGAAACTCCAGCTACCATGACCGGTACCGCGCTTGGTGTGCCGTCCTAGACCTCGAATACCGAGCGCGACGAAGGTCGGAAAACAGACGGATTCGAAGAACAAGGTGAGCATTAGCATGACTGCGCAACATCAGTGCCCTTCCAACAACAAATGATCGAATCCTTGAGCTTACCAGACCAGCATTGCCCTCGGACGTGATGGATGCCGAATTAAACGCCAGCACGCCACAAATATAGGCGAGTAAAACCCAGCGTGGACGAATGAACCGCATGATCAGGGCGCCGCTGAAGCGTCCCACAGCAAAACAGCCTTGTGCTATTGCCAGGAAATTCGATGCCATGGCGTTGCCTGTCCTTGGTCGCGATTCAACTACATAGTTGATGAAGTAACCGGCGATTGCAACTAGAACAATTGTCAGCATCACTGAGTAGTTCCTAAGGCAGAGCATCATACCCTGGGCTCCAGTATAGCACCATTGTGCAGCGGCAGCATGGAATAGCCTATACTGCTGGTGAAAAGGCTTATCACTGGAGCCTGCATGAGTTTCTTCAGCCTGATCTTGCATATCGGCATCAGTAATCTCTGGAATCCACGAAACGAAGAAGACGGCGGCGAGGCAAAAGACGAAGATTCCAATGGCCAGATAAACCCACTGCACATTACGAAGGGCGTCGACAGAGTCACGGGTTTCTTTGAAGAATACGTACGAACCCAGAACGGGACCGACGACCGTACCGACAGCTTGTACAGCCTGGGCAAGATTGATCCGGAGTTCTGAATATTTCGGAGGCCCACAGACCGCCATGAAGGGGTTCGCGGCGGTTTCGAGTGTACCGAGACCACTGCCGATAACGAGGGTAGCACCGCAGAACCCACCAAACGACTGGTACAGTCCGGCCGGCCACATGCAAAGAGCACCGATACCATACAGTACGAGTCCTACTGTTTATTAGATCTCGGGTCATAGATCCACCACGCTGTGCGTACCTGCGATGAAGGTTGCCTTATAACCGTAGTGCCGGAGTATCTAGTTCGCATAACCTAAGGATGCTAAGGGGTATGCTCTATACCATTCCAGTCAATCTTATGACATGATTCAGAGTTTGGATTCATACCCGAAGTACACGCCCTGAAGGCCTGCAGACCGCCCCTTCGTTATGTGGAGCGTATCTTGGAAGTGTTTGTTCAACGTATCAAACAGACCGTATGCAAACCCCTATAAGAAGATCAGTGCTATGTACACCAAAGGGTCTAGGCAAGGACCAAACAATACCCAAAGGAAGTACAACATCGTCTCTAGGATTAAAGGCAATAAGGACTCCCTGACAGTAATATTCCCGGCATTGGTTCGATTATTTCCGGCCTTTAGCTTGGATCTGCTGGCAAGTATTTGAGCTATTTTGTTGGTACTCATATTGTCACCTGGATCTGAGACTCATAAGATATTTCAAGACAGGCAAGACGGATCTGTACTTCGTTCCCAGGATGGAAATTCCATGTGGGACTGGCGAGCATATATACTTAATAGTCTCAAGGCGCCGATGTCAACCCCAACCGCAATTGTAATTTACATCTCTCCGCATAGACAACACGGTATATGACCGAACACCGAGTCCAGTATAGGGAAAGAAATGGCCTCGGGGAGAAATGCATCTTACTAGGTACAATACCGGAGGACATTGACCCGAAATGTAGAAAGCATGAATCAAGAGCAGGTCCAGGTTCATCTCAAGGCGTGCTGATCGTCAGGGCTCGAATACCTCCATGGGTCTTCATAATTAGTAGCCAGGATGCTTCTTCGGATAGGAATTCGGGTCCTTCATAGTTCAGAGTTCAGAGTCCAGAATTTAGACGTTAGGTCCCGAATTGATTAACAGGCGATTGCGGGGCCCAGATGCTGACGGCTGGGTTGCTCACATGCGGAGTCCTGAGTCACGAGTGCTGTTTTGACGATCAATGCACATGTATCATTATTCGATTCGCCAATCACCATGTATAGAAACTGGAAAGTGATCCACAGGTCAGCGGTAGTACGTAGAGGTAGGTACAGTATTACAAGCAGCCACTTGGTCCGTACGTATTACATAGTACTGGACCGAGCCAGGATGTTTGGTGAGGATTATGGTACAACTTACATGGGCTTCAAACTGCCAATTCGACATCACTTCAGCTACCATACCGCAACAGTTCTAGTAGTTTTAGTCGCACGACGTCTCGAACATTGTTCGTCATGCGGCTGGTCAACGTCCAAACATTAGAATTCGAGGACTTCATCGGTGAAGTCGGCATTGACATCCCTTTGTACGCGTTCCTCTCTCATACATGGGGTGAAGAGGAGGTATCATTTGCAGACCACATCAGTGAACAGAGTTGGTCTAAGATAGTCTATGAGAAGATCCGCGGCTGCTGTAGGATTGCAAAATCTGAAGGCTTCCAATACGTATGGATCGATACCTGTTGCATCGACAAGTCTTCTAGCGCCGAGCTGTCCGAAGCCATCAATTCCATATTCAAATGGTACTCTGATGCGGCTGTCTGTTATGTCTACATAAGCGACGTCGATTCCTCCGAGGATCCTACGGCCCTTAAATCGTCCTTTTCTCTTAGCCGATGGTTCACACGTGGTTAATCATTACAAGAACTACTCGCGCCGGCCGAGGTGTGTTCCTAGGATCGGACTGGGTCGAGATCGGTACGAAGAAGTCCCTTTGCGCGGCGGTATCGAGAATCACCCATATCGGCCGGAAGATGCTCGAGGAAGGAAGATGGGCCACAAGCAGCATTGCGGAGAAGATGTCATGGGCATCCGGGAGGCGAACCACAAGACTTGAGGACCAAGCTTACTCCCTTCTCGGGCTGTTTAACGTGAGTATGCCGCTGCTATATGGTGAGGGAAGCAAGGCTTTTTTACGGCTGCAGCAAGAAATAGTCAAGAAATCCGATGATCAGTCTATCTTCGCATGGTCATATTCCAAGGACAAATACCTGCACCTGCAGACATCTGGACTCATGGCGCTGTCCCCCGATCACTGTAATGAAGCAGCTGGGATCCGACTCATGGGGTATCATGACAAGTACCATGGTGAGTACGAGATCCCTTTGAGGTTGTTAACCGAATGGTACGGGTAAGGCTACGGCTAGTGGATAGGTCGAAGCATTGAAAGTTGAGATAATGGATGCAAAACCCCTCTGCCACAACGTTATTGAGGTTCGACATCGTTCAGAGACGGACGGCATGGAACCACTAACTAAGGCAGCAACCACCAACGAGGCACCGCCGATTCAGCTCAGGATCGACAAATTATTCCAACGATTACCATTCAGCATGAACAAGACAACCCAGCATTGCTCCTCAACCCAAACGAGACTACCATGGATTTGTCCTTGGATTTGTCTAGCACTAATTCCAGGTCGCACATATATCCTATCGCTACCCCTGACCCCGTGACTTTTTCTCCTACATTTACCAGCCGGTCACCATGGCACCTCTGAAGTGTCAGATTAGGGGACATCAGTTGTACATTCTTCTGACGAAAGGCTCTATTAAGCACACTGGACGGATAGGCTTGTCGCGGCTGCACAGTCCGTCGATATTAGCTATGTGAGAGGTACCGCAGTCACAGCTCAGTCCATTAGTGACCAGTTATGTTGCCATCTCAAATGAAGCCCGCCCCAGGTTCAACCCGGAGTCGGATGGCATGTGGATGACATCGCTAGAGATCCGAATCGCGTCCTTGCTATCTAGCGGTTACGCGGCATATGGCGACCTCCCTATAGGCTGGGCATATAGCCGATCTCGTACATCAGTGGTACGAAGGAGGTGAACCGAGTTGAACAACGACTTGGAAAGCCGTGAACGGCGTGTCACCTTCTATCACTCTTCTGGTGATGAAGCAGCGCACCCCACTTTCTTCATAGGTGCTCCAGCTTACGGAGAATCCAGCCTAACATGGGTCGTCGGCGTTTATGACACCGGAGTGTCCCAGGTTTCGAAGTATAAGCTTTATACGTTCGATCTTTCCCACCTGTGACACTCCCAGGTGCCATTGAGAGACCCGCACTGCGTTGTCGCGAAGCTAAGGGAGAGCCCGCATCTCCAGTATATGACACTATCCATTGAAACGCTAGATCAGGGGCCGGCCACAATGTTCTCGAAGAGAACGATTTGGTGACGCAACGGCGGCAACAACAAACGAACGGGGATTTAACTTATCGAGTACGGGGAACTGGTGAAGTGCATTAACTAGTTAGTCTATTAGTTAACTAACTTATGGTCTCATGGTCGCCCTCGACTTTGTCTGCTAGGTTATTCTTCCCTCGCTCGAGGACACAACATCTCTCACTGGCTGCCAGGTAGTAGTTGTTCATGTCTACCCCATAGCTACCTACTATACCACGCTGCTGACCGCTCGCCTTGGACAGGATGTCGACTGTCAACCCATAAGCCTTGCGAGCAACCAAGTCAGAGGTGGTTGCCGACGACAATTGTCGGTAGCACAAATCCGGCAATCTCCTTCCACAAATAAAATCTTATCCGGCAGCCAACTTCGGTGATATTCTGTTACGTACAATCAGCGCAGACACCCAATATAGGGATCCGTATTTGGCTATTTGCCTTCAATGCGCATGTGGCTGGACAGGGGTTATAAGCCTTTTCCAAGCCTTTTCCAAGCCTTTTCCAAGCCTCAGAAGTTGGGCTTAGCTGTGAGGTTATATTTCGGTATCAATAAAACTCGGTGAGAGGCTTGTTTGTGCTAAATAGAAATATAGTTGGTCAGGGCTTAGCGAAGCCTTCTACTACATAGTATGAAACTTTTTACAAGCCCATTGAAGCTTTGGAGGTCTCCGCGGAAACCACAGCCCAAGGTTTAATGTAAAATTATGAGCCAGTACGGAGGCAGCTTACGGTTAAGACATGAGCGACGGCGCCTCCTATTCATTCTTAGACCCCTTAGAGAGGGTGGATGCTGGATCACAATTCACAGGCGATATAAAATGCGGAAAGTGCGCTGTGGAAAAGACACCAAGTCACCTTTCAGCATCGAGTCGTCCGCTGGCTTCTACTTCATCAACGGTCGGGATTTTCGCAGTCATGGTGCCAGCATATCTTCTTTTTCTCGCCAATCTGCTACTTCCCGTATATGTCTCGGCCACTTGCAGTATATCCTCTGCTACGCCAGTCGACATCTCCGACACATCTTCAAACAGCGGCGGTTCCGGCTCCGTCTGCGACAGCAATGATATCTGCGATGGCCTGATCAACCACGGGCTATTCAACGCGGGTGGATACATCAAACGCTCCGCCATCGACATACCCAAGCGCGATACCCCTCTCGTGTGCGACGGCGGACAGACCTGTATTCAATTCTACAGCTCCGCGTCTGGTTCCAGCTCCGACCAGCTGATCATCTGCATCGATCTGAATACCGGTGACTTCTTGGACGAGGCTGGCGAACGTGGCAACTTGCTCACTGGCGTGTATACAAACACGGATGGGCAGGTGGTTACGTTGGGAGTGTCGGCGACAGAAGGCACAGCGACAACAACGGCAAGAGTTTCAAAGGGGACATCAGCTGGGAGTGGGACTGCGGCAGCTACCGGGGCAGGTGGGCAAGGGGTGCAATCGACGCCGGGTATCGGAGCGAACGTCGCTGTCAAAGGATTGGTTAAGTCGCTAGGAGGTATTTGCGGTCTTCTCTTAGGAGCATGGATCTGGTGAGAAGTTTATCCAGCTGGTAGCGGTTACTATAATGGAACGACCGTGTCAGCCTCGGCCAATGCTCTGGGACGGTACTATGTTTGCAAACATTGATTCTGATTTCTGGCAGAGTACGGAGTAACTGAATGGAATAGTTAACGCAGTTGCTACACATTACCTAGTTAGTACTAATGTGCTGGGGTGTGGCTCACGCCTGACGTCAGGGGGCCATTCTGCTACAGGTGACAGCAGGAGTGGAGGTAGTACGTACGTACCGTGGTACGTAAACCGAAGTTCTAGTGGTTCACGTGCTCCAAAGCCACTGCCCAACTAGAAAATCCCCCAACGCGGCTGCTGCTGCTGATGATGATTGGCTATTGTCCTCATCACGCAGTCTCCATCAAGGGGGCGGCAGCTTCTAGTTTTTCAATTACCGCCGGACGCACCCATATATCCATCACGGAAGAGACATCAAGCAGTTGAAGATGTGCGCATTATTTTATTCTGATATTTCAATGAAGAAGGCTGGCCATTACCGAGTATCGTTGCTCAGTGTTTGCTCTGCGGACGTCCGGTCTCCCCTGGCACGATCGCCTATTGATGACCTGTCAAATCGAGTCCAGGAAGGGATGCTAGAGTCGGAAATCTGTCTACACTAGAGACTGTCACATGAGGAACTAGATGGAAACACGCCATCTTGAGCTTTCATGCCGTCAAAATATGGCCCTGAAGAGGCCCCTGTTATTGCCCTTTTGAGCGAAACGGAGAACCCGCAGGAGATTATCCCGTATATCGGCAGCTCCCCTGCTGAATCCCTGGCAATACGGTTGGAGTATCTGGCTGAGGTAAAGTCTCATCTAACCTCCCTTTAACGACCGCTAATTGAGTTTAGGGCGGAGCGAATGTGGTCTATCAGATCAGGACTGACCCTGTGAAATGGTCGAGGGCGGTCCTCCAGCGACCGTTGAGTGCGGTAAAAGGCCATAGGGATGCATCCACCTGCGAGCGGATCCAGGATGAAGTTCTTCGCCTTCGCAAGGCCCCAGGTTCTTCAAAGCAGTCCTATGTCTCCACAACTGCTGCCGAAGATTATCTTGAGGACGTGATCGCACCAAGTCTGGGCGGCCACGAGTGGCTCATTCCCTCCCGGAAGATCAGAGTCCACCCCCGGGTCATCTCGGCATGTAACAAAGAGCTGATTTTGCACCAAGCCTTGGGAAATCGTCCAGACAGCCGAGAGCATTCCATCCTGGAAGAATCTGAGCTATTTGGCCTACTCATGGAGGATATGTCAGGCATTCGCGGAAGCTCATTCACGATCCAATTCAAGCCGAAGTGGCTCTCGCATTCGCCGAACGCTTCCAAGTCGGCAAGGCGTTGCCGCACATGTGCACTAAGAGCAATGCGAGGCACTGAAGGCATGGCTCCGGTGGGAGAAGTGCAGTGTCCCAGGAACCTTGTTGGAGACCACCCCGATAATTCTCGCTTGGAGATCCTTCAAACCCTTCGAGCCAATGGCATCCCATGTGCAGAGTCGAAACTACGAGAGCGTCTTCCGGATGTACTGCAGGATCTGACGGAGTATTTCTACAGCGGAAAAGGTCGAACGATTCTTGACAAATTAGCCGCCTTGCAAGAGCAGCTGGATCCGCTCGGTATAGTCAAGCTCAGAGCTCAACCGGGCGGAATGTCCTCACAGCAGTTGAAAGACCTACAGCTGGCCATGACCTTTCGCGACTGTTCTGTATATGTCCGATACCACTGGGATAAAGGACTCGAGGGCATTGAAACTCGGGTCGGGGACTTGGATCCGAAAGTTGGGGAAAGCAAGCTCGACGAATGGCATGACATTGAGATGGGGTTGATTCAAGGCGGTTGGTATGATGGGATAGAAGAGCTGTCCCAAGGCCAGGCACAAGATACGAAATGCTCGCTCTGGAATCCTCCACAACCTTCCAAGAGGTACAGCGAACGGATTGATGAGTTGATGAAGGATTTCAACGCTGATTTGGAGGTGGCTTATAAGAGTCGGTCATCTGACGAGTGTTCCGACGGTTAATTTGCAACTTCAAATAATCGTCCAGCCAAAGCCTGCAGCTCCCTGTTCTCAACCTTACTCAGTGCGTTCGTGATGCCTTCAACACTCTCCAGTGACAGGCACGTACGAGGTCGCAGAAGATGCCGTCTCTCGTAGCATATAGATGATTCGCACGTTCCTCTTCGACCCACATTGGCAGAGTTGAGTGCGTGACATGCCAAGTGCCTCGAAGGAAATCTATTGAGGGAGCGGCAGTGTCTGTTTTCTGGCCTGGACACCGTACTGTGATGTCTATATCTGAAGCCATTGGTTCTAGGGGAGTCAAAATAGTCGCTGAAGAAGAATATCGGGATATGTGGATGAGGAGGTGAATCATAGTGTTTGAAGGTCGTCTTCAAGTGTGAGAAAGCACTCGAAATGTCCCTTGCGTTACTTATTGAGTGGCCACCTGTTTAGGCACATCGATACCGGTATACGCAAGCTATGCAACAATTCGGTTCGTTACTTCCAATTTCATTTTAGTTAAAGGATCAAACAACGCTTGATTCGTAATGGAATATTCGTATCTCATAATCTTCCTCATCCAAATACCCAGAGATCCGCGAGTGGTATAGGCAGCCTGCCAAACCATTGTTAAAACGCCGTTCAAATGCAGATTCGACGTCGAACTTCGCCATCATACGTCTAAAAAGGACGAGTCAATCCCGGCGTCCAGCCGATGCTCCTGAGCGCGGCGATCACTTCCTGGTCTTCGGGAAGATAGTCGTGTGCAACCTTCAGAAGTTTGCGGGCATCCTCGAGCTTTGCTTGCTCCTTCATGGCGACTCCTGTCCTGAAGTAGATTCTGCCAATGTCGCCAGCGGAGGGGAAGCCGATAAGGGGAGTGTCTTCATCGTCCTCCACACCCATCCGTTGCCTCATTATGTATATTGTCCTCATACCCCAGAATTCCGCTTCTTCGTACTCTTTCAGCGTCGAGTATGCGAGCACGACCTGCGAGACCAACTTCAGTCGGAGCATGATTCTGATCCACTCTCCATGTTGACCTTCGTAGGTGCCGGAGGCGAGCTGCTTGTCGAAAAATGCATCGCCCCAGATATGCCTACGGCGTCCTTTGCAGGTGATATGGATAGCGTAAAATGCTTTCTCGTAAATTTCGATTGCCTCTCGAGTTTTCCCGTCTTTCAGCACTTCGTCTCCGCGCTTCTTGAGCGCCACGGACTGCTCCAGACAGTCCTCCTGCGACACGTATGGTTTCATCATCTCTTGCCTCACTGCCTGTTCGATGCTCTTGTAAACCTCGCCCTGGAACTTGATCTCCGCCAGGCCGCGGACGGCCCCCAATGGGCTCAACAGCTTTTGCTGAAGCGCTTTTGGAACCGGAGCGTTCGCCTCCACCCCTCCCGTAGCATTGGGGTTTTGGAGGTGCACCGTAAGGTCCAGGTGTCCATTGAGACCCCCGGGGTTGGAGATATCGGAGTAGAACCAGATTCTGCAGAATGCAGATAGGTGCTCAAGAAGGATGACGACCTTGCAGGTCGGCATCTGGAACTCCATGCTGGGAGGAGGCTCGATGTGGGTTTCGATCCCCATGCGATGCCGCATCATATGGTTTTCGTACGCCGGACACCGAATCTCCAACCCAAGATGGTACCGTTGGAATCGTTCTGCCTTCTCCCCAACGCATATTAAGGGTATCAACCCTTGTTCCTCGATGTGATTTTGCGCCTCCTCCCATGGCGTTTCGACCCGAACGAATGTGTTTTTAGAGTAGAACAGTCGCGCGACTTCGTCCGAGACCGTTCGAGAAGTGAGGAGGAGATTGAGGAGGTTTTCGAAGTGATATGTTTCGCAATCATCGTGCGTCGGATGCGGTTGAATGTTGTCAGCGGGGTTCAACAGGTGTGAATAGATCTGAAGGCGGATTTCTGGAGGAAGACTCATGAAGTCAAATGGGTTGGAGAAAGCCATCGCGTCACCCATCATGAGCTATTGGGTTTATCGATGAGTTGATGATGAGGTATTTGTGTCATCAAGCCGCAACGAGGAGGGGACTGGACTTTCAACCATGCCTCTCTGCCGCTGCACCAGACGAGCGAAATTAGCCTTAGATATCCGGATCAAAGGATGTGAGAATGGTATTTTATCAGATTAAGGTTCAGCGGGTATAGTGTATACGATAAACGACGCACCCTAGGGTATAGGGAGCATGGAGTGCATGTGAGGACGATCAAGACCCCTTAACTAACTGAATCGATGATGGAGTAGTAATGCCTCGGGAGGTCGGATGCCAGCCTCGCTCACACTTCGGAGACGAGTAAAGTTTCTTGATCCAGGTAGTATTACCTATTAAAGGTGCCAATCGGATATCCCAAGACTCAAATCCTCGAGCTTCTGCATGTAGGTTCGGTTATTAATATAAACCTTCTGTTTGATCTAGGTTCAGGGAGAGTATGTCGGTCGTGTTCCAGACGTGAAAGTGAAACAGGGACTCCCTACACTCCTTACCCCATACTTCAAGCTGGAGGATACACACGACCAGCAAATGCTGACATTACAAGCTCGTTTAGAGACCTCTTACACGGCTTTACAACCTGATTATGTACAGTGAACTCGGCCGCTTAGCTGGCCAATCGTCGCGACGCTGATGACGTTCCCTGCGACGTGATCCTAATGCCCTCCTGCCAATCTTACTCGGATGAGGGGAGCGTGAAGGCTCCGTATGCGTCAAAAGTCCCTTCCCCTCTTACCGCCCACCTCTCGACCAACTTCGTCCATGTATCGTGAGGGATTTTCCTTTGCAACCCTCGAGCTCGACTTCCGACAAGGATGGCTGGTTTAGGTCCAAATAGAACAAAGGCCATCCGCATCCTCCGGTGTAGAATCTCATCCGGCTCCAACATAACGCTCCCCTTCGACGTAGACTCCGGATTTTTGCTCTCAACTAATTGCTGTATCAAACTGAGTCCTTGAACTTGCCCACTCACGTAACGATCGTGAGCTTCGCTCCTCGTCATCAGCCGCGGCCAGAGGCCTGGCCCTCGAGCGCCCCATGCCTTCTCCATCTCGAGGACTATCTCTTCTAGCTTGTATGCGTTCAATATTTTAAACCGAAAATTCAGTCGCCGAGACCGCCGGCCGATGCCAAAGATCCGCCACAGCGATGTGTTGACCCCTCGCCGTATTTCAACTGTGTTGACGACCACGCCGCGGTGTTGCTGGAGATCGGTCAGGACCTTGAGTCCTCCAGTGAACACGCTCGGATCGGGTCTTTGGATGACCTCCTGGATCATATCTTGTTCCATCCCCTTTCTGCGTTGGGCTTCCATCTCCGAAATAAGGACCCAGTCTACGTATTGGGGTGTCTCATGGCCCGCACTCTTTGCAGGACCGTTTGGGGAACCGGACTCCACGGAAATGGTATATCTCCCATTTTTGTAGGCCATGGCGCGACCATTCCAAGTCAGAACCCGCCGAATGCCGTCTTGAATGCCCCATGTTATCACGGCTTTCTGGAAGCTTTCGGAAAACAGTCGCCGCAAGGGATGACGAGGGTCAGACATTGTCAGCAGCGCTCGTGCCTTGACTTTCTCTCTTTGACTGCCTCTCCATCCTTTCGAATTAGACGTGGGTCGCGGAGCATACCAGTCCGCCAGCCAGCCGCAAAGCTTGCTAAGCTCCTCAAAATGGCCCAGGTGACCTAGCCGACGGAGCGGCTCGTGCCAACGCAACGGAGAGATACTATACCCACTTGTAATGAGCTTCTTCCAGATGCCCACGAGAGCAAATGCTTCCTCGTCCCGCGTAAATGGGCGTCGATTGGAAGTGAGAGGCTCCATATCGTCTTCAGGTCCGCCAGCGCGGCGACCCGGTAGCGCTGGGGGGGGATGTCGTCCACGACGCCAACGCAGACAATACTGACACAACATCGTCAAGGATGACCTATGTATGTGAATTCCTTCGGCTTCCATCCGTTCCAGCGTTTGATGGATGCGGACCACGTCCCGGTTAACGGCGTATTGCTTCAGAACCATGTTCCAGGCTTCGAGACTGGGATGCTGAGAGTTGAGCGTCAAGAATGTCAATACGGGTCTTGCACTCTCGAGATCTCCTCTGGAAAGACATTGTCGGAGCAGGTGTTCTTGAAGGCCGATATCGTCAAAGTTGCTGGGGTGCTGGTCACTGTTCAAGACAGCTTGCAACTCTTCTTCCCGCCCAGATGTTGCCAAATTCAGGATCATATGCGTGTAATGACTGGCTTCGATCGCAACGTTGGCCTCTGCCAGCTCCGTGAGATACTCCATGAATGTTTGTGAGTCGCCCGACCGCAGAGCGATCGCCCGTAATGCCGAAGTACCGATCAGAGGTAAAGAAAGCATGGAGAGGCCTTTCAAGATCACGTTAAGAGAGAATGCACGGGTAGCTAGAATTCGAGATAGAAGGTCGTCGGTAAGTGTTACACCCTCGTCTGTTTTATTTCGTAGAGTGAGTTTCGGGAGTCGTGATGGCGCGGAGTGTGGCATTGTCCCTTCGTCTTGGCTTTGCGTTTGTATCTTCGTTTCTTTAGCAACAGTCTCGCTCTGAATGTCTTGGACATAATAGCGTATGGAGGGATTGTTTTGGCGTGAATCGTTTCCCTTGAGCATTGCCTGCCATTCCAAGGCAAGGGTCATTCTGCCTTGATTACCCAAAGCGTCCAACACAAGGCCCTGGTACTTCCGATCGTTCAAGCGAAGGAAAATCCGCTTCAAACTCTGAAGAGACTCGGGTTTCGATACCGCATACCGCGCCATCGTTTGAAAGTCTTGCGTGGAAGCCAGTCCATGTCGGGCCAGCCGATGGTGCCAGTGAACCGGATCGCCGAACTGAGCAGGGTCTCGTATTGCATGAGTGACAATCTGACTATACAGCTTTCGATAGTTCAGGTGCCCTTTTCGCTTCCTTTCGGCGGCGTGTTGGAAGACTTCATCCACCAATTCCGGGTTCGCTATGAAGCAATTCCAGAGATAAGGTGCATCGTCACCCCCTTCCGGCAAATACAAGCCGTGGCTGCACAATTTTCTCCAAACCTCGATCACTCCTTGTCTCCCATGCGAGAGTTGTCTGTCCTGCAAAGCCAACACCCATGTTCCAAAATCATGCTCTGGTCGATAGTTCGGGGGTCGTCTTGAAGGTATCTGGACCGCGCTGGCTTCGCTATCCATCTTCACACGTCGGATTGGGGTAAAGCGAGCCGTCTCGCAGTTCGGCTGGGGGTTGGCATAATGTTCGAGATGGTGGACCGCATGGTGGGCAGCATCAGAAGATAACCGCGCTTCTGATGTTGAGAATTGCGCCTGTGTAATTGGCGGTGATTCTCTTGTGAAGGAAATGATCTGAGAGGCATGGATGGTAGCTCTATGCGCGTTGGAAGGAGGTCTTCGAACCGAAGAGCGGATGAGTGCCCATCTTGGCTTCATGAGCGAGCGGACGGGTTTGACATGGACTCCCGCACAAATTGGGGCCTTTGTGCGCGCACCTGTCAAGCCCTATCGCCGTAGGGTAGGAATTAATTAGTTCAAGGTTGAACCGATAGCAGTGTGAGGGAATTATTCCGGTTATCATCAGGAATTCCGCTGAACTCGAACATTTCGATGCTCAGATCCCAGTCCAAGGCTCATTTCTTATGTCACGTGGTGCCACCCCAGGGTATTTCGACTTCGTCTCCTATCTCTCGGGCTAACTGATGATCGACGCTGCATAAGTAGTTACCTGTACCTTGACTACCTACTCTGCCTAGCCCGCCAATGAAGCTTGAAGAAGGGAAGCATCATGGTGATACCAGATACGCAATCTTTGATAACGGCAGCCCCGCTAACCCCCCTATGGATAACCACAGGATTTGTCCCATCCGACTTCCGGGCTGGGTCGTTTTGAGGTATGGTTTCCCCAGATAAACCCGTCCAAAGCAGCTAACCTACCGATAACCTGTCGTGGAAGTGGAACGCATCAGGTATTACGTACTGGTATTGATTTGGACTATGTGCTTCTCGAGTCCAGCTTCGTCTCATAAAGTCAGATTCTCATTCCTCCAGCATCACTTTCCTTTTCGTCTAGTCTACTCATTCTGTGTTGATTCCTGTCATTTGATATTTCACCATTAGCGTTTGTCCAATCCTTATCACGCTCACCTTTCGCGAATCTCTCATCGTTCCTTCCAAATTATTATCCCTATAGATAGCAGCACTCACTTCCAGGCAGACGCTATGTCTGACAACAAATCCCCGTTCCAAGAAGGGATCGAGGAGGATGCGGTCCTCGAGCAGTTTGGGTACCAGCAGGGCAAGCAACTCGAGTTATATTAGCTAGCCAGTACTGACTTTCCCCAAGAGCTCAAACGCCACTTCTCCCTCCTTGGCATGGTAGGCTTCAGTTTCAGTATCGTCACGTCCTGGACCGCGCTCGGGGGCGTCCTGATCATCGGCGTGGAGTCGGGCGGGCCTCCCGTAATGATTTGGAGTTGGGTCGGCGTCTCGATCCTGAGTCTTGCTGTCGGATGTAGCCTGGCAGAGATGTGTAGCAAGTTTCCGCTTGCTGGCGGTCAGTACTCGTGGGTGGCAATTCTTGCCCCCAAATCAGTAGCTAAAGTGATGAGCTACATTTGCGGTTGGTTCATGTTGATCGGTATGGAATTCTTCCACGGGATGTTCCCGCAAGCCAATGATGCCAGTGCCGCTGACCAGATCCACGTCTAGGCATCCTTGCCATGGGGGCGGTCAACAACTTTGTTGGCGCGAACTTCATTCTGGGACTCGCCGCGTTGTTCAATGAAGGATACGTCATTGAAAGATGGCATACCGTTTTGTTAACCTGGCTCATTTGCATCTTTGCGGGGAGCGTTAATCTTTTCGCTACTCGGCTGCTGGACAAGATCTCCAAGTTCATCCTCGTCTGGAACATCTCCTCCTTCGTCATTGTCGTTATCACTATTCTCACGATGCAGAAAGACAAGCAACCAGCCTCCTTCGTCTTCACCGAGTTCCATAATAGTACAGGGTTCAATCCTGCCTTCGCTGCAATCATCGGTGTTGTCCAGGCACTCTTCGGCCTGGTCTGTTATGATGCACCTTCAAAGGTAAGTTAACAAGGGCAGGTTGTGGAACGTGAGCTAACTGGACGCATTATAGATGACCGAGGAGCTGATGGAACCGCGCCGTCAAGCCCCACATGCAATTATATGGTCCGTCTGTATTGGCGCATTCACCGGCTTCATCTTCTTGGTATCTCTATGCTTTTGCATGGGCGACATTGAAGCAACTGCCAATTCGGTCACCGGCTCTCCTTTGATTCAAATCTTTTACGATTCCACGGGCTCGAAGGCTGGCGCCGGCGGACTGACCAGTCTGATTGTGGTGATCGTCGTGTTCTGTGCGAACAGCTTGTTAGCGGAAGGTTCTCGAGCGGTCTGGGCATTTTCAAGGGACCGCGGGTTACCGTTCTCTGGCGTCTTCAGCCGAGTATCGAGTACCAGTAAAATCCCCGTGAACGCAATCCTTCTTACGATGGTAGTGCAAGCCGCGTTCAACGCCATTTACTTCGGAAACCTTACGGGCTTCGAAACGGTCATCACCATATCGACTGAAGGGTTCTGTATGTCTTGGGCTCATCTCTGACTCTAAATGCCTCCCTCGCTAACTGAATCAAAGATGTGTCATACGCCCTACCGATGATTGCGAGGCTCCTTTCAGTCGTTCTACACGGTACTCCCGAAGTAATTTTCGACGGACCTTTCCGGCTACCACGCGCCTTGAGTATCTTTCTCAATGTTGCCGCTCTCGTGTACGTCCTTTTTGGCGTCATCACGTTCAACCTCCCGACCGTTTCACCCGTGGATGCGGACAATATGAACTATACCCCTGCGGCTATCGGGGCCATAATGCTGATCGCCGGAGTAAACTGGTTTTGGCTGCAACGCGGCAAGCGGGAAGGATTCCGTGGCCCCGACGAAGGACGCGTTATGAGCGTAATCGAAGGCAGCGCCCTGGAACCATCGCAAGTGGTTGCATCGGACTCGGCTACGGAGCACAAAACTAAATGAGGGCATTGAGTTTTAGGAACAGTGAGCCTCAGTGGCTGACATAGCGTGTCGATAGCGTAGTATAGAACTATGCACATTGCACAAGCAATAACGGCAATGGTATGAAGATCATAATGTTATTGCTGATAGAGACCGACTGTTCATATGAACTAATCCCTTGGTGATGATATAGTAGACCGAGTGGTCATAACTCATAACTCCCGAACCATGAAACGCCATTCCATCCATCTGACCGACGACATAGCACCGACGACATAGCGTAGTAGCGCATCAGCCCCGTTATTCCCCCATGTGAATATGACAACCCTCCGTGACACCAACCCCCCGAAGCACAAGCATTGACCAGGATGCTAGAGGGTCTATCCACCGAAACCGTAGAGGGTACGGCCCTGTCGCTTTAAGGCGTACACGACGTCGAGGGAGGTGACGGTCTTGCGCTTGGCGTGCTCGGTGTAGGTGACGGCATCACGGATGACGCCTTCGAGGAACGATTTCAGAACCCCACGAGTCTCCTCATAGATCACTACACGATGTTAGTGGACGCGACGACGACCGATCAAGGGCGACATACTTGCGGAGATACGCTTGACACCGCCACGACGAGCAAGACGACGGATCGCAGGCTTAGTGATGCCCTGGATGTTGTCGCGCAAGATCTTGCGATGGCGCTTGGCACCGCCCTTTCCAAGGCCCTTTCCACCTTTGCCACCTGAGAATAGAGTTAATGGATTTCCAAACCGGATGCATCGTGAAGATGTAATAATTGTGTGATGTTGTATATGCAGTATGAAAAGTGCGACGCGTGGATAGGGTTCTATTGAAAAGAAATGCGTAGGTGGGGGTAAGACGCGATGCATATCGTGGGGGAGGGATGTGCAGGAACCGCAGCATCCATCTCGGTCACGATAGACAGGAATATCGACATCGACATGGAAATCAAGGGGTAGACGACGATATATGGGTAATTAAATGAGTTACTTACGTCCAGTCATGATGATTTAGTTAATAAAGCGTTTGATTTGATGGAAAATCGACGTGATTGATGAGATATTGATGGATTTGCAGTGGCGCGTGGATGTGAGATCGCGATGTTGGGGATGGAAATGGGAATGTAAAGGGAAGAAAAAGCGGTGGAAATGGGGGGAAAGAGCTTTATACGACAAGGGAGTGCGAGCGAGTGATGATGGATTGATCTCTGCAACACGGAAAGCCGTTCGCCTAGGCCGATTCAGGAAGGGAAGCAGGCAGACGGCTGAGCAGGAGGTGAATGATCAATAGAAGGGCCAATGCCAAGAGCAATATGGACTGTTTTGCATTTGCACTTGCCTCACCCAAAAATTGGGAGCAAAAGTTGCTTAGGAGTGTTGTGATTCCAGCATGTCTCAAGGGAAGCCGCGTGTTGGCCTGATTGGCCTGATTGGCTTAACTCCTGACTGTAAGCTAATCGAGGGGTTGATGACTGTTGATGTTGCGCCGGGTCGGAGGATCAAATTTCCGAAGAAGGCTATGCACGTGACATCTCATCAATCATTCAATCATCAAATCCATTCTCATGTCAACAAAAGATTCCGAAATACTTTGTAGGCTCACCATGCCAGTTCCTTCTCCGGAGTCCACTGGATTGGCTCAAATGCGGTCTGGGAATTCGGATTGAAGATTCGGGAACACTGGTCTTGATGCTCAGTTGCTGTCGCAGTATTAGTCATTCCTAAATTTCTCCTCCATACATTGGTGCATTTATGTTCTAATTCTCCTTTCCAGTGTTCCAACTCGAAGAAATATCAAACCAAGCGCATCAAGCTGAACGAATGGGTGTGAACTGCGGTCATCCAGCCCCGGTCCAGATCTGCGATTGGCGATGCTGTAGACGCCCGATGCAGCATCTAGCCTAGCCGACTGGCCCATTATCTCGCTCATGTCAATCATTCTTATATCAAATGCCTCTCTTGTCATCATTCGAGTCGTTCTCCTGTTTTTTGCGCTCTGTCTATAATAAAAAACTACTTGCGATGCCAATAATCTATATCAGCGTTGCCGAGGAAGACATTTCCTGTTGAATGGTCTACTACCTGATGCTATTACATTCAGGTTCCATTTTGAGGTTTCGATAGCAGGCATACTCTACAGACGTGGTGTAACTGAAGATGAGGACTGGTTGTAGAGCAAAAAGAAAGCCTCAAACTCCGCGTCGGGGTCCTGGTGCGTGGTATCAGTTCGTTCTGTCGATATGAAGCTCGCTTGCAAAATCAGCTTTTGCTCTGTAACACCAGTAAAATCTCGTCTGGAGAATTCCTCGGGGGCAACTGATAGCAGAGCTCGGAATGCATTATTTGTCCTCAAAGCGCGCCTAGATCCGGGAATGTCCGCCGTAAAGCCGTATTCATGTGCAAGTATTGACTAGAACCGAGAGAGCGGAATCATTTCACCTGCATTGAAACCGTCCCCATCCAGGCCAATTTATTATCAGCGAGTGCGTCACACAGCCACGCTCTAGATTGGTAACACAACTGCAATCGATGAGGTCATCATGCAGGGCATTTATTAGTTGCAGCAAGCTAAATATATGCCGATAAGTAACATGCTACATGCGCGACTTTTCCTGGGTAATATTAATCTAATAGCAGACAGTGTCTCTCTGTCCTAGAAATTAGCCAATTAGGTAGCTATGGAGGCGCATAATTCCAGTCGAATTCAGCATAGATCGGCCTTCCACTTAGACCTTTTATGTACACTTCTACAATCGTACATATTATTGCCGCACGTTCTCCATCCGGTACGACCACCACTTCGCGGCACCGTCAACCAAGAGTGCAAGCCCCCAAATCATCATCTTGTAAGATGAGACCGCGATCTGGCTCCCAACCTCCGATCTGACAGCATTCTGCCCACAAGGCACCACGTCACCGTCTCACACACACCGCCCTGAAACCCGCGGAGCATGCACCTGGTGAAGCACAACCCTGGGCTAACTGACCCAGTGCGCTTTCGATTCCGCCCGATGGGACTTCGTCACTTCCATGGACGAAGGGATTGTCCGAACCCAGAATGGCATGCTCAAGGATGCAAATCTTGTCGCAATTGGCGGCTCTTGCCCATTTTTGATTGGGCTTGCAAGTCCATGGCGTGGCTACCAATACAGGTTTTAAGGTTTCGTCATAGTCACATTGTGATGAAACGCATGAACGCCACCATCGCCCCGGCTCTTTTCGGTGTTGGCGGCTGCATGGTCAAGTTCCACTCGATAAATCAAGGTTGGACAGAAGGGTTTTGAGGGTTTCTGGAAAATTTGGTGCGAGAATCGAAGAACGTGTATAACCGTAAGCGAAGAAATTGGGACTCATTGTTTCAAAATGGTGCTCTCCTTTCAGAGAGCCATGGTTGGATTGATCTTGCGCTATATAACAAAAAAGGTGGCCATCGACCTTATCCAGCGCCAGCGCCGAAAGCGAGGCAGGGACATGTCCTCCCCGGGTAGTAATACATTGTAAAAGGAAATGTCCCGCCATATTTCCAAAAAGGTCGCGATGCTCTTATTAGCTCTCCTTATATTCCCGAGAGCTTGCCCTTCTTCCATCTAACGCCGGTGCCTTGCGTTCGGCATGCAAGCCATCAAACCCGGGGATATCTTTGTTCATCTCAGAGTCGTAAAAGTCGTACAAAGGTGCCGCTGCTCGCAAGAGAGCGGCACATGCCAGAGGGGTTGCCATAGTTGGCGCGCGCGTCTGACTATGATTGTCCCGAATTTGACGGTCGCTGAATTTGCGACAGGGAGGCGAAGGACGAAGTCATCGCGGAGTAGGAGGACGATGATGAGCCGGAGGATGGTGTGGATGACGCAGGGGCTGTGCGACCCGTGGAGAGGTTGAGGAGGAGGCAGGATTCGCAGCGGCCATTAGGAGAGTTGGACCGCCCGCGGCATCCCCGTTCGTAGTTTATACAGGAAAACATTATGTTTGGTGGAGTTCCTGTGGTCGTTGTGGAGGCTGTGGTGTAGCAGAGTCGAGGACCAGAGAATGCGCCAGGATCTTCGGGGACTGTGGATCTGGGTGTTGGTGGAGCCCGTGGACGTCCTTGATGAGGTATTGATTAACTGATGATCGGGTCTAGGAATCCAAGGGTGAATCTCTGTGTTTTGACTCCGAAATCTCGGTGGAGGCGATGGGGGAATTTAAGAATCCGATGGGTCTTGGACGTGGGCAGATCGGCATATGATGGAAATATAATGATGCAATCGGTGGGTGCACAACTGTGCCAACCGCTTTGGAATTGTTGTCCGATGATGTAGGGGCGCTTTAAGACAGCCGTCAAGCCGTCAAGCGAACCCAGTAAGCCACCGACTCACAACAGCTTGCTGTCCGGCAGCAGGTTTGGAGGGATTTAGCGGAAGTGGGGGTGGACGCTAAGACCGACGCGCAAGCAAGAAAACTGGACGAAGACTGGACGACGAGGGAGTGACGGAAGCGTGAAGGGACTGTAGAATGGTCTCTCGAATGCAAACTAAACTTATGCAAGTCGATGCAGGCGTCCAGCTTCCAGCGGTAACCGGCTTATTTGTATGCTGTCTAATTAGTATCTATGCTTCCCACCGCACGGAATTGAGGGTTTGACCCTCCCGCGGCTTGAGATTGCAGGTTGGAAAAATTGAAAGGGCGGACCCAGATGCAGGGCCTCTGTATCAACGGCGTCCAGATATTACTCCTTGGTAACTTCACAAGCCGTGTGCCAACAGGTCGCGCAAGAACGCAAGGGAGATAGCAGGTATCAGGATACGGGATGGATGATTGGTTCGCCGTTTCAGATTTTTTTGGCTTTCGGCCTTTTGTTTGCAGTTTCTCTCGGAGAGACGGGAGACTCGGGAGTGCCTAGCCTTGAAGATCCCCTGGAACTTGGAAGCCTGGAACTCTGGAAGCCTGGAACTTGGATAGATTAGGGGAACTCGGAACGATCGTCTCTAGTGCATCGCCGACTTTCTCTGGGCTTTGTGCGGTCTAGACGTCGAGATGAATCGAGATGCGAGGGATCGTCTCTCCAATGTGGGCCTTTGAACAGGCACGAGATCGGTCTGGCCGGTTGCGGTGGGTTTCAGCCTTTCGTGATTTGATTGATTGAACTCTTTGAAGAATGAAGACCGAAGTCGAAAATCCAACTGCCAACGTGCCTGGTTTCTTCAATGAATAATGGGACCAACTCCATTTTATCACTCGACGCCTGTTCTCTGTAGGCTGTGACTATTACTGGGGTACAACACCCGACTCCTTCGGCGTTCGGATATATCAAGTAAATGCCAAAGGATTATGAATAATGTGATCATACTGATACCTACGAGAGAATAAGCCGCACGGTCACCTTCAGTCATCCTATTACCACAACGGTACTCAGCGTCGTTACCACCGCATGCATATTAATCCATGAAGCAGAAATCCCTCAAATCCTAGCTGCACATTCAGACAATCTGTCGTCGGCATCGAGACAGACTGCTTCAAGGAGGAGTTCCTACTCAACCGAATACGATCCCAAGCGTTGCAGATTCGGGTTGGACAAAATCCTGTCCGATGTCCAGAAACCGCGGGTGGACCACAGCCCTTCCATTTCGCAACATCGAGACTTCAAAGAGCTTGCATTGAAATGAGATGGGATCGTCCCTTCGTGACATTTAATCCCCGAGACCGTCTTGGCCAACGGGGTTCTTTCATTCGCTCCCGCTTCTGTCGTCGTGCTGCAGCCTGCAAGGCCCTGTCGTGATTCCCGACAGTTGAGTAGGTAGGTAGCCTACTACATAATGTTGAGGTAAGATGCCATGCTGGGAGAGTATCTTTCAGGTCTGACCAGTGACCACTGAGTCACTGACCGACAATCGTGGTCGTGTGATAGTCTCTCGAAGGCCGTAATTGTAGAGTAAATACGCCATTGACCATTCAGAGCAGCTGTGTTAGCATTAAGATGTTCTGCAGGTCTTCCAACCTTTAAATATCACATCTCACTCACTCCAGGGGCTTTCGTCTACTATAGCCAACAAGGCCTAAGGAAGGTCCATTAATATCCAGAAGGGTTTCCTTAATAGTGTTCTGGAATCTATTGAGAAGCGAGATTCCTGCTCACAGATCTTTTCCGTATCAGTCACACTTTGTGGCATGTGGGCATGTGGATCATCTTCTAAGCGGTCTACGATTCTCGCAGATCCGATGTTCTAGCCTTCGAGACTGAGCCGATTGCAGGGAGGTTCAAGGTTCAGGACAAACTTTCAGCCTTGCTCACACAACATGATAACAGGCACATGCATCCTTCTGCGGCAATCGCGGAAGGCAACGGATAATTTAAACGTCGTCGCAGGGGTTTATATCTGAACTTATCCGCGAATAGCTTCACTACATCTCTTCGCTGTATCGTGCAGTGATGACTGATGACTGATGGGCGATGGGCCGCTACGAGCGACCTGCTCGGAGATTTACTACTATTTCTCCAATACTCGGGCTACACAACCGCAGCAGTGAACACCGAACTAGGGACCGCCCGAGAACTTTCTTTTGTCGCCGATCGTGCTCCCTTCGACGATTCCCGGACAGGAGATATATATGTGCTAGCTATTTGAGACCGAATCGCCTCCCGTCCGTTCAATATTCGAATCGTTCTAATATGAGACCTCCGAAAGAGATGGAACGTCGGGTTTTGACTCCTGACACCATGTACCCTCCCAAGTCCCAACCTTCTTTCTTGGGTCAGACACCCCGACTCAGACGATGCCCTGATACGAGAAGCTTGGAGCGGCATGCCGGGTGAATGAGAGCCCGGCAATCTTACTAATATTTCGCCTTTTTATTCATTTGAGCGATTTTCCAGAGGACTATCCCTGCTGTATTCGGTACCCCCAGTTCCAGCCTGCCCTCACCCCTCACGCCTCACGACCGAGTTCTTCAAGTTACGTGAGACGGGTGGAATGTGAAGACGAGGAAATACTTGTAACTCACATGGAGCCTCTTCCTATTAATATTTATCATTCCCCTCTTCTAGGTCGCTGCGATCAAGCTTAGCTTTTGGTTAAGCTACGGTGACCGGCATTTAACCACCGGGTAGTAACCCTCGGTGGGGTCGGTTCATTGAGCGAGCAGCAACCTGGATGCGTAAGAATGTCCAATACAAAGAATGGAGTGAGACATCAGACGATCAGAGGATGAAGAGACCAATGTTCCATCTATACGGAATACGTTGATCATTATTGATTCTTGAGCGTGGCAGTCTAGTATTATTAGGTACCTCAAGGTGACAAACTAACAATAGGCAGGTTGGAACTCGGCAGTGCCGCACTATTGCAGTTGCCGCGCTATTTTTACACATCCAGTGCAGGCTGAGGGTTTTAAATTTCAGAAATCGTGGTGAGAGACTCTCCGACCTGCCGTCCTGCCGAGCTGGAGACCCATCCGGAGAGGACTGGGGATTTTGGGTGGTTATTAGATCACGGGGCTGGGCAACGGGCTGGCAGTGGGCTGGACAGGCGCCGGTGGGCTGGCCGGGCTGGTGCTGTGTTGCTGGGGAGTGGGCGGGCACATGGGCGCCCAGGGAAGCTACTGAGTACACTGTAACCTCCACAATCTGGAGCCTGCACTACACGGCACACACACTTGCTCATGGCACTAGAGGCGGCGATCAGATCGTCCGGTGTCCCAGCAACATGAATAAACCCTGAGTCCCTCCCTGAGTCCCTGACCTCCTCTGCAACCACCTCTTCAAATCCCCACCACCGCCCGCTACGGGCAACCACCGCATTTCTCGGCCATCGCCAACTCGTCTGGTCAACTCGTCTGGTGAACTGTCAACTGTCAAATGTCAAACACTTCCCGAACAACTTTCGAACCGTCTATCTAATTCCCTAATCTTGAACCTTTTGGTTGCAAATTCCATCTTTACAAATGCGCTGTTCTTTCTTCGCCAACCAGTCACTCGAGACTGGTCTCGAATGAAAGACCCTGTTTGCTAATCCAACCGTAAACAATCCGAGTCGATCTCCTTGCGAGTTCCCTTGCGCTTGCAAATCTCGTTATCATCCACCGCGGCAGTATTCTATACACTCTTAATCTCATAATTCTTATGTGATCGGAGCCTTAGTGCTCGGAATCACAGGGCTCTCCTCAATCCTCACCCGCCCGTCGGTCATCGTGCCCTGCTGCCCTTGTTACTCGGCTGATCCCTCTATTTGTCCGAAACACCATGTCGCAAGATCCCCCTGCCGCCAACTTGGGCGGAGCATCTAACCAACATAATCCGCCAGCCCATCAAGAATACACAGAAACATATCGAGACGACGGTCCTCGCATCAATGAGCCGCACGACGCTCGCAGAGAACCCACCGACGACGACATGCGCCCGCTGCCACCGCAACATGGGCACGTTCCCCAGCAATCTCCATCATATCAACACCTACAATCGCAGCGCCAGTACGGGATAGCACCGGGATCAAATCCTGACGGATCTCAGAACCAGTGGCGACAACAGAGCCAATCTCGGAACCTCGCTCCAGGAGCCAGCGCTGGCGGATACCCAAAGCCACCGTCACCACAGCGGCAACCCAACCGCAGCCCACCACATGAATACGGTGCCGGTGGCTACTACGGATCGAACGGGCGAAACAATGCTGGCATGGCTGCCGCAGCCGCTGGTGGAGCAGGAGCTGGAGTAGCGATGGGCGGCCCGGACGCTCTTCGAGACATCGACAACTGGGGTAGATCGGGGAATGGAGTGAGCGGCACCGGTCTCCCACCGCACATGGACTATGATACGGACGGATTCTATGGAGAGGATCCCGCAATGTTTCGACCCAATGCATACTCTCAAGCATCAAATATGTCATCGGAGCCCCTCTCTGGGGCGGCGACTGGCCCGGGTATGGGAAGTCCAGGCCCCGGACCCAGACCTGGGCCTGGACCGGGCCCCTCTTATCCTTATCAGTACGATGGACATTCTCAAGATCAAATCTATAATGCTCGCCCTATTGGATACTCGGACAATCCGTATCGGCATTCCAGTTACCTGGACCCTCGGACCGCCGAAATGGGAGGCATCGATCCAACGTCGATCGAAGACGACGGAGACGACGGTCTACAACACGCCAACCCTGCTCGACGGTCGGTTCTGAGCCTTGGAAGATCGAGACAGAGCCCCGCTACTAGCGGTCTGGTTGCAACCGGAGCAGCCGGTGCCGCTGCGGGCGGTGTGCTGGCCGCATCCAAGGCTCATGATGGAAGCGGAGGTCAGGGGCCCGAGACACCGGGCGAAGCCGCCGAAAAGAGCGAGTGGCTCTCCCAGCAGCAGGCGGGCAAGAAGAAGCAACGATGGATCATTACCGTGGTTGTGGTCCTGGTCATTCTGGCCATCATCGCCGGTGCTGTTGTGGGTGGCATTCTGGGCTCCCAGAAGGCCAATAAAAATAAGGACCCCGCCTCAGATGGTGGGACGAATGGACAAACAGCAGCCGAAGACGACGCCAGCGGGGACCTGTCCAAAGACTCCAAGGAGATCAAGGCGCTCCTCAATAATCCAGACCTCCACAGAGTGTTCCCTGGGATGGATTACACTCCGCTGAACTCCCAATACCCGGACTGCCTAGTCAACCCGCCCAGCCAAAACAACGTGACGCGCGACGTGGCCGTCCTCTCCCAACTCAGTAATAAGCTGCGCATGTATGGGACTGACTGCAACCAAACCCAGTTAGTCCTCCATGCCATCGATCGGCTGGCGCTCAAAGATATGAAGGTGTGGCTCGGAGTCTGGCTCGACACTAATCAAACCACAAACGACCGCCAAATGTCTCAAATGTGGGATATTCTCGACGAGTACGGCGATGACCCGTTCGAAGGTCTCGTGGTCGGAAACGAGATTTTGTTCCGGAAAGACATGACCGAGTCTCAGCTCGGCTTATTCTTGCAGAACGTCAAATCCAACCTCACCTCCAAAGGCGTCAAGCTCCCCCTCGCCACGTCCGACCTAGGGTCGTCGTGGACCACTACCCTGGCCACCTACGTGGACGTCATCATGTCAAACATCCATCCGTTCTTCGGCGGCGTCGCCATCGACGTGGCCGCGTCCTGGACCTGGACGTTCTGGCAGGAGAACGACATCCCCGCGTCCGCCGGCACGAACAAGCGGCAGATCATCTCCGAAGTCGGCTGGCCCAGCGAAGGCGGGAACGACTGCGCCCCCAACCCGAAGTGCTCCAGCCCAACGGCCGGGGCTGTGGCGGGCATTCCCGAGATGAATCAGTTCATGAACGACTGGGTGTGTCAGGCGCTCAAGAACGGCACAGAGTATTATTGGTATGTTGCGATGTCATCCTGACTTGCAGAAGCGTGACCGCTGACCCAGCCCGCAGGTTCGAAGCGTTCGACGAGCCGTGGAAAATTCGATTCAACACCGAAGACCAGCAGTGGGAGGATAAATGGGGTCTGATGGACGTCAACCGAAACCTGAAGCCAGGAGTCAAGATCCCCGATTGCGGTGGACAGACGGTATAGTCCTGGGCGAGGATCGGTTTGCGTCACGGTTTCATGATTTTTGCACGGCACAGTCACAGAAAAGTTGGATATGTCGAGTTCCGTGCGCCGGGTTTGGGAGCGCATTGTATATTATTCATTCGCAGGCGTCTTGGGGATACCATCAGGGCAACGAGCGGGCTTTTTCAAGCGAAATGGGTGCGTCGGATTTGTCTTTGCAGAACCGACGGGCAGTATTTTACCTGGATGGTCCAACTGCAGGGGGGAAGCACTCCTTTGCTCGCCGGCATTGCGGGCATCTACTCAGCATCTACTAGGTTTTAATATGAGGTATGGACAGCGATAAGCATGTCCAGAAGGAACCATGCGATAGACCCAATGCTCTGTTTGTAAGTGATGGGTAAGCTGCCTGGTCCTGTACTGGATACGACTGGCTCAAGGGCCATGGCTCAATCATGCTGTGCATCTGCAGTGACCTTGATGAGATGGTGCTACCTGCGCAGCCATGGTGGTACGCATGCATCGATCGACGCTGCATCGCCCGGATTCATGTCAGAGGAAAGCAGTGGAGGACTGCTCGAACTGAAACAGTGGCGGAAACGGCAGCAGAGAGGGACGGGAAGGCAGTTGTGGCTCAACCCTCAGCCACATATTACAGCCACAGTCGATCCTCCGCTCCTGCTTTCAATGGAGGCCGGGGTTGACAGGGGCATATCAAACCAGGGACCCTGATTGGACCCTTGACGCCTGCCCCCTTGGCGTCATCAATCCAGCCGCTCCACTGTCTCCGGCAATGCTATCAGTTGACACCACTCCCCAGAAGCAGTCCGATCGTTAGTGACACTGCCCTCTCAACCAACTTCAAGTCGCTTTGTTCTTGCAAAGCTGGAGCCTGATGGTCGCTATCAAACCGGGCCTTTATCTTTGAATCCCCTGATCTTTCTTGTTTGTTGTCCTCATCGCTGTGCCGGACTGATAGAGTTGATATTGCGACCTTAGTTGAGGGGCATCGCATCCATACGACTGATACGAGTCACTTGGACTCTACCGCCATCATGGCCTCCAAATCACTCATCCCGTTCCTCGTGGGGATGATGCTACTCACGGGCGTGTGTAATACTCTGCTCACTAAGTATCAGGTTCGTAAAGGAATCCGGGTTGGGCGTTCCTAGGCATCTTGCTAACTCGCCCCTCGAACAGGACAATCAATGCGTCCGGAACTGCGACTCCCCCGATCCTATGGAACGCGAAACCTTCCGGCAGCCCGTTCTCCAGACCGCCCAGATGTTCGTCGGCGAGATGGGCTCCTGTCTCATCATTCTCTGCGGCCAGATCTACAAGAGCTACCAAGCCCGGAAGAGCTCCGGCTACGACCCGGTTCCCCAATCCGATGCCACCGACGATGATGTAGACACGCCGGCGGCACCGAACGGTAGCGAATCAGAAGGACCGCCCAGGAAACCGCTGGGTGCCGCCCATCCGGAACGGATCCCGCTTAGCGGATATAAGGTCGTCTACCTTGCCTTACCGGCATGCTGCGATATCGCGGGGACGACACTCATGAACGGCGGCCTGTTGTTCGTCGCGGCGAGCATCTATCAAATGACGAGAGGCGCCCTGGTTCTATTCGTCGGGTTGTTCAGCGTGATTTTCCTCAAGCGCCACCTTCACCTGTACAAGTGGTTCGCACTCTTCATCGTCGTCACCGGTGTCGCTGTCGTCGGACTCGCAGGCGTGGTCGAGGGTCGAGAAACGCTGCTGCCCCCTGGCGAAGAGGCGTCGACGCTGGGTGCCGTGGCATACGGTGCAAAGGCTATCGTCCGGGGCACTGTCGACGAGATTCGGGAAGTGGAGTTGTCGGTCGCGGTCAAAACCATCCTCGGGGTTCTCTGCATTGCCTTCGCGCAGGTCTTCACGGCCACTCAGTTTGTGGTGGAAGAGCGACTCATGGAGAAGTACTCGGTCGATCCGCTTACGGCGGTGGGGTGGGAGGGCATCTGGGGGTTCTCGGTGACGGTCATCGGCATGATTATTCTGCATGCTGCGTATGGGAGCACGGCTGCGGGGCAATATGGCTACTTTGACGCTCAGGAGGGACTCAAAGAGCTGTTTGGAAACCGAGCGATTGGCATTAGCAGCATTCTGATCATGATCTCCATTTGGTAAGTGGCGACCGTTGCTACGCCAGCGTTAGTTTTACATGTGCTAACCTTGGCTTCCAGTGGTTTCAATTTTTTCGGCCTCAGCTTGACAAGGAGTGTCTCAGCAACATCTCGGTCCATAGTCGACACGTGCAGGACATTGTTTATCTGGATGGTGTCGCTCGGCCTTGGCTGGGAGAGTTTCAAGTGGCTTCAGGTTCTGGGCTTCGCGATGCTGGTGTACGGAACCTTCCTTTTCAACGACTTGGTTCGGCCGCCTCTAGCAGCCTGTATCCCAAGCGAGGACGGCGAGACCGAGCCACTGCTACCCGAGACACCTATTGAGCATAATTGATCCGGGTGCATTATGCATAATGTGGCGTATTTTAGGACATGCAGTCAGTTTGGTATTTAAGTCATCGTTGGGTATTGTGTGCGGTTCTGCTCTTATGATTATATGCAGTCCGGTGTTTTGAGCAGGCGAGAAATTTCTATAGACCAATGGCAGCCTAGAAAAGGATCTTATCCAAGATCCATCAGCCATACAAATCTCGTACGGCAAATGTCACCGAGACCATTTCTCCTCGCAGTCAGGCTATCTAAAAGCCTCATTTCGAGTTACCGCCAAGAATGTCAAGCTCCACCTAATGGCAGTTAGTCTATGTCCTATAGTTGTACACAACGAACCTACAATTGGCGGATATTTGACTCGGTAGGATTGGAGCCTGGTGGAGGAGGAAGGGCCCCCAGTGGAGTCAGCTTGTACCCCCCATCATACACCCAACTCCACACCTCGCTTCCCAGTGCGGCCCTATTCGCCTCGAGGATGTCCCAAAGGTGATTATATGCTTCGCGGACATGATCATAGATGCTTGGGTCGGCGCAAAAGCCGGGGTTTGACTCGCCGTCGCAACGACCGAGTTGTCGTTCCAGTCCCTTGGCAAGCATGGCGAGTTGCCACCCCCAAACAACCGTCCCATGGTATGAGTTGTTCGTAAAGTTTGCCGTATACCTGTAAATCGTAAGAGGAGAGGAGGCGATTCTTAGGCGAAATACTTACACCGGATCCCCTCCATAGGCTGGGTTGGCCACGAGAATCCCCACTGAGGTTGACAATCCTACCGGGAATGGCTGCAAAACATGGGCAGCGGTCTGGTTCAAAAAGTGGCTCAGCTGCGTTTGGTCGGTAGTGTTCAAGAAGAATAGACGGAAACAGTCGTCGCTATTCATGACCTTTACAATCGACCGGTTGTAGTTCCCGTCTAAAGCAAGGCCATGGTACACAACATCGGATACGATGCCGTCACTCTCCGAGGGACCTGAAAAGCCAGACTCAGAGACATATGCGTCGACCAAGTCTCGAGCTTCGTCTGCTGGAACTGTGACCTACAAAGGTGTTAGGTTCCTTTCAGTAGCGAGGGAGGTGCGCTGACCTTGAAGAATTGAAGCGTGTTATCCTCCCATGTCTGAGCAAAGGAACCGGCGGTTTTCTCCCATTCAGGATGAGTGGGAAAAAGTCCGACAGCTGAGAGCGCTTGGATTGCCCGTAACGCGGCGGGAACAAGAGCAACATTTACATCATACGGGATTCGTCCGCCGCCAATACCGTACGTACTGTCTCGCCACTCACCAACGACCTATCCTGCATTAACGTGGAAAGGATGGGGCAACGTCGCTTCAAATACCTGGTCTTCCTTCAAACGTATCAAATTGCCCTTCACTTGTCCTCTGTCTGAGGCGAATGGAGCCGAAGTATTCATGATCCGCTCCGCCGTCACCAGCGCCAAATCCGCATATGCTAGTCCCTCGTTATCCGGGTTGATACTGGCTTGCGTGCTGAAGAATGCCTCGGAGCGCTGCCTTCCAGTCTCCGCGTCGAGGAAATAATTCTTCATAAGGACAGGAAGAAAGTATTCCGTGTCAACTGTGAGAGAATTAGGGTCTGTTTAAATTCTCGTTGGCTTGGAAGAAAGGTCAACTTACCCATCTTGTAATCGTACTGTGGTGCGGTCGAGGTTTCGTTGTTCTGGATACTCAAATACGTAGCGTGGTCTCCGATTGTTTCTTCATGGGCTACAGTACCATCGGTACGATTAATCCGCTCCAAGACGGCTTCGATCACAGCCTCGATAGCGCTGCCTTCGCCTTCACTTAATATCGGCTGAAGAAGCAGAGCCGATATCATACTATCCCGACCAAAATATGTCAGAAAGCGCCACGCCCCGGCGAGAAGCTTGTCCTTGTATGACAGGAATGACAACGAAGCCGTTTCATCGGGATTCTGAGAGATGAGGTCTCTTGCAACGGGGTTCAAAACTTCCTGAGAGCTGAGCTGCTCCAGCTGCGGGTAGTTAAAAGAAGCATTGAAGACATATGTGCCGGCTGCGAAGCGGACCGTCTGATTCCCGATCTCAGGTCGGGAGTCCACGTCTCCAGCAGCCGCGAACGATAGGCGTGTCTCTGTCTCATTATCGAACCACGTCCTTTGGATCAACGCGACACCGGAATCGTCAACGGAAAATGCAGTCGCATTCTGGATCAGTGGTTCAAGAATACTAGGACCTTCTGTAAAGTCTCGGATGTTCCTTATACTGCCGAGGATTGCGACTGACAACAATGCAGAACCATTTAACTGGAGCAATCCCGAGATGCCGACATATGGGTTGGGTGAGCGGCCTTCTTCATAGATCCCTTGAAGCGGCTGCTGAACGGACGAGAAGTTTGCGAGGCTGATTCCCAACGTCCCGTTTAGTCCATTCTCTGGTTCGAAGAAGGACACGATCCCGCTATTTCCGGCAGGCCAGGCAACCTTGGGCAGAGGTTAGTGTCTGGTAAAAGCTCATCAACTAGAGGCTTACGAGGAGGCGCGGTCCAATTATGGTCAGATTGCTATCCGGTGCGGGACTAGTCACCACCACTTGACCTGCCGAGTGGCAATCGGAATAAAAGAAGTTCTCGTATGGCGGATCACTGAGATGCAAAGTCGACGCCGGATCTGCGCAATTCAGGACGCTCGGTTCTCCGTCTCGACTCTGTAGCGCTGTTGTGCCTGTTGACTGACTCGCGAACACAGGCCATAAATACAACCAGGATAAACTTTTGAAGAGCATGACGATAGAAGCTACAAGTAAGTGAGATTTCGACGAAAAATATGAACCTCTCCCTTAGCTTTGAGACGGATGAGATCTACAGTGGTTGCAGTCCGTGGATCTACTACAGTACTTATGGCGAATCTTGGAGAATCAACTGGCGATAATCGGCAGTCATTCGGCTTGCGATCCTGTTCAACCGCGCAGGATCTCCACGCCTACTACGTATAACGTACCGTAGGATTATTATGGATGCTTCCTATAATCAGCGATGCGGAGAAGCCGACGGAAATGACAGGCCTAGACGGGAGACGTTGAAATAACAACGGTGCGGAGAAAGCTCCACGGCCTCTGGGCTCAAGATGGTGGGGTTGCATTTCCTTGTTGCAATGTTGCTACTTAATACTTCGTGCCGATCAGATACATTTATGTACTCGTTAGTCGTCTAGACTCACTAGAGACAAAGCGTTCGGGAACCATAATGTCGAGCACGCATAGTCTTTGAGACGGCTCACAGCTCACCTCGAGGCTCGAGCTGATTTAACAAGTGCTGAATCATCGTTTCGTGTTCGAAGTTGGAGCTCAAGGAAAACCACGTGGTTTGGATGGCACGTGAGTCTCCTATTTACAGCGTGATATTTTCCCCTTCATAATCTTCCGTCCTGTTTCTTTGGTTGACAATGGATTTGGATTGTAGGATCTGCGTACACTCATCTCGGGCAGGATACCCCCTTGCCTGAAGGGATTATTGATTTCGATTTTGGGATGCGGCAAAGTTCTCTTGTGTGGATTTGATGGTTGATAATAAGCAGAGGCTCCCGCATGCCGCATCTGCCGCTGCCGCTGCCTTCGAAGTTCGATATTGATTCGCAATGAGGATAATTCAGTACTCTTAAGACGTAAAGTCCGGGTCTCTAGAACCGGCAGTTGAGTAAGCTATCCCAGTGGCCATAGGTCAATCCTGAAGATGATGAGGTGCACACTCTCATGTTGCACGCAAGCAAGCATGTCATCGTCAAGCTAACGAGAAGAGTCTTTATTGGAATGGCTTCTCAAGATGACGAATCCGTTGATGAGATTCTGAAAAGCCTTTCAATTATGACATCAAATCTCTGGCGGGAGAGATCTATATAACCCAACCGCCTGTCGAGATGGGGTCGAAAGTCTCGATATATCACGCACAAACCATTCATCAGTTAACAAGCATTTCAAATACACAACCATGGCTCGCGCAGCAGAAGCTTACGGTGACCTTCATCGAGACTATGTCGATGACAAGAACTCGGCATCCTATGATACCATTTACACCACAAGCAATGGTGCTCCCTACCCCCACCATATGAGGCTCAGCGGGCCGGTGATAACGGTCCTTTGCTCCTCCAAGACTTCCATCTTATCGATCTTCTGTCTCATTTCGACCGCGAGCGCATACCGGAGCGTGTAGTGCACGCCAAAGGTTCAGGTGCCCATGGATATTACAAGACTACCGATTCCCCCGAGGACCTCTCCATTGCGGACTTGTTCAAGAGTGACAAGGAATGCCCTATCACCATCCGTTTCTCAACCGTTGGGGGCGAGAAAGGCAGCCATGATTGCGCTCGCGACCCTCGCGGGTTCTCCATAAAGTTCAAGACGGAAGAGGGAAACTGGGATATAGTGATGAACAACACTCCTGTGTTCTTCATCCGAGACCCACTTCATACATACCCAGAAGCGGAACCCGGTTACAAACCTGGGCGGTGCTGATGATACCACCATGTTCTGGGATTATCTCTCCCACAACCCCGAATCGATCCACCAGGTCATGATCCTCATGGGGGACCGCGGCATTCCGGACGGATACCGGTTCATGCATGGCTATTCAGGGCATACCATGAAGCTCATCAAGGAGGATGGCAGCTGGGTGTATGCCCAGTTCCACATGCGGTCGAAGCAAGGCACAAAGTTCCTCACTCAGGAGGAATATACGACAAAGTCTCCAGATTATAGCCAGAAGGATCTCTACTACGCCATTGAGAATGGTGATTATCCGGGCTGGGACCTCTGTGTCCAGACCATGACACCGCTGCAGGCTGAGGAGGTATGGGAGCAGCAGAAGATCAACGTATTGGATCTCACACATATCTGGCCGCACAATCAGTTCCCACTCCGTAAGGTGGGTGAATTCTTCCTCATCGAGAACGCGAAGAACTACTTCGCCGAAATCGAGCAAGCGGCATTCTCCCCAAGCCACCTTGTTCCTGGCATTGAGCCATCGGCCGACCCAGTCCTGCAAAGCCGCCTGTTCTCCTATCCTGACACTCAACGGCACCACCTGGGACCGAACTATCAACCACTTCCAGTCAACGCACCGCATGTGCCATACCGAATGGCAAACTTTCAGCGGGACGGCCCGATGGCTTTCTACAACCAAGGTGCCCGTCCGGGCTACCTTTCGTCTATTGAACCGATCTCGTTCAAGGACAGGGCGGTGGACCTTAACACCACTCATGGACACTTCATCGGGAAAGCTGTCAGCTTTTTATCCGAGATCCGTCCTGAAGACTTCAACGGCCCGCGTGCCTTGTGGGAGAAGGTGTTCGACGCAGGCGCTAAGGAGCGTTTCGTCTCCAACGTCGCAGGACATCTAGCTCGATGCCAAAATCAGGAGACAATTAAACGCCAGATTGCCATTTTTTGCGAAGTCAGCGACGATCTTGCGTTGCGGCTGGAAAAGGCTACGGGTGTTAGGGGCTATGATGGGATCTCAGGCCTGAGATTCAATGGAACGCACAACGGTATGGCGAAGGATAAAGCGAACCGTTTTGCGAATGGCCAGACCTCGCTAGTGAGTGTGGACAGTAACGGCAGTCCCGTTGCTGGAACACATGAAGGTGTGCTGACAAGCTGAATGCCATATCGAACGGTGACTAAACCTGACGAAGGGATCGCTTCGGTGTGTGGGACGTGGCCATGTATACTTATGTATCCCTTTGATTTATTTTACACTTCAATGTTAGCCCTAGCTAAAGCTATTGTTGGTGCCCTCTGATGATCTGATGTCCTATTTGAGTGTTTTCCTATGCTTTGCATTGAACATGCTGCAGAGTCGGCTCAGGGGTGGTAAGGAGGTGTTGTCACAAGCACCCGAACACTATTAGGATGTGAAGAACAAAGGAATAGGGAGCTGAAAACACATTCCACCGTGAATGCCTTACTTTAATCCACAATAATTATCTGTATCGTGTTGTGATCGATTGTTGGTATGCAGATCCATGGGCACATTTGGCCGCTCCAACCTGCTGATTGCTCTAGGACTGCTTCCGTCATAAATTCTCCTAGGAACCGCAGAACACCGCATTCGACGTCAACAGGCGCATCTTCTTTTCTATACGTACTATATTACCGGTGTTCGCTTTGCTCATCTGGCAAGACCTGTTGTCTTTCTCTTCATTTTAGTTTCCGCGACACAGGTCACCTTGAGCTACACACCATCCAAGCGCATCGTGGGGCCTTGATATCTCCAGTGGCGGTGATCGCTCTGAACTGAACCCGTTCTCCTTCATCGGTGTTCAACGTAACTCTCCAGACTCGAAATTCGCCATTGAAATTTGCCGCACTATTTGCTATTCGATCGGACCTTTGACACGAACAGCCAGGTGTTCGGTGCTCCATACGTTCTACAAAGTCGTGCTTCTGACGTCCGCTCCAAAACCAATTCTCTCCGTCGCTCCAAACATAATACCGACGGTAACCACAATGACTACTGCTACAGGTATGCATCCGTTTGCTTTATATACGAACCACGGCTCACTATATATGACAGAGACTACGAAAGTCGTCCCCCTCACCTGCCATGGGCACTCGCGCCCAATCACTCATTTGAGCTTCTCCTCCACAGTTGACGACGATCAATTCTACCTTGTCTCGGCCTGCAAGGACAACAATCCCATGCTCCGCGATGGCATAACCGGTGACTGGATTGGCACCTTTATCGGGCACAAGGGCGCCGTATGGCAAACGCGCCTCTCTTCCGACGCAACTCTAGCAGCGACCGGTTCCGCCGACTTCTCCGCGAAAGTTTGGGACACGCACACCGGCGAAGCGCTGTGCACCCTACAACACAACCATATCGTTCGCAGCGTGGCATTTCCGAACCAGCCGCGCCCTCAGATACTTGCGACGGGCGGGATGGAGAAAAAGCTGCGTATCTTCGATGTTTCGCAATCTATCACGAGCACGAATAACACGAATGGAAATGGCGCGAATGGGTTGAACGGGGCATCAGCGCATGAGGCGACCCCGCCAAGTTATGAGATTGGACCCGGCATACATGGCGGGACGATCAAGTCAATTGTCTGGACGCATGATCCGAACGTACTAGTAACGGCCGCGGATGACAAGATGATCCGATGGTGGGACTTGCGGTCGCGAGGACCCATTAGTGAATACCAAGTCGATGGGCTTATCGGAAGTTGTGAGCTTAGTCCTGGATCGTTGGACAGCCGCGAGGGTGCAGGCGTCTTGAGCGTGGCGGCTGGCAAGACTGTCTACTTTTTTGAGGGAGGGCAGCCGGGGACCTTGATAAAGAAGCTGGATTTAGGACATGAAGTTGCATGTGTGGCACTGAATACGCAGCAGCGGAAGTTCGTCACGGGAGCAACGGGAGATACCTGGGTTCGAGTGTGGGATTTTGACGCGGGTACTGAGTTGGGTATGTGTCTTTCGCCAGGCGCGTCCAAATAGGGTTCAAACTGCTGACGTTCATAGAAACTGGTAAAGGGCACCATGGACCGATCTGGTCGGTCAGCTTCTCTCCCGATGGAAAGCTCTATGCCACCGGTAGCGAAGACGGGACGATCAAGCTCTGGAAGTTCACTACCGGACCACACGGCTTGTGGAGATGATAGGAAGCGGATGATTATTTCGGTTGACCTGGGCTAGAATTGTCCTCCATATCTGGCCAAGCGAATGACTGGCGGAAAGACTATAGGACAGTAAAGAGAAGTATCATAACGCGCCCTCGACAGCGAGATCCCAGGGAAAGGTCACCGAACCCCACAGGGCGCCATAAATGGCGATCTATGGATCCAGTGAGCGTACCTCAGTAGGGAGGATATGGAATCGCATTCGTCGGATTTGCTCATATTCGGGTATTGTGCAGTTCGACGACAAGGAAATCTGAGTTTGATAAATTCAGGGGTCACTTGAAAAAGCAGATAGCTAGGTAGGTCAGTTGCGAGCTTCAAGTTCAACAACCTATCACGATTCAATACTAAACTTCTTCACAGCTCATATCTAAATGTTATCGCCCTATCACCGAGTGCGCTCAGCTCTTCCGGCGTGTATCCGTTGTGTAATCCTTCCGCCATTTGCCTCTCTCGTTTCCGGTTGATGCGGCGATAGTTGAGAACCAGAATTACTGTCGCAACAAGGCCCATGAAAATGAAGGCAAGTTCTAGTGCATGGCCTAGGAAATACCTCGGCCCGTCGGTGCCCCGGTAGAAATTGGACGCCATTGCTATCAGTTGAGTCAGAGTCTGTTTGATCCGGTCGATTATCTATGGACTTACCCCCTCCTAGGTTACCAACACCAATCTGGATGGCCATGCCGACCGCACGCTTTGAGCTTCCAGCGAGGTTGTTGCTGAGCCAACTAATAAGTGTCGGGAAGGCTGGATAAATCGTGCATGCTGCAATGAAGACACCAGCGTACACAACGCCAGGGGTAGAGGTCGAAATACACCTATTCTCAGTCAGAAATCGATCGCGCCGCAAGATCCGGTACACCCACATAATAAAGCCCACCGCCATGATACACAGGAGTGGGAATATGAACACAGATCGTCTGCCGTGGTGGTCGGCAGCATATGCTATCCCAATGGCCAGGATCGCCGCAGTGATGTATATCGGGACAGTTAAAAGCTGGGCAGTCGAAGAAGTATACCCCAGGCCTTTGATAATGGTCGGAAGGAAGAGACTGATGCCGTATAGTGGACAGACAATACCCCAATAGACGAAGATGTTCACCCAAATCTGCCAATCGCGGAAGGCATCCCCTACGTACTTCCACTGGAACTCATCCGTTTGAGCCGTGAGACGGCCGTCAGGCCCAGCGACCTGCCCTTGATATTTGAGTCGATAGACCACAAATGCTCGTTCTTCTGCGGTTAGGAACGTGGCGGTTTCTGGAAAATCGTAGAGGAGAAAGAAGGCGATCACAGCAACCACGACCGTCGCAATCCCTTCGAGAATGAAAATCCACCGCCATCCTTCGAGTCCGGCTATGCCGTGCATCTTGGCGATGGCGTAGGCAAGGAGGCCGGAGAATGCGCCCGCAATGCTTGCGGCGCTGAAGAAGAGTGCTTGGCGGGTTTGCGCCTCGTGTCTACAATACCACATCGTTATGTAGTATGCCACTCCAGGGAAGAGCCCGGCCTCTGAGGATGACGTTAGATGCGGTGGCCGATCCAACTAGCGACAGTTACGTACCAGCGACACCGAGGAACAATCGACTCAGGAGGAGACCTGTGAAGTTCTGCACAAGCCCCATTAGGGTCATCACAATACCCCAAGCCACCACTAATTGAAATTAGCATGCTCCGAATAGTCCCTATAATATCATACAGGACTTACTAATTGCAGGAAGCCATATTGATGGTCTCATCTTCTTCAGAATCATGTTGCTCGGTACTTCGAAAGCGCAATATGTGAAGAAGAAGACCTATCAAGTGTTAACACCGCACGAGATACTAATTGTCTAGAACTCTTACCGTCAAAGTCCAGTTGTATTGCCCGTCAGTCATCTTAAGGTCTTCTTGAAGTCCCTGGATTTTGGCGTTGCCAATGTTCCCTCGATCGAGGAACGACAGCAGATAAAGGAGCGCCAGCATCGGGATGAGTCGCATATCCATCTTTCGGAGAATCTTCTTCTCGTCCAGGTGCGCGAATGACTCCCGCGTCACGCCCGGCGCCATCACCATAGCATCAATTTCCTTGACCAGGTCACTCCTTGTCTGGGGCCTCGCAGGTTTATCGCGTCCCACTTCAAATTTCTCGTTCGACTCCGCCGGAGACGAAGTGATTGCATTGTCAATCTTCATCGTAACAAGTGCTTGCGTGTATTGATTCTAGCGATATTCAAGAAGGGAAGAGGGGTAGGCCTACGGCATTTTATATACGAGCAAGTGGATCTGGGGTAGTCGTTAGTTCTCCAGGAATTCCTCGGTCAAGCCCTGGGGTACGACAATGGTGCGCGACTATTATGCGGAATTCACATGACCCCTGGTTGGAGCACTTCCGTAGAGCGTTTCGATGCAGTCCCCATGTTGCTAGACGCGGGAATCCAAGGCAGATCACTAAATCTAGTCCTGTTCGACGGATAGGATACTTCCTACTAAGTCCTTGCCCTGTACGTCAGTTGTCTGTTTGCCGGAGTCGATCCTCTCCCCATAACGCTCGCTGGTATGCCTTTGTGCCACTGTTGAGGAGCAGATGTCGGGGAGAAGTTGCTGGGTCCAGGCTGATATGGCGTCAACGGCGTCAGTCAAGCATTGCTTTGCTTCGGTGCCAAGTTAGGGAAGGTGAGGTACCGGGGGACCTGCAAAACTGCCATTGAACCAATCGGTTCTGTCGCTCAGCCTTCAGGTCCCTTTGGCAAATGTCTACATGGATGGTAAGGTCATCCTGTTGATGGAATAATTAAGCTTGGGGTGCAGAGAACGTGGAGAAACACGCCAACTGTCCGTATTCAAAGAGCGCGATCCGAGTATGGAATAGATCAACAACGGTCTGGACTTTCGGCAATCACTGCCGGGAGTCGTTCATCGACCTTGAATCTTCATGTTCATAGTTTCACATCCAGACTCGACAACTTGAGGTAAAATGTAGTACCTCCACTATTGGTGTATGGTCACCACCACTCACTAGGTATCGCTACCGATGACCCCGGGATGACATCGCGTTACACAAATTTGATCACACAAGTTTAATCGGGATTTCATGTAGACACTCGACCTAGGTATGCTTTGTTCCTTCGCTCCCTCCTTCAATGGCTACTACGTGCACCACTTTCACACCTTGCATTTCCCTATCGGCCAATCGCCATAGGCTCCTCGGCTGATTCTTCATTGATGGTTTGACTGCTCGTACTACCGTCAAAGACTACGGCGATATCAAGTACATGATGGTTCACTCACCACAATCGCTGCTGGCGCCTAACTTTAGTGGGCAGTAGCGTCACAACCCCAGGCTATTCTACACTTTCAGAACCAGAGCGAACAGTAGTTCTTGCTGAAGCACAGTATATGCCCAGGAAATGCCCAGGTAACTCTAAAGAGAGTCAAGGTAACGTTGTGGTTTCTTTAGACAACAAGTAGATGCAAACTTCTCCGTACGCGGACGCTCTTACAGCGAGACTACGGTTCGTCCCGACTCCCCAGATATCTCTAATGTACCTTGAGGAACGGCTAAACTTGATTCTGGGAGGCGATTACTCTACGGCCGCCACACCTGAAGAGCATCTCAACAACATTTATATGACGGTTTTGCACACCTCCGTCCCCGCAGATTACATTGAGCAAGAAAGACGAGGTCTGAGAGATATGCTCGGTAGTTTCGTGGTTCTACTTTCTCCGTTATCATTAGAGTCCTTGAGCAAGCTACTTTTCATACCGAAAGCGGGAGTTAACCGCGCGCTAAAGGATCTCCACGCCATCCTTAGCATACCAAAAGACCCTACCGGCCCAATCCGCTTACAACACCCTTCATTCCGCGACTTCCTTCTGGACAAAAGGAGATGTAAGGATTCAGATTTCAAGCTGTGGGATGCCGAGTCAGGCGCCGTGCAGCAGACGTTCTCGGGCCACTTGGGCCCGATCAGGGCCGTGGCCTTCTCGCCGGACGGCAGGACTCTGGCGTCGGCATCGGACGACAGGACGGTCAAGCTGTGGGACGCCAGGTCAGGCGTCGTGCTGCAAACGCTCGATGTTGGCGCAATCGTTGAATCCCTGTGTTGCTCCAGTGACGGTACCTCTCTCCAGCCTGACCGGGGATCCTTACCCACTTTATCATCTGTTCTGGAGGGTACAACTGTGACAAGTCCACAGCTTCTACCGTCTATCTTTGTTAAAGAGCAATGGGTGAGTGGCCATACCGAGCGGATCCTTTGGCTTCCTCCCGAGTATCGGCCAAGCGGTGTTGCTGTTCATAATGGTATTGTCGCTTTCGGATATACATCTGGAAGAGTTATAGCCATAGAACTTGCTTTATGATCTTTCTCTGAGGCGGTTTGACCGCGAAGGTTGCCAAAACCACTTTCATTTATTGCAGAGCTAAAGAAGAACTATCTCCTATGCGTAAACGATGTTCAAGACGTTAACAGCTAGCTCGGTGGTGGGCTACGTCAGCACCTCCTATAGTAGTTAGATCGATCGGTTAGAAAGAAGGGGACCTTACGAATACGATCGGAATACGACCGTACGGACTTAATACGGTATATGAATAGTGAATCAAGAATATAAAGGCGGCCCTTGCTCCATTTTCAACCACCTACTATGTATCATACTGTACCTATCTTATTGCCAATCTCACTCGTCACGACATTATCCACTTCCTAATTATGGCTCCTACTATCCTGATTGTCGGTGCAACTAGCAACACTGGCCGAAGCGTTGTTGAAACCCTATCACAGTTGCTAAAAACTAACTAGCAACACTTTTTCCGACTACCGGGTCCTCGCTTTCACGCGTTCCTTGAACAGTCCAGCAGCGCAACAGCTTGCCAAACTGTCCGGTGTCGAGGTAGCAGAGCAGAATTGGGTGGAAGTCACTGCCGATTGGCTCCGTGAACACGAGGTAGTCAGAGCATTCATTGCACCACACATCCGGCCTAATCAATTCACCGAAGAATCGACCTTCCACATTGCCGCCCTCAATGCGGGTGTTAAGTATGTCGTGCGAATCTTGACGGGAGCTGCGAACGTTCGCCCGAATTGCCCCGCCTACTATCCTCGTACGCATTGGGCAATCGAGGCCATGCTGAGCGCGCCAGAATTCAAGGGCTTGCAGTGGACTTCACTGCAGCCCAATAGCTTTTCCAATTTCTACCTTTCCGCCGCTGCGGGATGGATCAAGCAGTACCGCAAGACAGGAAAGCAGGATACGCTTAGGTTAATGGCGTCACCAGCTGCGCCTGTCGGCATTATCGACCCCGAGGACGTTGGCGTCGTTGCGGCTCACCTCTTATCTGAAGAGGACCCTACTGTGCACAACAACGCTAAATATGTTCTGAATGGGCCGGAGGACATTAGTGGAATCCAGATTGTGAAGATGATTGAGCAGCACATCGGCGCACAAGTTGAGAGTGTCAGCTATCAGGACATGTCGCTCGTCGACCACATGGCCGCGACAACTCAGGAATCAAAGAATGTTATCTTGTCCATGAAACACGCTCTAGAGACAACATGGGAGGGAAAGGGCACGGCTTCTACAACCAGCAAGGAAATACTCGAGCTCGCTGCACCAAAGCGTACGCCTGCTGATGTGTTGAAGAGGCTACTGGAGGAGTAGGGAAATGATATATTGGTCTTAGTTGGACCTGTATTGAATCATTTGCATATGCCCCCCCATTACAGTTTTCACAACGAGGAGACTATAACAACGTGATGGTCGAGAACTCTGCCCTAGCCATGGGGTGTCCCTAGTATGGATAGTGGGCCTGAGTATCCGTATCTGTCGTTGGAGTCATCAGGCAGATCCGTATACTGATCCAACTGAGTCACAATCCATTAATTATTAAAACATTGAAACAAACTACAGTGAATCTACCTTTTTTGGAATTCCATCTTCCATCTCCACTCTCGTCCCAGCTTTCCAACCCATGTTCCCCCGTATTGGTCATTCAACTATCGTCCAACGTCCGTCGAGTCGTCGTATTGATCTCCAATAAACTTCATTGCTAAATATACGGTGTAATATTTATTTTTATTATGGGTAAAATCAAAATCATTGGAATTGATGGCATTACCCTCGAAGGGGGAGGTCAATTAGTCCGCATTGCGCTTGGACTATCAGCTCTAACAGCAATCCCGATCCATATCTCCAATATTCGGGGGAAAAGACCACGAGGAGGAGGGCTGAAGCAACAGCATCTTAGCGCTGTGAAATGGCTCGCGCAATGCTGCTCTGCGGAGATGGGCGGCGCCGAAAATAAGAGCAAGCATTTGGAGTTCATCCCGTCACAGGACAAGACAGTCGGTTCCATCGATGTGTCCTGGCCGTCTGAGATTGACATCGGCGGCGCCGGCAGCATAGGACTTGTATTCCAGGCCATCCTTCCCTACATCCTATTTCGAACCCGCCCTGGAGCGGGTGGTCATGGAAATCAAGTTCATGTCACCATTAAAGGCGGGACGAACACTTCTTTTTCCCCATCTTACGACTATATTGCCCAGGTGCTTCTACCGACTCTGGAGAAAATAGGAATACCGCACATTCGGGCATCTTTGGACAGGCGAGGATGGTCGACAGGGCCTATTGATATCGGCGGCGTGACTTTCTCAATCACACCATTTGCCGAGGGGGGATTTCTCCGCCCTTTCGACCTGAAGGACCGAGGGGACATCGTACGATTCGAGGCTAGAGCAATCATACCACGAGATTGCGAGGCAAGGTTCCGGGAAGAACTAAACGAAGGAATCACGAGATTATCCAAGGAGGACGCCGAAGTCGACCTGGATGTACAGGTTGAGGAGAGTGGTCACCGCACACGGCTGTACTTCCTTCTTGTCGCTGTATCAGAGAATGGCTACCGTCTGGGTCGTGACTGGTTGTATGACCACAAGATCAAAGATGCTGGCGTAGCAATATCGAAGCTGGTCAAACAAGTCACGAAGGAACTGAGGCAGGAGCTTTACCATGGCGGTTGTGTGGACGAGTATATGCGTGATCAGCTGGTGGTATTCCAAGCTTTGTCGAAGGGCACTAGTCGGGTCGATGTGGGTCGGAGCTCGAATGGGGAACCTGTTCCTGCAAGTTTGCACACGGAGACGGCAGAATGGGTTGCGGCAAAACTTCTGGCCGCGGAATTCGATGACCATGGTATGTGCCGAGGGCGAGGTTATGTTGTTGGCGAAGTATTCTCAAAACGGGGGAAAGATCCTAGTGACATCAGGGGAGGGTTGCGGAATGTAGGGCTGGGAAATGAATCGACGGCTGAATGTTGACGGACAATATCAAGGTGACAATATCAGAGTGGTAACGGGAGTTCCTGCACATGTGAAGTGGTGTTCGTCATGAATCGTACAATAACTATTCGTGAATGCCTATCATACACGACCACCGATTCTGCCGATTGACCGTGGCTATGCTAAGAAGAAAGGAGACACATCTCCGCCTTATGCTGTTCACGGACGATAGAGAAAGTCTAGGGTATCCCATGCCAACTACTGCTTTCAACTCTGTTGAGCGACCGCGAGAGGTCTCCTGTCGCCAAAGTTATGTAGGCGCTCGCCAACAAGGTACGCTTCATCCTTTATCCTCGCTCGCCACCTATGCATCGCTTTCCCTAGAGCCCAAATAACCAAAGCATGGCAGGCCAACCCTGCCGCCACAGGATACGCGAAGCGGACAAGCTCGTTGCTCTCAACGACACCCAAGGTCTCCGGGAAGGCTCGAGCTAGCGCCATTGCGGAGACTCCGGGGCCAAGCACGAGAATCGAGAAGATAATCGACACCGGGAGAATGAAGCCCCTTGTTGCGAGGTATGCATTCGGGTTAAGCCACCCTTCGCGGACAACGGCAGTAAGAGCGCGGTAGGAGCGGGATCCTGGAGTCGAGAGTATGTAACGGAAAGCAATCCGGACATAGAGAATGCCAAGAGTCCAATCCTGAACCAGATGAATGGAGTGCCGCTGGTCTGCAGAGCAGGCGAAGGTGTGGATGGGGATAAGTAAATACAGCTCTAATACGAGCGCGAAGAGGAGGGGTAGAGCAATGGCGAGGGTCGAGTAAACGTACAAGCACGCAATCACTCTCGCTACGATGGTTTTTGTCGCAGACAAGAAAGAGAGGGGCCGGGGGCTGAGATTCCCCACCGACGCGCGAGCCTGTCGGAAGAGCTGCGGGATATATGCGGCTCCATAGACAACGCCGCCAAGGGAATAAAACCCTGCAGCGAAAGCATAGATGTCGTTAATACGCTTCTGCTGCGGGAAGATCGAAGAGCAAAGATATCGTCCGAACACAAGAGGGACGATCGTAACTCCTACGCCGGTGGCCGCGGCAAAAATCCAGATAGCGAGGACAAAGAGGCTGATCCGGAGGCGGAAGTTCGATGGGATGTACACTTCGGTGAACATGAGCTGTCGTCGCAGCCTATTCCGGGAGGTGTCTCCATTCGATTGCCCATTCTCGCCGTCGGAGCTGCCGATATCTCGGAACACGGGTTGTCCTTTGGGAATCCTGAGTTGATCAGAGCCGGGCGCCAACACCATTCTCCCATCGGGTTTGAGTTGCACTGGTGCTGGCTCGCCGGGAAGATACTTTCTCAGCCCGATTCGCTGTAGGAATGACGCACCAACTGGCCTCCACTCCTCCTCAAGACGCTTCTCTCCGAGAAGGAAGTTCGACAAGCGCAGTGCGCGAGCTGACCAATGAAACCACCACTTGTACATGGTCTGGAGTCCATCCGTAGGCCTGGTTCTTCTCATGACGAGCGGTGTGATGAAGTTAAAGACCAGGATGTCAAGAGGGAACTCCAAAGACGACTCACTCGATGCCCAATGGATCGGAAGCACAGCGTCGAAAGCATAGTAGAGTGCCCAAACAACGCCTCCTAAGCAGACGACAACCAGCGCGCCATAAACTAGTGCACTGAATGCAATCTTACGAAGTTGCGTAGTCACGTTCCTCTCCAACACATCGCGAACGGGGTGGAATGTCGGGTCGTCAGGATCGCGAATGAAGTAAAGAACTCCTTTTCGCATGATCTTTCGGCACATTGAGACGAATTGTGCGAAATGGAACATGTAACAAGTGCCGATGAACCAGTGTACGAATCCAGAAGTCCACAGAGAGTTTATACTCCAGTGGACACGGGAATAGACCGTTGTATCTTCGAATAGCGGGAGGAGCGCGAAGTCGAGCAGCAGTCCGCAGTATAGAGGAAAGACAATCATTTCGATGCCGATGATGACCATAACTTTCATCACGCCGCCAGCTTGTTGAATGAAATCTCTGACATGTGCTTCCACTCGTCGTCCTTGTTGAGAAGATGTGAAGGGCAAGCCGCGCTTCAAGTACATGGCTCCAGCAAACGCGACGGACGAATAGCCCCAGAAGATTGCGATTCCTCGATCCCACCCGCTCCAATAAGCGAGAGAAGGGTCGGCAGCAAGGACGGCACTTATGGAGGGTTTCGTAACGCCATCGAGTTGCGGCTTCTTGATGACAGTAGCAACAATCATGTCCGCTGCGCCGAATACGACAGCGGCCGACCACTGTAAAGATGATACTGTAGCATCCACAATCAGTGAAGGGAGGCCTTTGAGAGGCGTAGTCTCGAGAGCAGAGGTAACCGACAGAGCAGTATCGGCAACCGCCTGGACAAGCAGCTTTGTTTCGGCCTGCAGTGAACGAAGTGCCACATGGGACGCGAGCGAGAACCAAAGGTAGTCCGAGTCTTCCGACGTAGCAACCCCGCCAAACCTCTGGATCAATCGCTGGGATGAGCCGTTGACAGCTCCTTCCACTGAACGTGGAATGGAATGTAGCGCTGGGGAGTCTGTGCCAAACGTCGCAATCAGTTTGAGGGGCAATAATAGAGATCGGAATGCGTTGATAATCAGCCATATGCCAAGCCCCGTCACAAAGATGAACAGGTCAAGCAGAATTTCGGCGACTCTGGTAACGATGTCGAATGGTACGCGGAAGAGGGCCGACGGTGGACTTCCTAAGACGAGGAGTACCAGTTTGCCCAGAGTATAGGGAAGCCACACAGCCAGTACTACTGTCGAAGCGACGATTATCGCTGTGAATGTGGCATGCTCAAATAGTGCGACTATGGGCCCTTGCATTCCAATCAGCTCCAGAAGCCCCTCGAGGTCGTCGGCATCATCGTCAGGGTCGTTGATGTCGATTCCTGCCTCCGCCGCGGCAGCAACGACACCCGCATCCTGTCGAGGCTGGGGTTCGGGGACAGGAGCGGCAAGAACAGGCTCCGCATCCTGGAATGGAACAAAAGGAATCCCATCATCAGAGTCGTCAACAATAATTTCATCGTCTGACCTATCGCCATTACGGCCCGTGTCGGGGCGGTCTACTGGAGCAACATCTCCCCAGAGCCAGTCCAGAGTGCGGTCGAAAAGTGAATGCCCCGCGTTTTGTTGCCGAACTGCTCTTTGCGCTGGCCTCATATCCTGTGCGGCACCATTCGGTATTAGAGCGGTATCATCTATGTCCTCCATGACCTGGCGGGGCTCGTTGTCGTGTTGCGGGGGACCTTCAGGTTCTCTTGCCGACGGGAGAGGGGGTTCGACATGTTCTGATCTCCGAGTATGGGTATCATCAGTCTCCTGTTCGTTTCCACTCTCAACAAGCGGTTCAGTGCTCCTGGCGGCCGGGACATCATCCGCTGCCCTCTCCTTTCCTTTTGTAGACACTGAGGGAGAAGATGTCTCGCCTTCATCATCCACTACACCTGACACGTCCTGCCAACTTGAGTCACTACTTCCCCTAGAAAGTTCCTCATCTCGAACCTCCAGACGGGAATTGTCCTCAGGTGCCCCATGCGGGGTTTCTTCTTCCAGGCTTCGCTGAACGTCCGTGGCGATGAAGGACCGATTTCTCACAGGCATGTCTGGTCGCGTACTAGCCGTCTCGTCTTCAAAGGCAACACTGGACTGGGTGGGGTCCGCATGGGATATGTCGTCTGCGTTGTCGGTGCGAACTGCATCCGAATCGGAATTCCTGAGCAATCTTAATTTAGATCGGATTCGTTCTGCTTGTTCAGCTGGCAAGGTGCTTAGGGTCTCGATGATATCTGTCGAACCTCCACGGATCAAAGCTTGCTGAACATCCCAGGGAAGGGAATCGACAAGGTCGAGGACCCTCCGCCTGGTTTCCTCAAGGTCAACTCGCCCATGCCCTAAAGGGGGGTTCGCCTCTCCTGCGGGATTTAGGTGCGTTATTGGTGTTATAGAATAGTTCGAAGCTTCGGCTTGTTCGGAAACCTGTGAAGGGCCTTCAATGAGGCCAGGTGGAGTTACATTGTCCGTTTCAGGAGGTGGTGCTACAGCAATGTCGTCATTGTTGTCCGCATTCTCAGCGTCCGCTGCTGCCAAGTCTATCTCAGGCTGATCGTCCCCCTCAAAGCCTCCAGCTCTTTCCGGATCGACCGCAACATCTCGAGCGAGCTCCATGGCTGGCTGCTGTTGCACTACCCATTCCCGGATCAAGAAGATGAGGATGAAGCCAATCACTATCAGCGCAGTGATAAGCTGCCCTTCGATTACATCGATGAGAAGTTGATTGATCAGAGGGTAAGGAGTTATATGCGTGAGAAGTGAGATTTCTGAGAGCAAGGAGGATTTCGAATGAGCAAGAACAAGTGCAACAGTCGAGTTACGGTCTGCTCCGAGGTCGTTGCTCTGGTCGCTCCCGGTGTAGAAATTGATCAACCTCCGAACCATCCTTACGATAGTCGGCTCGGTGGAAGTCATATTCAGGGTCTGGGACACGGGCGCGAGGATAGCCGGTAAGATCTTGGCGCTGGTCGCGTTCCATCGAGCCGGTGACGTCCCGTTGTCCAGCGACGAACCCAAAAGTGTCCCGTTATTGTGCGAACTGCTCGTAGCCAAGAAATAAGAGTCTCTTGTCCACCCCCCGTCAGCGAGCCAGAACAGCAGACGCCACACGCAGCGCATGGCATAGGGTACCGCTATGAGCCACGCGAATGCCACGAGCAGAGCTCGACACCAGGTAACGAAATGTCGGGCAATATGAACTCCGGCCTTGCGAAGGAAGATAGATATCGGAAGGGTTCGCGGCATCTTTGGGTGGTAAAGTTTCGTGAATCGGAAAGGTGTTTTGCACAGCTCGCAGTACTTCTTCTGAGAGTGAACGAGCCATTCCATCAGGCATGCTTGATGGACGAATTTAATCGTTCCGCTGCATTTGCAAGGATAGAACAGCGGTTCTTCTTTGCTGCCCTCGCCTCTGCATATTCTACACGTATCCCCCTCTTGCGGGCTCTTGTCTATATTGTTCTCGTTGTATCCATCCATCAAGATGTTCGGGTGCTCTGCTGCCGAACCAGACCGAGGAGATGGTCTGGTCGTGAGCTCGTCGTTGACATCCATAGCTGGGGCTTTCCCGTTGGGTACAGCAGGTTAAGAAAGCGTGGTAGATCGCATGCACTTTAGGCCTGAAGCCTGTCGGTGGTGGAGATGATGGCGATGTACTGGCATCGGGACATGGGGTTGCGGAGACGCGATGAACGGGAGACGGCGGCTCAGAAGGTGGATGTGACAACTAGATAAGCAGCTGGAGAAGCTCTCAAATAGAATGGGAGATTGTTTCAAACATAAGGTAAGTTCATTAAACAAGAGGGTGAAAGCAGAATTACTGTTTAGTGACCTTTGAAGCACGATCGATGCCACCATTACGCAATGGTGGATTGGTGGATGAGTGAAGGGTGCACGTGATGAACGGATGATAGTGAGCGAGAATGTCATATAATGTGTCATGTGATATGGAGGTGTTGATGCCTTTGCCCTTTGATGCCTTTGGATGCCTTTGATGCCCTAGATGCATGTGCCCTATGGAATCCTCAGAGGCTCTCTAAGTGATGTGAGTGATGTGACTGGCTGTACTGTGGGTGTGGCTGCCTAGTGTACCTGCCTTTATCGCAAGTTTGCTTTCCTTGTCGTCACTCGTCACCAGATTTTGTGTCAATCTGTCTACCACGTGACTGCAATGAATGCTTATCTTTTATTGTTTGGACCTGAACAGTAGGAAGTCAGCACCTTGTCTTGTTGGAGAGCTTGAGAGCGTTGTAACAATAGGCAGTACAGAGTAGTGTGTAGTGCTGACTGCTGAGATCTCGATATTCGGAAGCACATGCGTAAATGCATCAGTGACGTCTTGTGTGCTTGGATCAGGGACACGGGAACTTGGTTGGAGACTCCAAGGGTTCAACCCTCACTTCACCTGGAAACTGACTGCCCATCAATCATGAACCACATTCACCTTCATGTCCACCATCTCGCCATTTTATCCTGACTTCTATTTCCCCTCCATTCCTGATGCCACCTCCTGTTTCCCGTGCCTGCTAGCCTGTGTCAGACCACGCCCTTGTTAATACTGCTCGACCGAATCTGCACCGCGTCCGTTGGCGTGGAAAGCCTGGTGAAAGCAGACGTGCTGCATCCGCGCAGTGAAATCCTCACCACCGACTGGCTTGCTACAACGTCAGATCGGACCCATTATCTGCCAGAATGGCCGGTCAAGCAAATGGGCACGCCAAAAGGCCCAAGAACGGCGATTCAAACCCTTCCTCGCAATTATCACAATTGGTGGAGAAGCCCTCTGCCAGAAAGAGTAGAACTCGCCCGCGGAGGAGCTTTTTCGGCTGGCTTTTCAGCAATGTTGTTAGGTATGATACTTCATTGCGATTGAATAAAGGTTTTTATGCTCACATTTGTTCCTAGAATTACCCTATGGTACATAATTATTACCACCGCGTTCCGATGTCCCTCAAGTCCCTCCGAGTTGAACGACAATTCTCCAAAGATCTGCAAGCCATACTTCATTGCACGAACACACACCGACCCCTATACTCGACCATACTACGACTATTACATTTCCCCTTATGCCGAACGCGCTCAGCCCTATGTTTCCCGATTTCAGAAGCATATTTACACGCCTACATCATACTTCGTGAAAGGCAAATATGACGTGTACGGGGCGCCTCGTGTGAAACAAGCACAAGTTTACCTTGAGTTGGAATGGGAGAAACGAGTGAAGCCGCAGATGGACATAGCAAAAGGAGCCGTTCAAGAAAAATATGACCAGAACCTGGCTCCGCATCTGGAGAAGGCCACCGAAGTTGTTCAGCCTTTGGTGGAAAATGCGAAATTGCAGCTTAGCGATATCTATACCGGCTCCATTATCCCGGCATACAAATTTACGCTTCCAATCGCACAGAGAGCATATGTGCAAGGCCGTGACCTTACCGTCAATGTGGCCTTGCCGTATTTCTGGCAAGCCCATGACTTCACCATCGTCTTCCTCAACCGGACGGTTTGGCCGCAACTACGAGTTCTCTACGGGGAAAACGTCGAGCCCCAGTTACTGAAGATTACCCAACGGCTCGGACGCTATAGAGACACAAAAAGTATTCTATCTGCCGCGGATGAGGCGAGTCCGACATCACTCTCAAGCGCGGAAGATGCCCCCCTGGCGGACGCTCCTATCGCATCTACACCGACTACCGGTACAACAACTTCCAGCAGTTCTGCCTTGCCATCAAGCTCGGAAACAATGTCACCGGATGATGTCCGCGAAAAGATCGAGTCGGACCTTCGCACCTGGCAAGGAAAATTCGCAAAAGCTGCAGACAAAGGAGCGGAGGACCTGGAAGAACGGGTTCGCGAACTCACAGCGAAGCAGGTGAACAACCAGGTCGAAGGTGTCGGTAAAGCTCTGATCGTGCAACTCGAACAGACGATCGAATCGAGTCTCAAGAAACTGAAAAGCACTATCAAGAACATTGTGCAAAGGCTACCTAGCGATCCTGAAGAAGAGGAAATCGAACAGGCTTGCAACGAGTCAGTGTTGGCCATTCGATCTGCAGGAGGGTCCATTAAGGAGAGAGCCCAGGCGATCCGATCTTGGAAAGCGAACTTTAACAGGGAAACGCTCGACTTGGTCCAGTCGGCATCGGATTCCACACTTGAGGTCATCGATAATATCCGGGACCTTGGTCTGCAAGAGATCGGCATGAGATGGGCCTGGATGGAGGGCGTCACCTACAAGGACTGGTCGAAATATCATCAGCTCAAAAAGACCTTCGATGAATGGAGAGATGAAGTTCAAAGCGTTGCTCTTCAGCATGAAGGTCTGCTGCGAGCGCAATCTGAAGCCGAGGCGCTTGAAGATGAGGGCATGCTGCTAGCCGAAGATGCTGCTAGAGAGCTGCTTCGGTTGAAGGATGTAGCTCGGTGGAAAGCGATTTCAAAGGACGATACCGACGACTTTAGCACAAAATCCATCCCTCCGATTGTGATCAAAAAGGCGAAAAAGGCGACGGACGTTGCGAAAGAAGCTGCCGCTGGATTGAGCAATTCTTCCTCCTCTACTGCTGGGTCTCTTGAGTCCGCTGCCTCTGTTGTGACGGAGGATCTGCCTTCAAGCGCCACGTCATTATCTGGTGAAGAATCTGGCTCTTCGACCAGTCTGCTGTCGAAAGCATCAGAAGCGGTTGTTGGCTCCGAACAGGGATCACTAGAAAGCGCTTCTTCTGCTGCAAGCTCGTCCCTCTCGGACTCAAGTAATAGTGCGTCAAGTATGCTTTCTGCCGCGAGCTCGAATGCCGAGAGTGCTCAAGGGAGTGCTGTCTCAGCAGCGAAGGAGAAGGTCGATCAAGTCAGCGGGGCCGTGATTGGGACTCCTGCTCCCCCCTTGGAAGACGCATCTTCAAGCGCCAGCGATCCTGCTTCCGAGGCTACCGAGTCAGCTGCAAGCGCAACCAAGCGGGTCCTGGGCGGTGCTGAGGCACAGTTTGTCCAGGCAAGAGAGGTTGTTCTTGATTCGCCTCTCAATGACGACGACGCAACGTTGGGCGAGAAAGTTCAAGAGAGGCTCGAGCAACTATCTAGCATAGTGAGAGAAGCTATCGTTAGGCCTTCCAGCACACATGGTGCCGTGGAGTCCGCCACTTCAGTTGCATCCGAGAAGTTCGACGAAGGAGTTGCAGCCGCATCAAGCATCCTTTATGGAACACAGCAAGGTGCGGTCGAAAGCCTAACAAGCGTTGCTGCCGAGCAGTATGCAAGTGCTGTCACGGCGTGAGTTCCTTCAGTTACACTGTTTGTTTAATTTGGCACAACTAACATGACTCAGGGCATCTTATGCGATCTACGGAACGCCAACGCCGGTGCTGCAGTCCATGATGGCAGAAGCGTCTTCTCGTTATGAGGAGGCTCTCCGCGTTGCCAGCGAACAATACGGCATTGCAAAGAATCGTGTCGAACAGCAGATCAGCGGAAAGCCTCAGCCGGTGCACGAGAAGATGCTTCGCTCTGTCGGGGATGCGTACTCCGACGCGGTTGCGACCGCGAGCTCCAAGTATAGCTCATTATTCTCGACGTCCACCGTCCAAGTCATATATACTCAAAAGCCAACCGCCGCCCTCTCCAGCATATCCGCGGTCGCATCGTCGCAGCTCTCACATGCCCTTGACATCGCATCCACTCAGTATGCCAGTGCCACCAAGGCTAGTGGCCTGGAACCTACTCCGGTCCGCAAGCAGTACCTTGCCGATGCGCGCCGGCGTTATTATGATTCCATCGGCCAGGCTCACGCACAGTTCGAGGAGTTCTTGGATTCGGCCGAAAGCATCGTGTACGGCACGCCTACGCCGGCTTATCAGAGTTTCTTGAGTCATGCCTCAGAGGCCGTGGTGGGCACACAAACTCCGGCCTACGAGTCCTACATATCGGTCGCGAGCGCTAACTACGATTCTGCGGTGGCTGCGGCCTCCTCAGGCTTTTCTGCGGCCTTGGACTCTGCAAGCTCGGCAGCTGGGGTAACCAGTCAACCTCCAGCGCAAAGCGTTCTCGATGACGCATCGTCATACTACAGTTCGCTCACCTCTGCTGCCGGTTCTTCACTTTCTCAAGCATCTGAACAAGCGAGCAGTCAATTTTTGGGGACGGCCACCGGAAAGGCTGAGCCGGTGGCTTCCCAAGCTTCCCAAAACTTGGAGGACGCCGTGTCGAGGGCTAGTGTGGCCATCTACGGCACTACGACCCCATACCATCAGGCCGCCATTTCGCAGGCCGGTTCCTATGCGGCCGTGGCCACAGGCGCTGCAGCAGCGCAATACTCGTCACTACAAGCGCTCGTCTCGGAACTTATCATCGGGCGAGAACCGGATTACACCGAAAGTGTGATGAACAGGCTATCGTCGGCATACCATACTGACTACCCAGCGATGGCTTCCGTTGCTGCCTCAATGGCAGACGAAGCCTACTCTCAAGCCTCCGCTGCCGTTGCATCTGCGTTCACTCCTCCCCCAATTGTCGAATCCATCATCAACGCCGCCGCCTCCCAAATGAACTCGGCGATCGAAGCCGCCAGCATCCAGCTGTACGGCACGGAGAAAGGCTCCTTCGAACAGGCGACCGAGGCTGCGTCAAGCAAATACAGTTCTGCATCGAAAGCAGCCAGCGAAGCCATCTATGGTACTCAGCCTGGCTTTAGCGACGCCTACCAGAGTGCGGTCGCCAACGCCGCTAGTTCGGCATCCAGCGCCATCTCCGTCGCCATCTACGGTACGCCGACACCCACCCTCTCCGGTGCTGCGAGCGTGTATTCGAGCATCACCGCTGTGGCGGGAAGCGCCGCGGCGGAGAACTACGGGGCCATCCGGTCGAGGTTGAGCGAAGCGGTGTATGGGGAGGAGCAAGGTGCGTTTGAGAGCGCGACGAACCGTGTCTCGGGTGCGGTGGAGAGTGCGCGGGCGAGGTTGTCGAAGATGATGGAGGATGCGAAGGAGCATGCGCTGGGTGGGGCGCAGAATGTCGGGCAGATGGTGGAGGATACGGCGAGTACGGTTCAAGAGCGACAGAAGGATGAATTGTGAGGAGATGTGGTGGAGAAGCGAGGATTGAGGGCGAAAAACGAATGATCAGTGAGGATGTGACGATTAATAGCGAAGAGGAGGACGGTATTTGCGGAAATTGATCGATATGAGCAAGAGAAAGCACGTTTGATGAAGTATATGAAGATACTCCACATAGTTTTGGCATTTCCTTTGTCGTTGTTATTCTCTTCTGTCCCGCACTGTCTCCAAGTCCCTGTTCAAATCTGTACCATATTCAGGTCGGCTTTCTTGCTGGATTCTGCCTCCTATGCCGGTTGATTTCTAAATCCCACGCCGATTTCTATAAAGAAATCCCGCGCTGGCGGCAACGATACTGTCCTACGCTTACTTAGTAATCTATTGCCCTGGTGGTATTCTTCGACCATATCCATTCATGGGCCCGCGTGATGTACGGAGTCGATCGAGCATGATTACATCAGGAGCGGCCCCCTGCGGAGCTTGATTTGGGACACGGAGTACGGCGGGCAGGTCTCCAGTCATCCAAGCGCCCATGAGCTAGTGGGATATGGGTCATTGAATGAGGTGGATTCCTTAAACGACCCGTACTTTGGTTGAGTCCCCTTGCTGCAAATTCGGTGGCACAGCCCGTAGATAACAGGTACATTCGAACGATCTTTATGAGCGGAGGCAGGTTTGAGGTGGCTGAAACAATTATGCCCCAGGTCAGACGGAAAGGTCTCTGCCGTTCCCCGTCTAACGACCGGTCGGGTACAGCAGCTTCGTAGGACCTTGATACTCTCAGCAATGCGGTAGGACCATTCGAATCCAAAGACCCCAAAGACCGCGCTCCGTGTCGCACAGCGCGACCCCGTTCATGGATTCCTGGGATAGCCGTCACTTCGCTTGGAGCGTAAAGGCAGACGAGGGAGAGGTCCATGGACTTGGGAGACGGATCCATTCCCTTGACTTCCGCAAGTAAAGCAGTTCCCTTGTCCTGGAATGCACGAGGTTGGTCTATCAGAACTGTCAAGATACGGTGCGTGCACATGCCTGTCACTATTCCTCTAGTAAACTCCGTTGCGCTCTGCATAATTCTCGAGGCATACCGTCAAAGATGATCTTCAAAATAGTGACTTGATCCATGGTACTACGGAATATCGTCCGATAACATCCATATCACGTATCAAACCTGCAGGAGAATCGCAGAAAGGCATCAACCGATCAAGGGCGAAGGATGGTGCACGGATACAAGATTGGAGATTGGATGTGCTCTCCACTAGCCTATCGGAGAGCGCCTTCAAAACTCTTCTTCGAGCACTGACGCATTGGATGATGGGGATCTACTGCGTTGATACAGTACAAGATTTGGATTGGTAAACTGCCTCGGCTGGTTGCCTCCAGGAGCGGGGGGGAATATATTGTTAAGTGGACCGTGCTTCTAATATTAAAGATATGAGTGTATGACCGTATGAGGTAACATCTCAGTTCTTACGGATGCTAGGAACTTGAGAATTGGGATATTGTGGATGAACTGCTCCAGCGATAGATTGTTAGGCCTCAGTCCGGCCCTCTTCGATTGTATGGTTCGAGAACGCAAAGTGTGTTGCTGGATTTTGAAAAGGATCAATACGGTTGTGATAGTTGGACGAATAACAACCCTCGGAGCAATCCAACAACAGGGTCGCATGTCGACTTGTTGCGCAAGATGTGTCTGGACGGCATCGACCTGGTCCGAATGACCGAATCACACTGATCTAGGTACGTACAAGGCTCTGAAGTTTCTTGCGACGGCATTCAGTACAGGGAATCGATGAATTATCGCCTGTTGCCTGTTGGACCATAGGTCTCGATCTTTGACCGAAGACCTGGAGTTTTACTATGTACAACCAGAAAAATAATAGGTGTCTCTGATTACTAAGTATTCCGTATGATTTTTTATCTTTTGGAGACAAGCACTGTTGATCTGTTCTCCTCGATCATATCTGTCTATCTGTCTCTGCTCTTAGAAACCAATCCATTGGTCGTACTATGTACGTCCATCACTACAATTATCCTCCAAACGGCGGCCTTATTCATAGTGAAATTCTGTTCTTTATATTATCACACCGACTTTACGGGAATCCAAGCTGTCGGGTCCCAGTTGACTGAGATGCGGTCCAGCGTCCGGAGTCTGTACTACTTGTGCAACCATTGAACCGGACAATCATCTCACCCAAGTTTTTGCATCTGGAGTCTTAGAACGGTCATGTTTTCCTATGGAGGTTCATTCCCCCCCTAAGCTCAAGGACCAATATCTCCTTGCCTCAAAGGCTGAAGTCGGCCATGATCTTTCGGACACGCAACGTCTCCGGATCCGAGAGCATTGCACCAATAGCATGGGGCCATTTAACACCCCCATTATGGTTTCCGTACAAAAGTGGAAGTCGGAGGGCGTTATTCTCGCGTTTGTTGATATTGTTCTTTCAATTCCGGAGACGCGTGTAAGCCACAACGTCTGCCAGGCGCCAGCCCTTGAGTTCTGACGGCGCGATATTCCACATAACATTGGCTTCCTTGCTGGCGACCGACCACTCCCAGATTCCCCACTGGTCACCGTTGACTTTCGATGGCTTGGAGTTTGGACAAGGCACCCTCCCCCTCGTCAACTGTCAGAATCGATGTGCATGGGAGGCACCCCCGCAAGGGCAAGGAATCAGCGGGAAGCTGGGGAGCCCTGTTGAACTGCGGGTGTGGGTCGCGAGACAGGGACAATTTGGCTTTTGCCCATCCATCCCGCCCATCAGCGACGAGTCTCATCAGTCATCAGTCATCACCCTCACAGTGCTCAATGCTCAACACTCACGGAACCGTGAGAAGACGCAAAATGGTTGGGCATCCACCGGACGAACCTTCGATAGAGGGCTGGCGCTTATGCACGAGCGTTGGATATCTATCCAGTGTCCACCCTCAACCTCGGTTACGGATGGGTCGTTTTTCTTTTGCAGAATTGCAGCAACCACCAACTGGAGTGTGCAGCTCTTACGACTGCACAATGGGCTCCACTTTTAATTAATGCTAGGAGGACGCTTCACTGCTTCGGGTCATCGCTTTGATACCGGAACCTCTGCCTTTTCTCCGTATTCGAACGTGTTTATAAGCTCATAATGGTCCGTGGGGCTAGGCGATTCGCAAGTCTGAAGGAATTACCTACTATTAATATACGATGTTCTGTTGGTGGTAGTGTGCCAGTAATGGTTTCATAGGTCGATTCTACGGTGTGTAATCGACACATGGTACGGGGCAAGGAATATTACGATAGTAGCTAGTGAGCTTCCTAAGTCTTAAGTCCTAAGAATTGAGATCTGAGGATCCTGAATTTGCTTGGGGGATTGGCCGTAAGGAAGGGAAGAGGCCAGGTACCTCGTCTTGCGGGGATTTCCCGTGGACGGGAAGAGATCGTGAGCGGAAGAGGCGGCGGGATGTGCAGGCAGGGGAGACAAGACATGGAGCGATAGCCCTGTCTTCAGGCATGAACGATTTGAGTCTACGAAGGCTAAGATATCCAGCTCCTGAAGGGCGCGGAACTGAGGATCGAGATGGAATTCTTATTCTGATGCCCTGGTATTCATGCAGGGATTCCAGGCACTCCTTTACTCTTCACATGGGTTTGAGGACCCCCGCCCATCGGACATCAGCTCGGTTGTTTGCTGCGCACAAGCCTAACGTACCGTAGCCAGTGCTGGAGCGTGTAAGAATTAAGATGACCTTGTGGCTTGAAATGGGGATGATGAGCAGCCTAAATTTATGAAAGACGGGACCCCTCGTTAAGAACGGACCGATCTGGGCCGTTTTGCAAGGGGACGGTGGAGACATGACTGTGGAACTGATATTCATAGTTTCGACGGAGCGCTGCCTGCACCGCTGAATGAGATTAGAATGTTCGGCCATGAGACACGATTACGGTGATGATCATCATGAATCGGTCGGAGGTATTCGCCTGCATGGTTGCATCTGATCTTATTCTGATGTACACGGTACATGTACATCCTGCAGTACTGACGTACTATGCAGTAATAGCATTTGTCCTTCAATTTGTGCATGCACTTATTTCTCGCCAGCTCATGTGTTGTCGTTTGTTGAACATTTAGACTGTGGACAAACATGAAGCTCTCGAGCTCCCCTGGACTGTGGTCCTGGCGATAACCAGTTAATGACCACTTACTCCGTAACCACACCTTCATAATCCTCGAGGGAGAAGCTGCAGATCGCCGTTGAAACTAACTGCAGCCTGTCCTTGTCTCCCGTTCTCCACGCTGCCAGCCTGTCACAGCCCAGCCTCCTAACATCGTCAATTCGTCATTTGGGTTTGGACTTTGGAGACACAAGAATGGATGAGCGATAGATCGAGTGATTGCCTGCTGCCTACTAGTCTCGGCACCATTCCAATTCCATCTCGAAGTCGACCATCATAGCGACAACGGCAAGTAAGAGGGAATCTTCACCAACTGTAGGCATGCTTTGTGTACTGTGTGAAACGCAGGTTTGGTAATTGGATCCAGCTAATGACTTAACGGTGCATCTTCCCATGGAACATGGCCATTTCTCCACGTTAGAATTCCTGAACGGCGGTTTTGGTGCTACCTCAGGTCGAGAGGGTGCTCCGAACTTGGTTCGAGGGACATCTTTGTGTCACATCATAACTCCTCCGTCTCTGGTTCGTGTCTACAAAAAGCAATTTGGACCAAGTCGAAACCTGTCCGCTGGGTCCTCACCTCCCAGTCCTGGTACCGGTATACTCTCCAGGAATATCAAACTGCTGCGGTGTGGGAGTTTGCTCCCCAGCCACGGTTCCACGGGGAACGCATTGTCGAAGCGAAGCTACACAAGGACACAACGAGGAGGATTGTATCCCATTGTCACTCTGTTGCTTTGATCATCCAGTCATCCAGTGGCTTCATATTTGTTTTGGTCGGAAACTGGATTTGGTCTCGTCTGTGTGCAGAGCTTGCCATGGACTCAAGCCAATGACTTTGCGTGACGAGAACTGCACCGGGCGCAATGTTGATCAAATGAAATCCGATATCGTTTCAAAATTATTATGGGAGCGGAGATTGACATGTCCTCGAACGACGAAAAGCCACAATGTCGCAAATATGATGGTGAGGAAGTGCAGAGGAACCCAGCTTTGATCTGAGAGCCGCAACCATCCTTGCTCTTATGAAGTTGGCTGGTATGTGACCAAGACGTTGTTTCTCAAATGCCAACAGAGAGTTAAAAGCCCGAAACCCCTTGTCCAGATCTGGAGGCGTGCACTAGCCGACCATGTCCTACCGTCCTAACGTAGTACGTGATGTTAACATGGGTCGCATCAATAGTATTTCCAAAACCATACAGAATCAGCAAATGCGATCGTGAGACTGCTATTACATATGTAGGAGTCAGGAATCAGGCCCAGATGTTCTCACTCTTCTAGGTAGAAGCATAAGACCTCGCTCATCCTTCTTCCTATCTCCTGTCTTCGGCTCCTCATACCGAAGTTAATAACTCGGACCTTTAAGAATCAAGGAAGAGATAATAATGTTGAATTCAGCAATTGACTGGCACGTGCTGCAGTGACGGAGGAGGGGGCGTCTGCTATCGCAGCAAAGAGTCAAGACACAGTTCCTGGGAAATGACAGTTGGGCCATATCAGAATGCAACCAATCCGGTCCGTTTCGTAACTTTCGTTGCACCATGAAAACTGATGGTTGATGGTCGATGGTCGCTGACACGGCCGCTAACGATGGCGATGATGATTGATTTTCCCCCGTGGGCATCTCCGATCTCCATGGGGAGCCTTGAGACTTGAGTCCTTGATCGGTGATCACATTATTGAGGTAAATACGTAGATGAGGCTTGAGCGTTGAGGTTGCAGTCAGCTCCGGCCAACAATTGTGAGCCCAAATTCCTGCTAAATTAGCGTGGAAAGGCGAATGCACCGTCGTCGCCCGCCCCCATCCCTCTCTCCACCATCCTCTCGGTTACATTCCAGTGACGCACATGCCGACGTGACTGGATCGCGGTGGACTAATCCGCCAATCAGCGACTGCGAGAGTTTTGGACTCTCCTTGCTCTCACATATTACTCGCATGAGGACGATATCGCAGTCGGCAGTTGTACGGTCACCGGTAGGAGCTTATTGACCGTTGATTCGACCGACCGCGTCGGCGCACTTCCCAAATGCGCTTCTCATGTGGCGAGTCCGAAGGAGTCCGTTGAATCATTGAATGTCAGCGGAGCGGCGGGCGACCGACCGGCAGGACTTTCAGGCGACTGGTCAGATTCGATGAGGAGGCATGGGCATTGGATGCGACCGGTGAATTGCACCAGTTAAATCGACGGCGTCAGCCTGGCAGCATGGCAGGAGAAACCATGCGTATGGAGCGTATTAATTTACGACATTAGGATTTTATCGGAGGGTGGCTGGTCGGCAAGATTTGAGGGTCGAACGCATTGAAGGTCTGATTTGCATTGTTCAAGCTGAGTTGGAAGCTGGAACAGAGGTTGCGCCCCCGCCCAATATATCAAAGTATGATTGAAGGGTCAAGGCCACTCAAGAGCATTCTGCACTGGAGATCTGGTGCAGATGGATGAAACACCAGCGTAGAGCAGGGGGTGGATTGGGGGCTGGCGCGAGCAGAGAAGATTCGAAGGTTCGTCGAAGAAGGAAACCGAAGTTTCTGCTCGAGTTTATGCTCGAACCAACCGATCGGACCCTCGAACCATAACAAAGCATTGATAGCCAACTCGCGGGTAGCAAGCCACGAAGGAAATCCATGGCAATACTACCAGCGGTACTATAAATTGCTGGGTTTAGGTTCAACAAAGGTACTAGGAGCGGTTACATTATGAATTTATGATGGGCTGAAGCCTGAACTGAACATTGAAGGCCAGCTTCATTTTCAGTAATTCAATAGTGCCGATAGCTCTTTTCTTAGTTGAGTATAATAGAGATAGTTTTATGATTCATCTATCGGTAGTTACAATGATAACTAACTAGTTAGTAGAAGAAAGCACTAATTATATTCGACTACAGGCACCAGTCACCACCAGTCATCTGCATCTATCATGACGTCTGCCGCCTGCACAACAATGCGCGATAGCGAGAACTTGAAGTAATCCGGTCAGTGAAATTCCGACGTGGCCGCTCTTGCGATCACAGTTCATCTTCCCAAGATCCAGTGAAAGTAATTACAATCAGAACTGTGATGGCAACATCAGCATTGCAAATCAGGCAAATAGGCAACAAGGCAACAAGGCAATAATACATATTATACTATAATGTACTAAACCTTCGTATTCCGGTCACACTGTGGGCCGATCACATCACATTACTCTCCCAACCACCCCCTAGAGCTCCTTCTCTTTTACTGGATAGCGCTGTTCCTTCCACCCAGACACCCACTGGCCAATGCCCGGGCCTCCTCACCATTCCCTTGACCACCCCCCGCCACTCACCACTCACCAGCTCTCCTCTTCTCTTTTTCTCCTCTCTCAAAGACGCTCGATTTTCGCCATCAAATTTGCCCCTGCGTCACCCACCTCTTCCCTCATTCCATAATTCCATCGGATTCGGACCCTCTTTTCCGCGTCGGCTTTGCACAGGTCGTTTGATTTGCGCCGTCCAAAATAGCAACACTGTACTCGATACAAATCGCGGGCCTGGATGCGACCGGGATGGTTACAACGAACCAGGGCTCTCATCCACCATTCGTCGCGTCCGCATGTGCTGCAACAGGGTTCCCCCAGGCCGCGACCGTTGAACCTTTTGTTGCTTCTGTTGCTAATCCTCCAAGTCGCCTGTTGACGGTTGTTGACACTTGACACGAGAGACCCTGCGCCGTCTTGTCACCAAAATCCCGAGAACGGAAATCTGGCTGGCTGGTGACGGGTGAGTTGTGAGTCGTGAGGGCAATTTCGTCGCCGAGCTGCGACTGAGCCTAAAGCCGCCAAAACCGGCCAACCCCCCCAAATACCACTCTTGTCGCTTTCTCCGTCGACAAGGTCCACATGGCGGGCGTGGTGGCGTCGTTTAGCCGTTTCGACGTTTAATTCACTTTCCTCCGAGTTGCGGGTTGCCTCGCTTCAGTCCTTGCGAGGAGCGAATTCCATTGCCCGCCGCCCAAACCCTGTCCGCCCGCTCCCGAGACTCGAGCGCTTCACTTTAACACTTTCACCATCGCTCCGCTTATTCCACCATCAAACAACGGGGCTAGAGAACGTGTAAGTGAGTCTAACAAGTCCATCAAATCCCTCCTCTTCTTGCTCCTCTTAAAACCGCCGTCCCCTGCAACCATCCTGGCCATTCTTCACATCCAACAAGGACTGCTCTGTCATTCCACTATTTTCTCCTCCCCAAGCATTTCACGAATTTGACCTTTCTCCCTCTCCCCCCCCGACCAGGTCAGGATCAAGGTCAAGGTTTGTGATTTGGTCCAGCCTACATTCCCAGTCTTCACCCATCCATACTTCACCTCTTCGCGCGTAATATATCCCCCTCGAACATCTGCTTGCCTGCCTGTCTGCCTGCCTCCCCTGCACGGACAATCCTCCATCTGACGAGGATCGTTGTCTAGTTTTCCTCCGTCCTTTTCCTGCTGGTGTTGGCCTGGAACAGCAGATTGCTGGACACGCGCTGGGCCCGACCCCTCCCCAATCGACTAATCGAGCCACTCGGCGTCAGAGCGCAATAACAATCAGAATGTCGCATGCATCGCGTCAAGATAGGGCCAAGTCCCCTGGGTATACAAAGGAGGAGCCTGCTCCTGTGGCGGACGATCTGGTAAGTGACTCCCTGCCTTCTTTTCCTGCACCACCTTTCTTGCTGCTTGGGACCTGTTGCGACCACCCTTCACTCTCCTTATTGCTTGGTCGGTCGCGCTGCTGCGCGTGATTTATTCTCGAACGACGACGACGGTTTGGAAGAAAAATCAATTCAACAAGTCGAATCTACCCCGCGACGGCGAAAACCAACCGAGCGCAAAAGAATTCAAGACATCTTTCAAAAGAACGTTGCGCGCCGGTCCTCAGCGCAGGCTTGCACCTGGAACTTCGCGCAACATCATTCGAGCGTTGTGCCGGCTCTGTTGTGGGTTTTTGCATGCATCAAGCCATACTGCTGCTGCACATCGTTGATGCGTTGACGCCGCATTAATCGGTCGTCGTCGACATCCTAGCACCGCGTCAGGCTACATGGTATGCCCTCCAGCCTTCCTTGCCAAGCTCACCGGCCCCCCAAGCACCTGCACTTTGGCACCCTCCCCCATCCTTTATGCCCCTCCACCCAACCATACCCAGTATACTCTTTCCGGCACATCCACAACTTCTCTATATCGCAGAACAGCGTTCAAGTGTCACATCCAAATATCTTTCTCTAGCATCTCTGCTCCTTGCACCATTGTCTGCGCTTCCTTGTTGTCGCTGCCGTCAATTCCTATTGCCAACGTTTTTTCCTATTTCCAACATCGCCGCCCTGGGTGGTTCAAGTTCGTCTTCAGTACCACCCATGTGTGGAAGTCATCATCACCAACTCTCCTCTTCAAAAGCTTGATAGCCATGGGCCGAAAATATCAACTGGCCTAAGGAATTGGTTTTCAATACTTCATCGTCGATATTGAATCTTGAATCCGTCTAGGGTTGGTTCGTTCAGGCATTTCCCTGCAAACACACATTGCTTTCTCCTGTCACATTTGCACTAAGGAACATTTGTTTCAACTCTACTTGGTGGTGCCTATAAACCGTTTCTATTAAGCTCTTTCTTCGCTTTTATAACCTGGCACTCCCAACCCCGGCGTCCTCGTCTTGGACTGTACCTTGTACTGCCTCTGTTGGATTGTGTTTTGGTATTTCATGGCCATCGCGAGGTTTAGCACTGCTGTATCCTGGCCCAGTCAAGTGCGGGAGCGACAATTGTCGATTTGTTTCCGTCAATTAAACGAACACTGTCCCACCTAATCACTGTCACACACTATGAGATATCGCATCGACGGATCCGTTCGCTAACCAGTCGTTGATCAATAGCATCATCCCCACGCGCCGCAGCAAGGGCTTCCACCGCCGCAACACGTCCCGCAGCATCCTCGATCAGCAGTTGCAACTCAGCAGCATCATCCCACTGACGCTTCTCATCAACCCCAGGCTAACCAACCGACTGGACCCGGTCCATACGCGTCGCCGCATCCTCCAAATCACCAGCTTCAACATCAGCACCAGTCGCCTTACGGAGCTCCAGTTCCTGGTCAGACCGATCAGAACACTCAGCAGTTACCTTACTTTACCGCTCATCCAAGCCCGTACAGCTCCAACAGTGCAAGTTACACGTCAGCTGGTAAGCCGAGACCCTCGTTTGGAATCCTCAATACATTTTGTGGATTCATCCTGCACCTGTCGTCCGATGGCAGGTGCTTGGTATCCAATTCTTGAATCTGAACCTGACATATCGAATAGAGAACCCTGAGCTCTCCATGGCAACCGCAACAATGAATCGCCCCTATCCCCCTATCTATCACACTCCGCAATCCGCCTCGCCCGCCTCTGTATCTGTTCAATCCCCGCAGCATGATCAGCATGGCAGGCAACTGTACGGGCAGCAACTTTACTACCCGCCATACCCTGTTCCGCAGCAGCCTCCCTACGCGCAGCATCCAGGAACTCAGCAGCCGGCTCCGATCGCGACCAACTTCGTGACCCAGTCGCAAGCGCAGCCTATGCCTTACCATACGTCTCACCCTCACACTCCAGCCCTAACCAACTCTCCCACCCAAAAGATGCAGCAAGGGCAAATGCCACGGCAACCAACTGGCGTCAGCCCCGCGTCCGCGACTCCAACAGGACCTCCCGGAAGCGCAGGTGGCATGCATCAACAAGGTCCTCCCGGTGCTGGTCCAAGCATCAACCCGAACGCAGCCCCAGGCCCGATTCCTGCGACCACTCCACTTGTCGTGCGACAAGACCAGAACGGCGTCCAATGGATCGCATTTGAGTACTCGCGTGATCGCGTCAAGATGGAGTACACCATCCGCTGTGACGTTGAGTCCGTCGATGTCGATAGTCTTCCGCAAGAATTTAAGACGGAGAATTGCGTGTATCCCCGCGCGTGTTGTCGAAAGGAGGACTACAAGGGCAACCGTCTTGCCTACGAGACCGAGTGCAACACCGTTGGTTGGGCTTTGGCTCAACTCAATCCTTGCCTACGAGGCAAGCGGGGTCTCATTCAGCGAGCCGTGGATAGCTGGAGGAATAGCAACCAAGATCCAAGGCTTCGAAGCAGGCGGGTGAGGAGGATGGCCAAGATGAACAGTAGAAAAGCACAAGCAGCGCCGCAACAACATGCTCCGCACATGGCAGGTCCAGGTGCCCCGGGCGCTCCTGGCATTCCCAATTCCGCTGGGTTGGCCGCGCCGCCGAGACAGCCCAGCATTAGCATGGGAGGACCGCAGATGCATCACCACCACCATGAGCATCCGGGAGGAGGTGCACCGGGCGGTGCAGATGATGTTAGCGGTATGTTCCACCAGATGTGATCTGAGTGCTCTTTAAAGTCCGTTTTCGTTTCCTTTGATGTTTTTAACGCCACGGCTTGAGATGGGAAATTGAATTATGGACGCGAATGCCCTCGATCTTTTATTTCCTTTCTAAATGAGATGTACATTATATTCTTCATCTTGGTGTGTAACACCTTAACACTTTTTACCCCTTCATATTGCACAGAGTCTTGCTAGAGCGACTGTCGAGGCATCCCCCGAAAGGGCCATCAATCACAAATCGGGATAATGTACTCGTCACAAGTCATGCGCCGTATCATGGACACGGATCCCCCTCAATCGCCATATTCAAGTAGTCCATTGTGCATGCTAATTTGTTCTCTCTGTAGCCAGCGCTGAGTATGCCGACGGGTCTCACGCACACCACCATCCCCCTCCCAATGGAAATGCGTCACCCAATGACGTCCGTCAAGCGCATAATTTCTACCCGACCTATCCTACGTCTCAAGGCATGGTGACATCGACGATCCCGCCTACACATGATAGCGTTGAGCAATTGGGACACGCGCCCTCACATACGAATTCGGTGATAGTATCATCACGAGCAAGGGACGATCAAGACGAGGAGCGAAACATCGCTCTTTTCGGCGATCTCCCCGAAGAGAAGCGACGCAAATTCATTCTCGTCGACGACACCCAGCGCAATACCCGCGTCCGGGTCCGTGTTATGTTGGATCAGGTCCGCATGCATGAAATGCCCGACTCCTACCGTAAGAACAATTCTGTTTACCCGCGTTCTTGGTATGCGACCGAAATGCAGTCACCTCCTCCATCGCCACGGACCGGTCGATGGCCCAACGACGTTGACGACAACATTGATGGACCGGCAGCACAGACCGTTGTTGCGGTGCCGATGCTAGATGGAAGCGAGGCGAAGGTAACGCTCCCACGCATGAACCGGACAAAGCGTGGCAAAGAGATGACGTTGAACGACCTGGGCTACCGAATGAGCTGGAGCCAGAGTCGCGTGTTCTCCGGAAGGACGTTGTTCCTGCAACGATCTTGTAAGTCTTCAATCTATGGAGTGTCCAGCGAAGGTAAAACATATGAACTTTACTGATATGCTGCTCTCTTCTCACAGTGGATGCCTACCGCAATAAAATGCGTAGCACCATGGTGGCGGCAGGTCAAGATGTTTCAAACGTGGCGCCGCATTTCGAGACCCGGGTCGGGAAGCGGAAGTGGTTAGAGAGGAGCAAACGATCCAGACGCGATTCTTCGCCTTAAATACCCACACCTTCGATCTTGCGGGAAGTTGGACTCGTATGAGCCAGGTTCGAATGCCCACGATACCCTAGTTTCCAGAGACCTCGTGTATTTCTGGGCGTTCTCCTTGCTTTCATCCTGTCCCTTGTTCTTCTCATCCTCCTCGTTCCGCATGCCATTTCGGTTCAGCTCAAATTTGACTTCGGTGGCTGCGTGAGAGACCGGCATCGATATCCCAGTCATCCTTGGCCCCATGGACAAGGTAACCTGGTTTTTCTTCACACGCACTGTTATTCGATGAACATTTGTGGTAACGTCTAAACATTATGGATATGCTTGATATCGGTCGGTATTCTGCGAACGGATCAAAAGCGTCGAATTACGGATGGATTTCTCGTTTCTTCGTTGCGCGGTTCTCGCTTTCACGGACAGGAGGAATGGGATAACGGCAGCCTATTTGCATTTTACTCCATAACATTGCGGATACCGTTGTATGTATTATCAAGAACAAAACGAAGCTCCGGTTCCTCTATTTAATTGATCGTTCTTCCAATGAACTTCGTTTGCTTGCCCAATATAATTCATTGCAAGGGAAGTGGGTTAAACCTACTACCCAGGCTCCCGGTTGCCAGTCAGTTGAAACGGCATCTATCGAACAGAGCATTGCTACAACGCAGTTTGCCAATTGTCCGTTCGGTCATCAGGATAGCATGACTTTCTCCTCGCCACGAAGTTCCACCAATCCATTGCCCATTCGGTGCCCATCCTACCGACCACCTGACTCCGCCTCCGAATTACCTTCCCCTTTCTGTTTCCGCAGCCATCAAGTTGAGCGTGCTAGCAAAACAATCATCGGAACCATGTTTTATCCGTGTTTGGAATTGCACTGGTCTATCGTCCGTGAGGCCGATACAGCGCAAAGGAGGAGGACCTTCCCCTCCTGGTAAAACTCCGTGGACACTAGGAACGGTCTCGGACCAGAGGCCTTCATGTTGGGGTGGGATGCTTTCACCATATTATGCGATTCTATACCTACCTTACCCACTGTACAGTGCATACCAGTCCCAGTGATTGGATCAGTAAGACTCTTCAAGAGACCGGTGCGATATCCGTCGCGATCTTCTAAGTCGCTGTGTTTGGTGACCCCGATGTGATGGGAGAGAGATATTTTACTTTCATAATGTGGTACACTGCATTCACTCTGCATGGTACGATATGATAGCGGTTAAGGGTTGGTTGACCTGTCAAAACAATACCTTGCATGTGGAGCAGGCGGTATCCGTGAGCAACAACACCAACAGCATCACGGCGGGAGTGCAAGCCGCCTTCTCTCCTCATCAACTGGGCCCCAATTACCGTATGATAACTTCAACCGCTAGAACCTTAGCCCTTACTTTTCTTGCTCGTTCGTCACATTCCGCCAAATACTGTGGGCGGCCGATTACCCCGCTACATCCCGCAGCTGAGGCATGAATCCCGCCATCCCCTAAATTGCAGTCCCACCACTTCGGTTCCTAAGGTATGCTCGATGCCAGGCCTAGAATAGCAGTAGAGTCCTGGATATGGGCTAACCATGGGTAGAGTACCATTGTCAGGCATACGGGATTGTGGGACCTCAAAAAATTCCAGGCGCTTCATGGCGGCAGTGAGGGCCGAGATGAAGAATTAGATGAAGCATCCATATATTGCACGCGGCCCCGGGCCTGGGCGGTTCATCGTATTTCATGTGGGTATTTTTAGGTCCATCTGCAGTTCACGAGACGGCGAGACGCCCATCTATTATCGCCAACGCTCAACTGGGAGATCCCGGAACGACGATGCAGTAAAAGCCCATGGCCTGTACTTGTCGGGTGATTGAAGGCAGCCGGCGCCTTTCTTCGGACATTGGCAGCGTGCCTTCGCACCGACCATATCAGGCCCTGCTGGCAGGATTTCTAAAGAGCAAGGGATAGCATAGGGAGGCCCAGCACCATACCGGAGGATAAAGTCTGTGACTGACTTATTGCCCAAGGGTGACAGAGCTTCGTTCTCATGGACTAATATGTCCGAGTCAGTCGAGTGAAGTAGATTGGTTGAGTCAACAGTATGTCCAGATATATTATGGCCGAATTGTCGCTCCATGGTGGGTGAGATAATGCTCACTCCTGAAAACAACTTGAACAACCATCATGTCGGGTTTAGCAACGTGAATGGCCTATCCCTAAAAATCCGGAATGGCAAGCTAATGGTACATGCAGATATTTCAACAATCGTACTCATTCAGATATTGAAGTCCATGTTGGGCAGCGGAGACTCTTCCTCCACCGCTTGATCCTCTGCCAGGCGAGCGGCTTCTTCAAGGGACTATTGGAAAGCTCACTCGCAGAGACCGCTTCTCCTGTCATTCCATTGGAGAGCTATGATGAGTATGCCGTCTGCACGATGTTCAGATTCCTGTACTTAGCAGACCGCCCTGAGACACTGAAATCTGAGGTAAACAGCCTTACATTGACCGAGCTGCTCGACCTCTGGATTATAGCAGATAAGTACGATATTGGTCCCGCGGTCAGCGAAATCGAAGAAAATACTCCACTGGGTCCGAAAGTCCTGATTGTCCGTCGCATCAGCGACGAATACTCTTTTGACCCGGGCGATGTCGCCAAAGCTGCCAACATGGTGCATCGCGAAGCTTTTATTTCCACCCTGGACGGTAGGACGGTGGGCAATTTTGTTCAGGAGAAGTTTACCCGAATGTTCCGTCGAGATCCACTTCGATTCGCTGATACATTGAGAAGCAATCCTAACTTGGCGGCCAACGTGGCTATTCAACTCGCTCAACGGCACACTGGCCGCCGCCACCGCAGACACCGGCACGAACCGAGCATCAGTACTATAGATGATGAGCATGATAGTGAACTTGAGTCTGTGCTACGTCTCTCGGTGGGTGATCAATAACTCGTTGGGGGAATGAACGTTCAGAAAGTCGAGCTGATTCCTTAACGTGTGCAAGACAGTGGCTAGCTGTGAGCCTTGATTTTGCTATAGGGAATGAACTTTGTATCGCAAGTATTTCGATGGCAATAGCCATCGCATTAAGGCATACACTGCCGGAGAGGCCCATAGTCAAGTCTGAGATCTTCGTCACTTTCGCTGAATCGGTCAGGGGAGCTCGAGAAAGGGGAGAGGAGGACATTTCACAGTGACTGGAAATACTCAAGGAGGTCGAGCACCAAAGCAAGCATAATATCCATTAATTCTAAATAAGACTGAAAAGAAACATAAACTTGGATCCACTGCATTAGCGCCCTCAAATGTCTGTCGATATCTGACCCATCCATATTCCACGTTGGACAGATCGTCTCGCAATGTCCCACCACTCCTTATAAAAGTCCTCGAAATCGCCATGCGCGTCAGCCGTGGCCTTCTTCATATCTCTTTTCGCAGTTTTCCGAGGAGGCCCCAGGTGTGGCATGAACCAAAGGATGGATGTGATAGAGCGGAGCTGATCCGGTTGTTGCGAAGTTGCTCTGGAATACTCAGCAACATAATTCTTTTCTGGAGCCGCGGTGTTTGCTTCGGCCGTCTTCTCCTTCCGATTTTTGCCACTGATTTCCTCTCTGGAGCCTGGCGGAAAAGCATTGAGGTGTCCTTGATTGTCTCCTTCACTATGAATGTGCAATGAGTGCAAAGTGTCATCGGGATCCACACCCTCGGCTAGATTTGAGGTGAACTGTAGACCTCGTAATATCCTTGACAATGACCTTCGCTGCCACGTACGAGAGTTGTCTCCTGATGTGGGATCTTCTGGTTCCATCTCGGTTTCGATGGCCTCACTGAGCTCCTTATGCTCCTGATATTGTTGTTCTTCCCCGGCGAGATCGCTTGCCCCTCAGAACCAGTTTGGTACGGTCTTTTTGAGCCAGTGGTCGTCGGCTGTCGCGAACGCTCCAGGAAGTACCATGGCGATATCCTGAAACAAGGTATTGATAAACGCACTTTCGATCACTCCATAATATAACATGGGTAAGTGGGTTTTGATGTCATCCCACTCAGGGACACAGGCATCAGGTTCGTTGAAAGAGCTTGAACAATATCCGAATAAACTTGCAGAGCGGCTATATTAGTCTCGGGGATTTGAAATAGTGTATCCAGGCTTTTCATGACTAGTTGATCTTCATCCATGAGCAGGATCTGACGAATGGAGGTTTCAAACTTGTGTAGTTAGAAGCTCGCAGGCTTCAGGAGCGAACTAGCTGTCTCATTCCGACTCCCACTCTCTGGAGGAGGAGACTTCGGAGACAGGACCGTGGCGCCAGAGCCGCGTAACTTGACTAGATACGCCGGGGAGATATCCTGGCTGACGAAGACGTAGATCTAATGCCTTGTACGGAACTTGTTCTTCAAGAGGTGGACGTTGACTAGAACTCCCCGCCTATGTATATCCTCAGGGATGTATAAAACGTACGCGAACGGTATATATTTCTTATGTACAAAATTCGTTGCGTGGCGATATTTTCTGGTTCGCCGATTATGTTTAGTATCGACTTGGCGTCGACGTCCGCGAAGTTTTGGGGGACATTTTCTATTCCTATTGGAAAATTTGTCGCTACGACTGAGGGCAGTTCGTGGTTATGTTTGAGTATCGTGTCTTGCAGTCCCCTTAAGCCAGTGGACCTTAGGTTGCTGATGGATTCCTTGATGTACTCCTTGAAGACCCACACGCAACTAGCTAGAATGAGTATTGTCCGGATAACCAAGCGAATGTATAGAATGAACATTTCAGAGCTGGAGACACCACTTGGAAACTTGTCGAATTTGGAGTCTTCGACATGGTATGGCAGAAAAGCCGGTAGTCTAGTCGACCTTTCGAGGGAGTCGGAGTATTCAGTCAGTGGAGTGTATGAAAATTTCCCCACACAGACATTGTAGTACGACTGGTAGTACGGCTGAATGAATAAAGTTGTAGGATTGAATCAGTCTCGCTAATTGTACCTGTAATGAACGACATTCGAGGGACCTACCCTGCGCACTATACATATAATTCAGATGAAGGAGCCGTTTCTTACACCAATATCCATAAGTCGTGACTGTCGTAACAATCATACACCGATTTCCCGAAATTCAATACCTCCTCCCTTCCGTGGCCCATTTCTCTTCCCAGTCCTTCTCTTCTCGCCTATCTTTTTCTTTGTGCTTGTCGTACATCTTGTCTGCCTCTGCTGCTCCAAGCGCGCCGATTAACACGCCAGCAGCAGTGGCAACAGAGTCCCCTTTCCCGAGCTCGTGACCAACCCACCCGCCGGCTAATGCACCAGCCAGGCTTGCACCAAGTGACAAATCGTCACTCTTATGACGACGTGAGGCAGACCGCGTCCGCCGTCTGCGGTGATATTCGTCATCGTATGGTCGGTCAGGGCGCGATTTACGGTGGGGACGTGATTCTTCGTATGGAGAGGAATGCCGGTCGTGATATCCTGGGGGGACACTGGTTGTCCTATAGCGCATCGGGCCAGATTCATCCCTTGTAGCCATGGCGCTGCGTTCCGATGGATATTGATAGGGAGTAGAGTAAAGGGGGTGCTGGTCATCAGGTGGGTAGGGGGCACCTGAAGGCTGTAACATAGTGTTAAAGAGTCGAATAGGTAATGATCCCTAGAATAGTGTTGGCGTACTGAGTGCATATACCCGCCATCCCGGTGATGCTGCGGATTTACGTTTGGTGGATACTGGGGATACTCTTGGTGGGACAACTGGCCACCCACACTGGCACTACTTCTGTCGTAGCCTTGTCGATCGTCTGGGTACTCGTCTCGAGCGTAGTTCCGACCTCGATCCCACTGATCGACGTCGCGTGAATCATCAGAGTCGTCCATGCTGCGTCGTTCGGGCTGCTGTGAGTCTCGTCTTCCCTTTCGCGACCGGGACCGATCTCGATTCCCTCCTCCCGGGGCAACACGCCGGAGGGTATCGTGGAGTTTGTCATAATATTTATGCGTGCCAGCATCGACGGCGGTAAGGGCCAACTCCTTTTATTGCATTAGTCATCATCATCATGGACCGATATTGACATTGTGATGAAAAAGATGTTCGGTTGAAACTATCCGCGCCCTGCAGATAGTTCGCTGAAGACAACACTTACAGCTAAGTCATCCATACAGTTGTACACCAGGGCTAAGACCGTTATGAAGCTTCCAGAATGGTTGGGAGGACGAGGACAAAAAGGTATTGTTTGCGAAGTGTTATTCGTCGCCGATCAAGTACCGTAAGGACAACAGTTCGGGGCACAATAAAACACGGAAAAACGGACTAGACTGACAGGTAGAGTGCTATCCTCAAGGAACGGGATTGATAGAATCGATACATCTGACTTAGACAAAAGGTGGACGGATGGTTATCTGGTAGTGGGATATACATACGGGCTGAGTAGTGTAGGTACGGCTGCCTCGTACTGTTCGTATTGCCTGGTTAGGGATGACTGAATCTGATCAGATCTCTACTACATCTTCGCTATTTTGGTGGTTACCGATATCACAGCCCGCGAAGCTTGTGACTGGAGGTCACACGCGTAACGCCACAGATGCCTGGCACTGGACAAAACCACCCGGAAAATGCGGAATGACGACATCACGTCCAGGTCTGATAGCACCCTTAACATATAACCCGTCCTCATAAGGACCAAGATTGAGAACTAAGGTGATCCTATTTCAACATACTTTACTACCTAGGCCGTTCGTAGTCAACGAGTTCCTTGCGCCATACATGATGCTGAGGTAGCGCATATTACAAGAATTGGACCCAACCAAACCAGTACTCCGATCCAGGACCTCATCATACCCCGACCGCCAAACCAGCCGAAACTCCTACATCTGTCTTACGAGCAATGCGATCGTCCGCGGACGAATCTCGAGACTCAAACATGGGGCCACGTCCGTTCATCTCCAAATATTCTTGCTCGACACCAGACTCCCTCGACCACCCGTGGTGCCATTCGAGCTAGCACTTGCCATTCGGACCGGCCCGGCCCTCAGTCCCCCACCCAGGCGCTCACCATCCTCGGAGCCGACTCCCGCCCCTGCCATGGTGGTCCGTCGACCACCACTCTTGATAATCGCCCCTGGACGAGGGCTCAGGATGCTTGCTTTCCAGTCGGCGTCGCTCGTCCGCTCGCTACGCACCATTCGTCGCGCATGCGACGCGGTAAACATGGAGTTTTCTCCGTTGGGACTGCCGGTGCTGACGGCCATGGCCGAAGCGCTCGTGGTTGGGCTACGGCGTCGATGAGTCCGGGCAGTACCGCCGCCGGATCCCATGGATTGGCGTTTCATGGCGGAGCGAATTGACTTTGCCTCGGCGCGATCAACCGGGTAGGCTGTGCGACGAGACTTTTCTTCATCGGATGACGATGATGCGGAACTGCTCTCGGCCGGGGTATTGTCAGATGAAGCGTTGGAGACATGGTGTAGTGGAGAGGGGTGAGGAGCGGCGTTGGGTTGCAGTTCCCGTAGAGGGGAATGCGAGTCGGAATCTGACGAGTAAGATGATTGCTGTGACAATTGCTGTTGCGAGAGAGGCGTGGGTGAGGTGTCCGATTTCTTGGACAGGAACCCAGACTGAAACCGGTTGCGCTTCGATTTCAGCTCTACTGAAGTCTCCGGCGGTGGGGGGATAGGAGATGAACCCTCTTTCTCTGGAACTTGGACCATGGCAGGCAACGTGGGTGGAGGCATCTCAACGGAGGAGATCTCAGGCGTTGAGTCCAATCGTTGCGGCGTCACCTGGAATTCGGCAAGCGTCCCGTCTTCGGTATCATCTCGCCAGCGCACCACACGCTTGGTGCCTTTAGCTGGTGATTTATTCTTAGGAGTGAAGGTAACGCCTTTCCTTGCCCCTCCTAGCTTCCTTCGTCGGGGGGAGGCCTTGACGGGAGACGATGAGAGCGTTGGTGTTTCTAAAAATCTCGGTGGTTGAAGAGCAACGACTGGGGATGGTCCAAGAAGCATGCCTGGGTTGCGCCGTTTCGGCGTCCCTGTCTTCCGTGGCGCAAACGCTTCTGTGAGAGGAAGACCCCCGTCCGGCTTGATGACCTGTGATGTCACGGATGTACACGCATTAACCATCTTCCCTAGGAGGTTCTTTGCAGCTTGGACTGCATCCTCTTCGTCCATCATCAAGATCTGGTTGATGATGGCGATGGTATCGAAGTGAGCCTGGAGCAATGCTTGAACGACGGCCGCGTCACCCCCTTTCTCTTGGTCTAACATGCTGGTGTACATTTCTCGATCGGCAATCGACCTCAACAGCTCTGTTTCACGCATCAAGGTAGAGTTTTCGAAACTTTCATCGGTTCCGTCGGCCTCCTTCAGTTGGCGAAGGCCGGTCTGCAACGCCATCTCCAAAGCTCGATCCCAGTTGTTCTTCGCAAGACGTTGGTGATAATGCTGGCGGCTGTTTTCCAATTCGGCAAGGATCCCTTGAGCGGTTTTTCGCATCGTCGATAGGCTCTTTGGTGGCTCTTCGTCCTCTCTGGAGTCGCAAACGGTATCGAAACCGGCCACCCAAGCGGATATGAGTGATATTCGTCGTTCAATTTGGCGGAGTTTCTTCATCATGCCAATTCTTTCTTGGCGTTCCGAAAGAGAATGTTCGAAGGCGCTGCGGATTCGAGCGATTCCTTCCCGAGTGATCGCATCACGCTTCTCGTTTTGCTTCTTGAACTTAGCAAAGGCATGAGATTCGGAGTCCTTTTGTTGCAGCTTCAGCTCGTTGATAAGCGCCATTTGTTCATCGATCTTCTTCAGGAAATCCTTGACGTGTCGGTTGACGTTATATACGTTCCTCGTAACCTTTGTCTGGATGTTCTTGGCTCGGTTCGCATATCTGAGAGTGTTTTGAGTCTCGTCAAAATGGGCGCTTGAAGGACTAACGCAAACGATCATGACCGTTCGACAATTGCCTCCCAGTGAGAACTTCAGCAGCCGAGTCAACTTTGAGTTCCGGTAAGGCACATGGTTCCGCTTTCTCGGATCGCACAAGGCATTGATGCAGCCCCCCAACGCTAGCAACGATTTGTTGATATTCGCGCCTTCTAAGAGCCTCTCTCCTCGATTCTTGGTCGCGCTGGCTCTCTCGCTCCCAGCAAGGTCGATGATGCTCAGTGTGGCCATGGTATGCGGCTCATTGACGTCTGCATTTCGGTCTTTCTGGGATATGTTGATCTGAAGGACGGCGTGCGAGCGGGATGATGTGGCATTTGCTTCGGTCGGTGACATAGTTCGGAACTCATTTCCGCGAATGATCAAGTCCATAACTTCCTGTACCTATAGCCGGTCAGAAACCTGGTTTGGGATAAAGCACACTAATCACTTACATTCTGCGGGTTGTAGCTGGAGAGCCCAACGACCGAGACAGTTTGATTGGCGTCCTCCCGAAGCATCAATCCTTGCTTACTTCCGCCGGGAACCAGCAGGTCCCTTATCGTTTCGTTATATATCTCGAGGTAAGAGAGTGTGATTTCGGTCACTTTCTCTTCCTGGACATCTTGTATCCGCTCGAACAACTCCTGCATGGTGAGGAAGATGATCCCAGGCTGCTGGGCCGTGCCACTGCAATTGTCAACAAAGAGCTGCGACGGGGAGGAACCATAACATACGTGATCGTGTGTGTCTTCCCGCATCCCGTCGCACCGTATGCAAATACCGTAGCATTGTATCCGTCGAGTACGCTGTCGAGGAGGGGCTTGGTCGTCGAATCGTAAACATCGCTTTGGGTTGTGTTGTCGTCAAACACTCGGTCAAAACAAAAGGTCTGATCCTTGACCCTCTTGCCCTGAGAAACAATGGACTTGGAGAATCTTTGGACTGGGTTATCCTCCGGTGGATCGAAGACTCTGTTGGTTGAAAGCACAGTATCAGCACATGTAAACATCCACACGAGTCGCCATTCAAAACATACAAGCACTTGTCATCGACGACTTTGATGACAGGTCGGAGGCCTTTCTGATACAGTTTCGGTGTTGGAACTGATGCTAACGACCCATCCCCAAGAAACAGCGGGCTGTCATCGCATTTGGTGAGCTGGGCAGCTTCTCGAATGGTGAAGGGCCGGACTCGGACGGCGACAGTAATGGATGACGCGCCGGATCGGGCGGCCATTGCAACGCTAGCAATGCGAACAGCGAGGATTGAATGATTAGAAAGTGAAGAGGTATAGTCGCCGAACAGTCTGGAATGATTGTGGAAGATGAAGACATACAGATCACAAAGTCGTTTGGTGTAGGAGTGGTGGATCCCAAGCTTTGTTCCGAAAGAGGAATAATCAAAACATGCAACCCCCGGTCGCTGCGACACTCACCCCTGCGTCATTCGAAACCGTAGCCAACACAGAAGTGAGAAGGGTTCAACGGTCAACATGACAATTGATAACATCAGCGAAGGCAGTTTAAACTTGATTTCAACAGCTTAGGCTCTATTAATTAGGTAGTTGGTAGGGTGCTACGCTGTTTGAACTTCACTTGGTTTTGGGGATTATTCTCCTATTGCGCTTTGCTTGCACCCTAATCAATTGTAATCTCTAGATCCGTCCATCCGCGGCGCCATGAGCCATGAAGAATGGTCTTCAACGCCTTTCTTCACTATACCGAACTCCCTGATATCCGTCTACTCGAAGTGTAGGAAACCTTGGCGCCATTAAATCATTGAGGAGCCACGCCACCTTCATTTTCATCGTCAAAGACATCCTCAGAACTTGGTATCACCACATCCCATTCCTCCTCTTCGACGTCCATATCACCGTCGTCAATGTTCTTATCTTTCTCGCCCCATTGAAAGGCAAGCACCGCATTGTCTTGCAGACCCATCGCCTTGACACTCTGACCGGCAGCAGTCTTGCCCTTCCGTCGGCCTCTGGATCCATCCCCCTCGTCTTCGAAAGGGTTAGGGTCAATTTGGGTCCACCCGCTTAAAGGATCGTTGATATTGTTGGGTTGAGCGAGCCTGAATTGCTCCGGGCCTTCGGGCAGTGGTTTGCCGTTCAATTCTTCGGTTGGCGTCGTCTCTTGTAGCGCCTTTAAGAGTTCTGCTTTTACTGACGAGAGGTTCTCGAGAGGGTCAACGTGCAGGAGCACGGTGGTCATGTGGTACTTCAGCCTGAACGTCCATGTTCCAGGATTGGGCTTTTGAGCAGGCATGGCGCCAAAATTGATATATCCTGTTGAACTTGAGATTTCCCCACGGTCTTGAGAATTTGTCTTATAGAGGCACGCTCCTAAATTTTAGGTCAATCTGCGTGTAGAGGAAGGCAAGACCGGGGTCCCCACGGTGTTAACAAGGGATATGATATAGAAGTGTCGCGCATAGAAGGGGTATAGAATAAGTCGAACTTGGAAATGGGAAGTGGGTCAGGCTGTAAAGAGAGGCGCTCAAGACTCTGAGGTGTAACTTGTAAGATCCGTTACGTATGTGCCACCGATATATGTATTCCAGGTCTCAATGAAGGTCGAATTGGAGAAGCATGAAGTATTCTTTGACTCTCTCACTTCAGCCAACATCGTTGTCATTGGCCGAAAAGCCCTCCTGGTGGACTGGAACCAATCACGTGGCTAATCATGTGGTTCCCCGTTTCGACATCAAAGGATGCAGTTCATTATCTCTCACCGTCTTGACATGTCAATTTTCTATCTTCTTAATCGCTGTCACATCCTGTCTATGAAGTGGACTCCAGCTTCTGATAATGTCTATCTAGACCTTCACTAGTACCTTACTAGTACCCCCTAGTCGCCTACTGGTTTTGTACTCACTCACTGTATTCAGAACCCGAGAATCCTCAGGTGGTATCCTCAGGTGGTATCCGCAAGTCTATCTCGCTCCAGATATGTCGAATGAGGGAGTTCCATCGGGGTAGCACCTCCATCGAAGAGGTAAAAATTGGATGAAAGTCCTTCACCAATGTAAGTTCTTCACCAATGTAAGTCGGTTCGAATGCTCTGCTTATTTAGGATAGGGATAATGACAGTCGCTAGGGATTTCCTATGCGATGGCTTATTTACTGATCCGACCATCAACCTATCAAACGAAGTACGACAACAGCACTGGCACTGGGTTGGCCTGGCTTTTAAGAATCTCCAGTCTAGTAGACAAGCTAGTCGTGCCATGCTTCATCGATTTTTACGATATGTATTTCCAATTTGGGCCTGATTCAAAAATCGACGCCAGACATTTTGAGGCAATCATTCGCCCTTTGCATAGTGGGGACGGCTTTCCGGAAAAGCTAACGCTTCAGGGTCGAGCGATTCAACGATGTACCACGTTAATGACGTATATAGCGGAAGAGAGAGAGCTTGTATCCGTAATCCATGAAATGATGGCGGAATTCGCTATGTTTGGGAAGGACCTAGCCATCGCTCTGGTCCTCCGTTCCCAGGCACACGAAGCGGACTGGGCTCAGCTGCAGTGTCAAATTGTGAATTAGCAGAATTCAAAATCCCTCGTGACGGGCTCCCTTCTCGCACAGAGACCCCATCCTGATCCCGCTTTACTGTCCGGCAGGTCATTTACACAACATATCAAATCCGGATGAGCTACGGTCATGTATGATCCCTTCGGAGGAGGATACGTCAATATGTTTTGAAATCTTGATATAATCTAGATATATGAGCAATAAACAGAAGTCAGGGCAAGTCATATAACAAGGAAATGGAGCTGTCTCTACGGGGCTGGTCAAACCGCATCGGACTTTCCAGGATGAAGTGCATTTGAATGGACTCGATATGCAAAGGTTGGAAGTAGAGACTTCGACCGCAGATCCTTGGGGTCATCAAAGCAGACATGAAGGCAAATATAGGGGGGATGGAATTTCCCAACGGCTATTATGAGCATAAGGTTATTATGGATAGTACTGTCCAGGCCTGGCCAAGTTTGAAGCACACTTTAACACGGCGGATCATGAATATTGAGTGATCCCAGTGAATTTGAGCCTATCTACTTGGTCCCTTAGCTATAAGTGAGAGCTCAACATGCCTTTCAATCTCCGCAGTGGATGTGCCGCTTCATTTCCTGCAATTATTGGCTGTGGACAGACATCCGTTCCTTAGCCATTACGAGAGTAGGTGCTACCACCGTTGCCGTTGTTGTAGTACGTGCTTCCATTCGGGTTCGAGTAGTAGTAGCTACCATTGCTGAAATATCGTGAGCTAAAACGAATGTGATGATAATGCCCTTACGCTCGACTCACGTGTTGGAATAGTGATAGCTGTTCGAATTCGAGACGTTAGAGCCATAGTCACGGGAGCAGTAATGGTTGCCCTAGTATCAGTCAGAATATCAGGTCTTGCAGAAAACTATTTTAGCTGGACCGGGCAATCTAAAAGCCGGCCTACCTGACTGTTCATTCCGCTGCTGGTAGTCGTATAGCTTTGACCGCTCGAGGAGGTGTTGCCAGAGGTCCCAGAGGATGTCCCCGAGGAGGCCCCTGAGGTCCCAGAGGAGGTCCCAGAGGAATTGGCGGATGACTGGTTTGCCATAGTTTCAATGTTAAGGAGGAAATACGGTTCTGCAGAAATTGAGAATATGTTTACAGCAGGAAGAGATCAAGCACTGAAGACTTTGTCTATTTGTAGGAGTGAAGCTGAGGAAGCAGTCATGTTGTCACACGGAGGTCACCTGACCTCGGTGCTTGTTGAGGCACGTGGCTTATGTTTGCTCGGAGAGGTCTATCTCGATCTCGTCACGCTGTATTTTAGATACATCCAATACATCGCTCTTCTCTCTCATACGTGATCTTTGCTCGATTGGAGTATTCTTCACACATGTACTCATGTAGTGATGATAAGGAAGGCGGGCGAAATAGGGGACTGCGAGCCTCTAACGCTAAATATAGTGTTCCATTCTCCGATTGGCCTTCTCCACTTCTGGTAGGCCCGACCCGACTACCGTAGCCTAACCAGTGAGGGAATGTACTGCATGTGTGCCGTGCGGCTTCTAGGCTCTAGCAGATGGCATTTCAAGCCAAGGAAAAGACAAGCTGTGGGAAAGCGCGTGGTGAAGGCTGGTTAGTGGTTACAGTAGGTACATGTGCTGTATAGTACTGACTTACAGCAGTCTGTAGCACCTGATTCGGTTGCAGCCAAGCAATTATACAAATGGGCCGCGATCTGGAAGTTTATAGGCAGAGCTGGCCAGAGAGGAAGGGCGCTCGGGACATGGGAACAATTAGGTAGCAGTAAAAACACTGAAGAATGAGTCTTGGAGTCATAAAGGTCCCCCACTATCCCAGTCTAGCGAGGGTAGTGGCTGATAGAACGTCGGCTTATTGATTGAATTGAGATGTATAAATAAGGATTGTCGCTATGCATTCAACTTGAGACCGATTGCTTGCCACCATGATCGGCCGTAAAGATGCACTCATTCAAGAAAGGGGGCAAGCATTCGCGAATGGGTCCCGATCAGAAATCCTTCAAGCAGCCGGTTTCTTCCCCATTACAACACGCCTTGATTAACATTAGTCGGTGAGCGATGCCACGAGTTGGAGCCATAAACTTACACTTCCTGGTAATATTGATTCTTCCTATCTTTCAGCGCCCGCTCAATATCTTTCTGAAGCTGTGTGACGCGGTCGGGTGGCCACTGGACAGTCTGTTAGCCTCACATCCTTTCTGGCCTGGGGACGGATCCTTAAGACAGCGTCCTCACTTACTCCAAGGAACCTCGTAACCAACGCCTGGACCCACCCCTCGAAACTGACAGCCCAGCTTAATAGGTTCCATCGTCCGAGGTCTTTGAGTTTGGGGTCGCTACTCCACGGCCCAAGAGGCCATTTGAAGATGCGCTCTTGAACTTCCACGAAGCCTATATAGATAATGAGAAATCGAGGACGGACACATGGGTCGATTGGGTGGGAATACGTACCGGCTTCCTTGATCTGATCGCGCATCTCCTTCTCTTGGTTCAAAGACTTACCCCACACCTGTTGAAGTTCAGGGAGAATCCCAAGAATCTCCTTGATAGCCGGATCATGCTGCTCTCGTGGCTCTGCCGGGTAGATGAAAGTGCTGAACTCGACATGTTCAAGCCAGCCCCCAGGCTCCAAGTGGCTATGGGACAGTATGAGTAGTTTGTTTTGGATTGGGAGGGCAAATAGGACTTACTTGAGACAAGAGTTATACAGCGTTGGCCAGTCGGAAACACCGCCATTGAGTCCCCGCATGTGGATGAAGTCAAAGTGATCGACAGGATAAGTCCATTCACTCGTACAGTCGTCGACTTCGAAGCGGACATTGAATGGAAGTTGCCGAGGCTGGACAGGCGACAGGTCGATTCCTATCGATGGATCAGTAGGGTTGCCACTTGTTCTTAAATTCGTTCAGCTCACCAAGCACATCCGCTCCAGGGTAGCGATCGCCCATATCGCTGCAGAGAGTTAGCCAAAGTAGCAGTTAATTGAGGTCCAACGTACATTGCCCAAGTTCCCGTACCGGTCCCGACGTCAAGAACTCGCTGCGGATTGTCCAAGGGTGCAAGATGGAGCTTATCATCGAATGTTACAATGTACATGTGGTGGCTTAGAGAATATTTAGTATAGCGACACGCAACTACAAGTGTTTCGAACTTACCAAATCGCTTCTCCATCCTGATGCTGCTCGTCATTGGGCATGTAATATGCGCCATCCCCTGGTCGAGATTTAGTAATCATGGCCAACTGAGGCGGGCTATGAGGAAGGGTTTTATACGGAAGGCATGGTATCTCCGGCCATGTTCGTAACGATATGCTGTGACGCTTGTAGCTATCGTCTGACCGCTTGAGTTGAGGTTAGCAGGAATTAACTCGAAGAAGAACATGGGAAGACCTACGAAGAGAAGCTATAGTCATCATCGTCGTCAATTCCATCGACGTAGTTTTGGTCCTATCACTTTGATTGGTATGTTGCTTGAATGCCAAACCGAACGGACATAACGCACAATGGGAATGGGCGAATCTTCAGACGCCATGGGCCAATGCATCTATGCGGGAACTCCACCAGAGAGGATTGGAGTGTAGCCTTTAGTATTGCATTGATTAATAGTCGGTAATGATATTTTGGATGGCAGTGGAACACCTGGGAGCTGCTTGGCAACTCGGATTTACCAACGAAACTTCAAAAGGTAGAAAATGATGACCGAGATCCCGCCAGGACGAGACTGGAGGGTTGGAGGCAATAGAATTATGTACCTTACGTACGAGATTCGAAGATTGGGGTGGAGAGGGAGGGGAACGCTCAGTCGCTCACGACTCAGCGATCTGCATTACTGGAGTCGGCTGAGACTGTGGGCTAGAGTCCTGGGCTCCTGGGCTACGGGGCTGATAACCACTAACAAGTAACCACTAACCGGGCGCTGGCTTGGAATGTGGAAAGCTTCTCCGGAGATCGCAAGGTTCAATCATACGGGATAAGTTCAAACGATCGAATACAAGGCCTTAAATTGGGGTCGATTGTGGAGGAGCTGCATCTCAACTGGTCGAGGAAGCAAATCAGAGACGGCGAGACTTGAGTGTTGAGTGTTGCACCGAAGCTTGAGAGCTGCAGCGGACAGCGGTAGAGCTTGGATACGACAAGCAGCAAAATGGTCAAAGCCAGAACAGAAGATTTGTTAAAGAAGCGCATGACGAGTCAGTTACCCGTTGTTTGCTTTTCCCAAATCCATCCCAAACCCAATGATTGGGGGAGGTGCTCCTGGATTCCGTAATGGCGATGGAAATCCTAAAAACCGTCTGGGAGAACCAGAAGGGCGGGACCCTTTCTCCGGGAGATTGGGTCCTCCCGTAACCTTTTCCACAGTACCGGTAAACCTTCCACACTCTCGGAATGGAGGCGGTTTTGGTGTCACCGATTATATATCGAATCTTGGTCCTTTTCATCACGAGAAGCTTTGCGGAGGCGCTGTTGCTTCGATTCACATGCCAACTGGTGGGTCGATCAAATAATCGATGCCTCTCCTTATCGATCACCGCCGACAGAGCTAAAGGGAAACAGTGGACTGGACCCGGGCGGACTCCTGCGAGGGCTCCTTGGCCAAACGGCATCTGGCTTCGGGCCTCGGGTTCAACCTCCATTGACTCAGACAATAGCAACTATTGGCTCGAGCAATAGAATTTCAAGAGTCAAGAGTCAAGCATGCTTGGTAGGAACTAAAATTGCGGTGTGAAATGATGAATTCATGGATTCATATTTCATCCGTCCGCTCTGCACCTGACGTGCCGTACGTCTCCGGGTCTTGAACGTGAACCATCATTTAACCATCAACTATGGCGACTTGGCCAATTGTTGCACCTTGAGGGGGTATCGTACGGTACATGACACTCCTATTTCGGCCTACAAAAGTTATTGGGGTCAACTCTTGCTGACTTGCTTGATCACTGATGCATTGGAGGCTTGGAGTCTTGAAGACCTGGAGCCTGGAATGTGGGAAGCTGGAGGGAGCTACTTGGACAAATTTGTCAATGCGCTTGGCGTTTGGACCTGCCCGAGCCGGGCTCCCGTCGCTATCCGCCGCTCCACTGTCGGAGAGACGGAGAGACGGAGAGACGGAGATAGGTTTTCTGTGGGAATTAGGGAATACGCTAATAATACAACTTTCAGACATTGCTCTCACTTCTAAGTTTTATCATCCAGGTAGGTATCCCTCCAATAGTCCAATTCTTCTTCCCCATGCTCAGGCTTCTGGGTAGCTCCAACAACTGCAAAGATGACTCGACTTTGTGCAGTGCATGGTTGACATCAAGTTCATAACCAAACCATGATCCATGGTATGATGGAAATCGTGGCATGCAATAGGACGATCGGTCCTCGAACCAATCTATGACGTTGAAGGACCGCAGGGGTATCATTAACCAACCTAATTGTACATGATGATCTAGGGGCTGATAGTACAGAAGCGAAAAGGCGAAGGTATATCTCCACAGCTCGAATCGAGCCTAATCAGTTGAAGGTTACCTTTCCATCCCGTCCAACCCTCGCATATCGTGTCTGCAACGGCTGGCTTGGCTCGGGTTGAGAGACCTCTGCTTTTTGTTGCGGCGTAACTGCAGATGCATGCACGGCAGGCTTCCGCAAATCAACTTTCACCGGACCCCTCACTACTCCGGCTGGAGTATCCGCAATCTCATTCACCTCGTTAGTTGTAAGCACATCGCGGAGACTCGACCCCCGCGATTGGACCAGGACTGTGCTTGGGCCATAAAACCGTAGAAATAACTGAGAGTTTATTAGAATCTTGATTTGTGGTTTGAGCGGTCGGTCCATCAGAGAAACTCACCCTGTCGCCCGAAATTGACCGCCTTGTCCAAGTACGCAATCGAAACAATGCGGCGGTTACCTTCCTCCATGTTGGGGTCTCACGCATCACCTGGAAGAACTTAATGTCAGGGATCCAGGATAGCGCGCTCATAAGAGGTACTTGGAGTCGTAGAGCTGAAGATTTGAAGCGGTAGGGGAGGGGGGGGTTAGTTGATATTGAGTATGCAATCACATTGCTGTTGCTTTGATTAGTGATAGGTCCTAATACGGATGATATCAGTCTTAATTACCTTGGATGGACAACGTATTCGTCTCCGGTTTTCAAAACTATTTGATAGATCTGCCCTTTGCCAACAAGAGCGAGCAGACCCCTGCCTGTCACGTATGAATTCCCCCAATGTGAAAGGCTCTGCAGTCTGTCAGTTGCGATCATCCTGCGAGCGAAGTATCGTACCAAGGTTGTGTTTAACTTAGGCTTGATCGCCAGTGTATGCCCGGTCCATGCTAATATAGCATTTCTCTGCGCCACCATCCAGTCCATCCGTCCATCTAGGTGGACTACGGTAAATGATGTTAATGACGACTTCGTGGCGATCAAAGCTTGGATTGGGCTGGTCGACGTGATCTACCATCTGTAAGTAAAGTACACAACTCTAGGCAGGAGGAAGGACCTTTTGATATAAGAAAGGTATTCCGGAAACGGCGCGTCGGAAGGGTTGGAGGATGGAGAGTGTAGAAAGCGCCTAGTCGAGGTTTAGCACTGTTGCCAGAAAAGCATCACAGAGGGCTTCACATACACTTTCCGCCTTCCCGCTGACTCCTACTAGTGTCCCTCGTCGAGTGAAGAGTTCTTGAGATGCTGATAAGGAAACGGACAGCAGTGAAGAGGGTGTGCCGAGGACCTCGAATCGGGCATCTGCTTGCAATGAGCTTTGAACCAATACATTGTCGGGGAGTCGTATGTACCGGGTCTAGTTGATGACGCAGGTTCCGAGGCTGATTGAATCCCTATATCGCGGGTTTCCGAGGCGGGAATCGAGGCAATTCGAAAGTTTCGTCGGTGGGCAACGGCATACCGGACAGCCAGCGCGGATTGCCTTCGCGGAGGTGCTCGAAGCCCACATTGGATCGGGACTCTCATGCCTCGTGGCATTTGCAGCTACCCAATGGATATGGATGCCTCAATGGGCAAGTAATGAAGAGAATGACGGCGATGGGAGTTGATAATTTTTGGACACACTTCGCGAGTCGGAAGTCGGAACGCGTTGAATCGACCCCGTAACTGGCCCGAAGTATTTGATATCCATCTAATAATTGGTGATGCAAGAGCTTGAAATGCTTGGCGTGCCCGGGTCTTACACTTATAGTACCAGTTATTATATTACATCTGCTCCAGAAACACATCAACCCGAAAGTCCCACTTCAATCACAGTCTATTGTGAGAGAACGCGAATGCCCTGGTATGTCTGCTGCTAAGTGCTAGAATGCATGCGACTGACCGTTGCAGAGCTGCGACACCTCAAGGCCCCGGTGACGTGCTCGCATCAGCCCGGAGAAGATGCTAGGTGAAATCTACCCGACTCTTGCGCGGCAATTCGAAGGTTCCGCGTGCGGACAAGCTATCTTAAAGATCCGATAAGATGATACCCCTTAGAGGAGCGCATCGTGCGCTTTATTGCAGACCAAATACCTATAGACGGTCCTGCCTGCTGTCGAGATACCTCACCCCGTCAACCCTGGGACCCAACACGACCTCCTCAGCCCACCGCCAGGCGCGTCAAGCTTCCAGCAATGTACCCACCCCACCCAAGGCCCCTACGAAGGAGTCTACAAGCTCCAAACAGCAATCCGAACTTCTCGCGGAGAAAACGGTGTCAAGAAAGGAGCAAAGGAAGGCTGACTGGGCCATCATGAAGGAGATGACACAATATCTCTGGCCGAAGGACAAGCTAGGGACTAGGTTTCGCGTGAGCCTCGCTGTAGGCTTACTCGTAGGAGCCAAACTTCTCAACGTCCAAGTCCCTTTCTATTTTAAGAGCATTGTCGACTCTATGAACATTGATTTTGCTGCTGTGGGCGGGACTGCCTGGACTGTAGCTGGCTCCATGGTCGTAGCATATGGCGCAACCAGGGTCGGAGCCGTACTGTTCCAGGAACTGCGAAATGCGGTTTTTGCGAGCGTGGCACAGAAAGCAATCCGACGAGTGGCATGCGGTGTCTATGAGCATCTTCTCCGCTTAGATTTAAACTTCCATTTGTCTCGGCAGACCGGCGGCCTCACGAGAGCAATAGATCGAGGGACGAAAGGGATCAGCTTCCTGTTGACGTCGATGGTGTTCCACGTCATCCCAACGGCCTTGGAGATATCCTTGGTTTGTGGTATCTTGACCTACCAATACGGGTTCAAATTTGCAGCTATCACGGCCACAACAATGGTCGCCTACACTGCTTTCACAATCACGACGACGGCATGGAGGACGAAGTTCCGAAAACAGACAAATGCAGCAGACAACAAAGCGGCTACTGTCGCCGTGGATTCTTTGATCAATTACGAGGCAGTGAAGTATTTCAATAACGAAAAATATGAGGTCGGTCGATACGATCAAGCGCTTCAGCAGTACGAAAAAGCAAGCATCAAAGTTGCGACTTCGCTTGCACTCCTCAACTCCGGTCAGAATATCATCTTTTCCACCGCACTGACGGCGATGATGTTCCTGGCAGCCGATGGAGTTGCCACTGGGACTCTCACCGTTGGAGATCTTGTGATGGTCAATCAGCTCGTCTTCCAGCTCTCAGTACCATTGAACTTTTTGGGCTCGGTCTATAGAGAACTTCGACAAAGTTTGCTGGATATGGAGACATTGTTCAACCTCCAGAAAGTCAACGTTGCCATCAAGGAACCTCCGAACGCAAAGTCCCTGATGCTCACCGGCGGTGAGATTCGATTCGAAAACGTTACTTTTGGATACCATCCCGACCGACCTATTCTTCGAAATCTATCCCTCACCATTCCAGCTGGCAAGAAAGTAGCCATTGTTGGCCCCTCGGGCAGTGGTAAATCCACGATCCTTAGGTTACTGTTCCGGTACTACGACATTCAAGAGGGGCGGATCCTGATTGATGGCCAGGACATTCGAGAAGTGAGCCTGGAGAGTCTGCGGAAAGCAATTGGCGTTGTTCCACAGGACACTCCGCTTTTCAATGCTTCGATTGAGCATAATATACGATATGGCAATCTAGGAGCCGATACAGGTGCTGTCATTGCCGCAGCTAGGAGAGCTAAAGTGCATGAGACGATCGAAAAATTCCCTGAGAAGTATCAAACCATGGTCGGGGAGCGAGGGATGATGATATCCGGAGGCGAGAAGCAGCGACTGGCAGTGTCTAGACTCATCCTCAAGGACCCGCCGATCCTCTTCTTTGACGAAGCGGTATGTCTGCCCTCCTTATCTTCGAACTTTGCTGACTGAGACTAGACATCTGCACTGGACACCCATACCGAGCAAGAGCTCCTACAAAATATTAACAGCATTCTGAGAGAAAAGCAGAGAACGTCTGTTTTCATCGCCCATAGACTACGAACGATTTACGACAGCAATCTCATCATCGTGCTACGAGATGGCAGTGCCGCCGAGAGCGGAACCCATGAACAGCTCATCAACACCGGGGGCGTGTACTCTACCCTATGGAGCGGTATGTAGCCTATTCCCTGCTTTTTGTGCGAATGCTGACATTTTTGAAGCTCAGGAGACTCTGACACTAGAGGATGATGCGATGGTTGAGCCGGTTGAGCCGAGCTCTAGGTAACCGAGCCACCTTCATCTATTGATCCTGTAACTTTAGGAGTCGACTGAAAGTGTATCTACTCTGATTTGATGTCAATAGAAATACTAGACAGGTGCTCGCCTCAATCCAATATATTATGAATTTGTTCCATAATGATATAAAAGCCTCTATGATATGATGTATTTGAAGCAGAGGGATCACCTTTTGTTAGGTATCGCTTGCTGTTGCAGGCAATGTATCTAACGGATGGTGAGGTGCGGTTTGCTTTTCCCCTGAGCATGCAGTGACTGGCAGTTGTGGTCGCTGTGTGAATATCAAAGTTTAGGGAGCTCCCAATGAGGATACGTAGGCAGCTCTGCGTTTTCGAGTTGACAACATTAAGGTGCCGCCTAGCTTCCACTATGACTGTTTGATGTCTTCGTTATGCAATTTAGCACTCTAAACCGCTGCTAGTAATCTCTACGAGTGCTCTTATGTCATGAGGGGTACGTCGTGGCTATCTCGAGTTGGGCTTCTCGCCCTCTCGAGCAGCTTGCTCCCAGCTCCTTTCGCTGGAGCAACAGCGCCAATTGAAGTTGCGCTACGAGCTTCTTTCACTGCTCCGCCTTTGTTATTAGAACTTCTGTGAGTTTCTCCTCCGGTATGGCTTCGCCTGTAAGCTGACAAACTCGCAGAGAAACCGCCACAGAAGAAAGCGAGTTCGCGTATACCCCTTTGCTTGACCGAATAGCGGATGGCTACTTTGACGAATATACAACGGATCGAAGTATATACGACGCGTTCCTCGAACTATTACAAAACGATGGCATCCTCCCCAATCAAGAAGCGCTCGACTCATTTCAATTCGCTTTCTCCATACATTCAGCTGCCCCTCGAATCGAAGCCCATCTCCAGTATTACAACACCTCCGTGCGACCTGCGCGTTCTGTAGAAGGGGAGGGCTGTTCTTCGTGGCTTGATATTGCGGGCAGGGCTATATGTGCAGTTGATATCCAGGCCAATACTCTTGAGGCGTCAACATCGGTCGTGGTCGAGCTGCCCTTCGACCGAACCATCGACCATAGCAATTCACCGCCGTCCGCTGTTTTGTATGCTGATATAACATCAAAGGCTTTCCGGGGCCTGTATAAGAAGTTGAGGGGTCAAAATGGCGCATTTTCGGTGCGTTATGCTTCACCAACGGAGGTTTCCGGTCAAGAGCTTGGGATTCAGAGCTACGGCGTGGAACTGGCACTCAAGCGAACCGATTACATCGTGATCGATGATAGGGACAAGAAAGTTGACGATAGCGCTGCCGAAGAAAGGAGCACCGACTCCCAAAATGCCCTTGTAGATGTAGAAGTTGATGAGATCAAACCGTTGTCAAACACCGAGCTGAAGAGCCTCGGAATGAAGGCGGCTTCTCTGGTCATGAAGAGTCCTGATCCATTGGAGGGCCTCCTCAAGCTGACCCAGGACTTCCCAAAGTACTCGTCGTCGATTGCGGAACAAGAAGTATCGGAGGACTTCTTAAACGAGCATCGTGCAAATCGCGAGATCGTACCTGCCGGCTACAACGTTCTATGGATGAACGGCATGCAAATGGATTCGCGCAAGCTGGATGCCTTTTCTCTCCTTGAGCACCTCCGGAGGGAGCGAAGACTCATCGATAGCATCAAATCCTTGGGACTTAACTCTACCGAGGCGATCAATGTCCTTGCACATCCAGCCGTTGCTGATGCCCAGGCCGATGAGGACCCTCAACGCTACGACTACCGTGATGAAATCGAGGGAGGGAATGTCATTATCTGGTTGAATAACATCGAGAAAGACGAGAGATACGACGGTCTACCCTCGAGCGTCACGGCGCTTTTACAGAGAACCTATCCAGGGCAATTGCCCGGTGTTCGACGGGAATTCCATAAGGGTGTCTTCCCTGCCGATCTGAGCAACTTGAACGACCTCAGGATGGTCGTCGAATCACTGCAAAGCCTTGTCCAGCGACGAATCCCGGTCGAATTCGGCATCGTTCCCACAGTGTCTTCGGAAGAGTCGAAACTTCGTGCACGAGTCACCCACCATCTAGTTGAGACTTATGGCCTACACGTGGCGATGACTTACCTGGAGAATCTGCTGGAGGCTACATCCGTGAAGGATGCAGGACTGAAAGCATTCATCGAGGTGACCGAAGACGCGGAACTAAAGAATGATCAGGAGAAGTTAAACTTTGAAGAAATTTTGCAATCGGACGCATTGACCGCCATCCTCGAAGAGACTGAGCACTACATATCTCGACTTAGACTTTCTGGCACTCCTGCTCCAGGACTAGTGAATGGCGTAAGTTGTGTCCGCGATGAAGATTGGCTGTCTACAATGAGCACCCGCGTCTCGTCGGATCTCCGAAAAGTGCAACGAGGAGTATTCGACCACAAATACGACGACGACTCTTGGTTACCCGATATATTCTTGTCAGAAGCGTCGGCGCATAGGAACCCTCTGGTTGTTCCTGAGGACGAGAAGAGCATCAAGATCATTGATATGCTCGATATCGGTGCAAGGATGGCCGAGACTCGTCTTCCACGCATTTCATCCACTGCTCCAACTCTTACGAACGCTAGTGCGGAAGTCGTGATCGCAGGCGATTTTGATTCTGAAAGGGGGAAGACTCTGCTTTTGGAAGCCGCGAAATTCTTCAAAGAACAACCTGGGATGGACGTTGTGTTCCTTTACACGGGCGATGGAACGAAGATGATGAATGTTCCGCGTATCCTCGGGAGCCATGGCCAAGATCAAGAAGCCCTCTCTTGGGACATGCTCAAGGCTGCTATCAGGATTGACGACTCGGAAGGGCCGCCAGTTGAGGCTAATACATTCCTTGCTCGCGAGTTTTGGGCTACAACAAGTGGCTTGTTGAAGCGGTTCGGTTTACAACCGAGTGTCGGCGCTATAATATTCAATGGACGATTGGTCGGACCCATTGGCGACGGCGACTCATTCACAAAAGAGGACTTTGAAGGTCTCTTGAAATATGAGCAGAGGAAACGCATGGGTCCTGCGTTCAAAGCCATCGAGTCCCTCGGAATCCTTTCGAAAACTCGGGACGTGCAGAGTTTCTCTAAGCTATCAGTTACAATTGCCCGATCAGCGCAGTCCGATGTCCCCGAAGGTATATTCGAGTCTCTCCCGACGGTGAGAACGAATGTGTATAGCGATTGGAACTCTACCCATACTGCGATTCATGTCGGTTCGGTCAATTCTGCCTCGATCGAATTTATTGCGACGCTCGATCCTGCAACTGAAGCCGCCCAGAAATGGGTTCCGATACTGAAGACTCTATCGGAATTGAGCGGAGTATCGGTAAAGATCTTCTTGAATCCTCGGGAAGCTATCGATGAACTTCCTGTCAAGCGGTTCTATCGCTACATTTTGAACGCCAAACCCCAATTTAATGACGAGGGCCAACTTCAGGAACCACGAGCACGGTTTTTGCGCATTCCGGCAGACACGCTGCTGACAATGGGTTTGGATGTCCCGGCACCGTGGCATGTTGCGCCCAAGCTGTCGGTCCACGATTTAGACAATATCAAGCTTGAGAAAGGGAACGTCGACGAGCCGGTCGAGGCTATCTATGCGCTTGAACACATTCTTGTTGAGGGACATTCGCGCGAAGTGAGCAATGGGGCGCCACCTCGAGGCGCACAGCTTATATTGGCCACGGAGTCCGGCGTTCAAGTGGCAGACACCATCATCATGGCCAACTTAGGCTACTTCCAGTTCAAAGCAAATCCTGGACGATACAGCATTGGATTGAAAAAAGGACGAAGCGCTGAAATTTTCAAAATCGACAGTGTCGGCGCAATGGGATACTCATCTCATCCAGGAGACGAAACGACCGAAGTGACTTTGATGAGTTTCGCCGGGCTGACGCTATTCCCGAGGCTGTCTCGCCAGCCCGATATGGATACGGAAGACGTGCTCGAACAAGCTTCGTCTGCCGTGGAAGAAACGCTCTCTAACCTTTCGGGTGCAGCGGATCAAGTGCTAGAGAAAGTTGGAATCAAGAACGCCAATACTGGGAAATTCGTCTCACAAGGCATGGGCATGATTTCATCACTGGCACGCAAAACCGGCATCAAGACTGATCTCTCCCATGCCGCGACGCACGCAGATATCAACATCTTCTCCGTCGCCAGTGGCCACCTCTACGAGCGCATGCTCAACATCATGATGGTCAGCGTGATGCGACACACCGAACATACGGTCAAATTCTGGTTCATCGAGCAATTCCTGTCCCCGTCGTTCAAGTCCTTCCTCCCGACCATGGCCGCCCAATACGGCTTCCGGTACGAAATGGTCACATACAAATGGCCGCACTGGCTGCGCGCACAGAAAGAGAAGCAACGCGAGATCTGGGGCTACAAGATCCTCTTCCTCGACGTCCTCTTCCCCCTGGACCTCGACAAGGTCATCTTCGTCGACGCTGACCAGATCGTCCGCACCGACATGCACGACCTGGTCGCCCACGACCTGCACGGCGCCCCCTACGGTTTCACACCCATGTGCGACTCCCGCACTGAGATGGAAGGCTTCCGCTTCTGGAAGCAGGGCTACTGGAAGAACTTCCTGCGCGGCCGCCCCTACCACATCTCTGCGCTGTACGTCGTCGACCTGCAGCGGTTCCGCCAGCTGGCCGCAGGCGACCGTATGCGCCAGCAGTACCAGCAGCTGTCCGCCGACCCGAACAGCCTGAGCAACCTGGACCAGGACCTTCCGAACAACATGCAGATAGGGCTGCCGATCCACAGCTTGCCGCAGGAGTGGCTGTGGTGCGAGACGTGGTGCAGCGACGAGAGCTTGGCGACGGCGAAGACGATCGATCTGTGTAATAATCCGTTGACGAAGGAGCCGAAGTTGGATCGGGCAAGGAGGCAGGTGCCCGAGTGGACCGAGTACGATGAGGAAATCGCGGCCCTGGCGAGGCGCATGGGGGAAGGTGTTGTAGCAGAGGGGAAGGAAAGTGCTGCCGGGGCATCGACGTCAAAAGGAGCATCTACAAAGGACGAGTTATAGAAACTGAAGAGACTTACGATGGTGGCATTGGATGAGAAATTCCAGCGATTGTACGTGTATAATACATTAGTTAGGGATTTAGAACCATGATAGGCGTTCGTCCAAGGACCCGAAGGAGGGTATTTTAAATCACCATGACATGCGCCGTTGCTCCCTTGCTGCTCAATGACTCATTAGACTTAGATTGGAAACCATGATTGGAAACCATGAATGGCCTCGTAGATGGCTAACAGTATGCGCTCAGATGATATCTACAATCTATCAATTGACGATCGTGCGGAGGTAATGGAACAACGCCACCCCATGCTCGCTGCATTGCTGCAAACGTCTTCTGTCCCCGCACATCCAAGTCCGAACCACGATATCCACACCATGGCCTTGCTCAAATACATCATCACAATAGTAATACATCAAACATTTTCCCAGCACTCGAACCGCATCGCAGAACCCATGGCAATGAGGTACTTACACCAGCACCCACTCCGACCCCCGCTTCACGAACTTGTCCAAGAGGATCGACATATCCGCCAACACGAACCGACAGACGTAGAACCCGAAAAACTCCGCCGCATGCCGCGCGCACAGCTCCAGCCCGACGTACGTGGGGTTCGAGTGCCGCAGCCCAGGATCCTCCACCTGGCGCGCCACCTGGTCGACGACCTGCACGGCGTCGAACAGCCGGGCCAGCGCGCTGGTATAATTCGCGTTCGGCCCGCTGAAGTCGACGGCGGCGACGTCGCGCTTCGCGAACCGCGGGTTCACCAGCGAGGTCATCGGGAGGGTGGGCATGACGAGGCCGTCGCGCGGCGGGTCGCGCTGGGCTGTGAGGGAGATGGAGCCAGTGCCGGAGATGGAGCCGGAGGCGCCGAGGCCGGTGCTAGTGTTCTTGGAGCGGAGCTTGCGCCAGCTGGTGAGGTAGCCTTTGGATTGGGTTCCGGAGGCGGACTTGCCGAGCGGGAGGCCGGGGACGGGGGGGATGGAGTTGTCGTCGAGGATGGGGACGTCTTTCCAGAGGGAGGTGACACCGGACATGCCGACGTCGGATCCGAGCTTCTTGACCAGGTTGGTTTGCACCTGGTCGAGGACGAACTCGAAGGATTGCATCTCGTCGAGGACGGCTTCCGAGTCGAAGGTGTCGACGGCGCCGAGCTTGAGAAGCGCGGCGGTTAGGAGATCGCAGTTGGCGATTTTTTCTTCCATGGATTTGACCTTGACGCCTTTGACGCGCCAGACATCCCGTGGGACGAACAGCTTGGTGGAAAGGTATCCGCCGCGAGGGTGGGCGATCGTTTGGTAGAAGCAGCGCATGAGCCAGAAGGGTCGGAGAAGATACGAGTCGGGGCATGGTTCCAGGGGGATGGGCGCATTTAAGGCCAGAGGATTCGGCGTTCCCGGACTGTAAGGAGAGTGGATATCGCTTTCGAAGAGATGCATACCGGCCGTACCCGCGGCGTCCATGGGAAATGGAGGCATCGCAGGCACAGTACCTGGTGCATCGAGGGTGGCCTTTCTCACATGGGGAGGGAACCCGGAGAATGTGGCACTTATCGGCGTATTCACGGATCCGTCGGAGCCCTCGTCAGGGCTGGAGATGGAATACGCTCGGTTCTTCAGGCTAATCGACGACTTATTTTTCCGCAACCCCCCTGGAAGCTTCCCGGGAAATTTGGTGGATGGCGACGGAGGCACAGGGGCGCTTTCGCTGGTGGAGATCTGCGCGAGGAGCGGAGTTGCGGGGGATATCGTCACCGCATTGCTGTCGGACGGGCTGATGCCTAGGCTCGGAGAGGGAATATGGAGAGTCGTGGCGGCGGGTGCGGTGAACGGCGGCTGTCTCGGAAAGGTCGCTGATGGTGGCTGTCTTGACGATGTGCGTGGTCCATACGGAGAAGGCTCTGGTTTGGTTATTCCAGGAGCACCAACATCAGATGAGCCTTCCGGAGCGCCGGCAAGCACCACTTTTGTTACTGAAGTTTCGATCGTCAATCCTTTGGTGTTTTGTGCCGACTTTCTTCGGTCCTTGATGCTCGTGTCTTGATTGTTCGCCGAGGACGACTCTGGTTTCGTAGGGTCCGCCGAGTCCGATGCCTCCGTTAGGTACGAATTGGATTCGGAGACGGATGAGAGCGCATTCCGTTGCGCGACTCCCGGTCCTCTCGGTCCATGATGCGATGATCTTCCCTCCGGTAGATCCGTGATGGTTGACTCCGACACGGTGGACAACGACATCCCGCCGGTCGTCCGTTTCGACGACACGGAGCTGTGCCACGTCTTGCCCGAATACTCGCTGGAATCCGACTGACGGGGCAACGCCGACTTCGACTGCAGTCCGAAATCGAATCCGTCGAGCATGTACTCCTTCGTCATCTCGTCCAAGATCCGCTCCTCCTCGTCCGCGTCGTCGCCATGGTATTCATCCACGCTGTCCCGTACGTGCGGCAGCGGCGGCTTGTTCATCTGGCGTTGCCGTTCCCGACGGTGGGCCTCGCTAATCGCCTCCTCGCGTTCAACTTCGCGGATCTTTTCCTTCGCAAGTTCGATGTTGCGGCGCACCGTGGCAACGGCGTCGGTGTAGGAGTCGCTGGCCGGTGGGGGTTCTGGGTACGGCTCGAACCCTTCGTCGTAGGCCGCCTCCACCGCTGCGTCGAGCGCGGCGTCGAACTCGGCTTCCGTCCCGCCGCTCCCGTTGCGGAGGTGCTTCCGCTTGATGCCATTTTGGGACATTGAGTGGACCGAGGATGCGCACGATGAGCTTGGGGACTCGTCGACGGTGTCGAGCCACGATATGGACTCTTCGCTATTCCCACGGTCGTGGAGTCGAGGACCGCCAGTTTGTTGCGGAGCCCGTTGCAGGTTAGGTATCTCGTCTCCGGCTTCTTCTTTCGGCGTCATAGGCCTTCGCGGTGAGAGTGGAGGGGGCATGTAGTCTCGATCCATGGGCAATTCGACGCCAAGGGTGGTTTTCACAATGCGATCCCGTTGCAGTGGAGTGGCGGTAGGGCCTCCAGGCCGTAGAAAGTACTCCTCATTCCTTGATGTCGGCATTGCACTTGCTACCTCTCGCATCGCTGCCGTCACAGCGGATTCACGTCGTGGGGGTATTACTGGGGGTGGCGGTGCTCTGACCGAGGGCGGTGGTCCTCGTGGGTTGGGGGTTTCCGTTGATGGGTCGTTCACGATCCGGGTCATCGTGGCTGTTGCTATCACTGCTTGCTCTTCCTCCTCTTGATCGTCGGCATCGAGGATTTCCGCCATGATGGTTTGAGAATCCCCGGTTAATGATTCATCGCTCATTGGTCGTGCTGGCAAGGACTTGCCTCCGGTGGGCTGCAATGAGGAATCGCTTTTCAACTCGCGGATACGGGTGGTATAGGTGACACGCTGTAAGAGTCAATTAGCCAAACATCATACATACGACGGAGACCTAATGCGGTCCAGATTGAATTAGCCTTACAATTGCATCCAACTTCTTCCGATCCTCGTCACCCGAGGTCTTCTGCATCACTTGCCGCAGCAGCTTGCACGCATCCTCGTACGCCTCCACGGCGCCCTCGAAGTTCTGCGCATTGTCCAGCACCACGGCGGTGTTCGCCTTCTGCAGCGCGCGGGAGAGCATGGTCTTCTTATCCCGCTCGCGGCGTTCCTGGTCCCGATGGTCGACGGGCGAGGCACTTCGTCCGCCTGCTCCCGTGGCTCCTATGCGCGTCCCGGTGGGTTTCCCGTACCGCTCCGCCAAGGCGGCGCTCGTTTGTCGCGGAACCGTGGGGCCTGGGTGGGGATCGGAGGGTCGCCGGTCGGACCGATACTGAGGCGTTTGCGAGAATTGAGGGGGGACGGTCGGCGATGGCTGTGGTGGAGGTACGGCACGGTGATTTGTGGGGTGGAGTGATCGGTTTGTTGGTGATGCAGGGCGCCGGGTCGGATTGGGGGGTGGTCGGTTCGGAGGCGCGGTTTGTGGTGGTCCGTGGTCAAATTGGGCGTTTATAAAGGTGCTCGCTGCACTGGGTCGAGACGGAGGTCGAGCATTGGTGGGAGTCGTTAAGGAAGACGAGGTCTCGTTGGGGTTATACACGGCGCTGGTCAGAATTGGCAACGAATCGGTGGTTTGAATCGGAAGAGGAGGAAGGATCGAGGCTAAATTGTTGCGTCGTTGCTGCGGAGAGGAAACCGGTGATCGACTTCGGTCCCCTTTCCTTGGAGGAGATGTTGCGGTGGGATTGGGAGTGGGAGGCAGTCGAGCCGACGGTCCATGAAGGTGCGTCGCGGTGACTTGACGGGCGGTTCCGGTGCTCGTTAGAAACTCTTTGGCCGACGATTTGCTCGACGACGTGGAATGTGAGTAGCGATTCAACGAGCTCCCGACCCCTTCGAGATGGGCGATACTCGAGTGTCGTCGCGAACTTCGATTGCTGCCGCTGCCCGGAAAGCGCTTCTGGAGCTTAGCTGGGCCGGCCCGCTGCAGGTCTGGAGACGAGGGATCGGTTGCGGGAAGATTGCTCGCGGATTTGGAGGTGAGGGAGGTCGAGCGCCGGATGGTGACGATAGAGGACGAGACGGAGTTGGAGCGGGTGGAGAAACGGCGGGAATGGCTAGATGGTGGTGCCGGTGGTGGTGCTATGGGAGGAGGAGGAGGAGGAGGAGGAGCGGTTATCGCGGTTGGAGGGACGATATTGCTGTCGGAGGGGGTAGCGTTCGAATTGGAGCGGTCGCGAGAGTATTGGCGGTGGTGATGATGTGGAAGAAGCGACTTGGTCGAAAGCGCGAACATAATGTCGACTCCCCTTTCGACGAAAGAGGAGTCGAGCAGGATGGGATGGGATGGTAGGGAGGGGGAAGATTTCGAGCGACGGACCAGTGTCCAATGTGAGTTTCAGAAGCGATTGGAGTCTCATGCAGCACCAAAAGTCCGCAACAGAAGCTTCTCTGCGTCTCTCCAATTGGGACGCAGCACCCGCAGCACGATCTCACAACCTCGTCGGCCTCGCAGCGGGCCTCGCAGCAGCCTGCACCACCAAGAGCGGACAGCGAATGAGGGAGCACAGCCAGTCCAACAGTGCAGCCCCTCCTTGGAAACACAGGGGGTTTCTGGCGCCGTTTTGGTGTTCCTCTCGATTAGGATCGACGGGGACGGAGGAGGACAAGGAGGATGGACAGATAGAGCGAGATGGATAGATGGGATGTGGTTGTTGATGTTAAGATTCCCAACTAAAACGAGAGGGACCTCACTCAGGGACCTCAGGGACCTCAGGGACCTCAGGGACCTCGCAGTTCAGCACTTCGCAGCGACCAGGCGAATGGCGGGAATTTTGCGGAGAAACTGGGAACGGGCCACGATCCATTTTCTGGCTCAATCAGTACTTAGCGACAGTCAGCGTTGCTTAGTTCATAATTCATAATACCTTCTTTGAGTTCTTCAGCATCAATGCTACCGAAATGGGTGGAGTGTGGACGTGCCCTAGCCGGATAGAATCATTCAATCATAATTGATGATACTGCACTGTACCTTCGGAACGACTCGATATTGCATGACGAATTTGACGATGGGTGGCGGGAAGCGGTAAGCGGTAATGACAGTCACCGATAACCATGAGCGACGAGATAGACTGATAGCCACGAGATAGCCAGGTACATGTACTTCAGTATTATGTGGTATACCGTATAGGGTGTTACTGCCGGATGGTGTGCCGATGCAAGAATTAATCAAGCAATAATATGCACGATCGTCGCTTTCGAATTCTGATTTATGGGGGTCATTGATCAATCTGTCTCCAGTCTCACTGATCAATCGCCTTCAAAGTTCAAGCAGGTGAATTGAGGTGACTGGTGATTCCGTCTGGCGCCTGAGAAGCCCAATGGCCACTACCCGCCGGCTGCATGGGCCCCTATTCTGACTGCCCAAGTGCCCAGCCCTCCCGTCACCCGCCCCATTGGGAAAGATCACCAATTGTTTCCGAAAGGCAATTCGCCCATTCGCCATCTCCATCACACTCCAGAGTCCAGTCACCCGAAGGCTGTCGCCTTCCGGCTTGCACATCCGCCATCGAAAGAACAACTCCCTATTCAATACTGATATACAGTCCATTCATCCATTCACCATTGAGAGTCCGCCATACTTCAAAAGTCCCAATCCGGGCGTGTGATGCCGGTCGACGGAAGGATTGCTAAATGCTATCTTGCTTTTCGCTGCAGCGTTATCTGTTTTGACTTCATTACTTCAATGGACCCAAAAGCAACATGAATCACCCTGGACTCCTCGCCTCTCCTCACTCCCTGACTTTTTCTTCTTGCTTCTCCTTGCATCCCGCTCAGTCAGGAAGATCCCTCACTCAAGGCGAGGTAATCCAACGGATGAAATCGAGAATACAGCGTCGCACTCATTCAACCTGGAATTCTGGATATACCCTTTCGCCATGGAGAATTCGTGAATGTCACCTAAGGTAGTTATCGAGCGCGGCTCGGGGCTTCGTTTAGAATCTCAACCCTTGAACGCTTAAACGGTAAAACCCCTGAATCGGAATTCATCCCTGGCCCCTGCAGCAGCGACAGGACCATCGTCCGATCTTTCCCCCTTCGTCCTCCGTTCCGCAAGGTTCCAAAATCCAAAGGGTCCTTTGGGGGCTCTGGCGCCAACGCGGACCATGTCACCATGGGACAGAAACGCGGCACAGGCCGAACCGCCCAAATCAAATTCACTAATTACTACCGCCACTACGTAAACCACCCTGCACGAGCCATGAATATATAAGGGTTGAGGGACTTCCCCAATCCCCAGCGATCCCCACAACGGCGCCGAGGATGGGCAAATCCATGAGTGGCACTGGCTTCACGCTTCACAGTGCGAGAATGTGGGAATTTGGACTTTGCCCTTTGGAGCGGAGGCGGAATTTATCAACAGAGTTACAGTCTTACAGAGGAGCCAGGGAAGTTTCGGGGCTAATGGTCCCATGGAGACTGGAGTTTGTTGACATTTGACAATCGCACAGACACGTGCTGCTAAGACGCGATGCTGCAAGAAATCAACGTCGTGCCACGGAATAGAGTCATGCCGATTCTCGATGCACAAATCGTGTTATGTGAAACCCAAGGGGAATGCAGATCAATGAGCACATGTCGGAACGTTGATCCTCTGAATTCCGATGGTGGATCCATCATATATTCATATCGGATTAAGAATTGCCTGTGGGATGGAGGACTGGTATCATGTAGAGACACAAGAGTGAGAGTGTACATGAGGCACCGAGGCTGAAACAGATGAAGATGATGGATCCTGAATTCGGATCCTGAATCCTGATCCTGATCCCAGGTTCACACTTCACAGTGTTAGTAAGACTGGCTCGTCAATCGTCAACCGTCGTATGTAGTAGTTTCAGTGAACTACTATGTACGGTGCCTTACAGAACTGTTTCCCCCTGAAACGCAACCTCCAGGTCCATCCTCCATCCTTCATCCGTCAGACCGACCGTTTTTGCATCACCACAAATCAGGGACGGATCACCACCGTTGCTGGCCGGCTGCAGGCGAGAAGCAGCTAAGGCGAGCCCCAAGCCCAATGCATGCAGATGCAGCAGGTTGCAGCAGTCTTAACTCTGAAGGAAATGCATTTTCTTATGCTCCCAGTGCTTATGGTTGATGAATATTCCCCTGTCCAAGCAGTGCTGATTGGTCGGAAGTGAGAGGAGAAAAGGCAATTGTCTCTCCATTCAGTTGTACAGACGTACCAGACATTCAGAGTTTTGATTCTTGTTTCCCAGTTTCCACATAACTATATGGAATTATTATTAATTCATGTGGTTCTAGCTAGTTGAGTTGAGGACACATGCACCAGCACAGAAGTGACGGTTCCTTCACAGGCTTTACCGCCTAACCAGAGGAAGCAGCATCCCCAATTCATTCCTGAACCTTCCATTCGTATCAAGACTGCTTGGTTCTTGTTACCAGTACGGTATTATGTCATCATCATCACACATCGTAAACCGTTGCTCCACCCAATGCTTCTAGGGAACATCGTGATGCCAGGAATAAGGAAGTCCATCCTGCACCAATGCCTCCACCGCAACGTTTGTTCCAACCATTGGCGGGGATAGTAGAGAAACAATCGACAGTCCTATCAATCAAGGCAAATCCCCCATCATATCCTCATCATCTAACCCGTCCTCCGCCGCCAACATCTCCGACGGAACCGGCCCCTGATCAAACTCCTCCATCACCGCCGCCATCATCCCCGCCCGCTCCCCCTGATCCTTCTGACTCTTCAGGTTCGCGCTCCGCAGATGCACCAGGTAGTCCCGGCTGGTCGCGAGCCGCTGGTCCGCTACGCGGACATCCTGCGCCAGCTCCGTCACCCGTCCCGCCTGCGCCATTAGCACCGCTTGCTGCTCGGCCTCCGTCGTCGCGAGCGGGCCGGAGCGGGGGTCGGTGAAGAAGCGGAGGATTAGGAGTCGGGGGGGTGCGGAGGTGGAGGCGTGGTGAGGGGGGGGCGGGCGCTGCTCGACGGCCGCATTAAGCTGGCCGGTGGCGATGAGGGTCTGGAGGTAGGTGCGGGTCTCGGGGACGGTCCAGGACAGGTGCGTGGCGACGGTATCGAGGGGGAGGGCGCTGTAGATCTTTTGGAGGGTGCGGATGGCGAACAGGGGGAACTGGTCAAGGAGTTCTTCTACTAGACCGAGGTTGCCGTGCTGTGCAAATCCCAAGAACGTCAACCCATGAACAGACAGTGGGAGTCGAGGGGGCGCGGCTTACCGATGTCCATATGTTGATTCCCACGTCCATCTCCGCTAGAAATCGTACCTTGTTGCCGCTTCGGAAAACCTCCGCCAGTCCCTCGTACGCTCGAGACGCGCCTTGGACCGTTCGCATAGCGGTGCTGTTAGCTGTTCGCGGTGGTTTGGGAACCTAGACCCTGCAATCAACCACGCTGTTCATCGACTCCAAGCGGCATGTACATACCGATCCATTCAGTAGACAGCTCACGAGCACCCACTTCCGGTACGCCTCCACCATGAGCCCATTCGCCGCGTTCGATGACGGGGTCGTCAAGATATGCTCCAGGAACAGCTGTGCCTCGGTGAATTTCCTCAACGTAATGTAAACGATCGCCCCCAGCATCAAGAACTCCTGCACATGCTGCACCGTCAGCTTCTCCTTGCCGTGTCGTTGGTCAGACGAGTCCTTCGGGGCCTTCAGGTTGACGCCCGTCTCTTTGTGCACCAGATCCTGCACTGTAGCTCGGGAATCGCTGGAGAACTCGTAGAACCCCGTCTCCAAGACCGGAACTGCATCCTCGTATGCGCCGGTCTCGAGGCAGATGCGGAGGTACGCCAGATGGAGGGTGGAGATGGAGTGGGTGTTCTCGGAGGCTTGGATCAAGGCAGCACGGAATACGGCTGGGTCGAGGCTCACAATTGCCTCTTGCAAGGCCTGTGAGGACTATAATCATGGATTAGTTGCTGATGCTTTCACAAGAGGCACCTATATGGATTGGTACGCACCATGGTAGAGGAGAGGGAGCTCAAGTGAGCAAGGCGGAGGAGCTTTGGAACCTGTTTTGACTGGAGATGATGTTAGGTTTGCTCGAAACTAGGGAGATAGACAGTGAGGGATTATGAGGGAGTACCTATTAGCAAGAAATCCGGAATTCTTGAAGCTACAACCTGTCAACAGTTATGCAGTGAAGCTCACCAGTGGTGACATTGTTGTGAACTCGGTATCGGATCCCTGTTACGAATTACATGTATTGAAGTTAAGGCGGAGTAAGGCGCCCAGGCATCATTTTCCAAAGAATATCAAGGACAAGTTCAGTGTTGATATCTGTAATCTGACAAAGAGATTTAGTTGGCAATGAACTGGTTGATGTAGACGACTGGGAATGTAATTTAGTCACACAGGTAACAACGAAAATCTATTGAATTAACAGTTACTTGTGCTAAACGAGAAGCAACCATCTTGAGCGGATATCATGGTGCCTTCCATCAACGCCGACAACAGTATCCAGCTATACCCTCCCGCATAAACAATGTGACTTCCAACCCCTGAGACAAACGCCGCATACGACATAATGCTTCCATCCGACCCTTATTCGCACGGAAAAACACAAGGAACCGCGTTCATCATCTCTTCTCCTTCAAGTTCACCTCCAGCCGCTTAAGCAGGTTCTTCAACCCCAGACCCTTCTCGGAATTGCTCTCCAGATACGCCTCCATCCGTTCCCGACATGCCTTCATGCCCTTCAACATCGGCATCTTGCTCCCCTCCTCGCCGTCCAGATGCATCAACGGATTCAATAGCACGTTCAGCAGCTCCGACCACAGCTCCGTCTGCCAATACCGCTTCAACGGTTCCCGGATCTTATACGTCTTCGTCGCTCCAGCCCCGAGCGTCGCCGCCCGCTCCGCCGTCGTCTCGATGTACTTCCCAAATAGCAGCGTGTGGATAACCCCTGCCAGCCCGTGATAGTCGACCTGGTACGTCCACGGCCGCATCTCGCGGATCTCCGCGCAGTCCACCTCCGACGGCTTCCAGTCCGCGAAGAACTGCACCGACGGCACGAACGCCTTCATGTCGATGCCGCGCCCGAAGTCGATCAGCGCGACGCCCCGGTCCGCCCAGCCGTTCGACCCGTCGCGCGCGTACGCGGACGACCACGCCGATGAGCGCACGCCGTGCTCGAACCGCACGAGCACGTTGTCGGCCTTGAGGTCGCCGTGGATGATGCCTTTCGCGTGCAGCGCTTCGACCGTCCGCAGCAGCTCGACCGTGAAGAACATGGCTACCTGCTCGTCCAGCAACCCGCCGCCGGCGACGTCCATGCGCGCGAGATTGATCGGGTCCAGCAGCGTGCCTTGGTCGCGATATTCCTCGATGAGGTAGCCTTCGTCCATGTACAGGTGCATCTCGTAAATATTAATGATCGACTCCGCGGCGCGCGAAACGCCTAGTCTCCGCTTCGCTTGCCGTACGAGATAGAACTCCCATGCGTTGGGCGGATCCTCCATCTTGATGGCTTCGAGCTCTTGTCGCTTGATGCCGAATTCGCCTTTGCCCATCTGGACCTTTGGCTCCTCGTCTTCATCTTGAGTTCGCTCGGTGCTCTGGACGAGATAGACAGGGGCATAGGCCCCCTTGCCGAGTTCACGTTTGACTGTATATGTTCGATCACTGCCTTCGAGGTTGATGGTTGGTGGGAGGAGCAGATTCGGGGCCGTCTTGTCATGTCCAGACTTGCGAGATTTTACGGAAGCTTTGATGAACTTCTGGATTTCGAAACCCATACCTTTCGTCTTGTCCTGATGATTGTAGTAGCCATCATGAGCCGCCAATAGAGGCTGAGCATTTTCCAAGATCGTGTTTCTGATCGCGACGTCGCAAGGATTGCATTGTGCGTCGTGGATGATCGGCCCTTTGGCAGCTTTCTCCTTCGCCTTCTCGAAATTGGTAATGGGCGCAGGCTTCGATGGGACGAGCTGTGGCTGGCTGATTTTGGGCGCGTCGTTACCTGTCCGCATGGCCTTCTTCAGGTCCTCCAGCCCGTCTCCAGTCATGTTATGGAACGGGCTGCTCCAAGGGTCGTCATCATCGGACTCGGCAATCGCAGGCGTCGCATCCCCTTGCCTTCGAGAGGGTGTCTTAGCGTGGATGTAGTTCTTCTCAGCGAGGGCGGTGACGGCACCAAGAGACGATTCCGTTTTCTCGACAATCGGGGTCATGAACGGCAGACGCCTTCCGGCTCCTCGGGATCGTTCCGGGTATGAGTATGGCGCGGCGCTTTGCCTGTCGTCATACTCCTCCTCATCGTCTGCTGGCGAGTCGAATTGCGCTTCATCCAGTCCGTCTGAGCGAACATCGTCCTGGAATTCTTCGTCCACTGGCGTATGAGCATCCAGTTCCTGTGACTCGGTGTCGTCCTCTTCATCGACGTCCGCTCTCTTAGCCTCGCTAAAATCAGTGAAACCAGAAATACCAGTATCGTTGGCCGTATCGTTCCCCCCTACACTTCCTGCTTCGGTGAAGTCTGCGGCAGTCGTTTCATCTCCGTAGTCGCTGGTGGTGGCAGAGATCCTTCCAGTGCCGGTGCTTTCCCCTGCACTGGTGTAATCGTCCTCATCGTCTTCACTCTCTTCTTCCTCCTCTTGCTGCTCTTCGGCGGGTTCGAATCCCTTGAGGGGCTGATTGAAGATGTCGTAGATTTCATCCATAGCTTCCTTGGTGTTGATTGTCATAGTCGGTTCTGCGGTCTTCTTCCGCTTGATTTTTGGGCCACTCGGAGACGATAGGTTCGCTTGGACTATAGACCTTGTTAGCTGACTCGTAAATTCAAGTGCCGTGAACAGTACCGATTTGAGTAGCAGCATGCACCTCCAAAACTTTGATCTTTCTTGTACGGTTGGCCTTCTCCTCCCTGCGTGCTTTCTTCGCTCTCTTGATCGTTTCCAGCTCCCGTGGTGACGGTGGAGCATTCTCATCGTTCACATCCAACACCTCTTGCAAGTCCTCGGCGAGTTCAGACACGACTCGTTCCGCCATATCCTCCTTCAACTCATCCGGATGTGACTCGTGCTCTCTCACACTCGGCTGGCAGCTCCAGTCCATGTCAAGCCACCCACGGTGCTTTGCTCTCAGCTCTTCGAAGCAAAATTCGCTGCTCATGTCGTCCTGGGACGGGTACACGGCCTCGAGGTTCACGAACACGCATTCCCTTCGCCCGGTCTTGGGGTTGATGGTCTCCTGCTGCTCATGCCACGGATTGGATTCATGTCGCTCTTGCGATGGTGCTAATGACTGAAATACATGGAACGGCAAGAATGCCCACAAACATTAGTCCTGCAATTGTAAATGACAAGGTCAAGAAAGGAGGGATAGGGAAAGGGGTAAAGAAAAAGGGGTTTCAACGTACCCCGTCCTTAAAGATCATCATCTTCGGTGCCCCAACGTTTCGCTTCCCACCACCCTTCAACGTTTCTCCCACCCATGGCTTCGCCTCCCGCGTATTCTCCTTCTTCCGCTCCTCATACGACCCAATACTCTCCCACTTCGCACCGCCCCCCGCCCCCAGCGCCTCCTGCGAACCCCCCTCCGTATCCGAAAAGATCGCCAACTTATTCCTCCCCGTTGTCCTCACCGCGCCCTCCCCCCTCGTCCTCGCCTGCGGATCCCCCTCTTCCACCGCCCCCGCAAACGGATCCACCTTCGCCGCCAACGCCGGCCTTACCGTCGGCAACGCCGGGCTCCCCGGTCCATCATCCGCGCCGCCCTCCCGCGCTCTCTCATCCCTCCGATGCTGAAACTCCGCGAACTTTCTCAGCAGCCGCTCGGCCGGCCTTGCCTCCTTCTCTAGCCCCATCAGATAGATCTCCTCCGCCTGCGCCCAGCGGCCCGCGCCCTCCAGCCACGCGGCGTACTCCTCGTAGAACAGCGCGAGCGCGTCGGCGACGCCGTTGCGCGCGAGGAAGCGGTATGTTTCGCGGGGCGCGTCGGCGAAGAAGCGGATGTGCAGGAGCCAGAGCTTAAGGTAGCGCGGGTCGTTGCGGTAGTGCGGGGCGGCGAGGAAGGATTTGGTGGCGCGTTCGAGGAGGGGGAGAAGCTGGGAGGCGGGCGTCGCTTGCGCGGAGGGGTAGGCGTCGAGAGTCCATTTCACGTAGCGGTCGAAGATGTCGAGGGGGTCGTCGGAGTCGGCGAGGAGGTGGAGTTCGCGCTCGAAGGACTGGCGGGCGGCGTGGTGCGCGTCGGGAGGGGAGGGGTGCGCAAAGGGAGAAAGGGGGGAGTAGAGTTGGGCGAGGGCTTTCGCGGAGCGACCGCTGGGGAGGGCTTGGATGTTTTCTTTCTGGGTTTCGATGGCGTTGAAGTCGATAAGGTCGCTGGATGCGGCCATGGTGGTGTTTCCACGCGTCGGGTACGCGGTGACCAATGATGTGGGAACTGCTCGATAAACGAGAGTGAAATCGTGTTCTTCCGCAAGAGGATTGACGGTGGTTGATGTTGTATAACTCAAGGCTGAAGTGAGTGGTGGGATGAGTGCGATGTTTGGTTACGGATCCGTTGCTGCGCCAACAGTTCTGTGGGCCAATCACCTTTCGCTCAACCATACTTCAATCGCGATGCACACACTACAGATTCAAATTGGGGTCACGAATGCCATAAGTATTTGGCCAGTATGGGGTGATTGCAAGCTTTATAAGCAGAGAAAGTTAAAGGGTTTTCACTTCAATGCCCCAAACTCCTAGGTCGCTTATCCAGTGGTGACGGTCATCAGCAGCCTCAAAAGTCAGGATCTAGGGAACATTCACATCAGAAACCAACGCAAGAAATCAATGTAGGGCTGAATGATCCATTTTCTGTCGGAGGTATCTAAATTACATCGAAGGCCACGGTGTGGCGAGTGCAGGTCCATGACGACGCTGGCACCAGGCGCACACCCACGCAGCCGGAAACAAGGAGCCCGATCATCGTCTGTGCAGCATATGCAATTTCGTCTCGTCATGAAAAGAATGGGAAGGGAAAAAAAAGTCAGTGGACATGAAAAGCGGTCATCAATCGTCAATCGCATCTCCCGTTGTGTCTCGTGTTCTTCCCGACCTGACGTCCGGCGTGGATAAGCGCCCGCAAAGCGAGATTAGACCTGGAGTCGAAACGTCGTCCGAGGGGAAGATAGATGCGCCGGATTACTTTCGTGCCATAAACCTCCGGTGACCGAATCATGAATTGAGAATGCTCCGTGTTCGCCTCCGAAAAGCACAGGGATGCACGAATGCAGGTACCGAAGAAGTGAAGAAATGCCGGAGTATCCGACGAAGATCATGCAAGAAAGCCATCTCCTGAACGCCTAGAATGCAATGAGGCTGGGCGGCAAAGCTCGGTCATCCCAAGAAAGGGTTCGCGTTCGCGTTCGGTTTGAAGACATCGAGAAGTGCGCCAGGGCCCGGGCCAGGCGCATCGGACGGGTGGCTCTGGCTGAAGAAGTTGCGCGGAAACGTCTGGATCTGCCGACTACGCTGCCGCTCCATGAATGGCGAACCCAACCGGGCTGAGCGGATCCCCGCGGGGTCGGCCATACCCTCGTCGACGGGGACCGCCGGTTCGTCGACGGGAAGATGGAAGATTGGGGGCTGCTCGCACGTGCTCGGTGGGGTGAACAGCGAGGCGATGTTCCGCGGGCCTTCTGTCATGTCGCCGAGACTGAAGCCGCGGCTGCGCACGCGGCGATGGTGCGGCTCGGGGATGCCGTCGAACACGTCCTGCAATAAGCCGCGGGGATGGCTGGGGGCGGGAAAATCGTCGTCGAACATCTGCTGTGCGTGGCGCTTGAAGGAGCGGGAGAGGGAAGAGGACTGGAATTGGACGGGCGAGTTGAGCGTTGCGGGGCCGAGTGTGGCACTCTTTTTCTCGATGCGGCGCGGGTTGAATGGTGAGTCCAACACGCGCTTCTCCGATCCAAGACCGATGTTAAGGGACTGGCTCTTTTGATGGGTGAGTGGTCGGGGGGTGGCTCGTTCAGTCCCGTCGGAAGACCGAGGTGGATCCGACTCCGCGAGCTGCGCAAGCGGATTTCCAAGCTGCATCGTCTTCGATGTGCTGGTCGCAAGGGAGACGTTCATATCTCTCGTGGAGAATGCCTTAACACTAGACGGGCCTTCGAAAGGTGTGTTACGTCGAGATCGCCGAGATCGGGAGCCAACTTGAGGAGAGGACGAGGTAAATGGAGAAGGGCTGCGCATCAACATCCGTTGATAATGAGCGGAAAGCGTAGGTTTTCGCTTGCACAACTCGCGAAATCGTCGTCGAGTTGCCGCATCCGATCGAGGCCATTTGGCATGCAGCTTGGGCGTAGCAATAACCGTGGGGCTCCAGCTGCCATTCGTCGCCGGTTTGATCGTGTCCGGAGAATCCGCCAGCAGTCTGGAAGACGGGTCGGGGCGAGGGATGTTTCGGGGTCCACTCAATACCTTGCCCTCCTTCCAGGACTTCTTCGCTTCACGAACCACACGATGGCAGACCCCAAGAGGTGGTGCAGTACCAGGAAGCATCTTGAACGGGGTGACCGTCGGGTCTTGGAGGTACACCATGTACGTGAACCAAAGGTGGTTGTCCATCTCCGCGGTGAACCGTGTCTTCTTCCGCATCATCAAACGTTTTGCAGGTCGCGCTCCGAGATTTTGCAAAGGAGAAGAGATAGGGTGGGTGTAGAGGGGTTTACGATAATTTACGTAGTCACCGATCTCGCTGTCAGGACTCGTGCAGCTCCCTCCAAACGATGGGAAGGACTCCATGCTGATGCTCGATGAGAGGGACGAATCGGAGAAGTTGGAACAGGCGGTCGAAGGGCGACTAATGCTCTCGCCCCGACTCTTCCAATCTGGGGACGACCAATCCACGCCAGCGCCATGTACAGGGTGGTATGTCGCGGTCTGTCCAAGCGGCGTCCGTGGAGGAGTTTTGTCGCGCGTGTCGATCGGCATGGGTGAGAGCAAGCGGTCGGAAAAAGGATTCAGAGACTCCGTGTAGGAAGGAAAGTAATCGCTGGTCGGGGCCTCCGAGGTTTCAATCGTGGGGATGGGCATCTCCTGCAAAAGTTGCGATTCGACGTTGACCGAAACGGTGGGTTTGTCGTCCTGTCGTCTCCGGCGGATGCGAAATGTTTGCCTAGGCGGTCGAGGTGGTTCCTGAATCAACTGGCCGTCGACAGGCTCTGGCGTCCGTGGATGGTCGCCATCGGTGTAATGGAAGGTGAAGTTTCGTGGCAATGTCGCGGACGCGCTCTGTCGGATAGGCGCCATATTGGAAGGGGATTAGGGTCCACAAATAAACGAAGGTCTCCTCAATCACGAAAGGGATGAAGGTTAAAGGTGTATGTAAGGGAACCCAAAGCCAGTCGCTATCCAATCCAATCAATTTGAGATCGGGCAAGCGCAGGATCAAGGCCAACAAACACGCAGCATGGCCGATCGCATCTGTCAATGTAAGGTTTGAACTTCCAATCCAGCCACAATCACTGCTCTTATGCGTGTTCGATCCCTTCCGCGCTCTTAGGGAATTGTTGGGAGTCGCTAGTATTTCAAGAGTATCGCCGTTGCGATATAGAGTGTTTGCGACAGCGCTGATTCGCGCTCCGTCCTTGCCCCAAAGAACAACGGAAGAATGTCCCAAGTTCCAAAATTCAACACCTTCTTGGCGAATCTAGCCAACACAAGCACACCGTGTTACTCTTCTTTCAAGCAGTCGACAGTAAGGAGGTTATTGGGAGGACGATGGGTCGCGAGATCGAAGGGATTCAAACGGCGATCGCGGTCAGCAGGTCATCACGATCCGAACCAGCGAAGTTCAAACAACACGGAATCGCCGCTGGTTTGATCGCGTTGTTGTTTGTTGTGGGAAGGGAAAGATGTTGGAATAAAGTCGAATCCGGTCCCAAGGTCCCCAGGTCTTGCGGTGAGGCGTGGATCTCAGTTGTGGATTGATGGTGGAGAGCGCTAATAGAGTGCGTTGGCGGTTTCAACACGATGGAGCTTGGAGACGAGCAAGATAGGCCGGCATCCAATTGCCGGAAGCAAGAGGGACGGTGGTCCACGAGGTTCGGGGGACGAGGAGTCGATAGTTGGAGGAGTCGAGAATTGAAGAAAATCCACGAGGATAGATTGAGGAGGAGAGGGTGAATAATGGGAGGATTGACGATGGGCGATGGGGATGGGATGCTAGGCGGATGCCGGATGTGCTCGACGCAGGTGAGGTGGAAAACGGGAGGGCTCGAGCTTCGGGAGCGTCAAGTGAAGGGAGCTAATACGCCTAAAGCGGAATGGTTGGCTTCGAACGGTCGAGCGGTGGACGAGGAATCGAGGATGCTGCACCTATGCACCGAAAAAGAGTGTTGTCGGTTGTGGGTGGTGGGTTCGGGTTATGGGTTGTGGGTGGTGGGTGGTGGGTGGTCGGTTCTGTTGTGAGTTGCGAGGATGATGATTCTGCAGCACCGTTGTCTAGCTCGAGGGTACCTCAGGGCGAGGGCAGAGTTGTGCTGGTGCTGGCTTGCTGCAGGAAGTTGAGAGCGAAAGGTGCAGAGTAACAAGGGGTTGGTATTGGGTCTTGGGGGATGGATGTTGGTTATTATTAGGGGGGATGGTGATAGAGAGGGAAAGAGGGCGAGTTGCTGGTTGCAGTGTTAAGAGTGGGAACTGAATTACAGCCAGGAACTGAACGAACTGAAGAGTGGAGGAGGTTGGAGTCGCCAAGCCAGGTGCACGTGCAATCCTGAACAACGTTCATAGATGGTTATTGGCTGCAGACAAAAGGACAAGGGGCACCTGGTTATCCACTAGGCGATTTATGGATTGGCCCATTGCGCGTAATAGACGCGGTCAAAACGCGTCCTGCAACCAGTCCCAAGTTTGAACATTGATGAAAGATACAGGACGAAAGTGGCACCAAACCACAACTACAACCAACACGAAATTAAATACTCCAAGTTAAGTCTCCAACTCATCCAAGCATCTGCGACCCTGGATACAGGCAAGTAATGTTGTGTTGTTGACGATTGTGTGATGTGTTTGAAACTTGGTCTTACACATGCATGGTTACATGCTCCACGACGAAAATCCACACCTCTAGCCTCTGCTGCTGCTTGCAGATGCAAGACAGGACCTGACGGCTGACATGGACTGCCTCTGAAAGCTCACACGCGTCTCCACTGGTATCCATGCGTCCAAACAGGCAGGAACCGCTGCATGGGGGAACCTCCACTCCAGGCTCCAACAGAACTCCCGTCAGTCCTCGTTGGAGGATCATGATACACTGATACAGCCATCCAGGTGCTGCTCTTTAGCTAGGTAGATGCGTGCCCTCGCCGGAGTGTAGGTAATCAAGATATGTATCAATGCGCTGGCAACTTGGCAGGGCCTCCACGCGGTGAGACAGGATTCACAGGAAGGGTTAGAACTTGCTTCGTCCGGGTCCCTCTGCAGCACGACCGTTATGGCTTACAGAATAGCCTTATCCCTCCTGCAACCGAGACGCCACGTCCACTCGGGAGCATTTCCCATATTCCAGGGCTATTATCCGTCCATATCCACCTCCTTTCCTCCATTCACAGAAAAGGAGAGCAATGCTTAATGATGATTTGCTGCTGATGGCGGAAATCTCCGAGCCGCTGTCACCCAGTGGCGGGACGACTATTAATTCCCTCGCCAGCTCGAAGATGTTGTGTCTCTCATGGCACAGTACCATTGGCTACCTCGACCTGCACCAAGCATCAGATACGGAAGCTTTATTAGGTCTGTTCGCGTCAAGGCAGCATGTGTCGAAACCATCGCATTATCTACTCATGTCTCCATCACCGCGACACGATCAAGCTGTGTCCCCATGTGGTAGCTCCCCTCGTTCAAGGTATCACCACGTTCCCCTTCAACGCCCCCAGCACTGTCACCACATCTCCTACGCACGACACCCTCATGACCGTAGACAACAACCCCCGACCGTGCCCTGACTGCGAACTTCCGGACTTGAACATCTTCCGTCTGGAACCAGTCGTTCGGGTGGACGGGACGGAAAAACCCCCTCGCGACTCCCTGACCGTCGAGGTGGTAGGACCGCACAGCGGTTGGCTAACGGCGGACACCAACAGCTCGAATATTCCAGCTGCCGACTCACGGAAATCGGGGGGACGAAGACCGGTCCCGCCATCGACGGTACCACATCCCGGGGCAAGGATGTCTACCAATGGCAAGGTTCGCGTCCCTTCGAAGCTGTGAAGTCCCGCCCGATGGACATCAGACTTCTCGCACACAAGGTGTCGCGATATGCGGCACGACGAAGAATAGGGAACGCGGAGTAGTACAACGGCGGGCATCGGATGGTTGGAATCGATGTAGACTCTTACTCCTGTAACGTAAAATCAAACTTTGCAAACGCCGCCTTGAATGCCTCGGCGTCCGCTCCCTCTTCGTCCACCGACTGCGCACAATCCTGCCAATGCAACCGCCTCTCCAACCCCAGCAGCTTCGCCAACACCCGCCGCCCAAACTGCATATCGAACCGGATCTCCGGGTCCAAATACAGCGTCAAGAATGTCTCCCGGCTCCCCTCCGCCCCCTCCTGCGGCGGGTACCATACCATCACGCGGAAGAAGTCCCCCTCCTCCCCCACCCCGTCGCCCACGTCCTTCGCCACGAACTTCGGATATTTCTCGTTCTCCGCCTCCACCTTGAACGCCGCTTCCACGAGCCGCTTGTTCAGCAGCCGCCCGGGCACGGGGAGCCATTGCCAGTGCGTGTGGATCCCGCTGGCGCGACTGACCTCCCACGTCACCGATCCCAGTTCCCCGTTTCCCTGCTCAGCCAGCATCTTATGGAGGCTCCCCCGGAATCGCTGCATCTCATCATATACCCTCCTCACCCCCTCCGCCTCCCCGATTGTCGCTAGCGTCCCCGCATGCGACTGCGGAATGATCAGCATGTGCCCCGGAAACGGTAATTTCGAAAACGTCGTCGGCGTCGTCAGCGGCCCCTTCGCCGTCGTCACGTACGCCTCCTCACCAATCGACGCGATCAAGTGCGTCGCCACGTTCGGGTTCGACAGGCAGAAGAAACACTCCCCCGGCGTCGGCGGCGGGCCTTTCTGCCGCTTGCCCCGGCCCCGCGGAGGCCCGTCGTCCGCGAAGCGCGAGTACGTCGGCGCCGAGTCAGCGGGGCGCTTCCGAGTCGTGGGGAGCAGCGGGGAGGGACCCGCGCCGGGGGGGATGGTCACGGATGGGGCGGCAGCGGGGGCGAGGGTGAAGGCGTAGATCCATTTCTGCTTGGCGGGGTTACCGAAGGGGGCGAGGCTGAGGAAGCGGGTGACGGGGTACGCGTACGTGTCGGGGTCAGTGGGGGGGTGGTAGAAGGGCTCGCGCTCGTAGAAGAGGGTGGACGGGGAGAAGTGGTAGCGGGGCTTCAGGGCGGCGCACACGTCGGCGGGGGGTTGGGACGCGGACCAGTCTTTGGATTCGGAGGGGAGCTTGGTGCGCGAGCCCTTTTGGATCCCGGCGGGCCATTCGGATGAGATGAGGATGTCGGCCGAATGAGCCCCCTTGAGGCCTTTCCCTTCGGCCTCGGTGTACGCCACGCGGTACTTGTCGTGGGGATTGGTGTGCGTCCCGGTCGGGTCCAACACACCGCCTAAGGCCACGATTCTAATGCCATCGGATGTCTTAAACGTACTTTTCCGTCCAAGGTAGAACAGGTTGGGGCACAGCTCTCCCTCATGCTCATCCAATCTCCCAACCGCTGCGTCTGGGAAGGGAGACAGTCCCACGGTGAAATACGTCGGCACCGGCACTTCAATTCCACCGCCCATGAGATCTTCCAACTCGGATTCCTTGGTTTCATTCTCTTCTGAAGGGTCGGCGAAAATGTCCCCGACAACGATGGTGAAGGCAAATGCGTTCTTCTCATGCAGCGCAGCGAGCTTGCTGAACACCGTCTTGAATTGGCCGCATATCGACCCGATGACCGCACTGGATGTTGTCAGAATTGATACATCGATCATACGGGGAATAGGGGCCGACTCACATCTTCACGGGGCCCATGATCTGCAGCTGCTTGTTTCCTGTAAGAGAATTTTGCTAACAGATTTCGGACGCTCTCTTCGAAATCACACTGGTTAAATGGGACAGAATCGCATTTGCGGAGATATCAATTCCCTGAGTTAACGGACTTGAAATTTATATATGGAAGTAATGTCCACGTTGATACGTTCATCATCCTCCATATTGTTCCTCATGCAGCTGGCAGTCCATGTCGTTGTCATGGACTCGCGGTGGTTGGGTAGAATTTACAGTTAGATCCCTGAGGCATAAACACTTGATGCCTTGCCAGATCATCAGCATCACGCATCGTCATCCGCTGGGCTAGTGAATTGTCCAAATATTCCATATTAATCAAACAGTCAACATCTGAAAGAGCTAGGAATATTAATGGACTGGCTAGGACTTTGAGAAATTTGAATCAAATTTACCGAATCTAGCTCTTCAACATGAAGCTCGTCAAGCAGAACATCGAGAGCAAGGACCAAACGGGTTCGGTCACATTGATACCCGAAGAACCAGAGGATATGGTGAGGATCATCGCGTGCAAAGCCACGCATTTCTGACTCTTCTTCAGTGGCATATCTATAATTTGATTCAAAACAAAGACATCGTCCGAGCATCCACCGTCCGGCGAGTCGTCAAGGAGACCTCGGACGGCAGCAACCAATCCAGCCGCGTGCTCACCAAACTCACGATAAGGGTGACGTCCACCGACTTTGACTCGGGGTCGTCCCACCTCCGCGTATCGGGCCAGATCGCGGAAGCCAATGACTTCGCGGGGCTAGGCAGTTTCCATACGCTAGACCTCGAGCTCAGCCGCCAGTTTGCGCTTGAAAAGCCTTCGTGGGATGCGATTGCGATCGAAACGCTCCGCACCGCCCTTGATGCCACTTCCCGAGCGTCACTATGGGCAGTCCTAATGCGAGAAGGCTACGCGAACATCTGTCTCGTGACGGAATTCCAGACCGTCATTCGGCAACGGGTGGAAGTACCATTGCCAAAGAAAAGGGGCGGTGGGCGAGATGGCGGCTACGATTCCGCCATGCTGAGATTCCATCGCACCCTTCTACAAACACTGCTACGGCATCTAGACCTAACGACTGAACCACGACCTCCTCTACTCATCGCTTCCCCGGGATTCGCGGCGCAGAACTTCCTGGCCTATATCAAGACCGCCGCCGCATCCGCCCCCGCATCCGCATCTAGTGCCACCGACCCCAACTCCGACGCAATCCCCGTTTCCGGCAAAGTTCTGAACTCCTACATCCCCTCAATCCATCTCGCCCACAGCAACAATGCCTCGCCCTCATCCATCCCCTCTCTCATTTCCTCCCCCGCACTCAAGAAAGCGCTCGACACCACGCGGAGCGCCGGCGACGCCGCCGCGCTCGATAAGCTCCACAAGCACCTACGCGACGATGACAATCGCGCGTGGTACGGCGCGGTGCCGATTTTCAAGGCATTTGCGCAGGGCGTCATCGCGCATGGCAGCGTGCTGCTGGTGAGCGACCGGCTATTTCGCGCGTCCGAGGTCGCGGAGCGGAAACGATGGGTGGTGCTGGTGGAAGGTTGTAGGGAGCAGGGAGCGGAATGCAGAGTTGTAAGCAGCGCGCATGAGGTGGGACGGAGGTTGGAGGCATTGGGTGGTGTTGCTGCTATTCTAGCATGGGGCGTTGATGGGTTGGATCAGGAGGAGGAGGATATGGAATAGACGTTATCTTCTATCTAGTCCAATTCAAACCTCCGTCAGTGAATGAACGAATGCATATGGCTCCGATGTGATTTGCGACATATCCTAAGCAATTCAATTTTCCATACGACAGCCCAGTGGCTGAGTGTAACTCAGCCATTCTACATTGTACCAAGTGCACGGTGGCTAGTGACAGGCACTGTAAATCCCGTGTGCTTACCCCTCCACTTCGATCTCCATACCATATTGCTCCCGAAGAATCTTTATCTCCAAATCCCCCATTGGTGCACTGTCGATCATACCCTCTAGCACATCAGCTGCCTGCCTCAGCGCGTTGGAGCTGACAACGTCTTTTTTCTTCGGCAACAGAAGACCTCCCATCTGCTTCGTTTGGATTGCGGTCATAAAGATGTAGCCGACAACAAACGGAAGCTGGTTCTCTTTCTCGAGATACCCTGGGCCATACAATTGTCTGAGCTCGTCTGCAAGTCTTTCATTGATCGCGCGGAGCACCCGCCATGCGGTACGGTGCATGCGAAAGTGATCAAAGGTTAGCGCGAGTTCCTCTGCCAAAAGGGCATCGGAGATCAGGAGCAGTGCCTCGGGGGACGTATGTAACTTCTTCTCCTGAGATCGCTCGTTCAATGCGCGGTGTAGAGCGTCTCTGCTAGGGACGCCATCACTCTCGTCGTCATCGGCTTCCACATGATCAATGCATTTTTCCAGGACAGTCTCCAGACTCGAAGCGTTCTTCCCGGACGGCTCGTACATATCTGTGTAGCCAAACCGCAGCTCATGGGCGACGGGAGTCATCAACTTCGCTTCGAGACTTCCACGCGGACCGGTTTTGGACGCAATGCCAGCGGATTTCTGCCTTCTGCCGCCTTTTGCAAAGTTCTGTGCCGAATATCCCATGGAGAGACAGAATCGTTTGAAGTACTCTTCAACATTCCTCGGCGCGGCGCCCACGAAAATTTGAGGTTCGCTGTGCAGCATCACGGTAAGCTCCATGTCATCCCAATTCTTGTTCAAGAGGTTCTCTTTTCGTGCTGCATTGTAGATTTGTGCGGATGTTTTGATGGAGCCCCAGGCGTTGGCAAATGTGATACCGACTTCTTGCATATTGAGTTTCAAGCCGAAGAGTAGCGAGCCGCAGAGCCATGGATGACTGCGGTAGAAACGGTGCGGTATGCTTGGTTCAGGAGTCTGTTGATAGTGAGTGTACAGTAGAGACCATTGCTATATCGATCAGGCAGTACTAAGCTTACCACACCAGAGTCGACCATCTAAAAGCGTGTCAGCATCTTGTGACCGAATGTAATATGCCCAACGGCTTGCCTTACCAATTTCACCTTCCTCTCTTCGAACATGTCACTGTCAACCCAACGCCCAACTTTTTCGATGATTCCTCTCATGACCATGTCATTTTCTCTCGGCCATGTCTCTACCCTAAGCTTATCATGGAACGACAGGTTCAGGTCTAAAGTCGCTCTGCTGTTGGACGAGTACTGGCGGAGATTGTCCCAAGCCATGCTGACTCGTTCGCGAAGGACATGGTGGATATCTAAATGAAGCTGTGCTGCAAAGTCTAATGCTAGCGTATGACGGCCTTGCACCTTGAAAGCAACGACAGATTTCGTGAGTTCGTCACAGGCCGGTAGGCCAATTTTCCAATGCATATGATTGAAAAGAACGATGTCACCCAGAATTTCAAGAAGAATGATCTTGTCCTCATCAAATTTACCCGGCCCAGGCAACTCATCTCGGTCTTGGGACGGATTGTAGACTCCAAAGTATCCTGACTTGAACACTGGAAGAGGGTTACTCCGCAGGACATCCCCAAAAGAGGAAAGGAGGATGTGAGAGCTCATCAGAGACACCTCAACAAGATCATAGAGGGTTAGATTGGTGGGGTCACCAGATCGCACACGCTTGCTCGGGTCCTGCCCCTGCAGGAGGCATTGTATTCCGAAGAATGTGCTTCTCGCATGGGCGGTGTCTTTTTCGGAGGGATGATCCTTCAAGAACTGCTCTTCCAGTTGTCGCGCCATTTGGATCGCAATGTTCGTGGTGACCGCCGACGGAACCAGCGTCGTTGCACCCTGGGAGTATGAAAGCCAGGTTCGCTTGATTGCGCTTCGAATCGCCGAAAGATCTTGGAGCAGTGCCGCAATTCCAAGATAAAGCTCGAGCGGATCGTCGATGGGCTCAACTTCGTAAACTTCATCCATCGGCGGATCGGCACGGACACTGGGCTTCGCTGCCGGGGCATTGAGAAACTCTTCTGATGGCTCTTCAACTTTCAAAGCCGCAAACATATTTTCGAACAGGGTTTGATTGCCATCCACACCAGTTGCGACTGATGCGGCACGGTCTAGAGTCGCCTCATGTGGTAGCCGCGGTTTGAGTACTTCCAGCACCTTTTCAAGAACCCCAAGAAAGTAGAGATGGCCTTGATCGCTCTTCGTGTCGTCGGCATTGTCTAAGTGGGACTGTAGAGCATGGTGGTCGCTGTAAGTCTTCCGCAAGAATATCGCCCGATCGATTGACGCTATTACGTCCACGGGAACCGTGATGTCCTTCTTTGCGGCCAGGAACTCCGCTAGTGTTACGAAATCCTTCACCCCGATAATGTACTTAGGTATTTGGAGAGAAGGCACCGAACTTGGCGGTGCTCTGGCCGCAGCCTCCTTGGCCAACTTCCGAGCCTTTCCTTTCAGGCGTTGACTTTGCTGTGCTGGAAGGTTGGCAGCTTTGGGACCTTGAAGAGAGTCCGTAGGGAAGCCGAATTTCTTTGCTGTTGAGGCAAGCCATTGTGCAATGGCATTAGTATCCGCCTTGTAACGCCGGTAGGTGTCGGCAAAAAGCATTCTTCACGACTTGGCCGAGTCCACCGTGGATGACAAGGTCGCCGATGATGAGAGATAGATGTATTTCCTTATTGATTTCCTTATACTTGCACGATAATTCTTGCACGATCGAAGTTTACGAACCAACGACACCAAGGCCAGAGGTAGTTAGTAGTACACCGGGAAGGGGTGGTGCTGTTTCTATACAAACGGTCAAGTTGGATATGAAGCTCCATGGAATTTGGTAACATTTGTTTATCTAACCACATTTGTAAGTAGGTCGCGTGATTGGGCTAAGGACCTACCCTAGCACGCGGGGGTGACAGATTTCGCGGCCCACCACTTTGCCGAAGTAGACCCGCCCCCATAGACCAAATTTGATATCTAGCCGAAAAGATGCCTTGATCAACGCCATTCATTAAATATGGTGGTTTCTACCCGTAATCATATTCAACGGTATGCTGCAAACCGAGATAATGTTCAAAGAGCCTACGGTTCCCCCGAAAGGGACCGGATCCAGGGCGCTGTAGGGTTCAATCAGGCCCTCAGAAAACAGTATGGATTTGATCCATTACGGACTAAGTGCAAGGTTTACCAACACTTTGGCGTTCCATACCGGTCTGGAACACGCCTGATAAGTGAAAATAACCGTGATCGACGTCATTTTGAGCCCGGCGAGGACCCAAGAAGCCGTCCCCTGCTCGTCGAAACCAAGGATATCTATGAGATGGAAAGGATCCTTGAAGAACAAGATGTCTACGGAAGGACTATGTCTTGGGAAGCCTTAGGGTATGAGGCTGGTCTATATGTATCCGGGCGTACGATTGAACGGGCTATGGGCACGAAAGATTACCGCAGATGCGTCGCATGTAACAAGGCGTGGATTTTCTCAAAACCAACCAAAAAACGAGTCGATTGGGCTACTTTGATGAAGGCCCGGTATCCTACCAAGTATACCTGGCGGAAAGTCCGTTTTAGCGACGAGTCCCGCGCCGGGCACGGTCCGCAGGGAAAGTTGGTAATCATTCGACGAAAGGGCGAACGGTATTGCCCCAAATGTGTACAACGCGAAGGAGAAGTAAGGAAGACGCTAAAAAGAAGGTACACGTTTGGGGGGCAGCAGGGTACGACTTCAAATCGGACCTTATAACATACAATATACCGAGCAATAGGCAAGATGACCCAACGCGAGTATATCGATTCTATCCTGGATCCCATTGTCAAACCTTGGATCCAGAACGGTCACGATTTCGTATTAGAAGAGGACCAAGTCTCTGGCCATGGGCCCTCATGGAGTAAGGGAAATATCGTTGAAGGAATGGAAGGCTCAAAACGGTCTGAAACACTACTTCAACTGCGCCTCATCTCTGGATCTCGCGATCATCGAGAACTGTTTCCAACCAATGAAACAACATGTACGTAAATATACCCATTGTGAGCCCGATGAGACGCAGGAGCTCCTAAAAGAGGGATAGGACGGTATTAACCAGGTTTGGATCAATTCCCGCATTGATTCTATGCCTGAATGGCTCCAGGCCGTGATAGACGCAGAGGGACAGCTGATTGGAGATTTTTAAGGCGAAAACCTCCTAGAATCTGTTAGACATAAATTTAAGCGTCCTAGATAGCATCATTTATATTTCACAGTGTTTAAACTCATGTTGGTTGAGATATTGCAACGTTAGCCACGTGCGTGTATCCTACCTGTGGATAGGCAAGGATATCCTCATAGCGCGACGAAGGTTGAGGGGATTGTATCTGAAAGAATATATTCATATACAAAACATTCGAGTTGCTTCCTGAGCACTCTATGTGTATCAACGCACAGCCCATGCTGACCAGAGACACCAGACGCGACAAAAGCATGATCTAAACCATATTTAACAAGCAATGCTTATGAACACGTCATTCAAGATGTGATTGTCCCATAGCCATCACAGTACTGTACCCAGCCATCCAAGTCCATATTTTTCAAGACTGTGCTGAGACCTTCCCCATCGCAAGTCAATCCAGAACTGCGCCCCGACGCTCTACTTGAGCTCTCGTTGGGATATTCGATATGGAAAACTGGCTTCTTGGCATCGACGAAGGGAGAGTAATCGCCGCATTCGTCCCACTCGGAGCACTGCTCATTGACGGCGAATTGAGCGGAGGGGAGGACATCGTCAATCATGCCTATGGAGTTCTTGAGTCCGATGCTCAAGTCTAGCTTCGCAGCCTCGGTCGCCAGGAACTTGAAGTAATCGATCGAATCTTTCTTCTTGAGGCCAATACCACCACCATCGGCCTCCTACAGTGTATTAGCCAGGGATTGTGCAAAGATAGGGAAAGGGTTAGAAGCGCACATAGCCATCCATGTTATCCGGGTCGATCGCATCACACCCTTTCTCCTTGGCGATGACAATGCGCTTCACCATGATATCCCTCACGTTGCTACTGCCAACGTTTAACCACCTCTCATCTGGCCAGTCATCCAGAATATCACCCATATCTTCAGGGTTGAAATCAGCTGCATCTGGCACGTATGGTTCGAATGTGCCAGCACTGAAGTAGCAGATGACCTTCTTGCCCTGCTCATGAAGTTTGCCTATGGTCTCCGCGGAGTTGATGAACATGTCAATGTCATAGACAGGCACATCAGGCACGACGGGGTTGGAATTCACTGTGAGCGGTTGGGAGAGGACGATTTGCCAACGCGTCCCGGACTCTGGCTGCCAAAACGCAGAGGCAAGCGGCAAAGAAAGTAAGAGGGGGAGCAGAGAGTACATGTTGAAGAGTAATGTAAAGGTTGTCCTTCCTGAGGACGAGTAAGTGAAGATAAAGTAAAAGAGTGACGCACCCACGAATGGTGGCTATGTTGTGAAAAGACAAGCAGCGGTATTTATGTTGACATTTCAACCATACTGAACAAGGACTTCTGCATTTCCTTCTTAGGACAGTGGAAATTGCAGATAGCCAGAGTTGGACGCACTGGTGGTGGGGCGTCTGATCCTGATTCCCGATTCCTGATACCCGATCCATCAGATGCGAATGTCCTGAATTGGAGTCTGAAGGCTGTTCTTCGCGCCAATGCACACCACCCTTCAATCCCATTGTGGCGAGCGGGGAGCGCAAGATTTCCCATGCTTTCTATAGTTCTTTTGTTTAAATCCTTCTCAGCAGTTGAAACTTGAAACGTCTGCTGCAAGGGGGGATCTGCAGGCTATAGGTTGTGTCACGACTCCCACAAGCCAGAGCTATTGTGTTGTAGTAAAATGAAGTTGACGTGGTAGGCGGAGGGAAATGAGTATAGGAATAGGAAGTGACGGCATGACGGTTGTACGAATCATGAGCTGCAACCATTCTTTGTTCGTCTCTTCGCTCGCGGGGAATTTTATACTAGGCCAACTTGAACTCACCCACAGCTCCTTCGCAAGCCACAGACCAGTCTGGTATCATAGCTCTTTCAACATTTGACAAAGACTGGAAAAGGCAGCACCAGCGAGACTGGCGCTGTTTGTATAGCGAAGATTAACCACCATCTCTTGACAAAATTGAGCCATTTCATCATGGATGGTCAGGCACTCTCGAATTTCTGGCAAAGCGCCTACCATCGTTGAAAGAGAACATCATGGCTGACTCTCATGAAGTCATGATGGCTTTTCCCAGCAGCGCATTGTTATTTGCTTCTCAAGTCATCGAGTGGAGGATTTCAAATTTGTCAAGGAACCTGAGTCGTCGGGCAAAGTGGATGAAAACCTTTGTTTCGGTTCTAGCCATCCTTGCATTCGTCAAGTCATGGAAATTGCGAGGGGAGATAATTAGGAGGATTGAGGATGGCTTCGAAGTTTGATCCGAATAGACCAGAAAGGCAGAATATTAACGCCTTGGAAAAGAGCTACCGAATACAAGGATTCTAAGGTCATAGTCGATGAAAGTTTGAGAGTTGGAATCCTCACAGCCTGCCGATCACATTAGCATGGTGTAACTTGTAAGCAACAGGATGTGTTCTGTATGAATCGGCTGGATGCAGAACCACGTATGCTAATCTTACTGCTATGATTGTACTGTAATCATGTTTGTATCCGGTTTCCTAAATCCTTAGACCAACCATCTTTTGATCTTTTCAACATAGCATGGAACCTGTGCCCACAAGTCGATCTTGAGCGACCCAGAGTCGTGCATACAGTAGAGCCTGTGTCAGTGTCCAGTGCTATTATTTCGCTTGATCGCGCTCTCAATCTCATCGCTGCTGTGTTCTTACTACGTCGGTGCAGTATACTGCAATGGAAACGACCTGTGTCGCTCCTGCCTCCAACCCACCTAGACCGTGTTACGAACTGCCAGCGTACCTTCCAACCTCAACAGGAGAGTCAAGAATCAAGCTATCAGGATGTATGGAGCAGTAGATGTGTTTGTCATGCAATATCAATTGTATCAGAACTTCATAAAAAGTCAAAGAACGAGTGCTCAGTGCTCCCTCTAATTACCCCAACTGCCGAGCACCATTGCAATCTGGGGAGATTAGTCATCTAGCGCTACCATCGCCGAGGCCCGTGCACGGTTATTTTCCCTCAGGACACCTTCCTCTTCTTCTCCACTTGAATCCTGACGGTACATGTAATGAGCATCTTCGTAAACCTGTAAGATACGCTAGCTGCGATCATCCAACCTCTTTACTACCCTTCGTTACAGCTATTTAGAGCTTGTTCCAGATGGTTACTGTCGTCATGGGAAGACATCGTAATCCTGATATTCAACGATCATTCGTTGTATGTATTCACCGCATCGCCACCACGAAAGGAGACTAACCGATCCTTTTTCATCGTCTAGGAATTCAACGACAGCGCGACGCCATCAAAGGTACGTGTTATATATCCCTCCAACTGCGGTTGCGTCCCTTCGAGAATTCGGGCTGATCATCCATGACTCCAGTGCAATAAAGTCCGCTGTCTCCACTGCGGCTATGTGCGCGCGAAGAACACAACGCGTCAAATCGAGCATTTGCAAGAATGTCAAGCCTACCTGGACTCTCCAGAAGCAGCGGCCCATTTGAGTGCGAACGTGGACGGAACGCCCGTCGGGCCGACTATGGGTGAGAACACCACCAGCCAGATGCTGAACGGCACTCACCCCAATCCGAATCTCCAAGTCCACCGACGCGGTCCGAATCAGAACAAGCGAACCCGCGAAGGTCAACCCATCGCGCCCGCGCCCGCCGCTCCGCCGTCCGTCCCGCCGCCGACTATGCCTTCAATCACCCAGCACCTTCTCAACTCCAACCGCATCTCGTTCCAGGCTGGAACGGAAACACCGTTCTTATCGCACGCCGGATGCGGGACGCTGGCGGCAGCTCCGCTGGCGCAATGGATGGTGCAAGATGGACATTACACGCGCGGCTACATCCAGCTCATCGGTGCGATGATCGCGAAGGTGAGGCTGCCGCACGTGCCGAACTCGCAGTTCCATCTGTTGTATCGGACGATGGATCTGCTGATCGTCGCGCTGAACAACATCCGGCGCGAGATGACTTTCTTCGAGATCACGGCGACCAAGTACAGCATCCATTTAGCGGATGAGCCGCCGAATGTGGTCACTCGAGCATATCTCGACCTTTTCAATAGCGTGAGCAGCCCTAGTGCCTCGCTTTTGGAAGGGATGGTCGTCCTCTGGGCTACTGAGCATGTAAGTAATTGTCATGATGGTCCCCTACCCTACTACAACTCTAACGATGAACAGTGCTACCGCACGGCATGGCTCTATGCCGCCAAGTTCACCACCACCCTCTCCACCCCATCCAATGAGAGCCATATCGCGGCCTTGCACCAGAACCTCATCCCGAACTGGACCTCCCCTGCATTCAGCAAGTTCGTTGACGCCTGCCGATCCCTCGTGGACGACCTGGCCAACTCCACCAACATCCCCAACGGCAAGGAGGAGATGGATCGCTGCGAGCAAGTGTTCCGTCAAGTGTGCTGGCTCGAAGAGCAGTTCTGGCCCGAAGTCGATGGCATGGGCGAAGAGGACGACACAGCTCGCCTCGGGCCCGTCAGCCACTCGATCGCCACGGGGGGGGCCGCCGCCAACGACCCCGATCAGAACGAATTCGATGAAGTTCTGGACGGAGTGGCGGAGGCAGCGACGGCGGGAGTGTAGGTTCCAATTGCACAAGATCGCAAACGAACAATCCTACGTTCCGCCATGATCCCATCATAGGAGGCGTCTGTTCTTCTTTTAAGGCTGACAATCGTGGTTTAGCGTCCACCGAGGGAAGCGACCGCTTCTCCCTAAGAAGGGGACTGCATTGCGGCACGTTTGAGTCTTCGCCTGCAATGGAATTTGCTTCAGGGTGTGTACTTTTACAACTCTATTTCGGGAGTAGGGAGTAGGATATGGCTTCGCCGGGCACGAGGGATGCTGGTGCGACAAGGGAGCTGATTTCCACTGGAATTCGATCGGGATGATGGGAATGTGTATCGATATTTCATTTTCGCGACTGGATGGTGTGTATGGATATGCAAAAATCAATGGAAGACTCATGAACATTCAGATCGCTCTAGATTCTCGAGTCCAGACACGTCAACTCCATGATTGGGCTTCGGTGAAAAATTCACACGCTCTAAGAATTATGCCCCTATCGTGACGGTTGGACTGGATGCTCGCACACCTACTTTTTGACATGCAGTTGCGTTGCGCCTGATCATCCTGGCTTGGGCTGCTTCAGCTGAAGTGCGTTCGTGTCGCTGGCTGGCTGAGGGTTCACCGTATATGGTAGGATTGATCTATAGAAGAGTCTTTAAGCAACATGATACTCTGCTGGCTGACTACTTTTTGATCCAAAATTACATTCCAGCTTCCGTTACGATCTGCGAAGATGTTCTCCAGCAATTCCCGTTTCCATTAATAGGCTGACTGGTCGTCCCCCGTATCAGGACGTGAAAATGCCGACCGTTATTTAATCTCGCGGATCACACCAATTGCAAAGGATTCGCAACCTTGCCAAGGAAAATTTGAGGGACTGCAATTTCTCCACTCTCTATGCAAGCAGATCGACGGCGGGTGATTAGCGGTTAGACTTGAAGATAGACTTTAGGCTTTAGGTAATAGTAGAGTGTTCAATATGACGAGGATAAGGTGGTAGTAGAAGGTGCTTAGATTAGGTAGTAGCCAGGGACTCCAAGTTCAAAGCCTGTTGGTGGCGAAATTGAGGAGGATGAGACTTGAAGCCTGGAGCAGTCGAAGAAATGAAGCCGAGAAATGCCTTCCTGGATTGACTTCCTTCCGCCCCGTTGCAAATTAAGTAACCCTGGCGATATTCAAGGGGTTCCCTGATGTATTGGCGAATCAGAGCCCAAAATACCCATCCCCTAAGCCTTATTGGGCACGACTCATCCCAAGCTCAGGCCAACGCCAATTTCCTCTGCAGGAACCCATCGTATCTCTCCTCCATTCCCCAGGTGACTTTCACCGTTTCCGACTGCCATTGGCCCTGATCCTCGGCTCCCTTCCCTTGGCTGGAGAGGCGAAGCCCCTTTGGTGGTCGACTGGTGGCCGACTGGCGGCCGACTGGCGCCTTTCACCATCGTGAATTCGTGATAGCCCATGTCACCTCCATGTTGCGATGAGGAATTTCGCCCATGCACTATCGCCTCGCCCGTCGGCCGTTCGACGCTTGACGCTTCCAGCTCAATCTCGAGCGGTCGAGCCGTGCGCTCAGCCTTGAGAATGGCTTGCCCGTGATGTGTACCAGCCTTTTTCGAATCTTGTCAACGCTTCTTCTCTCTCTTTTTTTCTCATCACACCATCAGCAATTCCAGCAATTCAGTCGTTCGCTACATTCCGCATTTTCTTGTTGTTATTGCAACCTGCCGCTCATTCTGACCTCGTGTCGCGTTCCCCGAGTCTCTCTTGATACTTAATATCTTCCCGCCGCTCTCGTTTTTGAGTCGTCGCAATCGTCGAGTAATACCCGTCAAACAAACACGAAAGTCAAGATGCGTTCAGATTTCTCCGTCTTCGCTCTCTTCACCGCTGGCCTGTCGGCCGTGGTCAGCGCCTACACCACTCCGGTATGTAACACCAGATCGCATTTGTCACGACAATGAAATCTAGGAAATACAAGATACTAACGGTTTCGCAGGTTGGAGAGCCCAGTGGCAACCCCATCCTCAAGCCTGGCTTGGGCGACATTGTAAGATCTTGCAAGCCCCTGGTGAAGATACAGTTCAATCCCTAACACAGTACGTTCAGGTTGATGCGGGCAAGCCGTACGAGATCACCTGGGACACCACTACCCCTGGCTTCGTGACTCTGGTTCTCCTCCGTGGCCCGTCTACCAACGTCGAGCCGCTGTACCCCATCGTCGAGAACACCCCCAACACCGGCTCCTACTCGTGGACTCCTGCCTCCGATTTGGAAGATGATGTGACCGGATACGGCATCCAGCTGATCGTCGACTCCACCGGCCAATATCAATGTACAGCTCACCTCCCCTCCCCCCTCCCAGCAACCAACTAACCACCCACCCAGACTCCACCCAATTCGGCGTCTCCAACCCCGGCGTCTCCGGCCCCACCACGGGCAAGCCCTCCGGCTCCAGCAAGCCCTCCGGCTCCGGCAACAGCACCCTGGAGCCGACCTCCAAGCCTACCGTCTCCAGCAGCGCCTCCTCCAACTCTACCAGCAGCAGCGCCGGCCCGTCCAAGAACTCCACCACCACCCAGACCACCATTGCCACCTCCGCCCGCACCACCCCCACTCCGACCAGCTCCCCGTCCCGCACCGGTGCTGCTCCGAGCGCGACTGGCGCGGCCGTCAAGGGCTACGTCGTCGGTGCCGGAAGCCTGTTCTTGGCTGTCGTTGGCGCCATGGCGGCGTTGTAAATGGGCGGTGCTTCCTGGAAAGTCCTCTGTGTAGGGACGCTGACAGTGGTGCGATTGGAGAAAACGGTAATGGCGCGACATACGGAAACAATGTAGTGCGTGTATAGGAGCGGTGGAGGCGGGCTCTCGGCAGAGAATGCATTGGCACGTTTTGTCGGGCCGGGTTTCTCACTTGGATAATAGCGTGTCGCCTAGTCAATATACCCTGGATACCCAAGATAATGCTCATACGCTTCAACTTCGATGTCATCGTCTTGGTGAACAACATTACCCCCAAGATCGAATCGTGCTCGGCATTGCAAGTTAAACGGTTAATCGCTAATGTCCGATTCAATTTATGTGTCCCTTTCTATTTGGGAGGTACCATCGACATAATTCGAGTCGCGAATATTCCGTATAAAGTAATACCTAGCTCTTCTCGTGCTATAATGCGTGATGGGGGATGCCCATCGAGGCTCAATTGCAATGATGTACAAAGAAACTTATTTGGGACGAGGCAATGTTGCGGTCGCAAAGAAGCACATAGGTTCGGTCATGTCGTCCTCCACTGCCATTAATCCTTGATGACGTGTACTCACCAATTTACTTGGGTGCTTCCCAATTTCACATCTTGATTGACTATAAAGGCAGACTAGAAACGAGGATATTCGGTATGACTGCTATGAATACTGAGAAAGTCTCAATAACCAGATACTCATTCACCTAGAGGAGAATCTCCCAAAGATCTAGAGCGTTAGTAATGCAACCACTAATTACTAACCGATTTCTGCAACTGTTCTCACAGTTCCAATTGCTGAGTTTGTCCATAGTCCCTGGTCGTTGGCAGGGCAGTATTTACTAGTCCTGTTGTGCGAACACTTGTGGGAGGTGTCATCGGAAATACCTGCGGTGATGTTAGTGTGATCGACGTGTTAGCAGTGGTATTTGACGCAGTGCTGTTGATGTAGTGGTGGTGTCATAGTGGTGAATACACTGCTGGTAGTGGAGCATGTTGGAACCTACAGGAAGTTTCGAAGTGTAAGGGAGGAGTTATGTGTTCTTATGCAGCGGTGGTGTTGACCTGCGTAAGGCGATATGGAATGTGGGGATAGGAGATAAGGGTTGATGGGATGGATTAAAGCCATTAATATAGCGAGGATAAGCACGACGAATGTGGACAGGTGCATATGGAGTAGGATAGGTTGAGGGCATGCCGAAAGCACGTAATGACAGGATCAGTTATGATATGCTAGCGATCGCCTACTGATTCGACTGAACGAAAGTGATGATGGCCGGTTGAAGTTGGGACCAAGGATAAACTAGAAGAGGCAATTTAAGTTACGTACATATGTTTGTTCGATCGGTGACAATATGGCGCTAATATTGCGAACAGCGGGTCGCTCAAGTGCAGTTGCGGTGCCTTCCTACAGTTCACTACACAGGCGATGATGAGGCGCACAAGATATGGATGGATAGGCTCATCCGCCATGTCTAGCCATGTTCAACCACCAGACGAGATCCATGGCATAGACTGGGGATAATGGGATGCTTCTATTGCGCGTACGCCTAGCCTGTATCAGTTTTGGAGCATTGGGTCAAATATGAAATCTTTCCTTGCGAGTCGTCGCTGATTCAAATGCATTTCGTTAGTGGCGGGCCCGCGCATATGTCTTGATTGACTAAAATTGTTCAGTTATGAACTATAAAGACTCATATCCTCTAATCCTAATACTTAATGTGCCTAGAATCACTGGGACAGTTCAATCGCGTCCAATATCTGAGTAGATGTTAGTCATCGTCAAGTCAGTTTAGCATAAACAGAGGTTGCTTACAAAGTTGGGCGCAAGGAAGTCTGTCCCTGAAGAGCTAGACAAGACGTTAATGGTTATGGTATTCTTCTCCGTAACCAGTGTACCGGCAGGAATATTTAAAGTATACACCTCACCATGTCCGCGATATCCTCCCCTTGTCAGCCCTCGAGAGTCAATCTTGGTAGGTTGAGATGGGGCAGGTCCTGCCCAATTATTCACATTCGTTTGCGGTCGTCCACCAGCGAAGGAAAGTGTGGTTCCAATCCGAAGGGTTGCCGCTTTGGCTTGATTGGCATCCAAGTTGAAGACGATGGTAAAGGGGTCATTCTTCCCCTTGACCAGGGCCATCGGAACATTGCCAAGAGTGCTCGAACCTACAGTGTAAGTCAACCGGCCCCAGGACGTCATGCGACGGTCAGTTGGGTGCATGCGGTGGAACTTGTCGGCATTTTGGAATCCGGTGGGCTGACCATCCCAATCGCCAATTCGCCAAAAGGTGCCGCTCGACAGAGACGTCCCCGCCAGGTTTTTCGCTGTGATGGTCCCTTGGTTGACCTGCACGTTCGATTTGCCGATGGGGAACTCGCCCTGATAGAGGGTCATTTCGTACGACCCGGGTTTCATCAGAGGCGTCTTATAATTCCCGGTATCGTCGGCGCGAGCCCAATATTGCGCCTCCTTGTTCTTGAAATGAACGACAGCTTGCTTCCCAGCTTCAACGCCCGAGACCTGGTCAGACATGGAACCTCGTGCAGAGTCCGGCACGTATCCGCGGATACCAAGATCTTTGAAGAAGGAAGTGTCGAGGTTGCCGTCAGATATACTTCCTCCGGTAAAGTGTATCGCATAAGGCCCATGCAATCCCATACACCAGTCCTCAGTCCTAAGATGACCCGAGTTCATATAGAAGTAGAGGTCATTGCTCTCGCCGCCATTATTGGTGTTGATATCTCTCATGAACGGACCTCCGGGCGCAGTCTCGTAGTTGAGTATGACCATGCAAGCCGCTCGTCCACTTCCTCCAATGCAATGGACTTTATCATCGATGAACCGCTCACTAGAATAGAACTTCGGTCGGGTCTGTCCATTAACAAGGAAGACATCATTTCCCTCGATTGCCGAACCGCCGCTAGTCTTCGATACGTCTCCAAGAGGCATCGAGTTGGGCATCTCGTTCGACCGGATGCGGGCAATGAATCGTAATTCGCCAACCGAATGTGGGGCGGTGATGTGCGTAGCCATATAAATCACTGGATTTCCAGACCTGGCAATGAGATACTGCGTCAAGGAACCTGCCACGCAAAGTGACCATCGCGGAGCTCTCTACATATGTCAATAGGAAACGGCAAATGTGTCCATCTGCAAGAATTCCTCACCGGATACCTTAGCCGACACAGTCGCGCTCCCAAGGCCCGAAGCGATGTGCGATCCTTTCGAGTTCCATTGGAGCTCCTTGCCTTGGAACTTCAAGGATGTGATATCACAGTTCCTTTTATTAACTGTGAACACCACATTGGCTCCTGTATCAACGACTAAGGCAGTATTGGTGCTCTAAATACCGAACGCTGCATATGCAGAAGCCACAAGAGAAATGCCAGACCCGACATAGATGGCCTTCATCTTGACGGACTGAATACGGCTCCCAAATACTGGACTTCTCGAACCGACCATTAGACGTTCAGTGGTGGTCTGCCGACTTTATAAGAACCATTGGCCATCAAGACAAGATTCCAAGCTCTTTTGGTCAGATTCCTATCCAATTCTCTGCGCCTAGTTTCAAAGCAGGAGAAGAATTACAACGCGAACGCTAATAGCGGACCTATGATATCCGTGATCATTTCGGACGTCTGTTTGTCGATATTTGCCGAGGAGCTGCCATATTGCAATTCTCCACCTCCACGACTGTTGGAGTTAATGAAACCATTACACGCCATACTATCTATACACTTTGTGGAGTAGACGTTTAGGCATATGTATAAAGACAAATATACTGTGGCCTATATCGCCTGAAAGTGATTGGCCTTTAGATAATATTGCGCTTCAGGCTACTTTTGTCCTTGACTGGCTGGAGTTGCAATACCCCCTAGCGAACTTTCAACTTCCAATCGACCACCGATTTGTGGAGAGATGACGAAAGCATCCGCCCCGTCGGATATTCTGGTGTTATAGTTCTATATCGGGTAGCATCAAGTGCTTCATTTCCTATGTGGATATTCCTGGAATGAAAAACTGCTGATCGGCTTCTTGGAAGGATACGATATCCCGTCACTCGTCCTGTCGAGGAAATCCCCACTCTAGCTCTCTAAAGCTGCACAATGTAAGTGACTGTTCGATTGTGGGGAGCGGGATTATTTTGTCGGATGTCTGAATCAACACGGAGCCAGGTTAAACACCATTCAAGGGCCATGATCCGTCCAATCTGGGTCTATTCCGATGGTAATTAGAGTGTCGGGAGAATGGTGTTCTGACTGATTTACGGTTTGGCTTTCCCCTCAATCGCCTCATGATTCAGAAAATGAAACGAACGCCACAACCGGATGTTCGGCGAGAATGATCTCCGAACTGATCTTGGCGTCGTTTCGCTTGAAATTTTAACGTCGAATACTCCGTATTTCTGAAGAGAATATAGAAATAGGAACCTTGAAGTTCTGAACCCCCATTATACTTGATAACTCCGATGTATCCATACCTACTTGACGACATCTTGAAGTCCCTGATCATGGCAGTTCAACGCTGTTGATACCGTCATTGCCAAGCAGTGAGAACATCAGGACTCGTTCAGATGCCCCCTGTCCTGCTGTGCAATGCCATGCAAATCAGCTCTGCGGCTCGTGTTTAGATGAGTGATGATGCATGGACTCGGATCGGTTCCAGATTGTCGGGATGTTCGTCTCTATTGTGTAAGAATCTAGGAGGTCCTATACGAGCAAATGAGCAATTAAGAGGTCAGTGTTGGGCGTTCGGAAGAGATGTCAAAACCATTATTTTGTCGAGGGGGGCAACGATATTCATCTTCCAGTCTGTACTGCCAACAACTGAACTTGGCTGTGAGAAAATGAACCCCCACGCTCGCTTTAAGTCGCATGGGAGTATGGGTGAGCCGGAAAGTCTGGGGTCATGTGGCACCAATCCCACGCCTGCCGGGTTGTGAGGCCCTAAATCCCGAATCTGGTCGAAAGACGAGAACTGAAGCATAGTGGTACGTAAGTTTCCTCAAAGCATGCGCCTTCGATGGAGGCGAAGGAAAGAAAACATGAGGGAGGTGCAATATCTAGTGGGCTTATAAATGCTGCAATCGCCGTGCGGATTGGAGCTGTATTGCTCCGTATCCAGTACTGATACCGCCTATAACCAGCCCGCTAAATTGGCGCTATTGTACCCATGGCGAACCTCTGGGCGCCCTACTCAACTCAGTGGCTGAGACTCGGGCCTCCGGTCATGACCAGTGTCATAAGCTGGTCATGCTTCGACGACAAGAAGTGTTTAAAGCCTGGTATAAGATCTATGGGAACCCTCCAGAGGAAAAAGCGCGAGGACTCTCCGAATTCCATTTCATTATCGACCTCATAAGACCTCCGGAATACGTACTCTAGATTCTCGTAATGAATCATCAATTAGGGTTCCCCAATATAAGACTGGTTGAGAAGAAGACATGGATGGGGTGGTCTACTCAAAAATCCGGTCCAAGGGCTGCCACAGATGAGTGCATCGCATATGCCTAAATTCTTTCATTTGCTATAGTATTCGTCATCGTGGATCAACGCAGGGAAGTTGATGATCGCAAGTAAGTCGGCATGTTATGCTCTCTTATGCAGAGTCACCGGAAAGCCGTGAGTGGAGTACGCAGATCATGGTGAAAGCGAAGTGAGAACAGTTAAATAGAAATAGAAGAATATTTATCATTCTTCGGAAGCCAGTGGGCCGCCCAAATGGCAGTGGTTTCTCCGTCCCAATGTTGCAGCATTTTCCCATGGTACTGCGAGAGACATCCAACTCCAGATACCTCCATTGTCTCGCCCGATGAGTTCAGACTCCAGGCGCTCCTTTCCCAGTAAACCAAGACCAACATAGCTATACCATCATTGAAGGAGAAAAGTCATGAAGAATAAGAAACCGCAATAGCGAAATAATTTTGCAGAAAGGCAGCAGCAAAACGGCCAGCCCCCTCCAAGCAGCCGTGACCAAATAATTTTGATGACCTCAAAGAAACTCGTTCCACAAGATGCTTAAGTGATTAAGAAATCCAAACCCATCTCTTGGATGATTGACTCCCAATCCCATGAATCAAGTCCTGCGTCCATCCTACGCCAGACCTCTCCTAGGATCTTCCGAGCATGGACAATGTTGCCTAAGCTGGAGAAGGTCATCAAGTTATCAAACGCCTCGCAAATGGTAGGCCGTTGAGTCTCGTCGAATGCGGCACAGCCGAGTAGGAAAAGCGGCATTAACACTAGGCTTTGGGTGGATGAATCTGACGGCAGATGGCGCAAAAACGCCAGGCCTTCTTCAACCGCCATGCTGAGTTGGGCGTTCGGTACTGATGGTAGAATGGTCCGGTGCAGATAAATCCAGGTACATTGCCGGTAAAGCATTGATAGTGTCCAGCGAGGTGAATCCAGTGGCTGCGTACTCGTCCAATCCCGGAGCTCCTGGTCGATTCCTTGCGCTTCGGAAAGGATCTGGAAGTCGACCACTGGCTTCTCGCCCGATTGACTTCGCGCACGAACTCGGTCGCGTAGGCTCCGAATCCGGGACATACACAAAAACAGACCATCCATAACTCCGAGGAAGTTTCCGAGCGCAGGTTGTTGCATCATGTATTCCGGAAGCTGGAAGTCCTCGGACATGAGGATATTCGGACGATCCACTGCGGTAATGGAGTTTGAGACGTCGTGGTAGACGAAAAACTCGTAAATAAAACCCCGGAAGTCATTGTTGTAGGCGTTGCTACGCTGCATAGCAAACCTGGCGATGTCCATGTGAGTCCGATACTCCCCAGAAACATCCCCAGCTGTGATGGTGTTCAAACAGAGAAGAACGGTTTGTGCGGTCGTGGGATCATCGATGATGACCTTTTGATCTCCTCCTCGGGCGTTCGCTAGGTTTGTATCTGTCCGTAATATTTGCAGAGCTAGCGAGTAGTGGTGCGACTGCCTTTCTTGATAGGCGACCAAGTTCGCCTCCTTATCCTTGGTGATAAGATGAGTTCCAGCGAGGCAGAGAAGAGAATGCATGAGACCCTTATGCTGCATTGCCATTGGCATGAAAAGCTCCTTGAACGGATTGTTTCTCTCCATACATAGGCTGAGAACTTTGCTCACTCCAAGTTGAAAGTGGTTCAGCAGGAGCCAATCCATATCATTTTCGACGCCATCTATGAGAGTGGGGAGAGTTCGAGGACTCTCATGGCTGTTCCGTCGAGCTACTACAGAGTTGAGTTAGCATACCGACTCGCGAGATGGTGCGCTTCCCACGAACCTTTCATGAGCCTCTGCCTCCCACTTTGCCAGTAATCTCGAGGTGGGTACCCTTCGCATGTGACATTGTTTTTTATGCAATGATTGCCTATCCCGAACGTCAGTATCAAGTCCGCTCGGTTTGTAGTATGCGACATATAAGAAGGCCCGCTTCAAACGAGTGGTAGCGTATGGAAGAGCCTACATTCGGGTTTCGTTTCGTCACATTTCTTCTTCCGTCGCCTGCATGTTATGCACCCAGTCTTTGACCTTCCTTTCGATGGTTTTAGAAGAACCGTTGGGGAATCCTTGGGATGTTTCCTTGGTCGACCCCTCGGTCTCTTCTGAACGACCAACTCTTCTGAAAGCGAAGTGTCCTCCACTTCCGGCAAAGTATCCATTTTCCCATTCTTGAGCAGATCTTCCTCTATTTCCTCTACTTTCGGGATTCTGTCATCGACTGCGAGGTCGAATGCATATCGCGGGCTGAATGTGAAGGACACAGCCGTTGTCGGTGACTCGCTCGATGTCGCAGTTGAAGGAGGGGATGAACTGGAACTCAAGGTACCAGTGGAGTGGACAATAGGTACCGATTGCACCGGCCCGAACAAAATGCCTGTAGCCATTGTTCAATTTCCGGGCACGAGGATCACAGCCTAGAGAGCGGCTGACGATAGTCGGGTAGAAGCATTGGAGAACGGAATGATGTTCTTAGAACGGTGGTTCAGGAGGACGTATCTCGATATTTGGCTCGGGACAGCAGACATAAAAATGATGGAGACGAGAGGGATTTCAAGACGAGACGGAAGGGATAGCACTGTACACCAAACTTCTCAGCTGAGATACAGTTCCCAGAGTACGGGTATCGCGTGTGGATTACGAATGCGCTAGAAGCCAACGCACTTTGCACCGAGACAGGTTCTGTACAACGTTGGCGGGCGGGGCCGTGTAGCTGGCGAGGGGAAAGAATGGATTATAATGCCAGATGAGGGCTTACGTATAAATGGAGAACGAGAGAAGCACTCCTATGCCACCAGTAAGGCAGGAGGATGGAGAATTAATGCAAAGAAAGAGAGTGGGCGTATCCCCAAGATGACCATCACCCCAGAAAGTTCGACGGACATCCTCATTGGGTGTGCTTTGGGCAGCGTGTGGTATTTCCGTCTTCCCCCAATTTTGCTGCCCTCACCCCTCATCAATGAATGATGGAATGAAAGACTGCAGGTTATGTAGGAGACCCATGTCATGGTCGGGCGGGGGCATCCCGCGACTCCGCAGTCGAGGTTTGCCCTGTTGAGTCTGCCCACGACTCCATGAGTGCACATCTCGATCTCAGTATCTTGCTGGCTTAGGAGTTTATAGCCAGTAAGCCTAGCAAGAGGCTTTGTTGGGGCATGGCCTGCAGCTATGGTGCTGTGTACTTCTGATGCAAGCAAGAATCCTGCAGCCAGTAGCCGCATAATCTTCCAGAAACATACAGTTCACCACCAGCTGGCCAAGAAGAGGACGGGCTGGATATACAACATAAGCCATGAAATCTCCTGGCAGCCGACCGTTCCGGTGGAAGGATCGAGCTTTTAAGAATACTGTTGGACTTTGACGACGTCCTTGAACCCTTAGTGACCAGCGCCAGCACTTGGCAGGTGATCTATCGTTCTGTATTCTTTAAGTACTTCTTTTGTTGTGTTCACAACTGATTGAGGTGGTGTGGGGTGTTTGCCAACTGCCAAGGCCTTGTTGATGGAGCTTTCCTTAGAAAGTTGAAACCTTCATGGTTGTCATTAGGTAGCGTTTAGCAACTGGGTGATTGAGTGGTCTTTGTCAAATCCTGCAGAGTACCGCAGTCCAGACCGTAAATCACCAGGGTTTGTATGCACTCGGCCAAATAGATATTGGATGCCGCTGTATCGATAGAATTGTTGAGTCCACAACTGTTTCTTTGTGATGGCCCATACATCACATTCCCTGATGGTTGATTCCCATCAATGATCAAATGATGGTTGATCGCTTGAATGTGCCTGTTAGGAAAGTAGACTTCGCCGCAACATTAGGGCGGAAAGATCAGGCGAGCAAAGGAACGCATTGACGTATTGCTCTAGGCGAGCGAGTCGCCAAAGCTTCGGTCCAGGAAGAGAGCTCGTAGCGGTACCGTTCTGTCGGGACCAACTACTCCGCAAAAGGACTTAGCAATTAGCATGGGAGTCCATATAACCCAGTTTCGAAACAGTTAACAGATGCAAATCTCATGCCCAGATTTATTGAACGGAGAGGGACATTAAGACGACTTTTGACTGCAAGGGGTTCCTTGACAAATCTGACCGAAGACGCAAGATGCAGATAATTCAACTAGCTGTCCAACGTACCGGGTGGAATATGTTGACCGCTGCCGTGCTACGATTGCAACGGAGGAGCTTCCGCCAGCCTGTATCTGGCTCACCGACTTGGAAGACATGTTACGACTTGAGACTTCTGGCGACGACTTTTTTCCGCTCAAGCGAACGAATTGGTGCAAGGTTGGGCATGGAATTTTGCAAGATTGCCGACCCAAAACAGTTCGTCCATTGTACCGATGTGCTGCAAGGAGCTCGAATACCTATGCTGTTATCCGAACGGCAATCGATCGCCCCTTGCCAAGAGACTTGGGAGGCTGGGAGCGGATTGTGCTGAACCAACCGCTCACGGCCTCACATCGAGTTAGCATTAGTTGTCGTGGGCTCGTGGCGGCTCTCCGATGTCTGTCTGCGGTCAAGTCCAGGGGTTTCCTCCTCTTGTTCAGATCTCAGATATAACTGACGAACTCCAGTTGCAAGGGGCCAAGAACTGCTAGCGAGACGAGGTTCATGTTCCTCGGCCCTTTGGCCCCTCATTGTGCCCTTGCCGCCAGTCCATCACCCTGCACCCATAGCCATCAGTAATTGAGTTCGGTGATAAAAGTGGGGATCCTACAAACCTAAGAGAAGGGCCGATTACGGATACTAAATATGTATTCCGTAAATAGTGAAAATACCGATGATCATCCCGAGCATGGCTCCGCAATAACAGGAATGACGGAATCCATCTTGGCGCCCGCGATCTAACCGTGAACTAGATATCTAAGTAGTAGTGGCATCTGTCGTGCTTGCTTCCATCATGAAGTTAAAGGGGAGGATCTCGTTACTCGTACCATGTTTACAAGAGAAAGATGGTGGCCTCGTTGCATGCCGATGTGATGGCTGGAACACCTTAAGATACTGCAGATTTCCAGGGACCTCTCACCTCACCTCACAAGCAACGGAGCGGGCATATCTGATCTTCGTCAGGTTCTCAGCTGCATTAGCGCCGTCCTCCAACGCTGCATGGTAGTACACCATGGGGTACATTAGGGTGAAGTATGAACGAAGTTGAGGACCCAAGCCAACCAGAACTCGTCCTCTCCGTCGTAGCAAACTACTGGCAATTGGTTGACGCTCGTTCGCTTGTACTATGTAGCAACTAAGTACCTACCCTAATTTAGTTGCAGAAGTTGGCGGCCGAAGGGGGAATAAAGCCAAAAAGGCAATGGAAAAACGCTATTGACCTGAATAACTTCACGAAAGGCCCAAACTTATATTTCCAATGGTAGAGTCTTGAGCACAAGTACGTCGACATACGCTGCTCCTCTCAGAAGGAATAGAGGAAGCGCAATAGTTTTGATCTTCGAGAGAGTAGAACTGCCTGACTATCAACATGGCAGCATCACCTCCACTCTCCAGGACCTAGATGAACGAATTTTCGGAGCTGAAAGTGGTGATTATCCGCTAGGAAGCTCCAGCGGGCATACGTCCCGGACCAGCTCTCAGAGGATCCTCGTATGCAGTAAGGTATGTAAAGAGATGATCAATAATGGCATCCCAAATTCTCAAAGGCAATTTTTCCATCGCAGTCCGAAAATCGTTCTCTTCTCCAGACTCCAGGAACCGAGCTCCGAAATAAGAAGCACTAAGATGACATACAGCGCGCCAACGTGTCATGCATAATTGAGCCGCTAGGTGAGTAATGGATGTGTTCAATTTTCAAACTCCTTGGCTGCTAGAACATTAGAACCCAATCTTTGATGCCATTTTGGAAGCAAGGCGTGGACACTCATAGATATGGAGTGGTCTTACGCTGACCTTGGAGAAGGGTGCTTGTTGCTCCTTGACGTTTTCCCTGGCGAAGAAGACAATGAATTCTTGTAGGGTCATGCTTGACTCTGTGTATTCCTGCCGACAAACAGCTGGTCTGAACTTGCTTGCAAAAAGCCGAGGAAGGTGAACAACTCTCAAGAGCTCCTAAAGCAAATGATGGCACATAAATTGACTTAAAATGAATATAATCAAGGAAAGAAGGCGAGGCAAGCATGATATCAGTGGCAATGCTCAATCGGACGACAGTCTGCCACTCTGGCGCGGACCTTGCAGTCGGTATGATTGCAATCATGCATCCATCGACAGAAATCTGCAGGTATCATCACCTCCATGAGTCTCCATCCGTATAAGAGAAGAGAACTGGTATAGAAACACTGCCATCGTGAGGCTAGATTTGAGGCTATCATAACTTGCTTAGGTCTGGACAGGTACGGCATCCAGGGGGCAATAATGTTGACATTCAAATATTATGATAGGCAGTGTTAGCTGAATTTATTAACTAGACATTGCATTTCGGTGCCGGAAAGTAGACTGTAGAAATTCGAGGAGCATCACGTGCTGAAACTGGTTTGGCGCACGACAGCTGCCATATATGCACCTAGGTTTCACGCATTGCACATCAGAGCCAACTGCACTAGTCGCGTCAACATCTGGAGAGGGCGAGAGTCACGTATCACCCTGCAACTACGCGCTCGTGAACATAGCTCATCGCTGGTGGTGAGGCAGATCCTTCGTAAGGTGATAATGAAGAGGTGACCATTCGATTTGGCCTTCTTGATAGGGGATCAAGGTCAGGCGCGCCATGTTCACCTTCACGCCTCTCCTTGGCGCGCAATCATCGTGTGCAGCATCTCAGTCCATTCTCGAACTCGATGGAGGCATTAAGATACTTATTGACGTTGGTTGGGATGATGGATTCGATGTGGAGCAGCTTAAGGCTCTCGAGAGGTAAGCCACGAGACGATGATACCAAATCAGCTGTAGCTAATATCTCGGTGATAGGCATATTCCAACCTTGTCAATAATATTGCTCACTCATGCTACCAAAGCTCATCTCGGAGCCTTCGCCCACTTCTGCAAAAACGTTCCTTTGTTCGCGAAAATCCCGGTTTATGCCACAACCCCAGTCGTCTCCCTTGGAAAGACGCTGCTCCAAGATACCTACGGAACGGCACCACTCGCATCTTCAATAATCCCGAAGGCAACCTTGGACGAAAGCGTATACACACTGCCTGTTTTCAAGGCGAATGAACAGCCAAACTTGCTTCTTCAACCGCCGACAGCCGACGAGATCGCTGGATATTTCTCACATATTCACCCCTTAAACTACTCACAACCCCACCAACCGATACCCTCACCATTCTCCCCGCCGCTAAATGGGCTCACGATCACCGCTTACAGTGCCGGTTATACACTTGGGGGAACTATTTGGCACATTCAGCATGGGCTAGAGTCGATTGTCTATGCTGTGGACTGGAATCAGGCACGAGAGCACGTCGTATCTGGCGCTGCATGGCTGGGAGGTCAGGGTACTGGAGGGGCCGAGGTGATCGAGCACCTTCGTCGTCCTACGGCCCTCATATGCAGTAGCAGGGGTGCGGAGAGAGTTGCTATCACCGGAGGGCGCAAGAAACGAGATGACGCCCTCCTTGACCTGGTCCGACGTACACTTGATCAGGACGGGACCGTTCTCATCCCATGCGAGTCAAGTGCTCGCATCTTAGAGCTTGCCGTTGTCCTGGAGAAAGCGTGGAAAGCAGACCCTGACAGCCCCGATGGCAGATCATTAAGAAAGTCAGGCCTTTATTTGGCGAGCTCAACATGCAGTGCAGCTGTCAGGCATGCAAAGAGCATGCTCGAGTGGATGGATGAGGACATGATTCGAGAATTCGAGATGGCGAATGCTGCTCATGACGTGAGCAATGGAAAGGATCAAGTCGAAGACCCAATAACCGGCAAAAAGTCGCGAAAGAGCTATACGCAGCCATTCGACTTTACACATCTGAGGCTCGTGGAGCATAAATCCCGTTTGATCAAGGCGCTCTCTAAGGAGGGAGGTAAAGTTATCCTTGCAAGCGACTCTTCGCTCGAATGGGGCTTTTCGAAAGAGGTCGTTTCCCAAATTGCTCAAAATAGTACGAGCTTAGTTCTTCTGGTCGAGCGTGCTGCAGAATGCTCCTCAACAGAGAGAGGCCTTGGAAGACTGCTCTGGGATCTATACCTAGAGCGCTCGAAGTTCAATTCCAAAGCAGAGACTGGCATAGACACTGCGGAGGTGGTTCACCTTAGCGGCGAACAATTTCAAACCAAACGAGTCAAGGTCGAATCCCTCGGACCTAACGACATGATGCTCTACCAGCAGTATCTCGCACGGCAGAAACAGCTTCAGAACACGGTACAAACTGACGCCGGTGCACCGATGGAGAGTGCTGCTGATGCTGTCGACGACCGCTCTTCGACCACAACGGAATCCTCAGAGGACTCAGACGTTGAACATCAAGGCAAAGCTCTCAATGCAGCTGCCACACTCTCGCATGCCCGGCATCGACTAGGGCTAAGTGATGCTGAACTGGGCATCAACGTACTGTTGCGCAAGAAAGGTGTCTATGACTATGATGTCCGCGGAAAAAGAGGCCGTGAAAAGATATTCCCCTTCGTGGCAAAACGACGACGCAACGACGATTTTGGCGATCTGATTCGACCCGAGGACTACCTTCGTGCTGAAGAGAGAGACCAGCTTGAAGAAGAAAACGCGACTGCAAAGGATCAAAAGCAGCAAACAACAGTCGGCCAGAAGCGGAAATGGGGCGACTCGAAAATCAGCGCGAACGGCATGACTCGTGCTGGGCAGGATGATGCACGTTCCAAGAGGAGGAAAACGAACGGGATTTCCGAACACGCAAAAGGGTCGACGGAGGATCGCGACTTCGACGAGTCTGAGAGTGACTACTCACCCGACGAAGATGAACCTGCCGTTCCAGAAGGGCCACGGAAAGCGGTCATTAGCCAGGAGGAGATTCGCTTTCATGCAAGTGTCGCGTTCGTGGACTTCGCCGGCCGTCATGATAAGCGCAGCTTGCACATGCTCATACCGCTGATTCGCCCACGCAAACTCATTCTCGTTGGTGGTGAGGAGCAGGAGACTCAGACACTTGCTAAGGACTGTCGGAAACTGCTTGGCTCGGAAAATGGCGACAGCACCGAAAGTCAAACGATCGTTTTCACCCCTGTCATTGGTGACACCGTGGATGCAAGCGTCGATACCAACGCGTGGATAGTGAAGCTCAGCCAGCCCTTAGTCAAGCGCCTTCAATGGCAGAACGTTAGAGGGTTGGGGGTGGTTGCCGTTACTGGTCGTTTGGAGGCCGGTCAGGTGGTCTTGGATCCCGCAGACCTGAGTCAATCAGTGAAGGAAGACGAAACTGCTGACTCCGACGACAAAGCTGCAGTCAGTGCCACGCCCATACTGGGTGTGCTCCCTTCAAACCTTGCTTCCGCCACTCGTGCAGTGGCTGCTCCTCTACATGTGGGCGATTTGCGCCTGGCAGATTTGAGAAAGCTTATGCAAAGTTCCGGATACCTTGCGGAATTCCGTGGAGAGGGTACTCTGCTTATCAACGGCTCCATCGCTGTTAGAAAAAGCGGTACCGGCAGGGTTGAGATTGAAAGCAATATCACCGCGCCCAACGTCCGACAACGGAACATGGCAACATTCTATGATATTCGGAGGAAGATTTATGAGGGACTTGCCGTTGTTGCTGGGGGATAAACCCTTTCTATCCGCACCATGGCACTGTTGTACGATACCTGAGCTGTCCTATTCACCAAAAATGAAAGAGCTGTTGGACACATAACGCCATGAGGGCCGAGCACTTGGTTAATTTCTAACTCTTGGTGACAGAATTCGTCATACTATTGCGTGCAAATGGTTCTTCGCCCAGTTGATGGGCGGCCGCATCGTCAAGTCTATCCGTTACAATGCCGAATACGTCTTCACATCCCCGATGACGGTCATTACGCAGTACCAGTGATCATGCTGGCTCCAATGATGCAGATATCGCCGTCACCGAGAGAGTCATCATCAAGCTCAGTGACCGGCAGCATGGCTGGGTATATAGCCTGTCCAGCTGCTATGATGAAGGCGTACGTCCTCAGCAATAACCAGTCTCTTCTGCCGACCATCTTCTCAAGGGAGCGAAGACGCCTACGATCATTGGCAGATTTTCGTCTTTACAACATCCGCTACATGGAATTGCCCTCCAACGCCTGGCACCAGCAATTTGGCTACGGACACTTCGAGCCTCACTTTCACCCTGCCCCACGTGTTGTCAGGATGGCTTACCCTCCACCACATCCGTACTGGATGCCAGGTGCATACCCTCCTGCACCACCCCCTTATAGCTTTAGTCAGCCTCCGTATCCTCCCGCATACTCCCCTCCCGCATATCCCCCTCCCGCATATCCCCCTCTTGGATACCCTCCTCCCGGATACCCTCCCGCATTCCCTCCTCCCGGTTTCCCTCACTCGTCCTTCTACTACCCCTCTCCTCTGACAGTCGGCACTGCCGATCGACCGAGCCGAGCGATAGAGGAGACTGTCCAAATCCACCTCTGCACTACCAGCGATGTCATACCTTGGGAAGGTGGGCCACACGAGCTAACATTTGATGTCAAAGAATACGACATCGAGTGGCCCGTCGAGCGCGTGATGAAATACAACGGAAAGGGCAAGGACCATAAGATCACCGAGCTGATTGAGAGGGGAGGCGGCTTCTGGCGAGCTGGTTTGCAAATCGCGTTCGATGACACCAAAGCGAGGAATCCGATCGCTTGGTATGGATGGACTGGTAAGCGAGGCAAGCCGAACCAGCGTGGTCAAATCGTTTCCCCTCCTGTATGGGCAGTGATAACCCCGATTTGAGGAGGTGGATGTGGAATGTGATGGACTAGACGGTGTCCATGAAATATGTGCGCAACATACTGTTTCCGCCTCGAACTTGGAGGGGAACAATGGCGATATAGGAGGGAACAGAGGTTGAAACCAAACGGGATAGGGGCACAGATTCAATGCATTGGAAAGGGACTAGGGAACAATCACCAAGGACTGTATGACACGTAGGGACATAGCTTGTAGGAGAAACATTGGATCCTTCGTCTAGTGTCACGCAAGTTCATGACTCCAATTTGATTTCTTGATCCACACCGTCAGTAGCATCTTCCATATGGACATCGTTTTCAGCGCCTGAACCTGCATTGCTGCTCTCCGAAGCTCCATCATCCCTCCAGATTTTCACCCTACCATCCATTCCGCAAGACACGACCATTGGTTCCGTCGGATGTGCGTCGACTCCCAGCACCGGTCCGCTATGGCCATCCAAACACTGTAATACCTCTTTACTTCCAACGTCCCAAAAGAAGATCGAGCCATCTTCGCTCCCAGAGACAATGAATGCAAACGGATGAATATATCTCGAACGAGACACTCCCTCGCCATCGATTTTTTGACCCTTCTCGTTGTCGGAATAGCCATTCATCTCCGCTGGACTTTTCGCAGCGTCAGGGGGTCGAGAACCATACACCCCGAAAGATCCCGTTAAGCTGAATTTCTCGTTTTTGTGTCCTTGGTATGTTTTCAGACAACGACGGCGCTCCCCATAGTCCCAGAGCCGAATGCTGGAATCCAAAGTCCAAGCAAGGACAAATTTTCCATTCGGCGAGAAGCGGGCGGAGGTCACTGAAGCATTGTCTTCATGGACCAGGGTACGCAGACATTGGCCTGTTGCCGTGTCCCAGATGCGTCTAACAAATCGTTTTATTAGCTTGTTGTCAATACGTCTCGCAGGGAATGTTGATTCAACTCACATCAGGCCGTCACTACTGCAGCTGCAGATCAATGTCCCGTCCCGCGCGACATCCACACCATACACCGGATCGGAATGCGCTGGTAAGCTCTTCATGATCCTTCTTCCTCTCACATCCCATAAGAAAACGGCCTCATCGAAGCTCCCGCTGACGAGGATATTGCCCTTCGGAGTCCACGCGACCGACACCACGTAATTATCGTGTCCCACCAAAGGTACTCGGAAAGGTTTGCCAGTGACCGTATTCCAGAGTCTTATGCTTTTATCATCACTTCCGGAAGCCAAGATATTGCCGTCCGAAGACCAGGCGATCACAGATACCCCGGCCAAATGCCCTTCCAGGACATGTTCCAGCGCGAGCGTCGACGCATTGTGTATGAAGATCGATCCATTCGAGCTGCCCGCAGCGAGTAGGCGACCGGAGGGTGATATTTTGACGGTAGAGAATGGGTGAGAAGAGGGAGGAAGATCGGCGACATGCCGATAGTGTAGTCGTTTTGGACGTTCGGGAGATTGGAATTGCGGTTCGGCATGAGGTTCAAGATGTACGGGTGAGCGGGATCGTGATTTTCGCGGAGTTCTAGAGGAAGATTGCGCACGGAGCTGTTGCGACGGAGAAGGAGAAGAGCGGAGAGGTGAGCGTTCTGGAGGGGATGATGATTGAGGATGTGTAGTGTATATCGGAGAATGTCCTGGTTTTGGTGAGGGAGATCGATGTTGACCAGCTACTTGATCATTATCTGATCGCGTGGGTGATTCTGAGCTCTCTGGCCCAGCCTCCTTTTGATTACCCTCGTCCTTCTCATTTTCAACCGTTTCGATTCCGTCCTGAGTCCGGTCTGGTAACTCTGCGGTCTCCAATGCGGTCGGAGGAGCTTCTGGCGACGCGACTTCTTCAGGACTTTCCTGTCGCGCTCCTCTAGCTCGACGGGTACGAGGCGCCATCGCTAGCAGATTCGAGATTCGATTCTTGGTAGTTCAGGTATCAGCTCGCAAGTAGATTGATCGCATCCAACACTGCAGCGCTGCGGCGGTCGTAGTCAAGGGATCCAATAAATTCTCACGAGTCAGACTTTGCGCCGTTGTAGTCGATCATGACTCGTACACGTACTGCGCGGCGATCTGATGATCTGGTCCCGATGCTCCAAACCAATTCAGACTTCAGAGCATTATTTTTCCAATTGGGTGTTTCCAGCTATTAATGGAAGGTTTGATGGTGGAGTCGCGTTAGCATTGATTGTAGCTAATGAGAGTGTCAATCTGCCAAGGTCCTCCGACGATTGGATTCTTCCTCTGCCGCATTTCACAACTGCAATTGCGACCAAACAACCTGTCCCTGAGTGTTCCATCTCTCCTGCGACTCTCCTTAACATTGCCTACCTATACTACTCAAAAGGGACCAAACGAGATCTGGATACTCACCCATAGACCGTTCGACCTTGTCCCCAGTTCAACTCCTCCGGGCCGGTATGCATTGACCCTAACGGAAGCCGAGACATCAATCCACAATGGCTCCGCATGAGCTTCACGTCGTGAGCCTCAATGTCTGGGGTATTAAATGGATTTCTACACATCACACCGAAAGGATCCGCGAGATCGGCCGCCAACTGGCCCGGTCCGATCCTGCGCCGAACATCGTGGGTCTTCAAGAATGCTTCTCGTCTGCGGACCTCCAAGCAGTACAGGAAGAGACGCGGGACATTTTGCCATACTCGAAATACTACCATAGCGGAGTGTTCGGTGGAGGGCTCGCAATACTCAGCAAATGGCCTATCGAAGAGAGCAGCATGACGGGCTATGCCTTGAATGGGCTTCCATGGGCCTTCTATCGAGGGGACTGGTACGTTGGGAAGGGCTTTTCTCAGACACGAATTCGGATACCTGCGGACGAAGACGGCGACGAGGAGGTGGTTGAGGTCTTCAATACACATGTGAGATGATCCACGGTGAGCTTTGGATTCTCTCGCTGACGGTCTATCCCTAGCTCCACGCACCATATCACCCTCCACCTAAGGATGTGTATTGGACACACCGCCTCTCACAGGCGTGGCAACTTGCCAAACAGCTCCGATCCGCCGTCTCAGATTCCTCGGTTTCTCTCGTGCTCGGCCTCGGGGACTTCAATTCCCGCCCGCTCAGCATGCCCCATAAAATCATCGAACGCCATGGCAGAATGAAAGATGCGTGGCTGCAGCTCCATCCCCAATCCGCCGCCGAAGAACCCGAAGGCTCTTCGATAATCGTCGACATCGACCCACCCAGGGAGCGGACCAGTTCGATCGAACCGGCAGCAGACTTGGAGCTTCGGCGTCCAGGCCATCATATCCCGACTGTCCGTGCCGCGATCGAGGACTTGGGGATGACCTGTGACTCAGGGTATAATACCTGGCGATGGAGCAAGCCGGTGAGAAAGCAGCTGAAGAAGAACGCCGTGATTATTCCCGACGAGACGCCCGATCCGCGAGCAAAGAGGCTGGATTATGTGTTCTACGCGGATGGAGCAAAGAGCTCTGTCGCAAAACACTCTCCAGGGGTTCAGGGGTGGACGGTGGGATCCGCGAAAGTGGGTATGACTGCAACCCATCCGACGCTCAATTGTAGCTTGAGCGATCACTTTTCCGTGGAAGTAACTCTTGTGAGGGCTGCAAACAATGAAGCTCAGTCATCACGCCAGTCACATTCGGCCGACGGCAGTGACACATCTTCGCATTCCTTGCCCGACAAGTCAACATCACCTCCCCAAGGTGACACCCCTAAATACCTATCCGTATCGGACTACTCGTCCATCCTCTCCCACATCACCAGGTGGCGCTCACGACAGCAACAGCAACGAAGACTACGGCTCGGACACCTCGTTGCGCAGTTTTTCATAGCGATCGGGTGCCTTGTCTCTGTTTGGTTTTCGCCGCGGAACTTTGTCTCGTTCATACTCATGCTTGTGAGCACCCTGGGTCTGGCCGCTGGTGTTCTCGATGGCATTCAGGGTGGTCTATTTGTGAGCTCGGAGTTGAACGCGCTCACCGAGTTTGAATGGGATGTCAGCGCGGTTCTGGATCGAGCAGGAGCGCCACCGGCATTTAAATGAAGTGTACGGTATATCGCTCGTCTAATTCTACAGCAGGAGCGCTATTGTGTCATCAACAAGCGCCGGAGTATCATAACCGTTGTCATATTTCAGGGGATTACAAGTAGCGCTATTATACCACGAACAGCAAGATAGTCGCCGAACGCCAATTGAATGCATGGATCCAAGGGATCCCTTGTCTATACGTGCTCTTGATCTGCACAGCATGGAATGTAGCGATGTTTCAAAGCCCATCAAAATCCCCCGCAGCATCATCTTCATCGATGTCCCCTTCCTGGATTTCCTTCGCCAGCTCCCTCTCGCGCTCCCTCGCCTCCTGCGCATTCTTCAGCTCCTTCCGATGCTGGTTCATCGGGAAGCGCATCGCCTTCACGCTCTCGTCATGGAGGGCCAAGCACGCCTTGATTCGCTCATGGAACGCCTCGGCCGGTTCTCTCGTCGCATAGATGTCGCCGGCTTGCTTGGTCTGCATGTACGCTTTCTCATGGTTGATGGTCGCCTCGATGACGCCATCCCGAATGGCTTTGGCCACGATATATTCCGCCGACTCCTCGCTTTCGAGACCGAGCCGCATGCAGATGTCGCGCAGCGAGATGCGGCTGTAGGAGAGCGACAGCATGCGGATGCCAGTGCGGATGACGTTCTGCCGCAGGCGGAGCACCAGCGTGTAGGTCCCGTCTTTGTGGAAGGTCGGGGCGTACATCTGCACGACGCGCTGGAACCCCTGCATTTCGCCGCCGCGGACAGCCTTGACGAGTTGGAAATACGGCTCCAGGGTGCGCTCGAGTTTGGTCTGGCTGAAGTAGGATCGTTCCGGGATGTCGCCCATGAGGAGTTCGACGACGATGAGGAACTTCATGCTCGCCTGGTAGAAGCCGACGGCGACGGAGCTTGTCGGTGCCTTGCGGGTGGCGCCGACAAGGTGGTCATGTGCTTCGGTGTAAGAGAGTTGGATAGCGCGTATCCGCCCAAGGTAGTACAGATATCGTGCGACTTGGTTGTTCGGGGCATTGGGGGGGAAACTGGTCTGTTGAACCAACGCATCGGCTTGATTGATGTCCGCGGTGAGGATGTAGTTCCGCAGGAGCAGAACAATCACGGCTGCCTGGGTTTCCTGGTCCTTTCGGAGAACGGCGCTTCTTAATGCTGCAAGCAGATTGCCGCGGATTTGTATTAACGGCGACTGCGAGGAGGGAGGCTTGGGGTCGAGCTCCTCGAAGAACATGCTCAAGTAGAAGTAGGCTTTGGTAGCAAGGGAATCCAGAGTACGCCGGTTGAGTTCTCGGATTCGGTCGACCAAGCTTCCCGAGAACTTCGCTCCGACGAGGTAATGTTTGTTGTCGTACAGAAAGACCTGAGGCGACATTAGAAGATCATGCATCTGGAAGATCTCGGGAAGAACTTTACCTGAGTGAGGATCGCAATGTACACATCAACCTCTGGGATCGCTTCCTTCGGTCCCTTTCCCCCAGTTTCGGCTGTGATCTTCTTCTGAGCCTGGGATATGATACTCCGTACATCCTCTTCCGACGCCGTGCAGGCCTGGAATAAGGTCTGCGCCGTGGGATCCTCTGGGTGGTACGTGACGGCAACGACTTGGGCTAGGATTTTCGGCGACAGCTTCTTCCGGATCGACGATATCGATCGTAGTGCTCTGAGGGTAAATCGAGTGTCAAACTGTGCCACGGCTCGTTCGAGAAGGGCGAAGTTGGATCGGATGTCTGTGGTTTTCTCCAGTTAGCAACGAAGCCTCCAACAGAATCATAGCTGGCGATCGCGTTGGCTGTGCTGGAGACCTTCGGCCTGGTCATATTTATCGACAGTTCCCAGCTTGAAAGAGAGTATGGGATGCTGTAAGCGCGTACCTGCTACGGTCTTCTCATCACCGACGACACCGTTGACCTGAGCTGCGTCACCAACGACGCCTTCCATAGATTCAACCATCGTATCTTATCAGTAGGTATCGAGAGAGAGGAATAAGGGACGTCGGAGGGGTTTATCCTGAGATTGAAACGTTCAAGGTGTGAAGATGTATCTGTAGTTTCCCAGTGTTGCGGCTCTAATGCTGGTTTGAAGCATAAAGAAGTTGTGGTCTTGCACTCTTGCGGAGCTTTGGGGGAGATACCTGGATGTTGGCCCGAGCTTTAGAGTCGCTCAGTCAGTGATCAGTCAATCAAATGGCGTATTATCTCCACTCTCCACTATCATGGTACATTCAGCACATGTAAACAATTGATCACTAACTGTCTGTTGACAACAAATTGAAATGCCTAGCTGAAATGCAAATTCCGAATGCATTATGACACTGTTGGACGGGCATCTAGAGCAGCTATCGCTGTGTGCGGTTTCTATCGCTGAACTTCCGTCCGTCTTTCTCGTCCCGATGTACCAGCAATAATCTAAACGCCCTTCTTAGTTTCCCTCCACCAAAGATCTTCGCAAATGCGCTCCTGAAACCCCACGATATCACCGCGTTGATTCGCGATACCGAGACCCATGAACAGGCGCTATTTACAGTCAGCCAGCCCCCTCCGCAGCCGAAAGCGTTCGATCCCTCTGCCACCTCCAGGCGGAGAACTACGGTTTATAGCACGGCCGCCTTGAACCATGCGGCAGACGTGTCCCGACCGCCCCGGAGGAATACTGCCGTGGCTGCGGTCCTCGGAGGGGATCTCGTCCAGCGGATCCGCGACGGCGGTGGAGGCCGAGTTGGCAGCGGCGTAGGATACCGCAATTATGACCACAAGGGTGAAGTCGACGTAGACGTGCTCCTCGAAGGGGCGGAGAAGCTCTGTGGGGTCTAGTATGTCTCCCATGTCCGTGAATCCAAGGAAGAGACTGACCATGCTAGCCCCATTCCCGGTGCGTTGGAGAAGATCGGACAGCTTCGGCAACGTCATCACCGTCTAGCGCACTCCATTGCAGAATTAGAAGAGCAGGTTACCGAACAATCGGAACAACTGAGGAAACTGAACCGATCGCGTGGTCCTTCGGGATTATCCGACGAAGAGGATGACGAAGACGAAGACTTCACTACACAGCCGGAGGCAACGGTAACGGTAGATACATTCCCTATCAGGCATGAAGACATGCGTCAAGACGAGGAAGATATCACGGAGCTGGAAAGGAAGAAGCGAGCTCTCGAAGAAAGGGTCAGCGCCCTTGGAAAGGATATCACTGGAGTTCTCGGATGAAAGGCAGGTGATAGTTACATTCAGTCATGCATAGCTGAGGGAAGCTCTGGCAAGACTTGTCAGGAGTCGAGAGCAATGTTGCTCCTGAGGGTAGGCGCTGGTAGCTCATGGGGCATGGCTTGGGATGAATAATATCCACCTCTCGCGGTACAAGCAAGCCATAAAACACGGTCAGTCCGATGCAACGTCGATTGACGATCAGCCGTGTGACTGGGAGCAGAGTTGCGTCGTAGGTTTGGTGACGCAGGGGAGCCGCCTAGGGATAGGCTGGATAGGAGTGCCATGAGGAATCAACATGAGATACGCCCAAGCATGATATTTCCATAGGACCAATGAATTATCGGGTACTTTACCTTAGTTACAAAGATTATTATAATCTTTTGACGGCCAACTATTGGCATGTAGTGTGTTCCTTGCTGACTGCTCTGTCAATGTAACTGAGGGCTCAATCGGCGGACTGCACGTGACATGAATCATGGCGCTAACCCAGAGCGGAAGATGTATATCACGTGTAAGTGAGTCATTCTTCCTTCGGCTTTGGTGAATCGCTGACAAAGTGGAAATTCACTTTGTTGGCACTTGGCAGCACCCGGACCAGGCTGAGCAAGGGAGGCAGTCAGGCAGCGCCAGGCAGCAATTTCCGACCAAAGAGACAAAGATCATCCGAATCCCCCCCTCCCTGCAATCCTGCTTTCAATTCTCACCACTTTCATCTTCCCCAACTCCGCAACTCCCCCATCCCCATCATCTCCATCACATTTTACCGTCCCTATCGATGATTCCATCCATCTGACATCATCCAAAGCCTTTTTTGAACCCGTTGGGAGCCGTCCCTCGTCCTTATTACAGAACACCGCACTCACCCCGCCAACTAGCGTTGCCACTCTGTTTTGGAGATCCAGTATCCAAGGTGAGACGAGAACTAGTGGTGGAAGGAAGTTTTCGAGATATCATCGGTGGATTTGGACTGGGTGGTTTCTTTGTTCCCGTCGTTGAGGCATTCAGTTGCTCCGATATCCCAGGACACATTGGATCGCTCCAGCATTTGCACCGCGTCGTGTACCAGTACCTATCGTGATTGCTTCTCATCACCGTCTGTGGCCTGTTGCGCAGCATCAAAATCATTTCAGTTCAACAAGAAAAACAATCAATCCTATTCGTCTCCCATCACGAGTGGAGCATTTGAACAATAGATTCCGAGATCTTATTGTTTCGTCGCGTGGCACTCACTCCACTCTTTGACGCAGCACTACACAGTACTTTCGGATCGCCGTCTGCTTCACAGACGGCTATTCGTCTCACGACTTGCCCACCTCTTCTCCGTGTACAGACTCTCCATATCCCTAAGATTATCTGACTGATCGCCCCCGGAACACAGCGATCGTCCGGACGACTTCAATATCGATCCTGTACACCTCATAACCTTTCGTTCGTTCTTGAGTCACAATGACTTCGTCAGTCTTTTTCAAGTGGAGGTCTCAAAAGGAGCCGCAACGTATTGTGTTCGATGGAACGGGTATCACCGTCTTCGAGCTCAAACGCGAGATTATCCAGTTGAGCAACCTTGGTGATGGATCCGACTTCGACTTGTCGATCTACCCCGAAGATGCCAATGATGGTAAGAATATATGATCGACTATCGTTATTTCACCATCAGCTAACATCCAATTTAGAATACGACGATGACACCGTCATAATCCCTCGATCCACAACTGTTATTGCTCGACGAATCCCCGCCGCTCGACATGGTCATGGAAAAGCTGCTCGATATGTATCCGGCCATGCGCCCGTCAGAGCGAAGAATGCATATCGAGGAGAAGCCCCAGCCAAATCTGCACCCAGAAGTGCACCAAGTGCTGCAGCTGGGAGCATGGCCACAGCCCAAACTGAAGAGGAGCGAATTGCGGCGATGTTCCAAGAGCAAGGCGATCTATGGGCTCAAACACAAGAAAAGATGTCCAAGTACGTATAATCTATCCTATGTTTCGGCTCTATGGTGGTGCTAACTATATCTCAGAGAGAAACCGGTTTTTAACAAGAACTACAAAGGCCGACCTGTCAACATCCCTGACCACGACCCTCCTCCTGGATACGTCTGCTATCGGTGTCACCAAAAAGGTATGCATTGTGTCCCGCCTGTCCTTTACAAGGTACTAACTTATCTAGGTCACTGGATTCAAGTCTGCCCCACCAACGACGATCCAAACTTTGACGCCCGTCCAAAAATCAAACGCACCACTGGTATTCCCAGATCGTTCCTCAAGACGGTTGAGAAGCCTGTTGCTCTTACGGAAGATGGTCTCACGGACACACGCATGCCAACCGGGGTGATGATCAATGCGGAGGGTGAATATGTCATTGCAGAACCGGATAAAGCTTCTTGGGATCAATTCCAGGCCAAAACAAAAGCATCGGCGGTACAACAGCAGGCGGCAGAAGAAGGAAACAAGGAATTGCGGGAACGCGGATTGGAGTGCCCCATTGACAAGCGAATGTTCGTTGAACCAATGAAAACACCATGCTGTGGAACGACGTACTGTAATGACTGCATCGAGAATGCCCTCGTCAACAGTGATCTGGTCTGCCCTAATTGCAACAAAGAAGGCGTCTTGATTGATGATCTCGCCCCGGACGATGAGACGAACGCGAAGATCAAGGCATATGAGGAGGACAAAGCAGCGGAACGGAAAGCCAAGGATAGGGAACCGCAGGACAAGGAGACCCCCAAAAGTCCTGTATCAGACAAAGCTACTCCTTCAAAGTCCACTGAGGCAAATGTTGCGTCAAACACTGATGACAAACCCACCAAATCACCCAGTGGCTCGCCTGATCGAGACACCGCTGAACCCTCACGAGCCGAAAGCAAGTCCCCAGTCCCTTCCAAATCACCCAACCCTACACCTGCATCCACTGCGGAGCCTGCATCGAACGGAACCACAGATGGCGGCTCTAAAAAGCGGCCTGCGGAAGAGGAACTAAAGAATGACCGCATCCCTACCGGCCCTGCTGCCATGCGCAAACAAGCCACGACACCAGCGAACCCTGCTGCCGCTAAAGCTGCTGGTATCGACCAGTCCTTCATTGAACAGATGAATGCACTTTCCGGCAACGGTGTTGTGATGCCACCGGACGGACAACTCCAATCAAACTTCTTCCCCATGGGCATGCCCACCATGGGGTTCCCAGGCGGCAACATGAACATGGCGGGGATGAACATGGGGATGAACGGGATGATGATGCCGAACATGAATCCGATGATGATGAACGGGCAGTGGAACAATGGAATGGGGTTTAACCCGGCCGCGATGGGTAACATGAATGCGTTCAACGGAAATAACCCGAACTTCAATGACCCAGGCGGTAACAACAACTTTCGCGGCAATAATGGTCAGATTTGGAACCCCGCGAGTGCAAACGTGCAGGGCAATAGGAGCATGAATCAAACAAATGGGAAATACGGGGTCTTCCCTAACCAGCAACGAACGGTCTTCAGTGAGCCGTTTCCTAGCGAAGAGGAGAGCCCGTACTTCCGACAGCCTGTCAACCCCGGTAGACATCAACACCGACAGAAGCGGGCTCGCCCGAGCGATTATCGGGAGCTATGAGAGCACGCTCGACAACAGGAAACACCAGAAACGGGGAAGTAGAAAGGTTTCCCCTGGCCCTACCGGACACATCTCAATATCTGAGAACGCGGCCTCATATCCCTTCCGCTCCGCATATCACTGATGGAGTTCGGGGAACGGACTACCCTACGGATGCATGGTACGGCGCTAGAGGATGTTTTGGGTTCGAATTGGCGCCCATCGCGGACGTTTTACGGATGTGGCATGTTCACAATATCAGCCCTGCATCAAGAGCTGCTCGGGTTCGTCGGGTGACAGCTTTGCTCTCCGCCCAGTCTTACGATCGACCCCTCTGCGGAAGGGGACAGGAAACGTCCTCTTGTTCCAGAGGGTGCGTCTTGTTGCTTTGTAAATACCTAGCGAATAGCAAATATGGGTAGGCAGCTTGTAGTTAGTATAATACAATGCTCCTCAGCATGAACGATGAGAGAGTCATCAATGCATGTTCTTTATAATTCTGACTGTGCCCTTTGTTTGAAAGTGGTACAGATGCCCATATTGGAAACCAATATTATAATCAGGTGCTTTGTCGTAATACTAAATACTTATAACATGTTTTCCAGGATGCATCAAATGTCTCACCGTTCGGATATGGATTTGGCCAAGAGTGTCACCAAGACCTTGTGCGGGACTGGTCAGGTGACCCATGAGAGACTTCTCCGGAGCGTTTCAATAATTCAAGTCAAGTGCTCCCGCTTGACTTGCTCCCTCCCCTCCACGAATCCACAACCACCACACCACCGTAACAGACAACACATTAAACCATCATACGTCCTTAAAAACCTATCGAGCTTGCTCCTAAATCTACCGTTCGAATCCATCATCGACTGCCCTCTGCAATCTATCTACGACTCCAGCTCTCATCGCCACCAATCGACCGACCGTCGACGAACATCTCTCATCGAGCACATATCGAAAGCCACAACCCTGGCAGAACAACACAGTCATGGCGATCCCCAATCAATCTTCAATTTACGATAGTATTAGTAGTAGTCGTGGAGGAAATCAGCTCGATGGCCACTCCAACAGGTCGGACATGTCGGGCAGCCCGGTCCCGTTGAACTTCCTCGCGAGCTGCTACGTCGTCGACGTTCCCTCCATGGCGCTCAAGGGCTTCCACTATTCCTCTACCGGGGCCGGGGGGGCTGATTGGTGTTCCTGAGGTCGGCTCGGTACGTCTCTTCTATCTAACCCTTCCTACCCCTCACCCGATTCGTTTGGTACCGAGCCGCAGTTACTGACTTGTCCGCTTCAGGGAACACCGTCACCACCGCGTAGCCCCCTTCTTGCCGCCCGCCACGATTCCGGCGTCGTCGTTCACTCCGCTGCCAAGCACGCTGCCCACGCGGAGCTGACGAATGGACGACACGCATCGGATGGCAGGAATCGAGCGGGAGGGGCTGCTGCCGCATACACTATTGCGGAAGAGTGTGAGAGACTCTTCTGTGGGACACTGCAGGCTGTTTTCCTTGGTGAGGGGAACAACGTCAAGCAGGACTCACTGGCGATGGGTGTGCCATATACTTCGGTCTGCGCTGTATCATCGAGCGTAGACACGACTTCCAGTTTAATGACAACGTCTTCTTCGGGTATGGCGATGGAAACGTCGCGGAGTTATTCACTTTCGACTGGGTCGGATTTTTCGGAAGAGGGGTCACCGGCGTTGAGTAGCGTGCGGGCGGATCGAGCGTTCATGGAGCATGGGCAAGTGAGGCAGTGGGTGGAGATGTGGGATTATTCTGGTGGTCTCCAGTTCAGGGGTTTTGTCGTTGGCGACGGCGATCAGAGGGCGTTGTTTGTCTTCTTTGATGACGGAGTCGTTGGGACCGATCTCAAGCCTGGGTAAGTCTCACCAAGTATCCTACCCCTTTCGGTTCGTGTATTGACTCGTGTACAGTCTCATGGCTCTCCTCGAGCTCTGCGATCAACCTGCCATTTCCTGTCTACGGCTTAACGTTTGCCTGGACCGCACCGCAGACCCCGCATCAATGAAGCACCTCATGCGCGACCTGGGCTGGGTAGGCTTCGAGCCCACCACCCTTGTGGACTGGACTCATTCGGATGATATCATCAGCGATCGCTGGGTGTTCTTGGGCATAGACGTTTAAGTTATTTCCATTACATTGATTTTGTTAGTTTGATTATGAGTACATCGGAATCGGAGCAATCAATGATTTTTCTTGAAACAAAGACATTAAACAAAAATACAGAAAGGGCACTGACCGGACCCAAACCGGTGACCTCCCATGTCCCCTACCAAAGTACCGTTTCCTCCCCTCATCCTTAGTACCTCTCGGACGTCCCATTCTTGGTACTTCTCGAACACCTCATTTGCTCTATCTTGCTTCTACCCAGTGGTGGAGCAACAAAAAGGGAACAACGCCCAGTAAAAGAGCAAAATTATAAGCTCCTGGGAGCCCTAAAAAGTCCTTTGATCCGAACACTATTTACAAATCACCATCCGTTGCCGCAACGGTGTAGATCATCTCAATACTCCAAAGGCGCCTTTCCAGCTGTACTTGACAGTATCCGTGTGCCATGTCGAGAAGACCTATCAATTGCTCTATTTCTTCACCCTCTATCGCGGCTCGGCAGTCAAATAAGCATACCTTCGAAACTCGTCACATGTTGGGCCCGGACGCAGATGTTTAGATAGCACAGGTCAAACAGGACGCTGTTCAATATTAACGTTTGAGAGGAATTCCCACTGATCATGATACAGTATTTACACAAATCTAAACTCCGCCATATGCCCATCTAATGCCCATCGCACAACGCCCAGCCCATGCAACGTAAGAGGAATACCCCTTACCCAATGCGAGAGTGAAGGTCGTCCAATCCCCTCAACCTTTTCGTAGCATACATACCCACACTCAAATATCCGCAGACAATCCCCCTGGTCTTTCTCCTCCACTAATCACACCGTCCATCCTTCCACCCCGTCCGCCACCGCTCCTCCCACTTCCCACAATCGAACTCATCCTTACCCAGTTTCCGATTCACCTCGTTATGCGCCTCACACATCCACTGCCCGAACTCCGCTCTGCTCTTCACCCGCGGCGCGTTCCCGGGCCGGCTCATCCATGCGCGGAAATCCCCCGCGCAGTGCCAACAGGGGTAGAGCTGGGACAGCGTCGTGACAAAGGTCAGCGCGCTGGTCTGCGTGGTTGGGGAGGGGGAGGTCGGGTAGGAGGCCGTGAGCGCGTGGAGGAGCGTCCAGGTGCTGCGACCAAGTTGGGCGACGTCAGGAGGGCAATCGGAGGGAGGTTCCTCTGCAGCGAAGGAAGTCGCGGATGTGGATGTGGATCTGGTCGGTGACGTGGACGGCGTCGAGATAGTGGAAGGCGAGGAGGGCTTGTCACTCGCCATCATGGCTTTCCATGAAGCAAAAGGGGTACAAGTTCGGCATCTAGAAAGTAATCGAGGTTAGTGATTGAAATGGTGGTTTCATGGTCGCATAGCTTACGGTTTGCCATCGGGACCGAGAACCACACCCTTGGGTAATGCGGCTGTAGAAGGATGATCCTCCGAAGAGTTTGTTGGCTCTTTTGTGTCTCTTGTAGAGGACATCTTGTGACGCTCTTAGGCTTTGCAAATGCAGTGGATAGGATAGATTTTTATGCTGTTTGTAAGCTCATAATTTCGAGGACGTCTTCATGGACATGGATGGCGCGGAATAGGCAAGCTTCTGGGCTTTCGTAATCCTGGCTTCGGCATCATGTCGACCGGGATCCCGCGCCGATCCCGCTAGAGAAATCGATTTGCGGCTTCAAAGTAAAACCGATCTTTCAAAAACCAAAGCCCACGTGCATCATCAAATGTGGAATTAATCCGATCGATCTAAAATGGCGGATTTTGATGGAACGCGAGGCGTCCCCGTGCTGCTGCTCAAGACCAAGTCAACGCCACACGATAGCTACCTCGATCTCTTCTTGAACGCGGAAAATAGCCGCTTTCAACCTATATTTGTCCCCGTGTTGGAACACAAGTTCAACGACGAATCCTTCCGCAGTATCAAGGCATTGGTAGAGGCAGGTAGCCTCGTTGCAACCAATCAGGGTACGGAGAAGAGCTATGGAGGCATCATATTCACGTCGCAAAGAGCAGTGGAATTCTTCACGAAGGTCGTTGGCGAGGTTCGGACCAGTGGATGTGACGTCGAGAAGTTGCTTCCCGCAGACTTGCCGTTATATGCTGTTGGACCGGCTACAGCCCGCGGATTAAGAGCTCTGGATTTGCCCTGTCCAATTCTGGGCGAAGAAACGGGTAGTGGGGAGGTTCTCTCACCATTCATCCTCGAAGACTACAATGGACGTGTCCAAGGCTTATCGAAGCGCCCGCTCCTCTTTCTAGTCGGCGAGAAGCGCGGGGACATCATTCCCAAGGCGTTGCAAGACCCCAGTCTGAGCGTCGATCGACGATGTCAGCTTGACGAGGTGGTTGTCTACAAGACCAAAGAGATGGAATCATTCCGCTCTGACTTTAGTGCATTATGTCATGAGCATTCAGCAAATGGTGTATCCATGCAGTGGGTGGTTGTGTTCTCTCCTACTGGCTGCCACGCTATGCTTGACGGGTTGGGTCTACTGAACGAGTCAGGAAAATGCAACCCAGATATCCCTTCAAAGATGTCCTCGCTCGGGATGAGAACATTGATTGCAACTATCGGTCCTACGACGAGGGATTATCTATTGAAGGAATTCAATTTCGAACCCCATGTTTCTGCCCTGAAGCCCAGTCCAGATGGGGTTGGAGAGGCGATCATTGAATATATACAGAAACAAGATGTCTTTGGAGGATGATGGGCCAGCCTTCCATCCTTCGGAGTTCAGATTGGATCGTTCTCGGTACCAGCGACGACATGGTACGGTGGTATGTATGCGTTCGCAAGGATAAACGCATTGTTCCATTGGAATGTGAGCTCACTGTATCGGCTCTCATTGGACATTCCTTTGGCCGATGCCGTCTGTTTGCAGGCCTGTATCACAAATTTCATTGTTCATTGTCTCAAGACATGATTTGGATGTGATTCAGCTCCTTTGTAATAAACAGGGTAGCCATGGGATGCGCCAAACGTCTTCGACTGGTGATATTCAGAACTGGGCGGAATCTGGAGAAGAGGAACGCTAAACTTGTTCATTTTGCAAGCTACCTTCAATATGATCAGACGATCCGCGCGGCTGGTTGCAGCGCGGCGAGGAGCCGGGAGAAGCTTTCCAAGTGCTCGAACAGCCATCACACGATGCTGGTGAGGGCAGCGACAACAGTGACAATGAATTTGATTACCCAGGAGAGCGGAGAAACCTTGTGCAATCACGCACCCAAGAATGGCCGTTCGGAGCCGATGGGAAAGATCGCAGCGTTAAAGCGGAATTAGAACCTCACGACTACTAGGTCTTTCCAAAAACAATGGGTTCATGGCGCATCCCGGAATAATCCTACATGATACACCTACTACCCGCGACTGCGGATACAGACAGCCGGTGGATGATTCGGAGGGGGTCATCCAACAAGAGCAGGAAAACAAGTCGTAATTATCAATAGACGAACCGGCACCTTTGAAGATCAAAAAAAACTAGGCTCAAGATCAAGATCAAGACTCCCCAGGAAGTAATTCTGATGACAGACCTTGGTGCCATTTATACGGAACTGCGGAAAGTGCAGAATCTGTTGACAGGTCGCACTGAATATGGTCCTATACCAGACCAGATAATAGGGGCATTGAGAAGAGCAGAGGAACTTGAGCCGATCCCATAGGAGTACATGCCGTCTCTTTACATCGAGGGCATGCCCACTCCAACCTTCCAAGGTCTTGCGCTATGCGTCGAAATGCTTGACAGACTTGTTAGAGCAGAAGACAATGAGCGCATCGAGATGCTCAATAGCCTCATAGAAAAAGAAGAGGAAAAATGAAAACATCACACAAAGGTCGATTTCGAAACCCGAAGCCATGACTCCCTGTTTTCCGACGGTTCATACGATGGTTCGCCTTATGACGACAAACCCGATCGCAGAACATCCGAGATTCGGCGAAAGCTCTCCAAGGCAGAGCTGTCCGATGCCAAATGCATTGTCGAAGACTTGAAAACTAAGACAAACACCGCGAAAAACTCGCTAGATGAGACCCCTCCGCTAGATTCTGCCCGAATCGCCAACAAAGGAGGTGTTGGACTGATCTTACCTGCACAGGAGGCTCTTGATTCCACTCGACCAGCAGCCGCTAATAAGAGTCTTTTCGGGCGGATCATGCTCGCAGAAGCGGACCTCGACCAACATGCAGCATCGGCGAACCGCGCTTATCAGTCGCAAACAGCAAGCGCGCCCAGTCAACCCCTAAATCAAGAGATTCCCGTTCCGTAATTGAAGGACTTCCACAAGCCGAGGCAACTCACGGCAAAAGGCATTGCTAGTCAACTCATGGACGTATTCGACAATCCAATTCTAGGCAATGATGGCTCGGGAAAGAGGAGGTGGTCAATCCTTTGTGCCTCCGGTTGGTAATGACATCCACGATGCAAGCGTGTCTTGGTACTCTAAAGCCGTCGAGGTTGCACATGACGGGATAGACCATATGTAAGTGCTCCCCATCGATCCCTCAAACGCCGTCCGCAACGCATAAGCGAAATGAGAGGGACGAATCTAGTCTTGTACCCAAGAGACTCCAACAGTGGATCGATGCCAAATCACTGACGATAACCAGCGATTTTGGAAAGCCAGAAAACTACGATTTCATCCTTCAACGTGGTATCGTTTACTTCTTCCTCCGTCGCGAAGTTAGTTATGGCAACTTCCGCGAGACCATGATCGTCTTGCGGCCTGGCAGCGGTGGCATCCCAAGTCTCTGGACGACCAGTCGAGGAATACTGTTATAACGATCCCTCGTCGTCCGTTACTGTACTATCTGGACAATTGGTGGATGGCCGACGTTGAGCGTGCGTGCGCTCCCATGGATGACCTGTGTCATTGGATGGAACACGGTGATGATGCGGACCGCCTATCATTCGAGGAAGGCCAAGGGCATGAGCAAGGAGAAGTGCGGCTGGACAAACGCCGCTGCTATCTCGTAGGAGAAGGTGCCCTACGCGCTGGTTAGAAGCGGTGGTGTGACACACCTCCCGTATATGCTGGCGACCAAGTCACAATATCCTGAACTGCAACAGAAGGCAAGAGTGCAACAATGTGGCTCAATGGTGGTTGTCGCAAAGATCCGAATATCCCATGTCCACCATACTATGTTTACAGTTCGATGGCAAGGAATATCTTCCTCTGCAGCCGACTCATCTACATTACGAGCTGACACAATTGGTATTCATTGGCTCAGAGACACTGCCGCATCGTCTGGAGAACTTGGACAAGCTCACCGAGGATAAATTGGAGCGAGAGGAAGAAATCAAGCTTGGCGAGCTGAAAGGTACGTAGCTTTAGTATTGGCATGTCTGGTTGCATTGGCTAAAGGTTCGATCAGATTACAGCATGGCTTGGGGATAGCCAGAGAAGTTGAGGTCGGAGCTTCCAGCCGTGTCGTCGACATGGAATTCATGGGCACCGTCATATCCTCCCTGACAGAATCCAATCTAGCAAAGGATATACCATTCGCTCTGAAGTGCTTGCATTTTAAGAGTGTGACTGACATATTTTGCCCTAATGCCAAAGCAATAGGCTTTGCCCCACTTGTCAACAAAATCAGCATTTGATAGTCACACTGTCACGTCCACGCGAAAACGAGTCCATCGCCTCTAGAATTAAATTTGCCGAGTCAACACCGAGACAGTTCAGAAAACTATATACATACAGGAACATCTTCTCACCAGTCTTCCCATCAATATTGCGCCATTCTTCTCTCTATCTGGTGCGATGCCTATGTTTGCAGTCGCATCCATTTACACTCCTAGACTGAGCTCTGTAGCCAAGCCTGATTCAAACAAAGCGCCTATGACTTTGAGCTAAATTCACTATACTCATCTTGCTGCGGACGGTCAAGTTTGCCAGTCTTGCTCAGATGGCGGTACAAGCCCTCGTCTCCGCTCTCATGTCGAGTGACGCCCTTCGCGATTCGATCCAAACTATCACGCATCACAACCTCATAGTAAGACACGGCAACCAACGTGGCCGGGATGTTGATGATGATGGAGATCCACGAGTAGTTCATGTAGCTGAAAACATCCCATCCGTAGAAGACGGCGGCGGCGAGGCGACAACCGAGATCACGAGCCATGTTCGTCGAGATGGTGGCGGGAGCGAAGCCCCAGATCATAGCAGCGTATGCAAGACCAACAACGAAGGGGGCGCCAGCTGGATGAATGAACGGGTTGCCAGGGTCGAGGACAGACCAGATAACCAGGCCCTGTGAGCGTTAGTACCAGGTTCTCTCTCCATTGCCAGCGGCGATCGATCGGAAATACCAACTTACCAAGAAAGTATCGACGAAGAACTCGATCAGGACGAGAGATCCTTGGTTAGTCTGGGTTGGCATAGGCAGAGTGACCAAAATGCTGGCTGGGCCTCCATTGAATACAGTGCCCAGACCGGCCTTCGTGGTCGTCGCCGCGTACAGAGAGATTTGCTCGTGGTATTGTCCCATTAAGAGGACACCAGCGAGGAAAGCACCGAAAATCTGGGCAGCGATGTAGAAGGGGACTTTCTTCCAAGGGAAGCCACGAAAGATAGCGAGGGAAAGCGTGATACCCTGTTTAAGATTGTTAGGCTCGAGTCCGAGCGCGTCGTTGATTAAGTTAAGGTCATACCGGACTGAAATGACCACCCGATGTTGCAGCAGAAGTGATGATAGCAAACGCTATGCCAAGTGCGTACGCCCAGCCGATCTGGAAGATCGAACTGAATTGGGCTTCCATGTGATTGAGCGTAAATGAGGCGGTAGATGCAATCCCGGGATAGACTGTTCCACTCAGTCAGTACATTCAGTGTGCTTTGGTGTTTCTAACGGTCATTCGTACCGTAGATAAACACTCCGGTTGCTTCAGCTGCCATTTCTCGCAGAAGCCTGGGCCTGGAATGTTCGAAAGCCAGGCGTCTTTGGGTAACAGGATGCCTCTCGATTACATGACGGTGGACATGCTTCTGAACCGCTTCTGTTACTCCCAACTCCATGACGCCACGTCCAGGTGATCCGTCCAACATAGTTGAAGATGTATGAATTAATTCTCACTAGGGCTAAAGACAAAATGGAGAGTAGTATTGAGAAAGAGACGGACTTTGGAATGAGAGGAAAGCGTCTGTCAAGAATGAGAAGATGCTCGATGAAAGAGGGCACACCATAGGATTTAACGGATGTCCGCGGCGTGTATGCGTGTATCTCCACGACTACTCTATTGCGGGTCTATCATATATCGCCTCCCTGTTTGACGGCTGTAGTATGTCTGGGAGAGATGCAGGTACAAATTGCAAGGCATTATGAAGAAGACAGCCAGGGAACTACCATCCAGCTTCCTACCTAGCCATCATCCATAACACTGGCCACTACATTGTAGTCTCCAGGGCGGAATTCGGGGCACTCTCTGGTACCGCTTCATCTACTTACCTTGTTAGCGAGGCATCGAAGGGTGCAGGGGAATCTTGGAAGCCATGGAGAGAGTCCACACTCCACAGTCCACAACTATGAGGGGCCCCGCGGCTGACCAGTTAGGCTATCAGAAACTGCGAGTCCTCCATGCTCTTGTGTGGGGCGTATCCGGGCGGACCGGTATGTAAGAAACAGAAATGCGAAGCTCATTTGATATCATCAAGGTAATTCATCCTGGTGCGCCGCTCTTTGCCCAGAGTAGCCAAGTTGCGTCACAGATTTATGGCGTTTGCTTATTTGGACCAAGGCCACGGATCGTGGACGCAGGATTGCGTTATAATTGAGAGATTCCTTCCTCGTTCATTTTTAATCAAGGTGACGGAGACAGATGGATTGCAAGGTCAAGGGTTGTCCCCAGGAGGCGGGCCTAATTAGGTTAGGATGAAGATGTTCGATATTGGATTGTGGAGTGAGGCTCAGCTCCGGGTCGATACTACCGAGGTCGGGTTCTAACTTGACCAGGTTTAGAGAAAGCTTAGCATTTGTATTTTGTTCCTCTCGATCGCACCATAATCAAGTAATATTCATCACTCACTGACTATGTAACAAGAGAAGGCTCTGCTGTGGAGATATAGAAGGATTTGGCAGTTAACCCACATGGCCGTGAACCTCCACAAAAGGACGAAATGGGAAATCTAAGTCTTGACCACACCTAGCGATAACTGGGAGGCGAGAATGTGCCGAGGAGTTATGTGCGTCAGACTGCAAAGGCAGGACTTTGAACGACCTGAGACCCACGCATCGCTTCTGATGGGCTACAAGTGGGAACCAACTGGATCCATACACTGGTCATCTACAGCAAGCGGCTCGGCTGAACAGCGGGATAGGTATCTAAAACGTAGAAAGGAATGGAAGGCGGGATACCCATGGGGTATGGACTAGGTAGTGAGTGCACAACCCGCTGACTGGCCCAAAGGTTGGTTTCATAGTGATCAATTTCTGATGGGTATCTAAACTATTCATGAAAGTGGCCATTCTTGGTATGGCAATTAGGAGGAAATTCGTACGCTTTGCGTGACATGCGATGCTCAAGGCCGATCCTCATCTGCTCTGGATCATGGATATGCGCCCAAGGCGTTGTTGAAGCCTTTCTTTTGCAACCATCTGGATAAAACGTCACGCAAGCAAAATGCTTGTCGACGCAGCTAAGCCTCGCCTAGACCGCCAGGAGGTAGATCGGAATTCGGAACACAGCATCCTTTAGGGCTCCTCGTCGTTCCGTTTCCGCAAAGTTCTCCAGTCCACAATGTATGTTCGCGGGTGAAATTCGCCGGGCCGCGGAAGGTGATAGCTATCTAGCTTCATAGAAGCTAGTCGAAGAATGACAGCGAGACCATCTTCATGCCTTCTTGATTCGGCTCGGTGGAAGCTTGGAGCATTCGGGGCATAACCAGTCTCCCACAGGTTCCTTATCAATCCCGATACATCCCCAGTGGAACCATTGATATTTGCAGTTCGCATTGTCGCAAGCCACCATGTCTCCGTAGCTGACGCTCTGGCAAAAGCAGTACTTGGTGTCGTCGCCGTCCTCTTCCTCCCCTTCGTCCATCTCATCCGCTGCTCCGTCATGCTGGCCCACATGAAGTGCTGTGTCGTCCGAGCCTTCGGATGCCTCCGTTCCGCTTTCGTCTTCCGAGACACCTGTAGTGCTTGGCGAGGCGCCTTTGAGTCCCAAGCGCCGCATCTGCGCCTTCTTCTGTTGACCTTTCACTAGCCGCTTGCGCATGGTGGCCAACTGCGAACTGGTCCCAGGCTTCTTGGTTTGTGCGGGAGTGCCCTTCTTCAAACCAGAGGCAGGAACGCTGCCAGCTCGACTTGCTGGTGCACTGCCCTTTGGAGTTCCGGGACCCAAGCTGCTCTGACGTAAACTGGAGCCAGCTGTGGGGACTGCTGAGTTGAGACGCCGTCGCTTCGTGTCACTGCCCACACTCATTTCTCGGGTACGCTGTGCGGCACCTGCGCTCATAGAATGCGCAAGGGGATGTGACCCGTGAAGGGGTCCGGCGGCACCAGCAGGGCTAGCATGTCGTACGGATGCTGCCGCTCCCGTCCCTCCAGGACCGCCAGCGAGATGGACTTGTGCAACCATTCGAGCGACAGCCGCATTGGCAATGTTTCCGGCAGGGACGTTTACCGAGAGAGGATGTAGTGGAGTGTTTGCGCCGGTGTTGGTTGTGGAGGTAGAGGGGGCGACAAGGTTGCCAGGGGAGGGACGGAGGAGGGAAGGAAGCTGTGGATCGTGCGGTATCGAGCCATCATTTTGGAGGTCCCGAACCTTGACGTCGAAACGTTTGATGTGGCGGTCCAAGAGCGCTGCCGCCTTCTCGGAAAATGCCACCTTCTCCGCCTGTAGGGCCTTTGCCTTGTCATACTGTTGGTAGACAATCTTGACGTAGGCATCTTCTTTGGGATTTTTGGCCATAATCCCATTTGCCTTGATGAACTTCTGAATACTCGTATCTCGATTATGGATTATGGATAGACATTCTCGTATCATCTCTTCTTTTGCTTCCATCTCTTCAAATAAGTGAGCAACCTCGGCCGGCAAGTTTGCAACTGAAAGTCAAGGTCAGAACATGGCTTCCAGTCTATGTAGCCACCATCTCGGCTTACCATCATGTACAAACTGCTCCAGGACAGTCGCTGGGTCGTCCGCGGTGGCCATGGTAGGTGGCGGGGTTGGGCGATCCCAAACGTTGTCTGCACGCCGCGCGGAGGATGCGAAGTAAAGAGATACGTATGGGTAGACGAATGAAAAGAAAGAAGTGCTGTAGATTATGGAAAGTAGTATCTTTTCGTTTGAATGACTGATGCGCTTGTTAGCGGCCCGTGAGATACTCTCAACGTTGTAAACGTTGAGGGAAGTGAGAGATGTGGAGATGGTTCTGAGGTCCAAACACGAACTTATGGTGATGGATGACGGGTGACAAGGATTGGGCTTGTTGTTGCATATAACGTCACGTGACTTTCAGTGAACTTCCTTTGGAGGTGAAGTGAAATGAGTTGAAGTGCTGACAAGAATTATGACTTAACTGATAATGTGGATGTAATTTGAATTGGCTCTTTTCCCTCCCTACTTCATAGGAATCCTCTCATGGTATAGGTGACTGATTTCTTGACTTGTCCTCCATAACCACATGACATTGAACTGAGATACCACGTGATTTACGCCACACTGCAAGTTTCAAATGGCCTAACGCCACACTTCAATCCTCATTACGCCACAATTCAACCCATTTTATGCCACACTTACGGTCAAGCCACCCTGCGCCGCAATTGAAGAACGCAATTCTTGTTGCCTTGATGCCTGCACGTCGTAGTTCCGGTTCAAGGGGACCTTCAAGGTCTCGAGGTCGACCCTGTGGTAGTCGTGCGAACTTGTCAACTCCATCCACCTCGAGAAGAATCACCAGATCTCTATCCGCTTCCCAAGAGTTCAATCAAGTCCAGGAAGAAGAGGCTGGCCAGGGAACAACGCCACGGAAATTTCAGGTACGAAACTTGACAGCGTTATTATGGCCCTTGTCTCACCGAATTATAGTCCAATTTGCCCTTTCGAAGTCAGTCTGGCTTCGCTGGCTCTGGAACCAGTAGCATGCCAGTGGGTAATTTCCTTCAGCATAAGGGGAATGGAATCGTTCAAGAATGGGACGGCTCAGACATTCCAAGAACGTTTTTGAGCCCTGAACCCCCCCAGCTGATTGACCTGGAGACATGGAGAGGGTTCACCGACGAACAGAAACTTGCCATTGTCGAAAAAGAGGCGGATGAGAATGGCATCGAGCGACCGACGGGTTATAATGTGTCTTTCCATTATAACCCCAAAGTTGAAGGCCATCATTTCGGTCGATCGCATCCCATGAAGCCATGGCGATTAACCCTCACCAAGCAACTCGTGCTCGGCTACGGGCTGCAATATGCCATGGACACGTATGTGTCGCGTCCAGCGAGTAGGCAGGAGCTCGAAATATTCCATGGGAAATCGTATTTGAATTTCTTGTCAAGGTGAGCGTCTATCATTGGTAGTAGTGGTTAACCTGCTGACTGCTTAACAGCATTACCCCCGAAAATATGGAGCAAATGGGCGATCTTGGAAGGTTCAACTTCGGAGACGACTGCCCAGTATTCGACGGAATGTGGGATTATTGTCGACTATATGCCGGAGCCTCCTTCGATGCGGCGGCAAAGTTGATCAGTAAACAATCGGACATCGCGATTAATTGGTCCGGCGGACTTCATCATGCCAAGAAAAACGAAGCTTCCGGATTTTGCTACATCAACGACATCGTCTTGGCTATTCAAGCGATGCTAACTGTGGAGAGTCGTGTTCTCTACGTCGACATCGACGTTCACCACGGAGATGGTGTTGAACAAGCCTTTTGGTCTACCGATCGAGTCATGACTCTCAGCTACCACAAATTCGGCGACTTCTTCCCTGGTACGGGAGCTATGGATGAAACCGGACCAGAAAGCATTGAAAATCCAGGCTGGAAGATGGCCCTGAACGTACCCTTGCACGATGGCATCGACGATGAGCAGTATCGGGATCTATTCTCCGAGATCACCGGTGCTGCCATTGAGACGTTCAATCCCGGTGCCATTGTTCTGCAATGCGGTGCTGATAGCTTGGGTGGCGATCGACTTGGCAAGTTCAATCTCAACATCAGAGCCCACGGTTACTGCATCGAATTTGTCAAGTCCAAATGCCACAACCGACGGCTCATGCTGGTTGGCGGTGGTGGTTACACGCCGCGAAACGTGGCTCGCGCGTGGTGCCACGAGACATCTGTCTGCGTTGGTGCTTCGCTTAAAAATCATATTCCTGGGCATGTTCCTTATCGACAGGCATTTACTGGAGAAGAGAACGGCGACGGACTAATGTATCCCGACCTCGCCAACCACCCCTCGAAACGTCACCCAAATCTGCACTCGAAGGAGTACTTGCAGATGATGAAACAGAACATCCATACCCAGTTACGATTCATCCAAAACACCGCGACTATCAAGATGGACCGCCTGCCGGACAATTACCTGCAATTGCGAGCTGAAGTTGACAAACAATTCCGGGAAGAGCAAGAGGAGAGAGAGCGGCTGGAGGCGGAACGCAAGCAGAAGGAGAAGAATATCGGCAGCAAGAACGAGCTCCGGGGAACTTGAGATATCTGGTTGGCCTCATTCAAGATAATAGCGGGTCTCAATGCCTCGATATCGACACAACCAACGAGGGGTTCTGGTCTCGTGTCTACACAACCCGCCACAGTAGTATCCTCACAAGCACAGGGATCGTGCAGGGAGAATATCATATTACTCCCCACGCCACCAAAGCACCGCTGTGGAAGCATTCTGGGAGATATCCCATGCAGAGGATACGAAGAGCAGCTATATGGTCATGCTCAATGCGGACTAGCTGGGTCCGCGATACGAAAGGTGTCTGTATGATATGGGCAAAAGCATGCCAGCAAAACCTCACAAGGCAACCGCTGGTTACCGTACGGGTTGTTTAGCAATCCACCAATATCTCCACCATGCGGTTGGGTAGAGCCTGTTGCTGAAGGCCGAAGTCTTGCCCGACTCGGATTTGTAATCGTGAGTCAGATGGAATAAATTCACTGGGTTTCTGCCCCCAATTGCTAGAGAATTTGAAAGCTTCGAAGATTGCTACTTATAAATTGACCGACTTGAGACTTGAGACGCCATGCGGTTTATCTACAATTAGTTAATGACTAAGGTAACTAACGTATTCCACAAGCGAGTGGCCCATACAAGCGAGTGGCCCAGCTCATTTTACTAGTAAATTCGACAAAATTCGATATCAATATCTCAACAACCACTGGGTAATATAGTCTGAAAACTTAGAATTAGGTTTTCCTATCGATTTCTAGCTTATTATTAGAATCTTAGAGCTTTATCTTTTATAGTTATAAAGATATAGAGATTTGGTCTCTAAATCTTGCCAAGAAGTAGGTATCTCTATACCTGTAAAAGCTAGGGCTTTAATATTTCAATAGTAAGCTAGAAATGGCTAGGAAAACCTAACTCTAAGTTTTCAGACTATATTATCCAGTGGTTGTTGAGATATTGATATCGAATTTTGTCGAATTTACTAGTAAAATGAGCTGGGCCACTCGCTTGTATGGGCCACTCGCTTGTGGAATACGTTAGTAGTAGCTCCACTAAGGCAGCCATCAAACATCGAAGTCGCTAGCTGACCTATTATTAGAGTGCTGTACGCCTGTACTGTACCTCATGGGAATTGGGATAATGATTATGAATCTTGTTCTGGTGTATTTGAATCCATTGTGCGGGTACCTGGATTTGTCAATGAGCCCAATTCAACTTCTCCAATCCTGGTTACGTCCCCCATCTACTACCAGGTCTAGCGCAACTCGTCCTTTTTCACGAGTTCTTGAGGACAAGTGTATAGTCTTGCACTGTTCTCCGTTCTCAGTCGGTCACTTTCCGGCAAGTATTTCGCCCAATGAGGTTTATGGGATTCGGGTTCTCGTCTTGCGGGCGCTATATCTCCCCGGCGGAATCGGATGGTCTCAATGGTCCGTCGGATTCGTCGGATTCGTCCGTGACCGAGCTTGAGCAATTGAAGCCTGAAACTCGGAATCAATATGGGATTTGTAAGAGCCAAATATTCCTGGGGCGGGTGTGTGCCGTGCAGTATTGGTCCGTCACGAACTATAAAGAGACGCATTGTGGGCAATTTCACTTGGACTACTCGAAGCTGTCCTTGCATCTTTCAAACCATTCTCCAAGTCCTTTAATTGTCCCAACCAAATTCCATTTCATTAGCGGACGTGTCTTTGAGCTCCCTCATCAAACCAGTCCCTCAATATGCCGGTCTCCCTATACGATATTAGTATCCCCGCCTTCATTCGCGGCCTTGAAGTCCTCGACCATGTCCTCAAGAAGGGCGAAGCCTACGCTGAGGAACAGTCCATCTCCCCGCAAACGCTCCTGGACGCCCATTTCGCTAAGGACATGAGAAATCTGATCTACCAGATCCAACGAGCCTCCGACACCGCTAAAGGCACCGCCCACCGCGTGGGCAATGACGTGGCGCCCGTTAGCTTCCCCGACGAGGAGAAAACCTTCGCGGACTTGCACGAACGGATCGTCAACACCGTGAAGTACCTCGAGGAGGTGAAGGCGAGCGCCTTCGAGGGTGTGGAGGAGAAGATCGTCGAAGTCCCGTTCACGGAGTACAAGCTCCCGGGAGTGGCCTTCATATTGACATATGCGCTCCCGAATTTTTACTTCCATGTTACGACGGCGTACTTGATCTTGAGGGACGCTGGCGTACCACTAAGGAAGATCGATTTTCTCCTGGGATCCAAAGCGCCGTCCCCAGCTGCCTGAGCTGCCGACAACTCTTTGACCTCGGGGTCATGACCCTCTTAAGCCAGGGGATCCTTAAGGGCATGAAAATGGACGATATGCAAAAATGCTCCTCAGTGCAGTTAACCAAATTTAAGTCGTTGCTTGGGCTCTGACTCCCTCTTCTCAATCGCTCAACAGTGACCTGTTATATGTCTTGCAAGAATCTGGCTCTCACCGAGCTGAGTTCTGCCTAGCCGTTTCATCTGGTCGGACATCCATCTGCAAGAGGGGCTGATCAAGGGGTATTCGAAGATGATCCGGAAGCACAAGGTGGTTGGACGTAATGAGATTGTGACATAGCAGACGAGTACTGCTGCAAGGACTTTGTACGTGGACATGCCGTTGAAGCAAATGAGGGAAGGAGTGCTTCAATGATTGGATATGTGAGTATCCCTAAAAGCAAATTGGGAGGTTGATGAATGATATTAGAAGTACTAAGCAGGCCCGGAACGCCTGGTACTGGAACACGCGCAACACCGCAAGGTCAGCGACTGAACATGACTGATATCAAAGAGTATGGGAAGGTGGAAGTTCGTGGCGAACTACTAACAAGGATTGATCGTCGCAGTGCACAGCATCGTAGATCTTTTCCTACTCTGTCATTGGATACTTACCTATCTCTGCACAACTCAACTCAATTGAATCCAGTGACATCACACCTCGCCGGCCTTGGCACGCCCTTTCAATGTCACATAAGGGTTATAATATAAACTCAACCTAAACCCGACCAACCACAGTATCCAAAATTAGAACGCCAAAACCAAATTCAGATTCTAGAGATCAATCAAATCACAATGTCCCATCCCCAGCCACAAACCATCACCGGCGGCTGCCTCTGCGAGGCAATCCGATACACCATCACCTCCGAAGCGGGAGAATGGCCTCCCCCCAAAGTACGCCGACATCGGATGCGGAACGCAGCGACTAAATGCAAGTAGAACGCCATCTGCCTCTGCACCATGTGCAGGAAGCATAGCGGCGCACTCATCCCCGTGGCCGCCACGATACCGACCAAAAACGTCAGTCCGCCCTTGCAAAGAAACCCCGCCTTCAAGCTCTACCGGTCCTCCACCGTTGCCCAGCGCGGATTCTGCATCCATTGCGGCAGCTCGTACGTGATGCGATGCGTTCAACGCTCCGGCCGAGCCACGGCCTCAGCTGCTGACGAGGGACAGGATCTGCTTTTTGTACGACGACAGCGCCGACACGGAGATGTGGTTGGGGACGCTGGATGAGGAGGTGTTTTGTGGGGGGAAAGTGCCGGGGACGGAGGTGACGACGAAGCATGGGACGTGGTGTGAGAGAAAGGGCGGGGTGAGTAAGGAAATACGCCGCCGCGCCGGGGGGATATTCATGGAGAATGGGATCGACGGGGTGACGGACTGGATCGCTGGGCCGAAGTACTGGAATCACTGGGGAGGCGGGAAAGAGCCGTTCACTGGGACGGTTGACGAGATGAAGAAGAGAATGGCATGATGTATACCATGGGAGAGTCGCTCGACAGAAGGTAACCGCTGAATTGTAGATTGGGCATGAAGCCCCTTTCGGACTTTCCATGCGAAGATGGTGGTGTGATGTTTTATCGTAGAAGAAATCCTTGGATGATGGCTGCCTGAATTCAAGCATGCCATCCTCGCGCACATATTGTAGCCGACCCCCATTGTCCCGGCGTCTATCTGATCCGATAGTCGCTCACGAAACAAGATGCAGAGAAATGTTGAACTTCTCTATAACGCCTGTGACCCGCAGATGATATTTGGGTATCTTCAATGTTGAATGGCCGGCCCTGACATGCAATGGTGAAGGGAAAAAGCCTTATTACCGCAAGACTTTTGGGTTGGATCTATTAACGCTCGCACTTTAAACGCCGGATAGGAAATAATCGAAATTACCCCATTAATGTTGAACCGCTTTCGAGAATCGCAGGGCATGCGGAAGTGACGGTCGCGGCTTAGAGCACGAGCTCCTTAGGCTGCTCCCACGGGAAGGATTGGTTCGTGAAGTGGCCGTTCTTCGCGGTCTGGTAGTAGATGGGACGGGCAAGGCCAAGCTCCTTGACAATGACACCCGGTCGGAGATCGAAGTTCTTGTTGATGATTTCGACGAGCTGCTTAGAGCTCAGGTCGGAGGTGCCGTAAGAGTCGACAAAGATCGACAGGGGCTCGGCGATACCGATGGCGTAGGAGAGCTGGACGAGGCAGCGGCGGGCAAGGCCGGCCTTGATGAGGGATTTGGCGATCCAGCGGCTGACATAAGCACCTGATCGATCGACCTTGGAGTAATCCTTCCCGGAGAAAGCACCACCACCGTGGGCACCCCATCCACCGTAGGAGTCGACGATGCTGAATGTTGTTAGCGAAGTCTGGGAACAGGCGAGGAACTAGCTTACATCTTGCGGCCAGTCAAGCCGGCGTCGCCCTGGGGACCACCAATGACGAAGCGACCTGAAGGCTGGATGAAGTACTTGGTCTTATCGTCGAGGAGCTCGGCGGGAATGACATTATTGACGACCTTCTCTCGGATCTCCTTTCGGAGCTGCTCAGTGGAGATGTCATCGCTATGCTGGGCGGAGACGACGATGGTGTCAACGCGAAGGGGCTTGACAGCGCCTCCGTCATGAGCATACTCGATAGTAACCTGAGTCTTGGTGTCGGGACGGAGCCATGGGAGCTCGCCGCTCTTGCGGGCCTTCACCATGTACGCATTGAGCTTGTGGGAGAGGATGACGGTCAAGGGAAGCAATTCGGGGGTCTCGTCGGTGGCATAGCCGAACATGATCCCCTGGTCACCAGCACCAAGGTTTTCCAGAGCCTGCTCGTAGTGCAGACCCTGAGCGATATCGACGGATTGATGCTCGACGGCGACCAAGACGTTGCAGGTCTTGTAGTCGAAGCCCTTGGAGGAGTCATCGTAGCCGATATCCTTGATGGTGTCGCGGATGACCTTCTGGTAGTCCAGATGGGATTTGGTGCTAATTTCACCAAAGACCATGATCATGCCGGTCTTGGAGGCAGATTCACAAGCGACCTTGGAAAGGGGGTCATCCTTGAGGCAGGCATCAAGAATGGCGTCTGAGACTTGGTCGCTGTTACAAGAGCGGTCAGCAACCCCGATGGCGACATCAACCATGGATCAACCATGGAATTCCACTACAAACTTACCAGATCTTGTCGGGATGACCTTCACCGACAGACTCGGAGGTGAAGAGGAAAGTCTCCTTCTCAGGAACACCGTTGGGAATGGCCATTGTAGTGGTGGAAGTGGGGGGACTCCGATAGCGGGGCAACAAAGAAAGGATTTACGAAGGAGGCGGGGGGACTGGAAGGGAGATTGGGCGATGGACGGGGGAGAAAGGACTGGTTGTGTAGAGCGACGGAGTGAATTGAAAGGGAAAGGGAGAAAGGGAGAAAAGGAGATTTTCTAGTTGATGTTTGGGATGAGAATAATGAAGAAGAGGAAGATGGCAGTGGAGAAGAGAGAGAAAGGGAAGGGTTTAAAATGGATGAAAACTTACAGCTCCTAAAGGCGCCAAAGGCAACGGTTGCCGAAGTCTTTTTCACTCCCGCACCGGATCGGAGGACCAGAAAGCCATCAGGGGATGTGATTGGCTGTGAGCGACATGGCACCATCCAGTGCAATCTGATATTTCCACCCCAGAACTCCGATAATTAGGTGGTCCATACCAACGCTGCTTCCCAGTTACATCCCGATACTGGTCCCGGTACTGCTGCTACTGGTGAGTGGTGACTGGTCCCGATATTCCTGTCACGGCTCTCAGGCTGCCAGCTCACCTTGTGCTTCCATCCCCGCTCCGTTTGTGTCTTAACTGTCTTCCTTTTCCTTGGTTCGGGCTCACTGTTGAGTGTCCGATGCCGAGCGGACTACCGCCTAACTTAGTCTCCTCCTTTACGTTCACCGTTTGTCCAGGCGTTCCGGAGCGCTGGCGGCGACCGTCTAGACCAGTGACAGAGGGACGATATGAACGACGCAACCATAGATCCGATTTCTGGTCCAATTGCAGCTGGTCACCCCGGCGAAAGTGCGGACCTGCATCCCGCTCCCACCGTCGGCCTGGAGGACGACCTCGTGGCGTTAAGGGAGCTCTCCCCTGAGGCTCTGCGCGTCGAATCTATTCAAGGCGATGAACTCTCCCCTCTGGCGCACGTTCCCAAGCCGCGCCTGTCATCGGGTTCCACGGCCTATTTCTCCTGTGAAGAAGGACTTTCTCAATCATCGCCGCCAGCGACTCGGATCATCGCCGCTCCTCCGGTGCAAGGATCTCGTATGTCGATATATTGGGATCCGGCGGAGGCTATGCTGACCGCTGACAGCGATTAGTGCCGCAGTATATCGAAGACAATGAGATCGATCATCAGAATGCTGCGGAAGCAAACGTGATCGAACCCCGGGCCGAGACCGAGAATGTCCAGGTTGCCCTCGAGTCGGATCCGCGTCCACCGATTGTTCGCTTTCGAAGCCCGCCGAAGAAACCATTGTCCGTCACCGACATGGTGTCACCGTCATGGTGCGAGCTACAGTACCTCTTCACGTTGGGGAAACATGGGAGAAAGCTGCAGACACCCGCGATGAAGCAGGGAAGCGCCGTACACAAGGAACTTGAAGATCAGGTCTTTCAGTATGTTCCGGTGTCGGTGTCTACCCGGGAAGATACCTGGGGGTTGAAGATTTGGAACGCAATTCAAGGATTTCGAACCCTGGCGAACACGGGGATGACGCGCGAGATGGAGATCTGGGGCACGATTGATGGCCAGATCATCAATGGTATCATCGACGAGATATCGTACAAGTGCCCGGACGAGAAACTCGAAACGCTTGTACGCAACGTGGAGGATAAGCAGCGGGCCGCGGCCTTGGCTGCTGAAAATGGAGCGACGGAGTCCACAGCAGAAGACACAACTACCCAGAGGAAGATCTACATCACAGATGTGAAGACTCGCGGTAGGAAGACCATTCCTAAAGGCTCTTCGTTGAAGCCTACGTTTGTCCAACTCATGTTGTACTGGAGGTTACTGGGTGACCTGGCATCGGACCGCGTCGACCCACGCATAATCTTCGAGCGATACCGATTGAACCCATCCAAGCCCTTCTCGGATTCGTTCATCGAAGATGTTGCGAAGCTTGACTATAACTTCAAAACTACAAGTACTCAAGATGAAGAAGCCCCGTTTCAGGCAAGCCCCGATGCACGGTCGGAACTTTTCGAGAATGACAACCTACAAGACCTATGGTCCCTCATGATTCGCGAACTGAAAACGATTATTCCGAACCAGGATGCCCTTGGCAAGGTTCTTCATGTGGAGTTCCGAAGCCAGAGCGACGGATCCATCATTGGTAGCAAGTCCTTTGTTTATAACGCCAACACGATCGATCGCTACGTTAAAGATACCCTACGCTTCTGGAAAGGGGACAGGGAACCCAAGGGTGTCGAGATCGAAGATGCTTTCAAATGCCGGATTTGCGAGTTCGCTGAGGACTGCTCCTGGCGACAGAATAAGATTGGCGAGGCAGTTCAAAGGTTCCGCACAAGGTCGATTGCAAGTGGCCAACCAGGCGGCTGAGATTCTCAATCAGCTTCTATCCCGCTAACGCTACATGTCTTAATGGCAAGGTATTCTATGCGATGAATATCTCACGGCCAATTCAGTACGGGTACGAATGGTGCTCGTCTTCATTGCCCAGGTCAAGGCCGTCATCGAGCTGCTTCTGATGTTCCCCATCGAGATACGGCAACAATACCTCTTCGAATTGGGCTCGCCCTCGATACTTGGACACGTCCGGTGCCCAGCTCCGAATACCGGACGCGAGACGGCCGGGGACATACTTCTCCTTACAAATATCCGTAATGGGATGAAAATATGTGCGAATGGTGAAAACGACAGCACCACTTCTCGGAAGCCTAAACAGGTTAATGTCGCAGTCAAAGTCTCTTCATCTTCATAGAAACCTACCTTCGAAGGCTTTGTCTTTCGCTCCTGAAGTGATAAGTATCGACTGGTCGGTTCTTGGGCGCCGAAGCCCAGCTCAGATCAAACGGATACGAATTTTCCGATCCAAGCGTATGACTGAATGCCACGTCGTCGTCGACCTGGATGAAATAGTTGTTCCTCAGCATGGGCGTCTCCGGCCTGAGTCGCTTAAAGAAGTTCATCATCCCCTTCTCCAGCTTCTCTTTGTATTGCGGAACCTCCCCTGAGGTATGAATTTCCGACAGCGGCATCCCGAACTTGTCCTCAAGACGCCAGAACCCAGCCAAGAGGATCGCGCCGGCAACCAGGTAATACTGTCCGTCGGGTCGCTCCATCATGATCGCAAGATCGTCTTGAACCATCCTGCCAGCCATCTGCATCGGGTCCTCGGCCAGTGGTCGCTCAACGATATTGAACGTCTCTCCCGTCACCAAGTTATCCATGCCGACCTCCGTCTTCCTGTACAGGTTCGGGTATCTCTGGGGCAAATAGTCGCAGAATTCTTCGACCAGTTCGACGGCACCGTCAAACGCTTCCGGTGCAGTCCTGCAGCACTTGTCTCCCCGTTCCTTCATTCTCTCGGCTTTCCGATCATGGTACGTCATATAGTGGTTGTCGAGTTCGATCCATTCGTCCCACTGCATACTTCGGAGGCCCATTGTGACGAAGTATTGGTGTCGGATCGGTCGGTACGGGAGAGGCTTTGTATCCTCAAGTGACCAATCCTGATAGGGCGCTGCGGCAGGCCGCTTGAAAGAACTGGGCACCCATACTAGTCCTTGTATCAGCAAACCATCATGGAAGAACCGTTAGGGAGAGTCATCGTGCTCACCTCCCGGCTCCTTCATAGCAAACTTCGAACGCTGCGCGGCGGTAGGGCTAGGCGGTGGTTTCTCGAGATCTGGCGTTCCCGCTCGTTTTGGTGTTCCCCATTTCGACGAGATATATCTGACCGACCGGACGACAAGCCAGATCGTGCCGGCCGCAAAGAGCAGTGAATACCACGCCGATTTGGGATTCTGTAGGAGAATCTCCTGGTACGGAGCGGCCTTCTGTGTAGCGGAGTGGCATGCCCGCTTGATGTGGTTGCCGAGTTCGGCGTATATAGATGGCTCCAACTGCGTCATGATGTCTGGTTCGATCGCGCTGGTATACACAGAGTAAAGAAGAATTCTAATGCAATTAATACTCTAAATCGTATCAAAAAGTTCGCTTTCTTCGTAGAGGTAGCCAACCCCCGCCTCATCCCATACGTCAATCATGGCTTCGTGCGAATCTAGGATTCTCGATGTATCTGATAAGAGCTGCACGCCACGATTAACCTAGACCAATTGGGTCAGCCTACTAAGACCTTAAGTGGTTTTCGCTGCACATCCACTGAAGATAGGTACTGGCGGTTTCTAGAGAGGAGCCTGGTCTTTGAAGTACCGTCATCCATGGACGTTCGCTGTTCCACCACTTTGTCGATCTCCACTTCAAGCACAATATTTCCTATTCGGGTTAACATCTCCCACTTCCACATCCACACTCCACAGTCGTTGATACATATCGAGTCACGAGACTGCGTCTATCTTTATCACAAGTTTCAATTGGCAATCTACAGCGGCAGAATCGTAAATTGATCCGTCCTATCTATGGGTTTCCCTTACTTCGGACTGTCACGCTTCCGCAGGAGGCAATAATTGCCCCACTTGCGTTGGAACTGAGGGGGAACAAAGGACCAGTCCGGAACCCAGAACATTCGACCGAGCGCACCCGTCTTCCCTGTATCAAGGAAAGGCGCACACTTCAAACTCTCCCATGCTGCCGTGTCTTTCATATAATTCGGTTCTAGCGGCGATGGTTCGGTCTCGGGGAAATACGAATCCACAAGGAAGTCGCATTGTTCCACTTGGACCTAGTTATCGTTAGCTGCAATACTTGTGACACCGCTCTATGGTTCCCTCTAGACTTACATATTTACTAGGATCCACTATATTCCGGTCATTCATACCCGGAGGGATAGCTGAAACCGCTCGAAGCAGTCCAGGCACGTCCCTCCATTCATCAAACTGCCCTGGCAGCAGTCCATCGAATGAGCTCCTGATGAACTTGGCTCTGTAACCGTCGGGCAGGAAATACGATGACGGAAAGCGATACCACTCCTTGCCTAGGCACAGAGTGGCCTCTGGCTGAACCGACGCGATGTGCTCGAGCGGCGCGTATACCTGCAGAGGAGCCGAATACGCCGTGAAAATTCCGGCGGCTCGGCCAAGGCCAAGCACAACGCATACTGCGATGAATGATACGACCCCGAAGAGTTTCATGAAAGCAGGGACTTTGCCGGCCAACGTCTTCCTATTTCTGGAGCCGCAGATAACCAGCAGAATGTGGAAAGTCACCGCAGCGTTCAACGCCAGGAGAGGGTATATAGGATACAGGAAGCGCTCTTCCTTGTGAGGTTGCCAAGTGAATATGCAAAGCCATAGATCTGCCACCAAATTGACCGTGAGGGTGGGGCCGGAGAAAAGTGGGAGGACCGGCTTGCGCATTATCCATGCCTGTGCAAGTACAATAAACTTGCTGACCAAGGCCAGCAACAACCAGACATTGAAGTTCAAGGCAAGGTTTCGAAGATAAAAATGCCAGGGCTCTGTTCCGTATATGTTTGGACCGCGATCATCCCCGCCGAACACATTGTATGCCACGATGTTCCACGGGACCAACGCCGGCTTGTCGAATGCCACGGAGTCGACCAAGACTTGCAAGACCTAGTGCATCATGAGACTCTGGGTGATCTTTGCATTTGGACATACGTACAAGGACACCGACACATCTCACCCCGCCATCCACGAAATGGAGGAACCGCATCCCTTTATCGTCTGATGATATCAGACGGATGATCTCGACAAAAAGGAACGGAATCGCCAAGGCTGCCGCAAATGGCCAGCCTAGAAGACTTCCAAGTCCGAACCAAAAGATCCCCTCCGCCGTCCCTGCACCGTCAAGATTGTCCATAAATGCCGCAGACCCTAACATGGTAGTATACATCGCAAAGGTGGACGGCAGGTATGCGATTGAGGCATGATACATCCCCGCATTGATCACCATGATAAGGGCAAAGATGATCGCCACTCGCTGACTGATACTCTTCGAAATCGCAAAGTACAGCCGTGTCTGACAGGTGGCACAGATGAATGCCAGGAAGCTACGGACGAAGTAGAACTCGGAGATCTTGCTGTTCATGAAGGGTACTTGCCGGCCTAGAGAGATCAGGCCCGCGTGCAGTGCGGCGTATGCCCAACTGCGAATGCCATACTCCGGAGAGTACTCCCAGGTCTGCAGACCATAGCCATGGTTTAGAAAATGGGTTGGCTCCCAGTAGTTGAACACTTCGTCGCAATCCTGGATTGGAGCGAACGCTGCAGCAATAAGACCGGCGACGGCGAAGGAGGAAAAGACGACCGCAAGCTCAGCAGGCGATCCTGTGGCCGTGGATGGCTTACCGGACCTGGATCTGTTAATATCTGAGCGCTATACGGTTATTTTGAATATGTCTTGAATGGTATTACCGTTTAGGGTTACTCATGACGCTTCCTCCTTGCACGCGTTCCTGAAAGGTGTCCACTAATAGAAGAAGGGATTATTTCTCGCGAAACATCCCAAGAAACACCAGTTCCTTAGTCAACTAAGAAGCATAATCGTTAGGCTCTACGAGCCATGGATCAACATTTCATAATAACCTGAAGACAAGGTTGAAGGGAGACTATTTATTGTCGTAGCCTCGAAGGTGTCCTTAGTCTCCTTACTCTAGGAACGGTCACTCATGGTTGCTTATGTGAGATTAAATCACGTGCTATCGTATTACTATCGTCAAGCGCGGTTCAGAAACTTTTTAAATTTTCTTCAGCAGGTTTTCAAAATGATTTCCACATTGAAAACGCCTCGCCTCACTTTCACTATGTGGAAACACATGGTGCTGGCTCCTTTACTTCATCCCAAACCTCTCTGAAGGTTTATTTTATTTTAATTGCAGGGTACGACTTTGGGACGAGTTTTTCGTCATGGACACCAAAGATGGGAACGATGTTCCCATGACAGAGCCTCAGCAGCACAGCAACAATGCTTTGGAGACCTTCATGGATGCTTTGGTCAGCATAGAAGGGCAGAGTTTGACTCCAGTCGTTGAGACCCAGAAGACTTCAGACACCGAGAATCATCCTGCAACAGGTGTAACCATCTCGGCAGAGTCTGGGGAAACCCAAGATTCTATGGAGGTCGGCCAGTCAAGTGTAAATGCGATAGACGCAACTCCTGCTGGCAATTTACATGCTGGTATGGACTTGGGCACATCGTTGCCTGGTGCAGGGGCCGCCCTGAACGCAAACGGACCCTCAGGAAACGTTGCTCCCACACATGCAGATATTGAGGATGCTGTATCAACTTCCACGGTCGCGAACGGGGCAGAACCTGCATCATCAGCTGTTAGCGATCTCGAGATGGCATCCAACAACGGCACTGTTGAAGACAGGAACGTCTCCCTTCTAGAACTTCCAGAGATTTCCAAACCGGCATCGGAAATCCCTGACTACACTGCCCAAGCAAATCTCCAGCTTCTACCGGGACTCTCAGTCACTGCCCAACCCTCTTCAGGCGTGGTATCTTCCTCCCACACTGCCGAGATTGACGGAGCGGCTCCCAGATCCAATGGTATCTCCAGATCTGATCCTCGTTCCGATCTGTATGCGTCTAAAGAGACCCCCGTCAAGGACGATAAAGACGCAACGGACGGAACTGCACAAGCTGAGCAGGAAGAATTCCGCTTCGATTCGTCCGACCTCGAGGATTCCGACACTGAAACCGAGTCCGAATCAGACGATTCGGATGCCGAGCCTCTGATGGACCCGAAAGCCATGGCGGAGATGCTCTCCAAGAGCATGAAAGTAGCGGAACCTGACAGCGAACCGCCCAAGACAAAGAACGAAATGCCCATGATCCACGTCGAGAAACCTACCGTGGAGATCACTCCTGAAATGAAGATCAGTTTCCTCGGCCAGGTTGAAGTCATCATCACCCCAGACAAGACTTCGAATGCCCGGCTTGTTTCCGTGAAGGCTCAACAGTCGGCTGAACGCAATGTGTACGATTGTGGGACCTATCTTTGTCTTGAGGATCGACAGATTCTCGGCGTCATCGACGAAGCCATTGGACGAGTCCAAGATCCATATTACACCTTCTTCATCACTGAGGAAGACATCCAAGCACTCAACGTGACTCAAGACACCGCTGTCTACATTGTTGATCAGTTTTCCTCAAAGCTCTTCACGGACGAGATAATGAAAATGAAAGGCACCGATGCATCGAACCTCCACGACGAGGAACTTCATGACTCTGAGATGGAGTTCTCTGATGATGAAAAAGAAGCCGAGTATAAGAGACAGAAGAAAGCGAAGGCGAAGGGAAAGAAAGCGGCAAATCAAGGCCAAGGCGATCGGAAACCAACTGCTCCTGCCAGCGGTGAAAGGAGACAGCCATTCCTTCCCCAGCAGCATCAGTATGGTGCTCAACCGGGTATGGAAAGGCCCTTGGTCAAGTACGACGATGACGATGATATGTCTTCTTCCCGAGGCAATGCGAGCACAAGAAATGAGAATCGGGAGAGCAGAGGAGGTCGAGGCAACCGCTTCACGTCTGGACAAAGAGGTCAACGTGGAAATCGATATGGCAACAACAATTCGAGAACTGGAAACCGTCACTCCGATTTCACATCCGGGGACCGTGCACACGACCACAGTCGATCCTACAACAATCAACACCACTCGCAACCCCAACCCAACTCAATGCCTCCCTCAAGTCATGGTTTCCACTCTCCGTCTCACAATGGACCCGAACGAGTCCACGACGTCTTTGGAGGCAGAGGAGCTACAACGTCCTCCACGACTGGACCCGGGAGCACCACTTTTCCACAAAATCCTACAATGCATGATGGGAATCATCCTCGACCATCTGCAGCCTGGTCTTACGCTCAACCTCCTCCCTACGTGGGAACAGATGTTCGAACTTCGAGCGGCAGGCCGAGCGCAGTAACTGGAGCCAATTCCGTTTCCCAGGGCTACTTGCCTCCTGTAGCGTCGTCTTCGGGATATCAAGGGATGCCTTTCCAGACGGCAAATGCACCTGGGTCGAGCGCATGGGGTGCGCTTCTAGCTGCTGCAAATCATGGATCTCAAGCCAACACCACTCCATACCCCATCCAGACTACCATGCCTCCTCCGCACGTCCTCGCCCAAATGGCTCAACAGGCGCGTCAGTCTGGATACGGCCCGCCTCCAATTCCAGGTCCGGGGCCAGTCCAAGACTCCGTTCCTACTTCTCCGATGACACCGCTTCCTCCACAAATGCTTGCAGCTGGTCTCTACAACGCGCCGATGAACCATGCACCTGGCCCCAACCAAGGACATGCTACTCAAGGATACCAATATCCGCCCTCTGCTCAAGGCTATTTTCCCACCGGTGGCAATTCCATGCCTTACTCAGGCCCTTCTCATCCTCAAGGACAACACCCAGTTCGCAACCCGCAGAGTCAACCTCCAAGCGGCTCAGAGACGGATCTTGCAGCGCTTTTGCGTCATCTCAGTCAATCCGGGCATGGCAACAACCAACCCTGAGCCCCCCAGCCTAGGATCTACAACACTCAAACGTTCACCAGACGGACCAAGCGGCAAATGGCCTCACGAGATGGTAGCAGTACTTTGGCCTGTCCTTTGTATAATTACGAAAGTCTGGCAGAAAGGCTACCGAGTCATCTCCTGCTGCCTTCTCGACTGAACATCGGAGGGGATCACACTCCTTCAACCTAACGCACCCGAGCCAAGGCAAGTCCTCTTTCATGCATTCCACAGCCTCACCCAGTCTTTTATGATGATACAACTTCTATTGCATAGTTCAACCGAGATCAAGGATCCTTGAAGACCCAACTTACCATCTTTCGCTCCTATCTGAGACAAATTCACTTCCCCAGCAGTTTGCATCGATTTTTTTTTTTGCCATCTGCTAACGTCTCCGTGCGTCTAGGACAATTGCACAGATAGATCCTGTCATGCTGGATATTTGCCGGCTCTCGCTTAAGCCATTTTGGATGCCCACATTGCATGTGCACCTCAACCGAAAGTGGATCAAACTTGTGTGACTGGCGCCACGGATGCATACGAAAGCAATGGAAGAGAATGGAAGGCATCAAAATTGTTGTAGGTGGATGGAAGTCAACTGATCGAACTGTATATTTATAATTATGGCTCAAGCGTTCGATCAATCTGAAATCTTCGAGTTCCCCTTGCTGTCCGCTTCCTGCCAAGCTGTTCAAGCTCCGTCCAAATTTCAGGATACTTTTCCCTTGCCCATGCTTCCATCTCGCTCTGACGATGTATCTCTGGAAGAGCATTGAAGATGGTTCCCAACCTGCCCACAAATATTAGTCGTGCCAAAAAGGAACACTGGAGTACTCACATTGTCGCATCTGGTGGATATCCCAACTCTGTCTCCACCAGGCGTGTAGCCTCCTTCAACTCCGAACTCCCAGCAAGTGCGCCAAGGTAGGCGATGAACACATCCTTCGGGATCTCTACCGTGGGGAGCGCATTGAGGGTCTCCCAGATAGGCGTGGCCATCTCTGCACCGCCGAGCAGATTTTCGCAAGTCCAGAACATGATGTTGAAACTGTTGAAGGACGGACCTTCCGACGAGTGATAGATGCTATCCCAGAGCTGTATGGCCTTCCCGGCGGACCCACAGCTCGTATATGCGAGTATCAGCGCATTGTACATCTTCGTGTCCGGATTGACAGTGATGTCAACCTTCAGCTGATTGTGTACGTTGCGGAGAGATTCAGTGTCGGTACACATCGCAATGCCGACGAATGCAACGACATATGTCTCCGCGGTCGCGCGAACCTCATCGACGAGCGAGTCTCGCATGTGGTTAAAAATTATACACGCCTTGTCGGCACGGCCGCGGCGGAAAAAGTCTTCCATGAGTTGGGTGCGAGTAGGGCGATCGACTTCGTCGAACACGTCGTGGACGATGGTACTGACATCCCAGGCGCGATCCGTGGGACGCTCGGGATCAAGGCAGTAGGTAACGAAGGTTGAGAGGAGAGCGGCGCGCTGGGAAGAGGAGAAGCGGGCCGCATGCGATTTGAGGAGCTGGATGAGATCTTGGATTTCGTCTCGCTCGAGATGCAGGAGGGAAAGAGCGCTGACTGTCTCGGGGAGGAATTTTGCGCCACGTTCGGTGAGGTCGTCGACAACGGACATGATAGTATCGTAGTCTTGGTTCTCGGAGGAACATAAGGCGGTAAGGAGTCGGTTGATGACAGGCACGTCATCGTTCTCTTCGAACTCAATATGCGTGCTCTTCAGTTCTTGATACGTTTTCATGGCCTCCAGAAGATCGTTGGCGATAAGTGGTATCCGCATGGCTAGGAGATACGCCTGGCCGTCAGCCTTGAAATCCAGTTTCTTCCCAAGATTCCGGTATCGTTCCGCTGCATATGCATCGTTCTTCGATAACGCATATTCGATCAGCTTATTGATTGACTGTATGTCTGGTAAATCATGTTTATCCTTGCCGCGAGCTCTTGAAGCCATGACGTTGATCATTTGCTCAATCCCATCGATGCTCTTTCCAGTGCCTGCAGCCCATAAGAGCGCACTGTCCCAAGCGCTTTTGCTTGGGGCACCGTCGAGAGCCTCTTTGACGACCTCCTGCCCCAATTTCATATCTCGGTGTTGCAAGCAGTACTTGACCACGGCATTCAACGCCCTGTCATCCGGTTCTGAGCTGCCAAAGACTTTGCCTTTGTGCCACCTCTTGACATACCGTCCTCTGGCAGCGTAAAACTTGACCATAACTTCCCGAACATCGTCACCCAGTTCAGCGGAGCGATCGCCAAGTTCCTCCAGTAGCTTGTGCAATTCGTCCTCTCTTCCTTCGGCAGCGTATCCCTCGAATACAAGGAGCCATGTGGAATCTGGAACCTTCTCGCCAACCATTTCTAGCCCTTTAAGTAGCTCGTGTGCTTCGCCGGCGAAGCCAGAGAAGCATAGAATATGAGTATACCATCTCTTCACTTCGTCATACATAATGTTTTCGGGGAGGTCATGCTTCTCAGCGTCGGAAAGGGAGCCGGTAGTTGTTCTAGAAATTTCGCCCAAGTCTCCGCTTCCTTTCTTCTCGTACACCGCGAATAACCCTTTGGCCAACTCTCGATGGAACTCCGTCTTCCCAGTGGGTTTTCTTTCCAGTACCTGTAACACCGATACCACGTCCTTATTTTCGAACCATCTCTTCTTCTCCGGCGGCGTAGTTTCCATCAGTGTTTGAAACGTTCGCAGCGCATGCCCGGCTTGAACATCCTCGACTCCAAGTGACTTGTCCGCTGCTGCGTTGAAGAACGCCCGGAAGGCAGCATGGAGTTGCTTAGGCTCAGGGGCGCGTAACTGCTGTTGCAACCGGTTCGACAACTCGACCATTTGCGCCATCCCCGGATCGAAGTGCGGGTTCGGGCTTGACTGGGAAGGCTGCATGGCCGGGAAGGCGAAAAAAGAGCGGGAAGGGCATGGTCGGAGGAGCCGGACAGCGGACGGAGGATACCGTGGTTGGTGGGAAGAAAAAGGACGGCATAGACAGTGTCGGTATAGGATGGGCTCACCGCGGACTAATTGCCGGAGGATAAGGCGTGTAAGATGCATCGTGAGGAATCGGCGCCCAGGGGGAAGAGCTCATTCGGAGCTTCTGGTGGAAGTTTTAGGTGGAAATTCGGATATGCAAACTCATCATGCCAATTGGAACATCCAATACACTTTAAAGCTGCTATACAGGTCGTTGGAATCGAACCCAAGAATTGTGCAGAGAGTAATCGCGTATTCTAACGAATAAACGCGTTGGTGGTGGTTAAGGAAATATAAGTCTCACCCAGACATAGAGAAATATTCCGTGGATGAGCTCATCCATGTCCTCCACTGTCACGATGTAATTTATCGAACGCTTAGCCAAATGTGGATTTTTCTAACGGCAACTTCTGTCACCACTTCCTATCTTAAAAGACTCCCATGTTCAACAAATTGTATCAATCTTTCTCTATGAGATAGATGATCGCCGATTCTGCAACATGAGTCTACCTCGAACCTTGACCAGAGCCCGAGCCTCTGGTCTCAGGCTTCCAACCCTTTTCCGCTCATTTTCCGATCAATCCCCAAAGAACCCATCTTCTCTCCCATCATCCGCGCAACAGCGTGAGTATTCCTTGCGGCAAAAGGCACCTTGATTCCATCATAACTGACTGGCCGTCCTCTCGCAGTGCTCCTTGACACCCTCCGCCAAACCGCTCCCACGGCCCGACCAGCCAGCAGTTCGATCACCTACGCGAAGCAGCTCGCCGAGAACAGCGCCCCGTATCAGGAGCGGGCAAAGGAAGCCCAACATGCGCGAAGACTGGAGTCGCAAATTGCGCGGATATGGCAACCTGGAGATGTCTACGCGCCGAGGGATATGGGGAAATCGGAGCAAATGAAGTGGTCGACCACGATAAAGCGGATGAGGAACGGGACAGCGGGACGCGAGCGGAGGGACGTCTTTGATACGCTGGGAATAAATCCGTTGAATGAGTATAAAGTGAGTGGAAACATTTGCGAGCTAAGACCATGAGATGCGCTCCTAACTTCCAATAGAACTTCTCCCTCCTAGCCGAGTTCACATCATCAATGGGAAGGATATATAACTCGAGCCAAACCGGTCTGCGGAAAAGGAACCAAAGGAAAATCGCCAAGGCGATACGGAGGGCAATCGGGATTGGATTGATTCCAAGTGTGCATCACCACCCAGAATTGGTATTACGGGACCCCAATTGGAGGCCATAGGGTTGGACAATATGGTAGGAAACGTCGGAATTAGTAGACTGCAATTTTGGTCGAACTTGGTTGCATTAAAGCAATCACTTTGCGGCCGAGGGCGATCCGCAGATCGCGACCGTGCCGCAAAGCACTGTATCTATATACACATGTACATATAACCCTCAACGTACAGGTCGTACACCCACAACCATTCTACACCCAGTACCTTTCATCACACTCAATCCAACGCCCCATCCTTCCTCAACGTCTCATTCCCCCATGGCGCGCTCGTCAAGCTCGTCAATCCCCCGGCTGGCTCACAGCTCTCTCTGCCACTGAGCGGCCCGGCCTTTGGCACCTCGACCTTCTGCCCGCCGGACGTCTCCGCAGCCTTCAGCGCCTTCAGCAACTGGGTGGTGGTTGCCGCGGTGAGGTCCTCGTAGTAGTCATCGTTGATCTGGATCATGGGAGCATTGGCGCAGGCGCCGAGACACTCGACTTCAGTGAAGGTGAAGAGACCGTCGGCGGTGGTCTGGCCATGGTGGATGCCGAGTTCGGATTCGACGGCTTGCATGACGGCGTCGGAGTCGCAGAGTTGGCAAGGGGTCTATACGAGTGTCAGCGTCCATAGGCTTATTGAAACTTCGATGCATCCGCATCGATGGAGAAGATTGAACACATACCGTCGTGCACACCTGCACATGATACTTCCCCACCGGATTCCGGTTATACATCGTATAGAACGTCGCCACCTCGTACACCCGCATCGGCGGCATCTCAAGAAGCCTTGCCACTTCGTTCATGACGCTGATGCTCGTGAACCCATGCTGTCGCTGCCCCAGATCCAGCAACGGCATCACGGCCGCCTTCTTGTACTGCGACGGATACCGCGCCAGGATCTCGGCGATGAGCTTATCATTCTCGGCGGAGAACTTGAAGGGGATGGAGGGGTTGTTGGCTTCAGTGTCCCGGTGCTGAAGGACAGAGTTAGTCGGGGAATGGAGCGAGCTAAATGGGATGGATGCGTGGACATACCACAAAGACGCTGTCGCTAAGTGCTTTGGAGGAGGATGTGAAGTGGCGGGGTCGGCTGACGCGGCGACATGCCGTTGAGAAAGATGGCCGTTGGGCTAATCGGAGGAGCCGTATTCTCGAGGCCATGATGGCGGATGTGTATAGAGCGAGGCTCAGGCAATTGGCCGTCCTTGATGTCCTGACTTTTGGATGTTGGAGCACTTGACGTTCGCTGAAGCTTTGGCGATGAGCACGTGACCTCTCGCCAATGAGAAATGAATTGAATCAAAGCCCCCAAGGATTCAAGGGACGACAAAGTTAGGCAAGAAAACTACCGATTCTCTCGCCCTTTCTGATAGCAATGGAAATTGTCGCCATTCTAAATATCACAGGATTGAAATTATGGTAAACGAGTGAATTGTCGGTATAATCCAAATCTATTTTCCCTGAAGCACAATCATATCTATGGCCAAGGTGTTCCTCTTGCCATGACCGTTTCCACTTTGACGCCGAGTATCCAAGTTGCCTGTTCCCGCCGTCTAGTCCGTCATGACAGGTCTTCCCTTGTCGTTGCCATAGTGTCATCAATATCATTGGTGCCATTCTCATATGTTGATTGTTTTACACGGAGAAGTTCCCCAAACCACCCTCCATCACCAGGACATGAAAAAGAAGTCGTCCGGTGATCCCCTGGCCTACTCAAGCACAAAGGCAGTTATTCTAACCGCTATAAGTTGCGAAAGTGTGACCGTAAGTGCTCAACTCTGTGCCCTTGGTCAAGAACCCATCTTTCGCCATGAAGTACGCGTACCTCTCGACGTAGTCCTGGGAGTCCAACCATGGAAGCACCTCTTCCAAGAACGCCTTGATTTCCTCGTCGGATCCGAAAGCACCAAATTCAGTGATCCAGATTGGCAATCCTGTCTTCTCATGCGCCTGCTGGATGTGGCTCTTGAAGTTGTCAACCCGGGACGCGTAGTCATACCAATGGATGACGGCAAAGTCAACCTGGCAGTCGGAGCACGCCTCCAAGAATTTACCAAGCCACGTGAGACCCATGCTCCCACCGCCGTTGGTGACCGCTGGAGATCCGAGGCGAACGTCAGAACCTCCGAACGGCTCCTGGACGTACTTCTTGTAGCCGGCGGCGGCCAGGGCAGGAGTCAAGAGGGATTGGGTCACGTGATCAGGCTCGTTAAAGGCAAGGATAGCAGAAGCACCGTTGGCAATGGCGTCCTTGGCGTTCTGCTCCCAGCCGAGCAGCTTGTCGCCGAGCCCCCAGAGCATAGGAATGTATTCAAGGCCAGTGAGTCCGTCGGGTTTGTTGCCCCAGTTGTAGGCCCATGAGATGTGATCTGAGCCGCTGAAGCAGGATGTGAGGCCGGCATCGTTGTACGCAATACCTCGCTTTCCTTTCCCACTGCTGGGCTTGCTGCTTGGTGATGACGAGGAAGCAGCGGAAGATGAAGCCACGGCAGAGGTAGCCGAGGCGGCGACAGAAGAGCTAGAAGTCACCTTGTTGGTACGGCCATAGGACCTGACACGCTTCTTTTCGATGGTTGGGAAAGCCGATCCTGTTCCAACAGTACCATTTGCCGAGAGAGTACTGGATGCAGCAGCGCTGTCGGAAGGGGTCACCGTGATATAAACCTTCTCGGTCGTGGTTTCGGTAACCGGTCCACTGCAGACTGAGGAGTCCGCACCGATGGGTTCGGGTCCAGCGGTCCTCTTCAACACGGAGGTCGTTCTGTTGGGTGGACCATGCGGGAAGCCAGTGCCGCCAATGGTACCAGTGGGATGGTATGACTCGGTACCGTTGCCATAAGGCTCAGCACCCCTAGGATACGCAAGGGCAGGCGTAAGGAAGGACAAGAGCCCCAACGCGAGGATCTGAGCTGCCATTTTCGTAGATCGTTTGCTCAATGCAATGAATGTGTCCCGTAACAAAGGATAGTTTGACGTTCTAGACGTGTCGAATGGAATATATGCTGCTACTAGAGCGCGTAAAATGTGCAAAGAGCCGACCGGAGCGGTTTTCCTTGTCGAAAGGTGAAATTTGAAAAGTTAACCAGGACAACTAGGTCCTCGGAAAGAAAGAATGGATTGAGCGATTGCTCAGAAATGAAAGTCGGTGACAAGGAATGGCCAGGTGCAGAGAGGTAGAAAGGGAGAAGGGGAAAAAGAAACAATGCAGATGAGCGAAGACATGGTGATATATATAATGGCCACTTCCCACTCCCCCCTTCTATCAAAGTCCAATTGTGGAAGTCTGAGAGGGGGCGAGGGAGAGCCCGGAGAGGGGAACGATTGGAATGTTGTTTGGTCGGGTTCCAGACCACGACCCACCCGTCCACATGTATCCACGGTGTCCACCAAATGTTGGTAGTGAACCAGAAAGTGACGAATATAATACCTCACAATTCACAATGAGGGATTGCGAGTGGACGGTTTCACGGCGGGACGCCACCTTATCATTTTCGTGATTCGTCCGGCAATGTTCTGTACCGTTTTGAAACATGTCTTCCTTTTTCGCCTGGATGCAGCGAAAGAAATTTCCCTTGCCTCAACGAGACGTCGCCGTCCTGCATCTGCAGCCTGCAGGCGGTCTGCGGAAAGACACAAGGACAGGTGGATAACTACGGACTTGTGGTTCAGCTGCAGCATATGAAACGAACTTACGGAGTACTCGATGAATACGATGACAGCATACAGTCAGGCTAATCGCTGAGTGATAGAGGGACTTGCCGCCGCAATTAGCGCTTCAAGGCACACCTAGGTTTCTTGGATAACTATGGCGTACGTCGTTCTCTAGCCGCAGCTGTTGAATCGGAGATCCACCAGCCCTGCTCGGCATTCTGCGATATGCGGCAAATCTGCCCGAGGTGAAAGTTGACGAGTTTGTTTCAGCGTGTGGTGGCCTGTAGAATGAAGGATCGAGAGGTCGTTGAGAAAGAAAACCGGAACCCAATCTGTCAAGTGCCACCACACGTGGCGGCCCTGCTAAACCCCAAAGCACGAGTCGAGGAGTGCGCCGAGTTCGTTGGAAAATGGAAAAGTGGGTGAAGTCCCTGGATTCCTGGAGGCTGGAATCTTTCATCACAAGAATAATGACGCCTCATCGGGACCGATCTCGATTTTGGAACCACCCAACCTGCCATACTACCCGATTGGCTGTCCAACAACTGGGAGTTCGGTTCAGTCAGGGACAAGCGAATAGTAGTCCCGCAAGAGTAACGCCACCAATGCGCCTCTGACATCGTGGTAGGTTGGTCAAATGGAAAGGCGACAGACGACCGAAAAATTTGGAAGAAAAGAGGGACAAGAGAAGAGTCCAAGATTTCAATTTCCCCACGGCCTCAGGATGTCGATCCAATGGGGTTGTACAGAGTCCCGCATAGGAATGGGCCTGAACTTGCTCGGCCCCGCGAAACGCTGCTCTGTGGCCTGTTTCTTAAGGCTTTCTGGAAATGTGGTGGTTGCGCGGCTTGTTGCTTGATAATTCCTATCGCATGGCGGTAACTTATGGAACCAGGAAGACAATCGCTCTGCATGGCAGTTGGCACTGTCTGATGTGTGCCGTCTGCGGCATCAGACAGCCAGCCTCAACGATGACACGTTGGCGAAGACTAGTCACTAGGGCGAGGCGTGATTCTTCTCCAATCTCCACTGATGTAGGATTCGGGATTTCGGATTTGGAACATTCGGGTATGTTTGCTGGTGTGCGATAGATCATCCATGGGAAGAGTGGATTTGGTTAGAGTTTCCTTTCTCTTGCAGAGTTGCAGTCTGACAATGTCCACTGTTCTATGGTCGAGATGCATCTGTTATATGGTCATATGGGTCACAAACTCACTCACAATATGATCGACAAAAGGAAATTTGATCTGGGACGGTCCGTTGCTGGGGTGCGGGTTTCAAGGCTCATCACTGTCATCACTGTCACACGGTGTTAGCAATTCATCCAGTACCAGCAGTTACCTGCAGCTGAATGTGCAGATTGTAACCCTAATTTGACATTTTCTCCAGTTCCGTACCTGGGGGTCTTGTGTAAAAGGAAGTACCTGCAGCTGTCCCCTCAATAGATGGCCGGAGGAACGCGAACAGCTGCTCAAGCATCCTCGCCATAATAGGAGCGCTCACTAGACCCAGGAAAGCAAAGACTGGGAAATAAAGTCACCTGTGGAGTAGAGCAGGAACAAGTCTGAGGCTGGTAGGAAATGATATCAGAATTCAAACTAAGAGTGATTGCTTGAGGATGCTAGATAATGTGCTAAATATTGAGGTGGTAGCCTAAACTTTGATTCTAAATTCTATTGCTAGATGGACGTTACGAAATATGAAAAGTCAGACACTCTAGTGCATCTCTACTTCATGCCCGTCAGGTATCTTAACTTAAGTACCAACTGTACCTCTATCTGTTGCCGTCGCCGCACCCCCTGCTTCCGTATTGTGTTCCAAGGCATTTCTCTAATGCGCAAACCTAAAGTCCAACCTTTTATTGCCTCTATCTCGTTGTCCTTCGTCCTCCAAATATCCATCCCTCTCGTCCTTCCCCATCTTGTTCCATACTTCATCCCTCGACTTATTCCTCCACACATAATAAGCCTTGATCAGTGGATACAGTACGATATTCATACAACATATGGCAAGCAACTGGCGATTTCCACGTTGATACCGCAGGGCATCGTCCATCCTGTATATGTTTGCCGAGATCATTGAACACCCCTGAACAAACATGTTAAAACAAGCAGCTGATACGGTGCACGTGCGAACCGTGTTGCTGTTCCGAGAGTTCCAGCCAACTAGGATCGCATTGGCTGAGGGGATACGTTAGCTCCGCATCACGATGAGATACGATTCCCGCTATACTATCGAATACATATCGGGGAAGAACAGTGTATCGCGGAACGTACCATTTGGATAGCTGAGCAGCAGGGTGATCACTGCCCACATTGTCCACCGATTCACAGTCGTGGTGTCAATAATGTTAAGATAGATGAGGAAGGGAAGAGCCATATCTGCCCGGCCAGTGCCGTGAAGGCTAATTGACCCCACACTTCGGCTACGTAATTAGGTGCCGACAAGCATCGCGATGACTATCAAAAAAGATCAGCATTTTCATCGGCATCAGTCTAGGCAGATGACTAAGCTTACTATGCCCAACATAATAAGGGATGGTTAACAGATTTGTTTCAAAGGTGTTGAACCCCAGTCCTTTCAGTGACAGTGTAATGTACATCTGCTGGGGAACGGCAGGTATCCCGGAGGTGAGTCCCATGATATACATTGGCCTGTACCACAGATGAGAAATCGCTCGTTCAGTATCTTGTACAGAATGGAAACATACCATAAGTCATAGTCCTTCAAACTCTGCCAGAGTAGCTTAGGGGTCACTAGCTGCCGGTTATGCATACTTCCTTTGGTAGGGTCATCGCGAATCACACGGTTGACGATAATTTTCTCCTCCCAGTAACATGATAAATAAGGATTGCCATTCGATGCGAGACGGGCCATACCGTTCAGTGAACCAGCCCTTCTTCCCACGGAACCAACTTGCTGTCTGTGCCGGCCCAGCAGGCATGAGGCCAAACGAAAATATGCCAATTACCATGGTAAGGAGACCCTATATCATTTAATGAGCATTAGGAATGAAAAGATCCTGTTGAGAAAGCTTACCTCGATGAGGAACAGCCATCGCCAGCCACTGTGCCCTCCTATACCTCTCATTCGCGGGAGACCAAACGCCAATATAGCACTCATGATATCTGCAATGCTCATTGCGGCCCAGAAAAAGCTAAGGCGGATAGAAAGCTCACGGTATGACAAGTATAAAATTACCTGACATGTTTAGCGCTAATGTAGAGTGAAGGAGTCCGGATACTCTCACCAGGGATGAATCCTCCTTGCAAGAGTCCCAACAACACTCGAGTGACCAAAAAAGTCGCCCGTCCGGAAAGCCAGAACTGCGTGGCTGCGACGATGCTCCAGAGCACGAGTTGTGCAGGAATCCATCGGTCAGGGCCAACCCATTTCGAAACAAGTTGAGATGGGAGCTCCGCAAGCAGGAAGCTAACCCTAGTCACCGTGACCCCCAGATTGTAGTCTATGTCCATTAGAAAATGACGAACAACTTGACCATGAAGCGGCATACCATTTGTAGTCATATGTAAGTCCGGCAGGAAATTGTCCGTCAACGCCTGCGTGAGATTGCTACGATCGATCTCTAACGCCATGAACATAATGCAGGTCCATCCCAAAATCCGCAAGTCGACTTTGCGAACCACCTTGTACTCTTCCCCCCAGGTCCAGCGGAACTACAACCGCGGCAATGAGCATATAAATGGAAGGAGTAGAAAATGGACGGCTCTCACCAGCGAGTCGAATCGGTGGATATTTTCCCTACTTGTATTAACACTTGCAGCTATAGAGGGGGTTAAGAAAGTCTACCAATCGTCTCTTGGCTGGTATCTCTTGGCTGGTATCTCTTGGTTGCTTCAGCATGGTCGTATACAGAACGCTGTGAGGTATTAGGACCAAGAGAATAGATCAAATGGAGGGGATTATTCACCTGAGTAGCGATGGCATCTGGATCAAGTTGTACGCTTCGCTGCCACCAAAACCGCTATACAATGCTTAGGGACGGTTTGCCAATCGGATTTCTTGACCACACCTTCTTTTCTGGAGGAGCACCAAGCAAAGGGATATCGTCGTCCACAGCATATTCAGCGGCATTGGGTTTCTTGCCACCAATATCACTGAGCGATGAGTCTGACCGGTCGGGGTTGGCGTTGCACAAGGACTGTAGGCATCTTGACGAAAAGCGACTTGAGATTAAGGATGGTATGAACCTGCTCCAACTAGCTCAGGGAACATATTCATCTGGTACAATAGTACATCCATGAAATTTATATTAGCGGAGAAAACAGAAATACGAGTTGCCCTGGATGCGCTTTGCACGACCATTTCGTTGATATTGATGTGCTATGGCAGAATTGCCTGAAAGAGAAGTCACAATGCCTATCATATAGGATTCGCTTAGAATATAGAGTTGTTCCATGCCTCGAGATGCTGCTTCTACTGATTTTTCCAGCCAATTCAAAGGGTCATGCAGTCCCAGGACAGACTTAGGGTCGATTAAGTGCGACTATGAATGTCCCGCATTACTCCTGTGATAACCTCTGCTGTTCAATTGGGCCTCCCTTCCGGGGTAAGGATTGATGGCTGTGGGTTATAACATTTGGAGACCTTGAATCACCATCTCGACTGTGAAAGCAGCGCATATTCGCACTCAACGGAGAACTACCATCGCACGTCCATGCTCTCCATCCTGGAGGTCGCCCAACGACGATCCTTCTAGGTGTGAGAGCTGCAGGTATGCATCAATGGTAAAGGCCATGACCACTGTCACTGCAGAGGCCCTTGTATTGCAGTTGTTGCGTCTGAGCACCGATCTCGACATAATCCAAAGAATAAGGAAGAAACATTTGAAAAGGGGTGATGTCGGTCACGTGCTGCTCTCAACCCGTGAGCTTATGACACAACCCCTATGCTCTTTTTAGCCATTTGACCCTAGAAACTTGGTCGCACAGGTCTTATTGATACTAATAACAATCGCATCCATTCCATTACCTAAGTTTTAGTTGGATTGGAAAGAGTCCAGGGGTCATGACAGGCACAAAAGTACCGTATAACCTAGAACATCAGCACATTTACCCCACGTACCCCGCTCAGTGAAATTTTGGATGAAGGCACAAGAGACTCTAAAATAACAAACTAAGGCTTTAAGATAAGATTGATGGGCTTGATTCGATGGATGGTGCAGTCATGTTGCCCCAGAATGGCGCAACGAGCCCAGTCGGATACGTGATCGTCTAGGATCATCTGCCAAGACTAAGCTTCTCTATTGCAACATCGTACATCAGCAACGATGGATGGACAACAAATGGACAATAGTACAGTTGCGTGATCGGTAAGCTACATTTGAAAAGACGCGGGGGGTTTTGAAAATGTGCCGAATATCCGAAAGGATGAATAAATAAAGACTTGAGGCCACCGCAAAAGAAAGTAGAAATACACAGATTACACATTGAACCCATTCAACGAAGGAACACTACAGCAAATATGGCACCCTCAGTTGTGGCACCCGCAGTGACGGAACAGGAGATTCCAATTGTTACCAAAGGCAGACCGCAGCCGTTGGTATCGTCGGGCCTCCTCGACCAATTCGAGCAATTCGATGTAACTCCAGTCATCGGCACGGAGTTCTCAAGTGCCAACTTGGTCGAGTGGATTAATTCTCCAAATGCAGATGACCTCTTGAGGGAGTTGGCCATCAAAAGAAAGCACCCCATACCGATACAGGCGTGCTCTAGACTAACGGACTCGCAGTCTCCCAGCGTGGTGTCGTGTTCTTCCGTGCCCAAGACAACCTCACGAACGATATTCAGAAGGTATTGATTCAGCGACTCGGCGAACTCTCAGGAAAGCCAAAAACCTCAGGCCTGCACATCCACCCGGTCTTGAACTCAGGCCGGGAAGGTGGAGGAACCGATCCGGAGATTAGCACGATCAGCTCTGTCCAGCACAAGAAGATTTACCGCCAAGCTACAGATGAAGGACTCACCGTAAAGACGCAGAACGCTGGACTGTGGCATTCGGATATCGCCTTCGAGCCAGTCCCGGCTGATTATACCTCACTTCGACTTGTTGAACTGCCCAAGACGGGAGGAGGTGAGAGGGATCCAGATTCTCGCCCGAGGTGGCGCTAACAGCCATTATAGACACCCTCTGGGCATCCGGATGCGAGATCTACGACCGCATCAGTGCGCCATACCAGAAGTTCCTTGAGGGTCTCACGTGCACCTTCGCTCAACCGGGATTCAACGCCGCTGCCGCTCGTGGTGGCTTCGAGATCTATGACAAGCCCCGCGGTGCACCCGAAAACGTTGGTACCCTGTTACAGGCGGTGCATCCCGTTGTGAGGACCAACCCTGTGACGGGCTGGAAGAGCATTTTCCCCGTTGGTGGCCATATCAAGCATATCAATGGCGTGACGGAAGACGAATCCAAGGCCCTCCTCAGCTGGTTCTTGGACTTGGTGTACAAGAACCACGACCTGCAGGTCCGCCTCAAGTGGCAGAACCCCAACGATATCGGTAAGCATCCCGTAGTTCCAAAGAAGACGAGGCTCGGAGCTGACATATGACTAGCGATCTGGGACAACAGAAGTGTTTTCCACAGCGCAACCTTCGATTATGACGACCAGGGTGAGCGTTTCGGTAACCGGGCCGTGGGATTGGGCGAGCGACCGTACTTTGACCCCAATAGCAAGTCACGCAGGGAAGCTCTGGGTCAGCATCTTCCTGCTGAGAAGATTGTAGTTTGATTGAGTCCGTGAAAATCTCCGGAGCTCATTCGCGGCTTTGCAGTCCGCAACCATACATTCATGTTAAACCAATTAGGGAAACAAAATTGAACTATGATAATGAAATAATAACTTCTGAACAAGGTCCGGTGTGTGATTCAAAGACTAGAATAGCGAGCTTGTGGAAATCTTGAGGTTTGGTGGTTCACGAATGCGTATAGCCTATTGGAGTATTTTATTGAGCATCTCGACGCATTAAAATAAACTGTGAGGAGCCATTCAAGGCGGGGTTTGGAAGGAACAGAACGAAGATCAGATCAAGGGACGCGATACAAGCTGGTGAAGAGGACCTGATGAGTATTAGGATGCCCGATCCCACCACATGACGGCCGCTGATTGATGTGGATACCTAGCGGTTTCAACATCTCATTTACGTGTGTAGTACATCGATGTATCGGCCGAAATATGAGGAAGCTCATGGATTGCGCTGCGAAGTGTGAAATATGGGATGGTTCATCTCTTGTGATTTGGTCTGGTAGGAGGAAATGTGTTTATTCAAGAATCAATACAGCAGTGGTGGTCAGGTGTCATGCGGCGAAGAGAGATGAGAGTCCGTGAGTCCAGGTCCCTTATTAAGGCATCATTGCATCAAATATTTCTGCCTCAACTACTATCAACAGCTAGAGCACTCACACCATGTCTTCAGTCATTCCGCATGGCAAATCCATCGTCCTCTTTTTCATACTACTTCACATATCAAGACCTTTTTCCACCGCAGGATGGCTTCAATGCCGATGCTATTAAAATTTTTGGAACGGTCGATTACTTGTATCTTGCCACACAATTGGCGGCACTCGGCCGCGAGTTCAAGACATGGCCCGGGAGCGAACTCCTTTATCCCATGCGATGCCCTAACCAGATAGAAACGAACCAGAAGCCAAGTAACCGAAATGTACATCATCAGTATCGACCAAACATTATGCCGCCCGGACTACCGGACTGCACGGAGTAAGAGTAGATAAGAAAACCCGAAATACATTTGAACTTTGAAGGGTTGAAATGGGATATGAACGCAACAATAGCATCCAAGCCCGAATGGACAGGCTCGGATCGAGTATAGCTTGCAGGCACTATTCAGAAGAATAAATTGCATGAGGAACTAGGAATCAAACCGCGGATGACGGCAACGATAGGAACGGAAGGCGGTTCTAATCTTGCATGACACCAAGTTTTAGGATTTGGAGGGAAAACGCTTGAATTCGAGTATGAATGAGCCATTGAGGTAGTCTAGGGAGCCTAGAGACCACGATACTATTGCATCTGATATACAATGCCCCCTACACATCATAGAGCTGCATTGCGCACGGGTTTCCGCTGGCAACCTTTGGCGCCCCGATACATCGTTCACATAATGCTTTAGTTGAGGAGCCGGAGTGGCATGCCCTGCGAGTCACATTGATTAAGCTTGCTGGTTCCATTTGCCGTGAATACGAATTGATTTTGCCTGTTAGAAGATACACACGCTTTTTCCGTATGCAGAGGGAGAACCGCGAGGATCTGTAATCATCTCCAGAACCTGCAATGCATGATTGAGCCAATTCAGAAAACTGGCTCGATAGTTGTTCCGACAAACGCCACCGCCGAACATCCCGCTTAGACCTTGAATCCCCTCGATCGTCTGCGGCCACGGGCGCGCTCGAATTTCCTTCCCTTGCTCTCGACGTAGGGTTTCTATTAACGAAGTCAGTAATTGAACTCTTGAACCTGGACCAATGATTCGACATACCTTGTTGGTGTGCGGGCCGAAACCAAAGTGCTTGAAAGCCTCCCGAGCGTTCTTGGGTCCTCTCAACAACAGGGTGTTTGCGCCGGTGGGAGATCGCGTGGCGAGCTCATCGATGGTCAGGCATTCGCCGCCAGCCTTGACGATTCGTGCGCGGGCAGTAGCGGTGAATCGGAGGGCGGCAACGGTGAGCTTGGGAAGCTCTAGGAGACGGTCGTCGTCGGTGACGGTACCGATGATGACGACGGTCTTCCCCTCATGCGCCTTGCCAGTCTCGGCGTTGGCAGCGACCTTCACAATCCTGGACAGGGACATCGGAGGACGGTTGATGCGGGACATAAAGAGTCTGCGGAGGACAACTCGGTTGAAGGAGGAGTCCGTTCGGCCTACATTTTGATATCATGTTATTCCAATTATTTCTTCCGATCGGGGCGCCACGCTTCGATCTCTGGATCTTGCGTGGAGGTTCGGATTTTACGTACGGGCAAGGAAACGATAAAGCTTCACGAGCAGCTTAACGTAGACATTGTCGCTCTTCGCCGCTTTGCGGTGCGAATTCCGCACGTGGTGGGAGTTCAAGTCGATACCTAGGGAGCAATGTCAGAATACCGCATGCAATAAGATCCGTATCATTTCTCTTGAGGCAATCGGGGGATGGGATTCCATTGCGCAGAATGGATTAATGAAGGGGGAGCTCATACCCATTGTGATGGTTCTGCACGCCGACGTGTGTATCTGGGATATCGACGGTGATGTTGAAGTCGGATGTGTAGGTTTTTGAGATGTGTGAAAGACTCGCTTGAAAGATCTTGGCAATGCACCGCCACATTTTACACCAACACTGCCACATAATATTTGTGGATCACGTGATTGATGACCCCACCATCCATCCCGCCGCCGCCACAGCGGATCCCCAAGAACAAACAAACTTGTCTCCAGCGCAACGACGTCAGGCAGCACCAGCCTGGTTTCTGACTATTACCACTTTCAACCTCCAACATCTTTCATTTGTTCCCTCCAATTTTCAGTGGACTCGAGGACCATACTTCTGAGCGCAGGGACATTCCTTGAAAAGGAAAGCTCTCAGTGGTGCTCTCACACTCACGGTTAAGATGTTTATGATCAAGAACGGTATGTCGCTTTTGTTTTTGCATATGATATGTCTCTTCTGACGTCTCGCCACAGTGAGCAAGTTCCTGTTCGGAGATAGCTCGAAAGAATCCATCATCGAGGTCCCTCAGGGCCAGCTTTACCTTGTCCGACCACTTTCGGTGAAGGGATATTCAGAGCTGATCTTCAAGGACGCTGCAGCTTCCATCCGACGAACTGGACAGGAGTTTCAATATCAACTCGTAATACAGCGCGCTTACGAAGAGGGGGAGGAAGAGCTTCTTGCAGAGGAAGAAGGCGACGCGACAGGCGAAGGACTCTCGTTAGAGACGGACGAGAAGTCGTTCCTACTCGACCAAGGCCTCCAGTTTCGATCGGATATTCGGGAGACGGGTGAAAAGGTCTTTGCATGGACGGATTTGAGCGGTGATACCGGTGACCTCTTCGAATTCGTCTGTGATCGGTCGATCCAGCCGGCTACAATCGCCGCATTCGAGAGGGCTGCCCTCGCCTGCCAATACGAGAGGAAATACCGCCGGAGTGGCGAGGACGCTACAGAGGAAGACTTGCAGGAGTTCGAGTTTGAGGAAGAGTCAATTCCTTCTGCCAGTCCGATCATCGACCACGCTCTAACCGAGTCGGCCAAGTTCAACATGGCTCCGCAGAAAGACGCTGGTAAAGACAAACAAACAGCACTCCCTGGAGCCGCGAAACCAAAAGAGGGGGAGTTGCTCGTAGCAGTGAGCGCGGAACTACATTTCTTTGACTTCACTACTGGCGAATTCGTCCTGCAGGAGCGATCTGCCATCGCCACAGTTACTGACATTGGCGGTTGGAACTACTGGCTGCAAATATCCAGTGAGGACAAGGAGTGGCTTGGTCAGCCCGTCGTGGCAGAGATCAACCCGGTGTTCAACTTCGAGTTCTTGTCCTTCATCTTCAATCATTACTCTGAAGATGGCTCTGCCTACTCCTGGCTGCTACGCTTTAAGGACCAGAATGCACTTGAGAAGTTCCAAGAGTCTCTTATGCAGGGGCTATGGGAGCACCTCAATCAAATAAAATGGGCAAAAAGCAAAGATACGGAGCGAGAGTACGTCCTAGAAGCTTTCCAGGACCTCACCATGGAGGACTCAGAGTCGGCGGAAGCTGAAGAGGAGGAGGAAGAGGAGGAAGAGGAAGAGGAGAGCGCAGGGGAACGAAGCGAGCACTATGACACCGACGAGTCGGAGGATGATGTACTAGAGAAAGACGAAGACGGCAACGTGAACTCTCAGCTTGCTGTCGGTTACAAGCATGACCGCTCCTTCGTTGTCCGAGGATCCAAGATTGGAGTCTTCAAGCATACTCCCGATAACCACCTTCAGTTCTCCACGAATATCTCGAAAGTGCAGACCCCCAAAGGCAAGCTCTTTAAACCAACGAAGGTCATGCTTCACGCCGAAGATCGAAACTTGGTGTTGCAAAACAAAGAGGATCCTAACTCTCTGTACCGAATGGATCTTGAGTATGGCAAGGTTGTTGATGAATGGAAAGTCCATGACGACATCCCAGTAACAAACTTCGTGCCAGAAACGGTATGTCTTCGTACATGACAAGAGGTATTCAGCTACTAACTTCACTTGTAGAAATTTTCGCAGATGACAGGAGAACAAACTTTTGTCGGTCACTCAAAGAACGCTCTTTTCCGCATCGACCCCCGTCTTGCCGACCAGAAACTTGTCGATTCCGAGTTGAAACAATATGTGTCAAAGAACGATTTCTCCGCCGCTGCCACGACGGAGAAGGGCTATCTCGCCGTTGCGTCGAACAAGGGTGACATCAGGATGTTCGACCGCCTAGGAATCAACGCGAAGACACACATTCCCGCTCTCGGAGATCCAATCATCGGTCTCGATGTCTCTGCCGATGGCCGCTGGCTTCTCGCTACGACACGAACCTATCTGTTGCTAATTGACGCTCTTCAAAAAGAGGGCAAGAACGAAGGCAAGCTTGGCTTCGAAAAGTCGTTTGCCAAAGACGCGAAACCTCAGCCGCGTCGGCTTGCGCTGACGCCCAGTCATGTCGCCCAATTCCAGCACGAGACTAAAGCGCCGATATCGTTCACCCCGGCGAAATTCAACGCGAGCTTGGATAAAGAGGAGACCACGATCGTTACGGCAACCGGTCCGTTCATCGTCACCTGGAGCGTGAAGAAGTTGCTGGGTGGCAGAAAGGATCCATACAGCATCAAGCGCTACGCAGAAGACGTCGTCGCAGATAACTTCAAGTTCGGCTCCGACAAAAATCTTATCGTCGCTCTGCCGAATGAAGTCGACATGGTGGCACGACAGGCGTTGCGTCGACCGACGAGAGAGAGTATTGCAACGCCTGTGAGGCGAAGCACAGCTCGAAGGAGCTACTTGTCAAGGAATGACATCGTCAACAGTCCTTACTAGCATCAGGCCCATCTTTTCTCCTCTACTTTTTATTCGAGATGTGCTGCATGATGCTTTTCGTTGAATGCGGTCAGGCTTGCCATCGTCCAGGTTGGTTTCACTGGTTTGTCGATATCCCCCCTGAATCGGAGTATGCGAAGGGAGTGTTCAGTTTCGGCACTTTCAGGCAGATGTGTATGAATTATGCAGCATTAATAGTTTAGTTTCAAATCCAGGAAGATACCCTGTATGTGCATATTCCGTCCTAATCATGTGGGCAGTATTTTCGGCGGTGAAGCCCAAATATCAGGAGATGTGACGTATCGCGAAGGGGTATTGAAGCGGAACGGTTTGTGGTCATAAACTCATTTTCTACCTTCTTTCTACCAGGCTCGAATTCAAAAATCACCCTTGTGCAGTTTAGATTCTAAACCTGGCGAGTTAATTGGGATTGGACGAATCTTCAAATTTCTAGTACCCAATACCGATATCGTCAACCCATAATCCCGGACGGACCCTGCGTTTCAGATCGGACGAGCATCGGGGTGGCACGAGTTTCCAAAAAGTGGCAGTCCATGCGGCCTGCCTTGTGACCGTCAATCTTGACTTCAAAATTGCGAATCTATCCCTCGAGCCATTGCCATCGCGACAGAAGGCCTTTGACGATCAAGATCTGCCAGATGACGACGCCAAGTGGCCAACTGGTTACCAAAATCGCCAAATTTATCATAGCGTACGTCCTGACACCTTCTAACCACTTGAAGGCAGCGAGGTTTTCAGAAGACCTAGTGACGTGGCACAACTCGGCTAGGAATAAATTGCAACGAGCCGGTCAGGATATTCGGCTGACGGGACTACAGGAGTCGTAGTCCTGGCATTCCTGAGTCCTAAACATGACATTCTGTTAGACCAAGTGGTCAACGGTTGGATCCTGGAACATTACCGAAAATGGCTCATACTGCAGGGCTGTAAGCGAACCTGGACAGTCCTTACTTGAGTTACTCCGAAGTCTCGGGACTATATCAGCGCCACTTAAACCTCAGTCCTGGCCGTCCGACGTCATCACTATCTCTTACGAAATGATAGGGTAGGATCAGGACTTCAGGAGGTCCTTGACAACCTTGTTTGACATTTACTTTGCCCTGATAAGGGACATATTCATGTTAGAAACAGGCTCTTTCATACTGTCGAATAGCTGCTGCGATGGAGGATGGAGACAGAGGGTGGGTAATGGAGGGCGCGACTGGAGGAAGGGATCTTTCACCGCTCATTTTACCCGCTCTTGAGCGCTCACGAGGCACTTCAGGTCTTCAGCGCTACAGTAACATCGAACCAACCCACGAGAAGAATGGGCCAGCTTCGAAAAGAAAAGTAGAGGATTACTCCGCGCTACGGTAGGGGCTGGGGAATCAGGTGGCTTCCCGTCACTCCCTTGGCCAGATAATGCTCGGGTTACATATCTTTGGCGACTCATGGCGAGCCAGCGCCATGTTAGTGCGTCTGGACTATGATGAAATACGGAAATATACCTTCAATCTCGAGCTTTCTTTTCCCAGTAAGCAATGGTATCAACTTCCAGTGGGCAGTGCACACCTCGGTTGCTCAATCTCCAAGAGAAGGCGGTGACAGATCGATGTTAGGGTCTAGTAACACACCGGAATCCTTCCTCTCTAACCGTCTATAGATATAATACCGTCGGCCGTAGTAACTAGTATCGGACAAAGAACGTGCACGAACGTGCTGACCAACGCTAGTTTAACGTCAGGAACTCAGGATCTGCAAGGATCTCCTGTACAGCAAATTTCCAGAACAGCGGCAGAAGGTGGCCTAGAGACACAATCTCGGGATAATGCTGATCAAGCTGGGACTTGGGAGACGAAACCCGCTTGGTTGTTTTAGGGTTTGTCGGAATGCCTGTATATTGCAGGACAGGATGTTTCGATGTTGCGCTCCCAACCGGCATTCTCGGATCCCCGTTTCACTGCCATCTAATATCCAGTCTTACGGTGGCACTGAAACTAAGGGTCCATTTCCCTTTTCCAAGGTAGGATTCCATTTAAGGGCTAAGGATCTTGAGGAAAGAGGATCGCTGATGCAGGCTGACGGAGTCTGGAGAACGTAGGACCGGAGGAGCGAGGACTTGAATTAGCCTTTTGAAATGCGGTTGGACGGTTTCAAATATCCAAGCGCCAGCGCTGCAGGCCTGCAGCCGTGCAACCACGCACCAGCAGAACTCCGTGTGCCAGGGATCAGGGCATAGAGAGAATGGAGCACTGGTGAGTGGAGAGTGGAGGAGGACTGAGGAAGATCAGAAAGCGAGGAGTGATCGTGCGATTCAGTTGACTCGTGGGCTCGTGGGCTCGTGCCTCGTGAGTTGGTGGCCGGTAGGGACCGAAATAGCCGGTATGGTACTCATAGACTGTTTACGCCTTCCTTATGGTCTGAGAAAGTCTATAATTATACTTTATCGAGTCGATAGGACACTTCTCTCTTTGCCTAGACAAAATCCATCAGAGTACCGCAGGATGCTGGCATTATATTGAAGCTCTTCATGAATCCCTGGTTTCCTTCCATCGTGCTGCTGGCTCCAAGATCGACACTCGCTATAATCATTTAAGCCCGAATACGGCAAATCCCTCTCCCATCCCCCATAGCCGGTAGCGTTTGGTCACCTTATGGTTTACGAGTTCCGAGAAGATGTCATCCCGCTTGCTAGCCGCAAAATGAAAGGAGAATAAGTCTCCGATCCATGTCCCCTCCACCCAGCCTTGCATGATCGCGTGGGGCATGATTCATTGCACGGAATCATGAACAAACCTCTCAGCTCTCACTAACGAGTGACGACTTGTCCCTCTTCTCTGATGAATCCATGATGCGATCCGCAACGAGCAACGGGCTCCCTTACCTACCAGCAGAGGGATTAAAACTGTTTTCAGTAAATGATCCATCCCCTTGCAAGTTACCTAGGACGAAGGATTGATTGCTGAGTGGCTGATATAATCTGATGAGGGGGGCGCTGCAAGATGTTTGTCACATATTCCAGCATCTGAGTCTGCATTGGGAACATAGCGACCATACTACCTGTTTCTCATCTCATTTCACTGCAATTATCCCAGATTCCTGGAGCTATCGGTCAACTGTCCAACCACCAACGGCCAACTCGACAATCAAGAGTCGACATCCATGCCCACGTTCTGCCTGCTCAATGCTCATGAGTATCCCTGGAAGCCATGTGCCAGCGCCCGGCATCGAAAACCGCCCAGCTCTTCGGAAGCAGATTGAAGTTTGAACGTTATAAACCCGTCCTGGGCTAATCCTTGAGGCATCCAACGCATGGCCTTGGGGGCTTGGACCAGGGCATGGCCAAAATATCTGGACCACTTGGCTTCCGTCCGCGTCGGCTTTCCTTCACCGATCTACTTCGACCTTGTTTTGGTTATTTTTCCCCTTTAGTCTTGCATTTGGGAGGTCATCGTGTCAACTGTCGAGCCATAGCTTGGATTGATCATTACTCAAGGCTTCCTTGAACTCTGCATACGCCTTTGGCCGCTACGCTCATTTCGTCGCCTCTTAGCAATCAGCATACGTTGTACGAGTCCACATCTCTCTCAAGTGTCATGGATCCATCGTTATGTCCCTTTGCTAAACCAATCCTTAAATTCCGCAGTTGCACTACAGCTAGAATCCCGCTAGATCATACTAGGGGGTTGCCATATCGGCAAGGTTAACTCCACACGCTTGAATCGACATTGCTCTAGGAGACCAGGACGGGATGCCTTACCGAGAGCGGGAACAGGCCGGTAGGATATAATTTCGTTTCATATCTAGTCATTTTGATTTGTCGCCCCTCACATCATGCGAAGCTACTGTAAATTCATTGGACCAATGGTCATATTCCGTTGCAATTGACTCCAAGTCGACTTGGTTTTGTCCTCCTATATATCTTGTCAAGCATACCCTCCCTTTTATTGTACACACACTCTCAATCGGCTGAAATTGACCACGTTCCACCATGGATAGTGTCGACGTAAAGAGACCTCCGGTCGAACCAGGTCCTACCCCAGCGGGCGTGACTGGGTCCAGCGATCGGAAATCCTCACCCAAAGCCGCGGAGGCGGCGCAGGAGTCGCGGCATATGGCGACGATCCAGGATGATGACGAGCGGCTGCTCGCGAGGATTGGGTACCGACAGGTTGGTATTACGGTATCTCGAACTGGTCCAGGGCCTTGACTCAACGGAGAACGTAGGAACTTAGTCGCGAATTCACCAAGTGGTCAACGGTCTCATATGCGATCTCGATCCTAGGTGTTCTGGGCTCGGTGCCAGCCACCATCGGCTCGCCTCTCCATTCCGGCGGACCTGCGACTGCGGTTTGGGCTTGGTTCATCGGCTCATGTATGGCGTATTGTATCGCCAGTTCCGGTGCGTCTGTCTTCGAAGGATGATGATAGCGGTGCACTGACTTGCATAGTCGCTGAACTGGTCTCCGCATATCCAACCGCCGGTGGCATGTACTTTGTCACCAAACATGTGGTGCCAAAGGAGCATGTCGCGGTGTGGGCGTGGGTGATTGGATGGTGCAACTTCTTAGGCCAAGCTGCTGGTGTCACAGGTCTTGCATATACGACATCGCAAATGATACTTGCAGCGGCGACCTTGAACTCGACATATGCGGATGGGTCATACTCCTTTGAGCCGTGAGTCCCAATCCTAGTCATGGAGCATGATGGAAGTCTAATACACGAAACTAGTACTCCTGCTCAGACCGTTGGGCTGGCGATTCTAGTTCTCTGCATAATGGGAATTATAGATTCGCTCGGTACGAAATCGCTGCATCGCATTGTCCTCTGGTTTGCGCCTATCAATCTCATCGCGTCGGTCGCCATTTGCGTCGCGCTGCTCATCTTGACCCCGAACAAGCGGAGTGCTTCATGGGTATTCACGCATGTTACGGACGACTCAGGATGGGGCAGCCGAGGGTTTTCCTTTCTACTCGGGTTCTTGTCTGTGTCCTGGACGATGACGGACTATGATGCGACGACACATATGTCGGAGGAGACCCACGACGCAGCAATCCGCGGACCGGTCGCGATACGAAGCGCCATCCTCGTGTCTGGTCTCTGGGGCTGGTTGCTGACCGTCACGTTCTGCTTCTGTCTCACCGATTTCGAGGGGATCCTGGCCAGCCCTACCGGTCTCCCCGTGGCGCAGATCTTCTGGACTGCAGGCGGCAAGACGGGAGGCTCGGTGATGTGGTTCTTTGTGATTCTTGTGCAATTCTTCACCGGCTGTGCTGCGATGCTCGGAAATGCGAGGATGGCCTACGCGTTTGCGAGAGACGAAGGACTCCCGTTCTCAGGGTGAGCACATCAATGCCGCGGATCAATATTTGACCAAGCTAATCCTGCGCTAGAATCTGGTCCAAGATCAACTCCTGGACGAAGACGCCGGTAAACGGCGTCTGGCTCGTCGTCGCTTTCTGCAGTTGCCTCACGCTGATCGCCATCGGGAACACGCAGACCTTTGTTGCCATTTTCAGCATCACCGCCCCGGCGCTCGACATCAGCTACATCGCCGTGATCATCGCGCACCGCGTCTACGAGAACCGCGTGCGATTCATCGAGGGTCCGTATACGATGGGCAAGTGGAGCAAGCCAGTCAATGCCATCGCCGTGGCGTGGGTGTGCTTGATCAGCGTGGTGCTGTTCTTCCCGCCCATCCGGCCGATTACCGCGTCGAACATGAACTATGCTATCTGCATTGCGGTGTTCATTGGGATGGTTAGTATGGGCTGGTGGTTCCTGTCGGCGAGGAGGTATGTTAAATACGCGTTCTTGTCTCGGATGGAGACCCGCTAATCTTTGGTGAAGGTACTACACCGGGCCGCGCACGAAGGACATCATCGACCTTCTCCCTGAGGAGGACCCTGACGACGTGGTCGAATCATATGCGTGATTAGTGCTATTGTCCCTTTCCAAAACCTCGACATTGCGTATAGAAGTAAAACGAAGCCACGAGTCTCTATTTCCGGCGTCGTCAAGGTCCTATTTTCACCGGAGCATTCCATCTGATATCATTGGACTCTCTATCAGGCGCAACGGAGTTTTATATTGCATATCACGGTCCAACTGCATAGCGAGAGCTGATGTTCCAGGCTGGAGAACAAACCCCCAGGAGCTAGTCTGTGGCCGAACCTTAGATATCTCCTATTTAGATCAGTGCTTAATCTAGACCATGACTATTTGGATGAGGTTATTTGAAGTGTATCCTGCTCGTTTCTTACCCTTCATCATCATAGTTGGCACTCCCTCGCCATGTTCCCTTCTCCCATCTGGCCATCTCTTGGTGCTCGTGGCGGTGCAGTCATAAGCGCTGGTCGAGGTTTCATTCGCGATGCCCGTGATCGAAATCACGATTTCCAATGCGTTGCACCGGATCGGGCATCTGAACTTAGTCGAGCGCCCTGATTCGCCGCTTTGGTGGTGAAACACCGCTCCAGGAGGCCTGGCTGGTTTTGAACCTGTTCTGACCGTCACGGGGGCGGCCAGGAGGCCTGGTCTTACGGTGGCTCCCGCTTCCGGGCACAAGCGCTTTAAAATGCCATGATTTCCATTCCAAAGGATCCTTTGTTGGTTTGCCAATATGCAATTTATATAGAATCCGTTCACATTGAAGACGATGAGTCTCGATCACAGTTTCGTAAATCTCAACACGGATGAGGACGTGACCTGACAACTCCAATCGTTGTTAAGACATTTCAAACCATTCAGCCTTACGGCCTTATGGCCTGATTGCGTGATTGCCTTGACGCCTTAAGGGTCACATGCACAGCCTCACGCAAGGGAAACCTGAAGTTCCTTTGGTTTGGGTGACACACTTTGGGTGAACAGACGGACAATAGAGGACTGGAGTTGACCAGACTGCAGAATACATCGCCTTACTCTTTTATACCCACCATTCTCAATTGCACCCATTTCTGCAGTTTTATTTGCGCGTTATCCTTTGAATGGCATCCACATTCGTTATTGCTACCTTTTCTCCACCCGCATCCCTATCGATCGCCATTCCCGCCGCAGACGAGGGAACCATTCCGAGTCTACACGAGCGGTATCTCTACTGCAGCCTACTGGCGAGATAATCGGATTTGCGCCTGGTCGACGAACGCAATTTGTTTCGACGCTACAAAGGGCACTTTTTGGATGGTTGCCGACGTCTAGCCGTCATCGTTCGTCCACGCTGCGGGCCCGAAGAGCCAGAAAACTCAAGTCGACGCTTCGGCCTCGACGCCCAAGCCCGCTTCCACGATGCCACAACTCTCCACGCTACCGTCGCCCTCTGGATCTGTTAGTAGCGTACGATATATGAGAGCTCACAGATGCTCCGTATATACATTGTCTAACCATTCTGTCACAGTCACATCCTGACATGTCGGTTCCTCCGCCACCACCCTCAAATCTCCTCCGATTCCGCGCCGCGCTCGCCGAGCCCATCCTCGCGTCCTTCATTGCTGGCGGTGTTGCTGGAGCGGTATCCCGAACTGTCGTCTCTCCGCTCGAGCGGCTGAAGATCCTCTTCCAGATCCAGAGTGCGGGGCGGACGGAATACAAGATGTCCATCCACAAGGCTCTGGCGAAGATGTGGCGCGAGGAAGGGTGGCGCGGATTCATGGCCGGAAACGGCACGAATTGTATACGCATCGTACCGTATTCCGCAGTTCAATTTGGAGCGTACAATTTCTATAAGCGGGTAGGTGGTTCCCTTCGTCCCTCGATGTCCCCTCACGGACGATCCCGGTATTTGCCGAGAGGGGTCGCATCGTGAGAATCAGTCCGCTCACGCCATCCATAGTTCTTCGAGGACGGTCCCGGAACGCCCTTGGGCGCGTATCAGCGACTCTTCTGCGGAGGTTGCGCTGGCATTACTTCCGTGACCTTCACATACCCCCTGGACATCGTCCGAACACGACTGTCCGTCCAATCGGCATCGTTCAGCGGCCTCTCGGAATCGAAAAAGGCGGGCCAGAAGCTGCCGGGGATGTGGGGGCTGATGGTGCAGATGTACAGGAGCGAAGGTGGCCTTGCGGCGCTGTATCGTGGCATCGTCCCGACCATCGCAGGTGTGGCGCCATACGTACGTTTCCCCGCTCCAATACACCTCGACCTATTGCTGATCTTCCCAGGTCGGCCTCAACTTCATGGTGTACGAGACCATGCGGACCTATTTCACGCCGGAGGGGAAAAAGGATCCCACTTCCATTGGGAAACTGGCCGCCGGTGCGGTGTCAGGCGCGGTCGCTCAGACTTGCACATACCCCTTGTAAGGTTTCTCGCTCATAAACGCTGTGTACATGCTAATATCATACTCCAGCGACGTGCTGCGGCGACGATTCCAAGTCAACACCATGCCCGGCCTAGGCTATAAATACAATTCGATCTTCGACGCGTTCCGACGGATCCTGACGCAGGAAGGCATCAAGGGCTTCTACAAAGGAATCGCACCCAACCTCCTTAAGGTTGCTCCCAGCATGGCCAGCAGCTGGCTCAGCTTTGAAATGACGAGAGATTTCTTTGTCAACAATGGTTCCCAGGAGCCATCGTGAGCGACGAACCGCACCCACCCCTTTGGAGATGAACGGTGGCCTCCAACGACGACATCACCTCGTCTGCGGACCGCCGATACTAACTGGATTTCCTTGCATGCTTCCTAACGGACATTCCCAGCCTCGTAGAACAGCCGTCGCCTCCAGCGCACAGGACCGGCAACTAAATACTATATGTTATCATTGCATTTCCCGGGGTCTAGCGGGCGTTTTTGTTTTATTTGAATATATTTTCGATTGGAAAGCGCGAGTACGGGGGGTTATCATGTCAAACCTAGATGAGCATTTGGGAACCGGGTATGGTCTTTTTAGATGTATATCGATTAGCTGGGACTTTGGATGAGTCGATGACGCCTTGCAAGATATTGATATCGCAGTGATTACGATGAAACTGAACGTGCTTCGGACCTTTCAGTCATCGTTGATTCGTGACGGCATGAACTCATGATTGAACCCCGTCGAGGTATCGCCGTACAGTCTAGCGCCGAGTCAGTATTGTAATCTTGCATCACGGTCGGAAAGCCACATCGGAGAACATACCGCTTTGAGCAGAGCCACTTGTTGACTCTGTCGCGCATAGATTTCTCGATACACTTCGACCTCTGTCTGCACTACTTGGGTCTTGGTCTTGGCGCCGTCGCATATGGCCTTGAGCTGTACTTCGAGCTACACGGACGTCAGTATCATCATGCCTCCCAATGTGTTTTGCCCCGACAAACTTACGTCTTTCCGTAGAAACGGCTTGGCCACGTTCTTATCCAGGTTCAGACTCTCGTACCAGTCGATCAGCGCCACGCCTAGCTGCGTCGGAACCAGTTGGTCCAGACCACCCCGTCCCCCTCCTCTGCCTGCGCTACTTCCACGTCCACCTCGTCCGCCACGTCCGCCACGTCCGCCGCGACTCCCTCTTGCCCCTCGTCCTACATTACCCTGTCCTTCCTCTTCCCCTTCACCCGCACCAGCACCACTCCTTGCCACCGCCCTAATATATTCCCTCTCCTTCACCTTCGAAATATGCTCCGCCATCGTCGCATCCGTCCCTATCCCGTTCCGATCCATCAACTCAATCAACTCCGGCTCCGTCAAATAATCCGGCGCCGTCGTCTTCCCGTCCACGATATTCGCCTCGGTCGGCACGAATGTCTCCCCCTCCGCGAACGGCGGCAGCTGCGCGCTGCTCTCCCACCGCTCATACGGGTACACGTCGAGGTAGTTCTTCTCGAGGACGGTAAGTCCCGATGTGGCGAAACGCTCGGGTCCGTAGGTCAGGTCGATGGTGGTGGATTCGCCGAGCGCGTCGGCCGAGCAGCAGGCGAGGAAGCGGCGGACGATGAATTCGTAGACGCGGCGCTCGTCGTCGGAGGCGAGGGTGTTGGGAAAGACGAAGTTGACGGGGTGGATTGGGGGGTGGGCTTTGTCATTGTTTCGACCGGAACGGGGGAACTGGAAGCCACCGTCTAACAGGCTGAGCAATGGTCAGTATTCATGAGGTAGACTGCCCGACATAAGGATAGCATACCCTTGAGCGTATTGTCCCCATTGGGTACTTTGTGCCTGCTTCTCGATGAACGGCCTTAGGTTCGTGGCTTTGTCGAATTGGTCTGTCTCCGTACGGGGATAGCTAATCCACCCTTTATTGTACAGCGATTCAGCAACCTACCATGGTTAGCAAATCTGTACCTGCTGTTCAGCTTGCTATCCTTACCGTCATAACCCGTTTACTGTCCAGCCTTAAGAACCTAGTCCCATTCTTCTGCAATTCCACCGTCGTCAAAGGCAGCGGACGGTATTTTCGAGTGGGTTTCTTGGTGACCTTGCTCACTCGTGCATGCTTCGCGGCCAAACAGCGCTCGAACAGAATGACGACCGTCATCCGGTCGAACAGATGCCCTCTTTTCCAGGTAAATCGCACGTCCATGCCCTGCTTTTGATGCATCACCGCAATCTTCCAGAACGGCTCGGGCGTGAAGTTTCGAACCTTCCAGTATCGGTCCACGACGAAGCCGAGCGTCGGGAACTGACATGAGCCTTGCGCTAGGGTCAGCCAGGTATTTCCTAGGGAAGCAGGGGGATGAGCGACGGGTTACCATAGCTTATTACGGGCCGATCTTCTAGTTTTGGCGACACTTTTTGGAGGCTCAATGTAAGGAACCGTGTAAACGCTGCACCTATACGTAAATCAAGCTCGTTTCTCGTTTCGACTGCGGCGGCCTGTTTCTCGTCGAGCTCATGGAATCTTCGGGAGGCTTCAATTATATGGCTGCAAGGAGGTTAGAGGCCGATCATTGCCCAAATTTGCGATACGTACGCTCGCTCGATGTTACTAAAAATCGCCCTCTTCACTTGTATATTCGCGTTGGTCTTTCTGGCGGCGTTTCGGACCTCCATTCCGATATGCTCGCCTTCGCGATCGCAGTCCGTCCAGATAAAGAGTGCGAACGCACCACGAGCTTCTTGCTCGATGTTCCGCTCAATGGGTTTATTGTCCTTACCGAATAAGTGCCGAGAAACTTCTAGAGGAGCGTTTCAACTTACATCCTTAACAAACACATCGATCCGCGCCTCGAATAACTCCGTCGCCGGAAACGCCCGCCAGTTCTTGTACTTCGGATCGAAGTCGGTGACGGTCAAGTGGCCCGCAACGCTGGTAAACACGACCCGGCACTGGTTCCACGGCGGTCCAAAGTTGTAATCAAATTCATAGTTCTTCGTGTACGTCGATCCAGTGACGCTTCGCTACAGATGTCGGTCAGTGGACCATATTTTCTCGGCTAGGGGAGCACATACCGCAGGAACATGTGCGCCAGCTAAGTGGTTGGCAACCGCTTTCGCGATGCTGGGCTTCTCTGCTACGCAGAGGATCTTTCTCATTATGTCCCATACTTGGATTAATACCCTTCTACCATAGTGATTCGAAAAGTATTCTAAGAGTTGAGGGTGTAAGCTGCGGTCTACGGGAGCGGATTGATATTGAAGGGTTCAGCCTGAGGCGGCAAGTGTCGACGCGTCCCACCACGCCGACGTCAATTCGACGCGTTCCGCTATCCTGGGGTGGAGCGGGCCGCATCCCCGCCACATTTCGATACGTGTTCCAGAACGTCACCACGTTTAAACTTCGTCACTCCCCAGCTCCTGGTCGGCAGGCTGGAACGTTTGATGATTTCATCAAGACGACCCCATGTCACCCCGACCAATTTAATATCGAGCAACAATTGCAACGTAGACTATTATTTACTTTAAGTTTCTGTCAAGCCACTGTATAAAATCTCCTTTCCCCAATTCTCTTCCATTTGTCCACTGTGCGATCAATTCATCGGCGAAGTCACCCGCTGTTTTCTCTCCTTCTCCCGTATTGGTACCATGAAGTACGTCGACACATCCGTCCTACCCGGACTACTCTTCACCATCCCCGTTATCAAAAATGCCACCGACGTTCCAGACTTGGTGGCGTGGGAGCACTCCGTCCAGCCGTTTCTAGACTGGTTGCTGCTCATCCTGGGCCACCTCATGAACGACGTGCACAGTCTACAGGATCTCAAGTTTCTATATCTGAGCATCAATCCCTTCGTGTCGGGCCTGGGGATGGCATTGTTGCCCGCTCCGATCTTCTTTCTTCGGTCGGAGCTCACGGGGAATTACAGCGTGGTGGATCGCCTGTGGAGTATACTCCCGGTGCTTTTCAACGCGCACTTCGCGCTATGGTCGTATTGGAACGCGCTGAATCCTGGGCGGAACACGGCACTGTTCCTGTGCTCGGTGATCTGGGGCGTAAGTGCCAACTCACATAATCGAGAGGAACTCCCCTCTAACCGACGGACAGATCCGCCTGACCTACAACTTCTGGCGCAAGGGCGGCTATAAACCCGGCGAAGAAGACTACCGATGGGCAGTCCTGCGCGCCAAAATCCCCCGCTGGGTCTTCTCCTTCTTCAACCTGACCTTCATCTCGACGTTCCAGGTCCTCGTCCTCTACATGATCACCGCGCCCGCCTACGTCATTCTGCTGACGTCCACATCCGTACGCGGAGAGCCGTTCGGGATCGTCGACGCAGGCTTCTGTGCGCTGTTGCTCGGCATCGTCGCGTTCGAATATATCGCCGATCAGCAACAATGGGGTAAGTTGCACCGCCTAAACCCTTTTTGGCCCTAGATCTCCTAACCTAATGTCATCGTAGACTACCACCGCGCGAGGCAAGTGTACAAAAAACGCTCGCGGCCTGCTCTAGACAGCGCATATTCCCCCGCTGATCTCGACCGCGGATTCCTCACCAAAGGTCTCTGGGCATTCAGCCGGCACCCCAACTTCCTCGCCGAGCAAAGCTTCTGGGTCGTCGTTTACCTCTGGTCGTGCGTCGTGTCGCGCACTACCTACAACTGGTCCGGCGCCGGCGTCGTGGCGCTGCTGGCGATTTTCCAGGGCAGCACCACGCTGACGGAGGCCATCTCGTCGGAGAAGTATCCGGAGTACCAGCACTATCGGACGCAGGTGGGGCGGTTCTTCCCGTCGGTTTGGTCGGTCGTGCGGAGTGGGTACGACGCGCCGGCGGTGCTAAGAGATGGAAAGAAGTATAAATGATTAGGTCGTTGGGAGAAATGTAGAAGGTCATACATGAATTTACGCAGTTAGCGACAGGGTATAGTATATTACAAGCGATCATTCCCTATGGGCTAGATCATCCCACTCCAACATATCGTACATCACGGCGCCTTGGGCGGCCAGTTTCGCGGACCCAACCACGATCGCTCAACAATCAAAAAGCCAAACCCCCACGGTTAGCCATACCGTCATAATTCATAAGAAAACAGGCCAAATCACAAACCATGGCACGAACGCTGATGGTCGATGTTCAGGACCCGTACGCAGGCGGAGCATCAGCCAGCGGTGGTGCAGCCCCAGGAGAGGACACTATCCCCTTGACCACGCCTCCCAGCTTTTCCCGCGCAGCCTTCTCGCCCGCGACCCGGCTGGCGATTTCCGTCGCCATCTTCCGCATCCACGCCTGCTCCAAGATCGACCCGGTCGATTCGAAGTACGAAGTGCCCGCGTGCCCAGATGCCCAATATTGTTGGGGGTGATGGTGACAGTATAAGTTCGTGAAACTGGACGTGCGGCCGTGGGCGGAGAGGGGGGAGCCAGGTTTCTCGAAGGAGTAATTTCGGAACATGGGAATGGAGTTGAGATTGTGGCGGGTGAGGTCGTTGGGCTTTTCTTTGCCAACGCGGGTCGGAAGAGATTCGTGAAGGTGGTAAGGAGGTGGTGCGGACTCGGCGCTAGATTTAGAGGAGGACGGAGATTCTGCAGTCGAACTGGTTAGGTTAATTGAGGATATTGCAGATGAAGTCGTCTGGCTCGGTTGTTGGCCCGTGAGGCGGGGGTACGTGGTCGGTGTCGTCGTTGGCGAGGGAAGATCCACTTCTCGTTCTTGAATGGTCGCTGGTACCCGAGCGGGCGGTTGAACCGCGTCTGGCAGTGGAGCTGCATCTGGCACTTTCGATTCGTCCTTTGGCCGACGGAGGTCTACCACTCTTCGCTTTTTCGGCCGTGCGCGATTCCGGCCGCCATTGGAGCCGTAGTATGAAGAGAAGCTTGAGAGTGTAGGTCGCGATGATGAGGCATCGCTTTCTCCGCTTCCAGAAACGGTGGAGACATCCGAATGAATCCCAAGCGCCGAATTCATTCGGGAAAGACTCGCGGCCGCAAACGAGGGATGTTGGCCGAATTGATCTGCGCGATCGGATGGGCCGGCCCATGCACGGAAGACGGTGTCGCGGATCGAAGGTGTAAATAGGGATAAGGTGCGGTGTGAGTCGGTAAGAGCGGCGAGTCGGAGAAGATTCTTTTGAGAGAAAGACGCATGGAGTTCGGCGGATGGGTCCAAGGAAAACTGGTCGTCGTCTAACGGGAATCCAAAAGCGTCGGTTGGATCCTGGGGAGGGCTGGCTAGAGGATCTACAGGGATCGTGCTATCATCGTTCCTTTGTCCATCTACTTCCTCGGTTTCCATATCGCTGTATTCGGAAGAGAAGAGCCGCAACGATAGCCGGTGCACAATGGCCGGGAGATCCTCCATGAACAGTACCCGTAACTGCTCCTCTATGACTTTCTGCAGGTAGTCCCTCACGAACGGTATGGAATCGAAGGTCGAGGAAACCTTCAGGGACTCGAGTGGATCGTTTCGGAATACAAGCGTGATTCCTTTCTGCTTGGAGAACACGAGGATAACAAAGCCCGACATTCTGAAGTCCGACAAGGTGATCTGAAGAGGTATCGTAAGGCCCGACCCGGCAGCCAGCGGTTGTGGCGATGCGAACGAGGGTTTTGTCGATAAATGAGTGTTTAACGGGTTTGCCTGCACCCTGGTCTTCAGGGTGAGGAATGCGTCTCCTGAATACGCAAGTTTGAAGATGCCTCGAAATCGATCCTCAGCCAGGTCACCGATCTCCAGGATTTCCAACTCGGGAGGGGTTGATCCTAAGTTCAGCTCGGTCACGATGATATCGTCGACGATAATGGGAGGCTTCGGCGATTTGTTTAGGGCAGACGTGAGCATGTCGCGTGCTCTTGAGGTGTCCGCGATAAGCGGCGACCAGTTGAAGTTGAAGGCCATGGTCGATGGAGATGTGACGGAATCATTGAGGGATGAATAATGACGATTGGAGATGAGATGGGAGGTCAAATCTCTAAGGGGCGATCAGTGGCAGTGAGAGTGCAGCCAGTCTCGTGAAAGTCGCACGCGATCTTGCGCAGCAGGGTGGACCAGGAAGGCGAACGATCGACGAAGTTTTGCGCAAGGTTCGGATTCGATGTTCGGACGAGGTTTAAGCATTAAACATAATGTAGCATAGGTATATGGTATAGAGGTGGAACGGTGATCAGGAGATGAAGATTAAAAAGTCGCATCACATGGATGAGAGATGGGGGATGATGATGATGGAAGGAACGCCAAAAGCAGAAGGATGCATGAAAACATCACACGAGGAGGAGTCGGACAATCGGAAAGAAACAAGACATTTTCCTTGGTGTAGCAGTTGCTCTCGGCAATCTCCGGAGCCACATGTAATCCATGATGTCACATGACACATATTACATGACTTGATTGCTTTCATGTATCAATCCTCGTTCGAACTTCATCTGCAAACAAACAATCACCATCGATCAGAAGCAGCAAGATATGAAATATTAATCCCTTGTTACCTATTGATCTCTTCTTGCAAGTAGGGAAGTTTGATGCACGATCAGATGTCATCCATTGCCGGAGTATCGCACAACAATGTCTGTTCCAATATCAACCCATATTATTAATTACCTGTACTATGTATTTCTATGACCTGCATCTAATCACACTTCACCCGGAGTCTCTGAACATCACCCTATTCAACCCCTTTGCATCAAAGTTTTCTTTCTCTCCACTGCTTCCTGAGCTGCAGCGAAGGTTCTAAAAGCTTTCTAGCACCCAAGAGCCTGCCTGATAAAGTCGGAATCATTCTCAATTTGTTGTTGAGTGTTGATCGCGGCTTCGACTGTATCCATTGTCAGTGATTTGGTCCTTCATGTTTTTCTTTCATTCAAAGTGCAACTTACTTCCAGTGAATTGGCCCTTGCCTTGAAGTCCCTCGATCAATCGCCGGATAAAATCGATAAGGTCTAGGATCTGTTGGATCTCCCCGCCGCAATTACCACCGCGGCGGCGGTAGATGCTATAGAAGCAATAGGGGCGGCCGTTGAACCTGAAGCAATTGCCACCACAGCCCTCTTGTCCATTCGGGCAGCGATGGTTGCAGAGGAAGTCGGGATATTGCCTGAGAGTGTTAAAGCTTGGGATGGTATTGCTCCCCCATTCGCAGAGGAAGGCATTGCCGGGGACACCGCTAAGATCCGTGGCGCCCAGGTACCGTGCGCCCCGAGCCACGTTTCGGCATTGGTTGATGCTGTTCAACGACGTGGCGAGGCCTCCGCTTGGCCACACGGAATTCCCCCGGAACCTGTAGTCGAAAAGAAAGCAGCCACTGTAGTCATATCCCGAGGGAGACTGTGGGGCTCGCTTCTTGATCCCGCTATCCCGCTTTCCATACCTTCCATCACGGTCTGAGTCCGACGACGAGCCTGAGTCTGAGTCCGACGACGAGGAAGAAGACGACGAAGACGAGGAGGATGAGGAGGAGGAGGACGATGAGGATGTGTATGCCGAGCGGGCCACGTTTCCAGATCCAGTTTCACCCGATTCGATTTGCTGGCGGGCTTGCTGCAGAAGCTCCGCTATAGCAGCCACCGCCGACTCGAGACGATCTGCCCCTTGAGTTTGAACGCCCTCGTTCTCGGTGGAGTTGATAGTAGTGGCTGCGGTCTCTGGCGGCTTGTCAGTCAATTTGGTCGGCCCGAGGGTCCTGGGAACATACCGATATTCTCCGTAATCTGTTGGAGCTCTTCTCTCAAGCTGCTCAGAATCGGTTCAGCCGCCTCAGTGTCGGCAGCGACAGGGGTCTCGTCCGCAGCCTCGGTGGACACTTCAGGCGCTACGCCAACCAAGCTGCTTTGGACACTGACGACCTCGGGGATGACTTGAGGTTGCTCAACTTCGGTGATGTTTTGAACCTCAGCAACGTCGGGGATGGTTTGATCGCTAGCCGTCGCGTTTTCATCGCTAGCCGTCGCGTTTTCATCGCTAGCCGTCGCGTTTTCATCCTGGGCAACCGCGTGGGTTGCCGCAAGAGCAAGGGAAAGGATCGCGGTAAGGCGCATGATGAAACTTGCCGGAGAGAATTACTATCTCTCTTCGGAATTCAAATTTCTGTAGCTGTTGCTGTGCAGGAGTAACTTGGGACTTGACCGATGGGCACTCCACCCTTTATGAACCTCCGCGGTTCACCTGAGAGCTAATTGCTCGGTGGGACTGGATAGCTGAGGTTGTGAGACCAGCTGCTTTTGGCAACGAAGTATCTGGATGGATACAAGCACCTTGGTACGTAATACTCACATACTATACCTATTCAGTTGTTTCTCCAGTGGGCACCGGGGAATGAGAGGGGCACCATAACTATCCATATCTTGCGGCTGGGGAAGATTCGTCGAGCTAAGACGGCCTTGACGAGGAATGGAAAGCGATCTCGCCTTGTGTGTCCACTTTCGATGAATGTCCATCCCCCCTACGTCCCTGGATGTATCGAATCTGACTCTGTCAAAGCCTCAGGTCCATTTTAAGACTACAATGGGAGCGCACCTCGCGTAGATCAGTAGATGAGAGGATCTTTCGTGCCAATATGAAAGGCGTCAAATCAAAGCTGAAGAGCTGAACATCTCCAGCAAGCGCAAGGGAAACTCCGCTCGCAATCCCACATATTTGAAATTCTAGTCTTCCTTATTGTAAGTGATTACCGGATTTGATGATATCGAACCCGGAGAATTTGATGGACATGCTGAAGCGTTAAGAGCCGAGAGGAGACTGGTGCCAGTTCTGGTTCAGCCGACGGTCATGATCGCTCTTCCTCCTTAAGCAGCTGTTGCACCTTCTCGGCTTTCTCCGCAAAAGTCTGCGTCTTGTCCGTCCGGCTGCCCACGCGGATGTCGCTCTGGATGCGCACCACCCCGTTCTCATGAAGCAGTTGATGGGCCTGTCCGATCACCCGCATCACGTCGTCCCACGATCCTTCTGTGCATTCAGTGAGCGGACGCCTTCCCCGGCGACGTCGTCGAGACATCGAGGGTGATGCTTAAGACGCACCGAGAGTAGTTCCAGCGGAGTGAGTGGAATACGAGAGACCGGACCGTTGGATGAGGCGGACGACGTCGGTTACTTCTTGGGATACAGAAGCGGTGGGCGTGCCGAGCGGGATGAGGCAGAAGTCAGCCGTGCAATGAGCTGGAGTGTTCGGCGGCGATGATTCGGCCATGCTGATATCTACCCCGTTATTTAACTTCGGTGGATCTTGTTCTGTACCAAAAGCTGTGAGGGGAAGTTAAGAGGCTGCACCACGTTTGTTCCCAGCATTAAGGTTCGGACCTTCAATTGACGTCGGAACTCGGAAGTCTTCGTTGGATGAGTCAGCCATGGTTCGCCCTTCAGCCGTTGCCCGTTGGTGCCTCGGTGGAGGCTGCCCCTGGCAACCTGAATCAGATCCCTGTTAATTGTTACTGTATGCACGACAAATCATGCAATACGCGACTCGTGGTAGAACAGTTGAAGCCCATCATCGACATTGGAATTCGGGCGAGGTTCCGAGTTTTTCTTGTTCTAGGGAAACCATATCAACCCGCCTCAATGATGCTTTTGTACGTACATTAGCAAGGAAGTTCGACAACGCCTCATGTTTCATTGAATCTCGCAACCCTTCATTGGTCGAAACGGGGTACAGGCTACAAGCAGTGATGAACTGACAATGGCATCGTCCTGATCTTCTTGAGATGAGCGGAGCGGGGGTGGTAGGTAAAATTTAATAGTCCGGGAAAGGGGAGGGGGTTGAAATTGTGTCAATGGCAGTTGATGGTGCAATTACATCTTGTCCGAGTCCTGGAGCGGAGTGTATCGCTAACGGCAAGGGGTGGGTTTAGAGCCTGGATCCTTTGGCTATGCTAGTAGTTGTCCTCTTATTTCGCAATGCTAATAAAACATGATGTCTTCCATGTCCTGTCGTGTCCATAATGGCTCCACGCCCGTCGAATCTTATCCGCCGCCGTTCTCCCGCCATGCCACTTCTCTCTACGTCCCCTTCACGATTCCTTGAATCTCCTTCACCACGATGTTGATCCGCTGCTCCTTGCCCACGACCGACTCCATCACCCCTTCAACATCAAACACCTCTTTCGCCGCCTCGATCAAATCCGAGCCCCCATCAAGCAGCAGCGTCCCAACCGCGACCAACCCGCGATACAGCCCCTCCACGTCGGTCCCCTTGACCGCCGGAACGAACCGCACCAGCAAATCGAGCAACGTCACCGCGCGGTCCGCCCGCGAGCTCTCATGCTCCAACTCCCCACCAGTCATCGAATCATCCCCGTCTGCATCTGCCGACTCTGGTTGCGTATGGTTGAGTTCCACTGCCAGGTTAAGCAGCAGCGTCGCCATAGCGGTCGTCAGGTTCTTATTTTGCATCTTGACCCGAATTTCCGCGCGCGACGCGGGGTCCACCTCCTCGCTCGGGTCAACGAACGCGCGAATGACCTTCTCGATCGACTCGAACGCGTGCGCCGCGAGCCGCCGGCCGGCCGCGGTGCCAAACAGGTTGGCGAGCGCGCGGAAGGCTAGCATGCTGTTGTTGGTCGGTGCATCGGGGGTGAAGACGGCGGCGGGGGAGGAGGAGTCGGCGAGGAAGTCGATTAGGGTGCGGGAGGGGGCGGGCGCCGCCTGCGCGGTTGCGGGGGAGAAGGCTGTGAGGATGCGGAGGAGGTCGAGGACGGGGAGGCGGTTCTGCGGTGGCCAGGTTGCGGCGAGGCGGAGGGGGATTTCGGCGCCGGGCGCGGGGATGGCAGGGGGATTTGATGGCGAGAGCTGGCACTTGGCCAGGGTTTCTATGAGGGTGTCGAGCGAGCCGAGCTCGGAGGGAGACAACGTCATTTCCGGGTCGGAGAAGGCCGAGTTGAACTCGAGGATCTTCTTCTTAATAAGGGTCAGGTTGGCGGTGGTGATAAGAAGGTAGTCCTTTTGAGGGATGAGCTTCTTCGGTTCAGGCGCGGGTGCCGGGGCGGTGCTTTGGGACGAATCGCCAGGTCGATATCTCCGGTCGGAACCCCATGGATCTGGCCCTCCTGCGGGTTGCTGCTGTCCAAGAGTAGCTCCTTGAGTGTTGGTAACGATAAATTGCGCCGTCTGGTCGATATACGAAATGGGCAGCTCGTTGTCCTCGATGAACTTCCTAGCCGCATCGTATGGGTTTTGCGATAGGTTGAAGGGAAGTTTCAGCGGTGGCTTTCCATCTTCAATATCCACATCAAACACGTAATCGTAATCCTGACCTTTGTAGGTGACCTTTCGACCGCTACTTCCGGCAGCGTCAACGACAGTACCCACGCTCAACCACTCTTGCGTGGTCACAGACCATTGATGAGCCGAGACACTGCCATTCGGATCTCTGATCAACTGAATCTGTCCGTCTTTGGTTCCAGATTTGTTCGTCAAGAACTCCGGACCGGGGAGTTGCTCCTTATTGATTTGCTGGCCTTCACCAAGCGACTGCTGGGGTATGGCAGATGCCTTGACACTCTCCTCGAACGCGGCAATTGCCTCTGGAGAAGCGTGTCGCTGTTCATCTCGTGTGAAAACACGGGCAATGCGGTCGCTAGCACCAGTTGCGATATCGCCTGTCTGAGAGCAGACGGAGACCGACCATACCGAGATGGCAGGATGGGTGATAGTTTGGACGCATTCGGCCCCTTTCCATATTCTAACCGTCCGATCTTCAGAGCTACTTGCTATCTCACCCGTCGGCAGGGTAGCGAGAGCGTAGATGAAACTTTCATGTCCATGCAGCTGAGCAACTTCTTTCCCTTGTATTGTCCAGAGACGAATGATCGCATCGTTTCCGGCGGATGCAAATTGCGCACCAGATGGATGGGAGTCGGGGAGTTTACAGAGCGCACGTACGACGTCGGGTGACCCTCGAATTTCGGACAGCTGCTTTCCGACGATGTGGAAAATGCGTATCAGTTTGTCTGCACAACCTGGAACCTCGTGTTAGCCATTATTGAAGAACAAGATATGGTAGACACTTTTCGATCCGGCTCGGAGGAGAGAATGATGCCCTACCTGTGATGATTGTCTCTCGGTCATACATCAGTACCGCCCACACGCTCCCTCCATGGCCTTTGAGCACGGTACTCTGACCCCATTTTCCCACCTCCCAAACCCTTGCTTCAGCGTCCCAAGCGCCGCTCACAATTGTCTTTCCGTCGTCGCTGACATCCAACGCACACACATTGCCGCTGTGACCGAGTAGTAACGCATCGGCAGAATCGTGTGATGTTTTCTTTGGACTCCTAACATCAATAATCGTGTCCTTCCCGCCCGACACAATCAGGCCGTCGGGAAAATCGGTGGACGGTGGAGCGTAAGCTACGCTGTTGACGAAGGAAGTGCCGGTACTGGACACGGTGCCGTCATAGGTTGGAGGGCTTCCACCATCGCTGCGCCATAACCGCACGGTTGCGTCCCGGGAAGCTGAAACGACGAAGGATGGGTCGGGAAAGGCGACGGCACGGACCTATGAATTGTGAAGTTAGCACTGGTGTTAGAGGGTATCGTGCGATGGCGGATCGGATATGAAGGTCTAGGGAGGGGACGTGTGCTTCCGGTATCCCATCGACTTGCTCGGGTGGGGAAAAAAGTCTCTTACATCGTCCTCATGCCCCTCAAGAGAGGCGGAGAGTTTGTATTCTCCCATATTTTAGCCAAGAGCTCCGCTTGAGATGCTCTGAATAGGAATCTCAAATGAGTCGGGATTGTTACTTCCGAAATTGGGTAACGAATGGTACAAAGTCCACTCAACACAACCGAAGAGTCCGGAACTTTTGGCAGCTCTCACTTCCCGCACAGCCTGCCCCCTTCGTCTGAATGACTCTCACCAACTTTGTCCTGGGTTTTCGATACCGGTAGAGGCCGATGCGCTAGAAACCTCGGGAACGGCCAATGGTCGAGCAAACCACCCTTAGTTAGTCGAATAGTACCATCCGAAGCTGAGCGAGGTTTGCTATATTGAGCTCTTGGGTTGTAGGAATCCTTAGAAGTCGTTTTGACGCTCTGTGGTTGTCTTGCCAATAACCAGGAGGAGCTCGTAGGTGCCGGTTATAGCTCGAGTGGCGGGTATTTTGCTTAGTCAAGTGACCTTTGAATACGATATATCATGAAACCATGAAAAAACGCTGTCAATCCGCTTCTGCTTGTATCAAAGTGAATAAAGTGATCCAACGTCATATGTGGGAATCTGGGAGATTCTCGAAGCTTCGCCTTTCGTGTGAATGTTAGATGTTGCCAGTCCGATCTCCACCAAGAGGGCATCAATCAGCGATCTCCAGTAGACAGGTGGCCCGTGTCCTTACAGTTACGTGCGGCGGTGCGGGTAATCGATAACGGGCAGCGGGGTGTGTTGGTGTTCACGTGTTACGTAGGGGAGCCAGTAGCCCGCCCAGTCGCCCACCCGCCGCTGCTCCGTGTCTAGCAACTGTCCGCTGTCCCGCACCCCCAATGGCCCAAACAGAGCATAGAAGATTGGCAGGAGGGACGAGGGCGGAGATCGCTCCGGATTAATATTGTAGGACGGTATCACGGCAAAAAAGGGAACACAGTTGGGAGAGATCATACATGGTATGGATTAAGGAGAAACGGAGACACTTTTGGCCATGTCCTGAAAATTGATATTTTTGAGCTTAATTAACTATGTACCGAAAAAGAGTCGAATGGAGGAATCAATTATGCACTCCGTTGCGAAGTGTTACGCTTTTTGTAGGTAAGGTGCCGATATTATACGCGCAAGCGTCAGCAAAGTCGGAAGGTACCGCATATCATCGAAAGAATACCAAAAAACGCCGTTGTGTTCCTTTTTCCCACTCGATGCACCACCCGTCTATTGTTTCCATCCCATGTCTATTGTTTCCCAGTTCAGTCGACCCAGTTCCACCGGCTCTGAGAGTCTGCGGCCCGTTGATAGCGTCCAGCTTGGCACTCGCAGCCTGCGTTGCATGGTGGCAAATCATTTCTCCTGCGTGGAGAGGAGCGTGTAGATGGGAGCGTCCAGCTTATCTCGGCCTTTGAGGAAATCGAGCTCGATCAGGAAGATGTATTCCAAAAGGTTGCCGGCCATCTTGCTTATAAGTGTGCCTGCGGCCGCAGCGGACCCTCCTATAATTATGAAGTTAGTATCAATATTCGATCGGTCCACTCCATGTTCATAGCATGGATCCCTACAGTTGGATAGAGTAGGGCAAAACGTACCAGTCGCGATCAGATCGTCCATGACCACACACCTCCACCCCTCCTTAATCGCGCCTTGCTGCATCTCGAACACATCCACTCCATATTCTTTCTGGTACTCCGCTCGCTCAACCGGTCCCGGTAGCTTCCCCTGCTTTCTCACGGGCACGAACGCCGCGCCCAGTCGTAACGCCACGCTGGGTCCGAATAAGAATCCCCGGCTTTCGAGCGCAACCACAGCGTCCACCTTGCCGAACGCCGTCTGACAATGGGTCACGAGAGCGGTCACCAGCATCTCATGGAGGATCGGGTCGGCGAAAATCGGCATGATATCTTCGAAGAGAATGCCTTCGGAGGGGAAGTCGGGGAATTGGCGCAGCGCCGACCGCAGCTTCACTTTAAGACTGGGGAGTTCGGCGGCGGCGGCGGCGGCGGAGGACTGTCTTCCTTCGGCATGGTGACGATGTTGATTGGATTCGAGGGTTGGGTCGGGCGAGGTGGCCGGAGGATGTGAAGAGGTGAATCCCGTGTTACAGGAGGATGAGCCCAGCAGGACAGCCGGACTAGGTTTCTGGGCAGAAATGTTGGTGGAGTCGGACATCGCCAGTTAGTCGGCGAGGGATACGGAGCCTTTAAAAGAAATGGGAGGACCCGGAGCGGTTTGAGCGACGGACACGGATGAGTAACGAAGGTGGGATGGTCGGGATGGTGGGACAACGGGTGTGCGTGGTGGTGCGTAACGAAAAGATGTTTAAAGGCGGGAGTGGGAAGAAGCAAATAAAAGTTTTATCCGGTCGTTCGGTTCGCGGAGGCCTGAGGATGACGAGATTTCATGAGACAATAACAGCGAAAGAAAAGTCACCGGTGTTGAGATCAGATATAGGAAGGTTCTTAGTTTTCCGACTAAGACGGCCTAGCTCGTTCAGCTAGTCTAAATCCTCGTCCTTGCGAGGAGAGAAGAGGCGATATGATATTCCAGTAATTCCACTCTCAGGGCTCCGGTTGACAGGGTCCGGTCCTGTCGGCCACGGCGGACCGATTTGATGACTCGGTCTCAATGCAAGATGGCGGACAGCCCGACAGATGGACTTTTGGATAAGGTAGGTAATTAAGTATCTGTCAACACTCAAAAGCCCCCTCCGCTGGGCGCTGGGAAGGGAATGCTCTTTGTAGGGCGCGGTTGCAAAGAAAGACCGCGAGTGAGAAAAGAAAAGAGAAACGAGAAACGAGAAACGAGCTCACGACAGGACCAGTGAGTCAGGTCAATGGATCAAGTCATACTCCGATCTTTTGGCAAAAGAGCGGTCGGTAAATGTGGAGGCTTGTAATAATATGGGATTGCATCAATGGGCTGGCCTTTGGCTGGCAGTGCCTGGCACAGATGCGGATAGCTTGCACCACCTCCACCTGCCACCACATCGTGTGGGATGCACCACAGTCGAAAGCGCCAGTTAAATGGGTTGGCCAAAGGGTGTGACACCACCGTCACACCCTTTTCAAACGGGCCGACGATTGGGGAAGACCGGGACGAGGGCTAGGTGCGTGGATGGGCGCAAGAAATGACCACGATTGGTGCATGACAGCTGGGTGCCCCTCGGTATATTTTGAACATCCTGACTTTGTCAACCGATCTGGGCTCACTGAGTCAATTCATCTTTGATAATGGAGAGGGATCATGGTTGCCGATTTCAGCATTTGTGAGGGCATCGCATGTCGCCACGTCTTCCAGAAGCGACCAAGCAATGAGAGGGCTCACTTGATATTAAATTACCCTCAGATATGACGAGGGTGGTCTTAGTCTATCGTCCTGTGACACATCAGTCGATGCGTGCCTTAATCTCCTCCATGGATGCATGCGAAGCTCTTGGTTTCCCACGTTCAAAGCATTCATTCCCTCTTCAGAATGGAATTGATAAGAAGAACCACTTCGGCCGGGGACCAGCGATGGCCGTGTCCAATCATCACGGAAAAACGCATCCCAGCCGACAGCGAACGTCGTCTTGCTTCCGTTGATGTATCAGATATCCCAACAAGTCATCGCCCTCCATACGAGTCCTGTCGACCCCAAGCTCGTTGAGGGGAGCCACAGGAGTAAACAAGCAGACCATGACGAATCCATCGAATCTATCATCTCACTACTGAGACTGCTCGCATCTGTGGATGCACCCAAGACGCAGAGCTAAGCTGTAGCTCCCGCAAGCGTACAGAATACAATTGGGGAAGATATGCTCGTTCTGGAGTCCTGGCACGGAGTATCGATATGATAATGAATTGCATTCTCCCACTCATCCTAATCTATGCAAGATCAATAATATTCGCCCTTTCCATCATCCCGTCTCGCACGATTAACCAGCTCACCAGTCACCATCGAGTATAGACCAAGCATGCTTCTCATGACATTTGACAAGGACGCCCTTGAGAGTCGATAAGTTAGCTAGGCACCAGCATTTTGGCAAAACGCCATGTTGAGAGTTGAAATGTGGACCGATCAGTCGAGGTACGTACCGCTGTCCCGACTCGATCCGATGAATCGCTCCGTCCGAACGACGAACTCGGCCACATGGATAAGTGAATCGAGCGCTGGCATTCCTAGCAATCTCCCTCAACTAGCTCCGAGGCGTTATTCGGCATTAGGCCTTTGCCGATGAATGATAGAATGCCATGTGGGTGATCTAACTCTGAGTACAGTACTTTCGAAGAACCGGCATCGGTAGGTTCAATTCAATATCTGAACGACCACTCGCATTTACAAGGTAAACAGTATCTACCCCGGCTCCTGCGTTTCTAGCCAATACGCACCAAGCTGATCGGTTCTGTTGTGCCCTTTGAATCCATCTGCACATAATAGCCACGTCAAAGGCTATGCAGCCACAACGTGATCAACCCCATCGTCGTCGGCAACGCCCTTTGTATAACCAGACACATGGACGCATCCTTTTAGACCTTAATAGAGCCAATAGACAATCCCCCCCAAATGCACACCAGGATTGGTCAATGCGGCTGCAGTGAGGATCACACCAAGCCCTGAATGCCCATGTCCGCTATGGCTTGCATATATCATATGCGCCAATGCCGTGCACCATAGTCCGTACGCCATTCGTAGGGTGCTTCCAGAAGCTTTTGGGATGGTTTGCGTCCGGGTGTCCTGGAGGCCTGGACTATGCGCGTGTAACAGAAACCGGTCGCTTGGCGGGGGAGGCCGTCACCTCCTTTTCCTAGTTTAGGAGCTCTGGGGTTTGTGTTATTGAGGGGATGCCCGAATGGAGGGTGGCTGGATTTGGGCTCGAAGTGGAGTGCAGAAGTACCTTGGAGCATAATGGGAACTAGGTGCCAGGCAACCGTGAGGTCTCTCTCCACATCGGTTTACACTCCCAATCCATGTTCACGCGAGAGGGATTGCAACAGGAAGAGAGCGATGGTATAATTTATACACCCTGTGAGATGATCCCTATTCTTATAGTTACAGCCGAAGAAGAGTATAATAGTATGAGCCATCGTAGTTATCTGCCGAATTAGATACCACTATTAGATGTCCAAGAGCTGTCCAGTCTAGAGTCCAAACGATAGAGACCATCATATCGCCAGTGCCTGTAAGTGAGCATATCAAATAGGTCTAAGGATCCCAGTCCAGGCCATCTATTCCGCGTCATATGCGTCGCCCATTTCCTCCTCGTCCTCGTCCTCGTCATATCCCTCACTCTGCAGATCTTCACTCTCCGTATCAAACTCTTCCTCCTCTTCGTCGTCGTCCTCCTCCTTTTCCTCGTCCTCGTCCTCCACTTGTTCATCCTCCTCCCTCACGATTTCGCTTGCTCTTGCCCATTCACTGCTATCGTTCATATCTGTTGTGTGCCTTGACATTGTGGCATATGAAGACTCGTCGTCTTCGATCGGCAGTGGGTCGACCCCCTTCAACGACTCGTATTGCCCAGATTTCTCCCCCCGCTCCATATCCGCAAACCCCACGCTCTTCCCCGCCCCATCGCTCGACCTCGCACCGTCCTTCTCCTCCACCACCTCGCCCCGCCACGGACGGCACGCCTTCACAATCTCCCCGCACCGTAAACACGTCCAGCCCTCTCCTTCCTCGCTCTCGATTTTCTGCGCGATGCATGCGAAGCAATAGACGCAACCGCAGGGAATGGCTTCGTAGGGGTTGGTGACATCCGTCAACGCCGAGCCCACGACGCCCCCGCCACCCGCGGAGCTCGCCGCAACGATATCGGCTTCGGAAGCGGCACCGCCAGTCGCGCCTGGTGTTTGGTCCGCGTAGCAGATCCCGCACGTGCGCTCGGGGAGGAACCCTAAGACGCCGTCTTTTGTCATGGCTTTCTCGTCGTCTTCCTCGGTGCCGAAGCCCCGAAGCGCTCGCCATGCGTTGACGATCCCCCGCCAGCCTCGACGGGCCAATCGTCTCCAGCGCCGGACGCCCACCAACGGGAGAAGGAATAGCAGGAATTCGGTAAAGGCGTGCCATACAAGCTGGCGGTTGAGGTATTCGAAGCTGACGTCGCGGGTGGTAGTGGTGGATGCGGGGGCGAGGCGGAGGCGGAGGACGCGATCGAGGAGGGTGCGGTGGCGGCCGGTGAGGAGGAAGAGGAGGAAGGAGGGGAGGGCGAGGAGGGTGTGTGCGGTGGAGATGTGCGTGGTGAGGCGGGAGAGGACGCGCATACGGGGAGTGGGCTGGATAGGTCATTGTTAGCCAATGTATGTAGTAGTGTTCGAAGGATAGGGCCAACCTCTTCGTAGCTGCTCTCCTGTTCAAGGAGGTGGTCTTCCCATTTCGTCCAACCGTAGCGCCCGAGGACGGATATTAGACCGTAGAGAACCTTCTGTGTGCTCGTGGGAGGTGAGAGATATGTCGGTGCTCTGCTGTTCGGACTTTGTCTTGCATCGATGTATCGCAGCCCTTGTAACGAGGCGCCATAGGAAGCATCATGGTCCCAAATTGAGAGCTTGAATAGTGCTGCTCTGAGAAGCAACCCGATCTCTGCAGCGTAATCGGTCGCTATGTTCGACTTTGTATTGTCAGCGATCGTATTACAATCTTGTGGAATTACCTTACCCCTAAATACTTCACTCCCTCCCCAACTTGTCCCCTGAGCAACTCCAATAGTTCCTCGTCTAGCAACTCCGCATCCACCTGTCCAACCCGAAACGCGGGTCCCGTCCCTTCTCTTCCCTTAATTGCATCCCATGCTGTTAATCCAGCAACCCCAAGTCCTTTTAGTGGACGCGGCAGCTTCGATATTGATTCCGCAGTCCGCGATGACGATCGATCGGCTACACGCGCTTGTGCTTCCTGATCCCTTGCGCGCCGTCTTGCGGCAAGGCGTTGTTGCGCGGCGGCGAAGTCGGCATTAGGCATCACGTCCTCTGGTATTCAAGGCTTTTAGGAGAGGGGTGCATGGCCAGTCTCGTGAGAAGGCGACTGGTGCTATGGGAGATTATCACAAGTTATGACTTTCAAGATTTCCGGATGGTCAATATGATGGCTACGGTATTAATTGGTCCGAGGTTCATGGATGGGGAAGCCCATGATATCGACAAGGATTCGCCATTCGCGGCTCGCGTCAGTAACAATCGGGCATATGCAGCCTTTATGCCTGAGGCATAATTTTCAGTTGAACGTCATTCATTCCACGTGATCTGATCTGATCACTATTTGTGGCTTGCTCTGTGGCTGGTGATATCTAACCCTTGCACCAATCCCTGTCCTCCGTGGCTCCGTCACTGGAGTTGCATCACGGATCCATGGGAGATTTGGACTCTGGAGATCGGTCAAAAAAATGTACCAGATTCTAAACTTCATCCTCCTTCCAGAACGATGGCATTTCGAGCAGATTGATTCCGTAATGAAGCATCGTATGCACTGGACATAACCATCTCGTAAATTTTTTGTTTCTCTTCAAGGGATGCTCCTTCACAATGGCGTCTTCTCCACACCCAGCCCTCTAACCAAAGTTTGCTGGAAGTGCTTGAGACGCCAGCGGCACCATATCCGGAGTCTCACTGTTCCAGCATTCATCACTGTTGGGCAATCGAATCCCCGTGGCACGCGGAGATTTCAAAACGATGGACAAACACGCCGTCGTTATTCCAATGTCGCGACAACACCGGTCATCTCGGGGGAAGGGAGTTCGACGCTTCCCACCCTAATTCGCAATACGGTATGCAAGCTAGTTCATCTTTAAAGTATGGAAATGCTAAGTCTCACAGTTCCCTTCGACTGGTCGGTCTAAACGCGGTAGCGTATTTCGAGCCCAATTGAAGGATTGGTATGAGCAGAATGAACATCTGGAGCGGGACATGCCACCCTTCGAAGGGCCAGACCCGGAGAACTTTCCTTCGGCCTTTCGAAGAGATCAGCGGGGTGATGAGATGATAATGGTAGCGGACAGAAGCGGGGACTCGCAAACGCTGAGCGACGATCTTGCTCTTCAACCAGGCGATCTCGTGGAGTTGATGTACGGCCGCCAATATTCATGATGAGAGACTTCGCTGATGGACGACAGAACCGATCATATCGGCCGACTTACAACGACAGCTGTGTTTACCCGAAAGATCGGACCTCACATATTTCAATTCCTCACAATTCGCGGATCATGGTTCCACACAAGAAGCTCTGCAGCCGTCTTTTCCATACCCAGCTTCTTCTCACCGGAGGAAATGGATCAAGTCTTGCCATACCTTCCAGCCAACGAATCTGCTCTGAAGGAGGCTCGGAATTCCATGTTTATCCATGACTGGTCCGTGCCTAGGGAGGCAAGCGCTCCGCTGCTGCGGAGAATGCGCACGTTTGAAAACGAAGTCGAAGATTTGACGCGTTGCTGGGGCCGAGCACTCTTTGATGCACATTCATCGGTTGCCCATGACACTGACAATAAATACATGACACTCAAGGAGATGGCGACGGAAATTTTCCCCAAGGAAGTTGAACACAGTCCGGCCCTCATGTTTGCCCTGGAAAGAACCCTTCTACGTCAAACGGAGCGGTTTGAACTAGATGGGAACTCTCACCGATCCTCGCATACCTTCTTAGTTCGTTCTCGCTCGATCCTCGATGCGTACAACTTCGTCGTGCGACGTGTGCGAAGCGACCGGGAAGACATGATATATTTAGTATCGAGTCGAGAAGAGCTTGGGAAAATGGGCGGTCGTGCCTTATACCTCTTAAAGGGTCCGGACTCCTATTCAACGCGCTTTCTACCAAAGTTCGCCGAGAAAATACGACAGCTTGTCTCGACAAGTCGCGAGTCCCGGTCGCAGTTCCTGTCGCACGCGTGCATAGGACCATACATACCCTCAGACACTGACAAGGTACCAGCACGGGGTGACACACCTCTGCAGGAAACATACAGCGCTACCTTCAGCGAGCTTGAAAATAACATAATTAATTTCCTGGAGTTCAGCTCGGTTCGCGATCAGTTCGCGTCCGATACCGCGGCAACGTCAGCTCTCGCACACATCCTGCGGCTCACGCTATGCTACGAAAACCAGTCCTCAGATATTGAGGCGCGGGATTTTAATTACGGCGGTGCATATAAACTGCTTCAAGAAATCGGCGTGCTCACGCCATTCGAAAACCGAAATAAGTATATGCCCTCGCTAGGGATTCCAGGCTACCATGGGCAGAAAGATTCAGAAGACATCGAGGACCTTGCAAGAACGTTGGGTCAGACCAAGTCCTGGGATCTGAAAGACGATATGAGCGACCTTCGAGTCGATTGGAAGGACATGAGCGTCTACTGTATCGACTCGGCAGATGCAGAGGAGCTGGACGATGGCATCTCGCTTGAGCGGGTGTCAGGAAATGAGGAACAATTTTGGATCCATGTCCATGTCGCCAACCCGACCTCCCACCTCCATCCCGACTTTCAAATATCTAAAATGGCCCGGCATCTTCTCGGGACTATCTACTTTCCGGAAGGAAGCTGTCCGATGCTTCCGAAGGATGTGAGTCAGGAATATTTCAGTCTCGAGAGAGACCGCCCGGTCCTGACCTTCAGCATCAAGCTGGATCTAAATGGGGAGGTCCTGGATCGAAAGATCCAGCCAGGAACAGTGCGCAATGTCGTTTGCATCACACCGGATCAGGTGAACGCAGCGTTAGGGAAGGCTCAGTCCATCCCTAAGTTTTCTCTGACCGTTGGCGGGACGTTCCCACGCAAGTCTGACAGTAGCCCGGAGGTTCAGTTGTCCAAATCCCAAATCGAGGACTTAGAAACCCTTTCCCTCCTCGCCGAGTACCGGGCGAAGATTCGCCAGAATTCCGGTGCCCTTCTTTTCGGCCAACAGGGCTCGGTCACCGTCCGGGTGGCCGAAGACTCGTCGCACCGCGGGCTGCAATACCGCCCCCCGAGTCGCGATCGGGCTCGGTTCATCCAAGGGGACCCGATCATCAGCCTCGAAGCAACTCCCTCGCAGCCCGCATTTGCCGAGATCTCCGCCGGGCAGCGACTAGTGATGGAATTCATGACGCTTGCGTGCGAAACGGCTGCGTTCTGGACCCAGAGCCGAGGCGTACCGTCGGTCTATCGACGGACCGTCTTCCAGGGGAACCGAACGGACCCGGTGCGCTACTTCAAGGAGAAGGTTCTCCCCCAGCTTTCCGGGGGCGGTGTCGCGGACCCCGAAGTCTTAACCAACTACCGAGACCTGGTGGGCGGCTCGCTCTATTCGACCGAGCCCGGCCCGCATTATCTAGTCGCCGTCGATGCCTACTCCCGCGCGACCAGCCCGCTCCGTCGCTATCTCGACATGGTCGTGCACTGGCAGATCGAGTCCGAACTGCGGCGCGAGGCCGGCGGCCATGATCAAGGAAGCTGGGCCTACCCGTTCTCCGCCGCCGCGCTGGAAAAACTGGCGGTGGAAGCGGAATGGCGCGAGCGCGCGAGGAACAAGGCGATTCAGTTCTCCAACGATTTCTGGATCAGCATGCTATTCTATCGGGCGTTCTATCACCAGGAAGCCGCGCTCCCCAAGACATTCACGGTCGTGGTCAAGGAGGTGTCGCCCGTGCATCAGGATGCGTCGGTCGTTCCACTGGATTTCCCGATTCCGTTCCTCCTTTCAGCAGATGAAGGGGTGCGGTTGGAAGTCGGCGATCTGTGGGAGGCGGCGATCACTTTCGTCGATACGTATGATCGAAGCCCGCGGGGGAGGCTGCGGATGAAAGGGATCCGGAAGGTCGGCCATACTGATACCCTGTACTTGTAAATATGTAAATATAGATCACCATGCTCACATAGAAGACACATACCTTTAATGGCCATAACAGCACTTTCCGACATTGCCAGGGAGTCCTTAGGCAGTTATGGAAGTTCTATGCTCCTCTTAAGGCCATCAATCCCAGTATGACCGCCTCCATCTCCTCCCTTTCCTCGTCTCCATTGCCCGTATTCACCTGAGCGCTTTGCCCCCCCGTCCGATTCGATTTACTCCCTTTCTGGAGCTTGTACACCTTCCGGATTTTATCCAGATCGGCAAAATCATCAATCCGATCCAACGAGTCCAAGGGCGAGCCGTCAACAGACGCAAGAATATGTCTCTTGACCTTCTCCGCTTCTTGATCTAGCGGGGTCGTAGGATCGAGCCCGCCAACTTTAATGGCGAGCATGCTCTCCGTCGCCCCGGACAGTCCAAACCGCCGAAATGATTCTGCGATCTGGGATACGTCAGTCCGTTGTAGTGTCAAAACGTGGCCAGGGTTCTTACATTATTATTAGGACTTAAACAAAACACCGCTTCTGAATGCACGTTCTTCGTTCGTATCCGGTTGTGTTTTAGATCATTGACGGCACGGAACATCGCCGCCAGCACGTGGTGGAGGGAAAGGATCTGGTTGCGGGTCAGTGGATGGAGATAAATTGATTGTATAGGCGTACCATCGTTGAGTCGAGGAAGGTATATTCGAACTCCATATTGCCAGCCATCAGCTGCTCCCGGAGGAACGCTGCATTTTTCACGTTCTCGAAGAGAAAGATGTGGATGGGATTCGCGGGGAGATGTGGGAGATAGATGGTCTGGATCACCATATTGACAAAGACTGGCGCGCTGGATCCTTATTACTGTGAAGAATGAAGTATAAAAAATCTCCTTACAGGATCGGACGGCTAAATTATTTGTCTGATCGAAGTAGGGGAATGATGGAGGTTGAGCTGAGACTAGGTGTTGCCTGCTCCAAAGACTGAGAATCCGATTCTTCTAGATCAGGCTATTGGTCTACAGTTTTCTTGGGTGTAAAGCAGTCGGTCAGATGTGTTGCTATCATTTGTACAGTTCCTTGTCAAATTCACGATGAAATTGATACAAGGACGGTATCACGGTAATATTGAGAATGAATGTATGGGGGATGATGGCAGGCATCGAGGTTTGCTGACTCAGCGAGGGATTTATCTAGAAAACCGAATGCCCCAAGACGCCAACCAGGTTCAATATCTTGAATTGATAATTCATCTACCGGTAGCTTACTTGCCATACCTTATGATTATGATTAATGCCGTCAAATTTCCCTTCATTTAGAGTCATACCATTGCTTTTCATACGGCCCAGCAGGAACATTTCAATTGGTCATCGAACCAACGACAGCTGTGTCACTGTGTGACCGTGACCGAGATCTATGAAAACTCAATCAACGTTCACCGATTCACGACTACGCCATTAACATCACGCATCACAGACTAATATTCAAGAGAGAGCTCTCCAAGACTAGCCTAAAGGTATGTGAATCCCCAAAACCACCGTTGAGTTGGAACCTATGATGAGAATACATTTATTGGAGCTGTCTTATATCCCTCGTGGAATGCTGAGAAGTTTTATTACGCTTTTATCTGATTGTTACTATCCCACCCGCTTCGCAAATAAGATATCCCTCTACCCAGCAGATCGCTAATGAAGTGCTGATGCAAAAGGTCCCTTCCTTGAGCGCCATCGCGCGCAACACTCACCGCCTCTTTCCTCCTCACAATCATGGCGACCGATCCTCGATTACGCTCCTCACAAGCTCCACCTCCACCTCCCCCTCCACCCCCTTCAGAGCCCGTTATCTCCTCCCTGGACGGTGCCTCCGACTCCCCAATACCCACCGGCGCCGAAAAGGCCATCTCTCCCGCTCCCCCACAACCTGACCACCCCCGTAACTCCCTGATCTTCTGCACGGTATGTGCGTCCAACAACAACCGCAGCATGGAGGCGCACAGGCGCCTATCCCCCTTCTTCCCTACCATCTCCTTCGGCACCGGCTCCCTCGTCCGGCTCCCGGGCCCCTCCATCACCCAACCCAACATCTACAGTTTCAACAAGACCGCCTACGCCCGAATCCACGACGAGCTAGCGAGCAAGGACCCGCGTCTGTACCGCGCGAACGGCCTCCTCCCGATGCTGGAGCGCAACAAGTCGATCAAATGGGGCCCGGAGCGATGGCAGGACTGGCCCGTTGGCGTCCCCCGCATCGGCGAGCGGTACGCGACCGAGCTGGGCAACAAAGGTACCGAAGCCGGCGTCGTAGACATCGTCGTGACATGCGAGGAGAAATGCTGGGACTCCGTGCTGGAGGACCTGCATGCGCGCGGCGGGCCGCTGAATCGGCCGGTGCACATCATCAACGTGGACATCAAGGATAGTCATGAGGAGGCGCTGATCGGCGGAGAGGCGATTCTGGATCTAGCGACGAGGTTGAATGAGGCGGCGACTAAGGAGCGGGAAGAGAAGGGGATCCATGGGTGGGGAGATGGACGCGGTGTTGCGAGGGAAGTGTTCGACGAGCGGGTGCCGGAGATCATTGCGGAGTGGCAGGAAAGATGGCCGAGGTACCCAGCGTTGTGGTCGTTGGCCTGGTTTTAGTCCGAAATCACCGAGGGAGAGGGACGAGGAATGTCATGAAGGACATCGTGTCTACTTAGGAGTTGGTGTTCCTTCCAGAGCACTGTTTGACGCAATCCAGTATTACGAAGATACCAAGGGAACGCTATAGCGACGGCGATAAGGAGTTCGGATGTATGTAATACGGGATTTTAATGTCACCGAATCAGGTCCACGATGTTGGACCTCAAAATGATTGTATTGGGCAGCTATTGCCCAGACCGAGTGACATGGCGGTTATCCACCCCATGCTTTCCCATCTGAACGCCTGGTAAAATCGAAGACCACCGAAACGAGAAATGAGAGTCGTCCGAACCATGCCGCAAACGCTGGATTCCCCCCCATCCGTCCGTAGAACGCCCTTTACGGAATGATCCAAATGATTGCGATGCCGAAGCATGACCGAAAAAGCCGCAACCCCCTTACTCCTGAAGTTGATGCGTCGGGCACGTGCCGGCACCCTTCGCCACCCACCACTCGCGGATGCAGCTCTAGATTCACGTTAGGACCATGACCACAAAATTTCGAGCATCAGGGACTTACGGCGTGGAATTTGCACCAGCACTCCAACCGCCCCAACTCTGCTCCTGGCACGAACTCCTCGAAGCAGATAATGCACTCCTGCTCTTCCCCCTCTTCATCGAAGCAGTCCTTCTCGCTGGCCTTCCACACTAGCATCCCTCGCGCCCCAGTGACCCGTCGTGGCCTCGGCGTCGGCGTGCTCGCCTCTCCCATAGTAGCCCCTCCATCCTGCGCAGCGGGGCCCGCTGTCCCCCCCGTAGTCGCGGCCGGCGCGCTCGACGGCCCCCCGCCGGAACCCGGAACAAAATGCCCCTGGATGCACTCCTCGATATGCCTCTCCCGCTGCGCCTCCCCGCCATCTGGACTCTTTGGCGGCAGCTCCTCTCCGCAGACGGGACACTCGTCTTCCTCCGCCACCACCCTCTTGGGGGGCGGGGGAGGCGGGGCGTGTGTATCGTGGGATTGGCGCCATTGCCGCATGCGGTCGGCGTGTTGGCGGTGGAATTCGCGGATGCGGTTGTCTTGGAGTTGGCCGTCGGGGTTCGGCCCGTAGAGTAGGTTGCGGATATGTAGAGCTTCGAATACGCCTTGTTGATGGTCGGTGGAGGAGTCAGCTTGGTGCTGGGGCTGGGGGGTGGAGTGCAATGACGACGCCGTTGTCGGGTGAGGGCCCGTTGGGAAAGGCCGGTAGGGGGGAGGGGAATAGATGGCAGAGTTGGGGAAGGGTTGTTGAGAGGGGGTGGAAAGGTTTTGCCCCTGAGGTGCGTTTGGGTACATTCGAGCTGCGTTATAGAGGAACATGTCTGCTGTGGTGGCTGCCCCTGCATGGGTATGATTCATATTGGTGTTTGGACCACCCGGAGGGGCAAATGAAGGGAAGGGAAAGTGACCCGGGGATTGTGGTTGAATTGCTGCTTGACTGCCAGCATTGGGGTTTGTATTGCTTTCACCCCTCGAGGAAATTCGGGGAGCGAAAGTGTTGAGTCCAGGTATCGACCCGCGTGAATCCCTCCAATATTGAAGATGGTCGTTATGAAGCGGTTGCGGAGGAGGGCTCAAATTGGGATCCGGTACACAGGGGTTGCAAACACGGACTTCCTCCCCGCCTCCAAGCGCGGGGTTGATGAACATATTGCTCCGACGGTTCAGCCTTGCCGGCGAGTCGCCGGTGAGGTCAATGGGATTGGCGGAAACTTCCCCTGTAGGAGTTGGCGGTTGGACAATATACTGTCTGGGAAGGGTGATGCGATGCGGTGAACAGTTGGAACACACTACCCGGCCGCATTTCCTAGAAACATGTTAGCATGCAAAACACGACGTTCTCTCGATCATAATGATATGAAGCCTCATTATACCTGCAATGATGTTTTCTGTACCAGAAGCTGAACGGAGTCTCGCAGACTTGACATTCAGGCGCCTCGGCGTCATCCTGCCAGCTAGGGAGAACAATATCGCTATCTGAACTTCCACCGCCAGCCTCCCTTGAATCTGACCGGGTATTGGGGCTCGGATCTGCTGGCCCCAAGGGACTTGAGGAGGTAAGGTCGATAAGGGCAGGAACGCTTCGACTTGACACATGTCGTTGAGCCCCACCAGGTGTAAGGGAGGAACTGAGGATACTGTGATTCGGTCTGCTTGGGGGCTCTCCCGCAGGGGAGAACGGGCGGCCTAATACACTTCTTCGCTCCTGCCCGCCTTCCTCGGCGGTGAGCCGCCTCTTTCGCTCCACGGCGGTTGGCATGGTTTGTAGGCTACGGAAGCTACTCGATGAATGGGATGGGAAATGGCCGCTAGGATCCCGTCGTCGCCGCAGCATCAGATGCTCTTCCCCGTTAGATAGTGTGCCGTCTACCTGCGGGCGGTCGGTTGAGATCCAGCTTGGTCTGCCTGGTATATGGCCTGCGGACTGTGGCAGATGTGGCCTCAACAGTCCCGAGGTTGCTCTATCTTGTCCGCTCGTCGAACCTATCGCCCCTATACGTTGACCTGAGTAGTTTTGTGGGATCGTTTGTTCGGAGTGACTCCTGGCATGGTTGTTGATGGGATTGGAGGGTTGATCGGGAGTTGCTGAGCTCGTCGGACGCGGGAAATTCGACGACCTACGGCGATCCATGGTAAGGGAATATATGGGAGGAGGAGTCCGTTAAGCGGAACGGGCAATGATGGGGCTACCGGATATCGCAGCTCGGTCGAGTACCAGTCTCGAAGGGACGGTGGACAAACATGCGGGACATGGATCCGCTGAGAGTTGAAGGGCTTAATACCTCGTGAGGCTGAAGTTTACGGTTGTCTTATCAAGGCACCGGTATTATCGATCGACGGCTTCACCGAATCTATAGTAAGTGTATCAGTAACACGAACCTAGAGCAACCAGGTCGAGGTGTTCAATACCAGAAGTCCCGGTCCTTACCTGGTGAATACTTCTTCGAATTCCGTTCCGCCAGCCCACATACTCAGCGATAGGCCTTCGAAGGCGACGTAGGATACGACCGGAAGCCAGGAAAGCAAATCCGGAGGCGACTCGAGCGGCCCAAACGCCTCGAGGTGATTGGGCGGATGGGTTGGCGTGGATAATTGAGCCGATCACGGATGGTTTACGGAAATATTTGAATAAATGAGAGGAAGGAACCTGCCTGGCCCAGCAGACGACGCAGGAGAGGAATTCTCGGGTCGGTTTGGGGGTTGGGGATGTCAGAGGGGATGTATCAAGTCGAGGGTCACTACGGAATACCCTCTTACGGCTTGACGACATTCAGGGATGTGGGGGAGACAGCATCGGAGATAAAACGCACGCTCCGTACAGATGCCGGATAAGCAGAGGTAAATAGTCACATATTATTACGAAATCCAGACGAGGAGCATCAGCTATTTAACCGAAGGTTTACTCAGTTTCTTCCAAAGTAAAGTCATGACTTTCCCAGCCGATGGCTCAGTAGTGAACCGGAACCTCCCCCCTTCTCATTTGGCCTGGGTTTGCAGATCACATCTAAGGCCTATTATTAACAGGTCAAGACTTCCCTTCTTCGAATCACCTGTCCATATCAGTTACACTGCTGCCTTACGTTGATATATGATTTACCATCCGAAGGGAGTAGCGTACCCATTAAGCGCCATAACGCAATCCAACACATCATCGTCGACCGCAGACCATATACGACCCGAAAGCTCTAGACCTAGCAGACCAACATAAGGTATCAGTCACGACTCTGCATCTACAAATTCATCGAACGCATCATCCTGTGAGTCTTTCCTCACCAGTTTCTTGTCGCCCTCATCCACCTTCTCCCCCTGCTTCTCCCCGGACGCCGCGCTCTGCGGAATCAACGGCTCCTGCAAGCCCATCGGCATCCCGGCTGTCTCCCTCCGCGTTTCGCCAGCGGCCGGCTCGGGTTTCCGGTCGTCGTCTTCGTGCTGGTTGAAGTCGATGAGGTCGGCTTCCGGTTTCTCAGAGATGCTTGTTCGGGGTGTCACATGAGTACTCTGTCTTGGCGAAGGGTGACTCGTGGTGGCATCGATAGAGGAGCTGCGAGATGGAATGCGGAAGCGAGACGGGTTGATTTGGCCAGGGAGGATGGCGGCGATCTGCAGGATCTGGTGGGTTTGTTCTTCGGGAGTTTTGCCGTCGCTGAAAAAAGAGTTAGGTATCCACCCCCCATGAATCTACCGGGTTCACGGCGGTTTGGCGAAGGCACTCACATTTGAGCATTGATGATCCAGTCCAGATCCTCCATTCCCTCTTCGCTCCCGCCCTTTCCTCCTTTAACCGGCCGGAACAGGCGTGGGTGCCAGTCGACGCCGTCGTCTGTACGTTTGGCAGCTTCACTCCGTTGCTCGTCTTCGATGTGGGTTTTCTCTTCTGTAGCGGTCTCATGATCTCTGTTTATCAGTGCTTGGATTGTTTTATGCCATAGTCTCTGTGACTCCCGCGGTTCTTGCTCGGTGAGAGGTCGGGCCTTCGGGGGAGTATGTTTGGCATTAGTGGCGTCGAAGAGGAGGGTCTTCTTGTTGGTCTGTGTATTTTATGAGTGACTTCTCTCGCAGCCTAGAAGGTACGTTCATACCGTGACGTCTTTGATGTGCATCTCTCCGTTCCACAGACCGCTAAGCTCGAAGAGAATGCGATCTGTCTTCGTATCCTTGATGGTTCCGCCAATTGCGTCGTAAGTTCCACTGAAGTACCCCTTGGTCTTGAAGTCAAGGTCTGCCACGAGGCCGGATTCCGGACATCGAACGAAGCTATGGTCGCCCAGTTCGTACTTCATTTTACCGAACAAAATGCCTCGGGCATACATATTCGGTTGGGTAATGTAACTTTAGAAGATTAGCTACCGCTTTCAATGTCCCGTTCGTGGAGGAACCCACAATTTCTCGCCAGTATTCAAAAACCGCATAACCCCAATCCCCTCCATCATACTGGCAGCCGAATTTCCCAAAAACTTACTCCTTGGTTTCAATGTTCCATCGATCCGGATGTTGTGCTCTGGCGCCATAAAGAAATAGCTCGACTTCGGAGGATGGTGTGACGTCTGTTCGGAGATGTAGTAGCCGCGAGTCCCGTCCGGATAGTCCCAATAGCCGGTAAAGGTCTCGCCGAGAACGGGATTTAGAGGTTTCTTGACGCCTCTATACTCTGGTTAGCAATTGCAAGATGCTTCCGTGATCGAGAAGGCCGGTAAGCTTCGAATGGGGACGTACGGTGGTCGTATATGCCATCCACTCAAGTAGAACTTCACCACTGACACGAACCGCTCTATAGGGTCTTCAATCGTTGTCATCGGTAGCAATGTTTCCGGATGTGCCATGAAACTGTCCTTCCATCAGCTCCCTACCCTTGCCATGCAATGACCGAAGCTCACTTCGTTATTCGCTCCAACATAGATCTCGGTTCTAATATGAATGTCGGAAGCGTCACTCTGCTTAAGTCGGCACCCGGTCGTAGTTGCGAAATAATGTGCATGAGGACTAGAAGTCATGGTCAGCCATACCTTTGAGTCGATACTCCTTATACGTTTTCGCGTACCATTCCCCTGCTCCGAATCGACGACAGTCTCATCATTGTCTGGCGCGACCTCGTGGTCGCTCATGTCTTCTTGCGAAGACGTGGATCGGCCTAATCCGATCACGGAGATCCATGGTCAGCCTATCCGCCCTCCATTTCGTAAAAACGCAACATATAAATTCCAGGAGTCATACGGCTGCTTGCGCCGGAGTGCTTCCGATGTCCAACTCGAAGCACCATATTTGCGTTGGAGCCTGACGAACGTTCCAGCGGTCTTGGATCAATATGAGTAGCACTCCGCTCTGCCAAGTGTTGCTCTTAGATCTGGACCTCCATATATGGCCCTCGAACCAGGCGATATTCAGTGGATTTGCGGAAGGTCGTGAACTCGTGGTTGAGGAACACCGATGAAGATCCACGGGCCCGCAAGAGAGCCGGTTCTCATTTGCACGTACCAGTCCACGTTGCACCCCACAGCGAGAATTTTATGTGTGATAAATAACGTGTCGCACTCAGTGGAGTCGCTCGCAATGCATGCTACTTTTGGTGTTTAGTTACCTTAGCGGCAGTAGGCGGATGGGTCGAATAACACGGAGCGATGGCCGCGAACGAGTCAAGGTCAGTCAACGGATTCCGCCTCCGTTCCAACTCTAGGGATCAGGCATACAAAGGCCAATCTGATTCGGACAGGGAGGGGGGATGGCATTCAGAGCAATGCATAATGTAATGGGTTGATTCAGTGGATGAGCTGTCAAAGCTTTTGCAGCGTGGGAGACAGTGGGACATCCGAATCAGCCTGGTGCTGCGCGATGACGACGTTGCAGGCCTGAGGCTGTAAGGCCATGAACCCTGACGTGAGCAGTGTGAGCACAATGGCAGCAGTGCCCGGGAGTGACAATAGCATCAGTGACAAACACAGGCAAGGTCAAGTCTTACATATATGAATACTTACATGCATTACCCGGTGGAGAATAGCGATGGAGAATGACACCGTAAATCTAAGTTCAATGGCTTCGCTATACTATACAATTGGCATTACCCCGCATACTCTCATATCTCATTGCCTGTCCCTGGTAGCCACCGCAAGCCCCTTCCTCTCTCGAAACACCAGGACTGATATCCCACGGTTCAATTAACGATGGATCTCGTCGCCGCATGTCCATTAAGGAACACTCGTCCTCAAATCATCCGGACTAGCCCTTGAAGTCCTCGCGGCTGGTCGAAAACCGACTCACATACGCCTGCTGCCCATTCCCGTTTCCACTACCCCCTTCTCCTTCTCCCATTGCCCCTCCACTATACGACCCCTGAGTCGGAGTCTTCATGTCGATTTCCTCCAACTGCTTTCCACCAAGTAATCCCACTGGGGCCTCTTCCCCCCCCTTTGCCGTCTCCTCTCCGAACTCGGCACTATCCACCCCTTCTTTCCCTTCCATCAGTCCCAACCCTTCTGCACCGCCTTCAATGTCCCGCAGGAGCCGGACATACTCCTCGGGAACCAGTCCGCTCTCCCCACTGCGGGGATCCTGCGCGACCAGCCACCCCTGCCCGTGGCGGTAGCTGACGAGGATCACCTGCCCTTCGACTAGCGGGAGTTCATTCTCGTTTTCGCGAACAAAGTCGTACAGCGCGACCGCCTTGCCGTGCATTTCCTCGTCGGGGTCGACAATGGTAAACGCGTAAGTGCGGGAGAAGCGCGACGGGGAGTCGAGATCGTTGTTGTTGCCATCTCGAGGGATGGAATTCACCTTGCTCAACGGATCGCCTAATACGAACGGCGCGCGCGGATCGTCCTCATCCTCGCCGGATTCCGATTCTTCGCTCGATGAGCCGTCGGAGTCATCGGCGTCCGCCTCGACGTCGCCAAGATCGTTCGGCGCCCTTCGTCGCCCGCGCTCGTACCGTGCCCGCGGCAACAGCGTGCCGCCATCACCCACGCCCACCTCGTCCTCCCCGACATCATCGCCAATCGCAATCCCCTCACCATGTCTCCTCGACCCCTTTGACTTCTTCCTCTTCTGTCCCCGACTCTTCGGTATCACCACGGGACTCTGCAAGTCCTCATCCTCACTCCACGGCGGCCCATCGCCTTTCATCCGCAGCTCATTCGCCCCCGTCCGAATCGCTATGCCGTCGAACGCGCTCTGCGGCAACTTCGCCACCACGTCCGCGCCCGCCAGCCCTTGCGCATGGTCTGGGTCGATCGGCTGCACGACGTTGCCGTCTGCGTCGCGGAACACCTGCCCACGCTCCGCGTGCCGCCGCAGGTACTCCTCCCACGCGTCATTGCCCGCGCTGTCGGTCCCGTATTCGTAGCCGTACGCGTCAGCGTATTCGCGCTCGTACGCGCTGTCGGTTTCGCGGCCGGTCACGCCGGAGTCGCTTCCGCGACGGCGGGGTTCGGGGCTTGAGGGCGAGGAGGGGGTGGGGGAGGATGGGGGGCCGTAGTGGAGGGGGTGGAAGGCAGGGTAGGCGAAGTCGCGGACGGCGGCGTATGGGAGGCTGCTGGGGAACAGGGGGTATGCGAGGTTGGTTGAGGCGCGGGATGAACGCGCCGTGGTGGTGAGGGAAGGGGGGTTGAGGGCCGTTGAGGGTGGTCGCGAGTTGAGGAGAAAGGAGTTCGGACGGATGGGAGGAGCGGAGTTAGAGGATGGAGTGGACAGTCGAGATCGATGCGGGGAGATCACGTTGGTGCTGTGCGAGTGGATGTGGTTGGAGCGCTGAGACAGTGTGCGCGTTGGTGGAGACGGGTTGGTGAGCAACGGAGGGAGGTTCGTCGTGCTCATTGACGGCTTCAAGCTTGATTTGGCCGCCGCATTTTCTGAGCTGGTGGTCTTTGATGGTATTGGGATATCTTCGGTCGTCGTTCCCGGCCCGGAATGGGAGGTTCGTGGTTTCAACACTTCCGCCATGATCCAAGGAACGGAGAGATCAATGTTCACGTAATCGAGTCCAATATACCCTCGCCCACTCCAGCTCTTATCCAACATGAGAGACCGTGACAGACACACGCGCGGAGACGGTCAACGTGGATGGTTGTGCGATAGCTCCTTCTGAAACACGGGTGAGATGTAGGCTGTCGCAACGTTCCGAGTAAAATGTCCGCTTCGATGGTCGGCCAAGTTTGAGGTACACGATTTGCGTCTCTCCAGAAGGCAATATTTAGAGGTCGGCAGGCCTGTCCCAGCCAAGTCGTGAGTCGTGAGCGATCGCGGCCGTATCACTCGAAGTATATAAAGCGCAGCGCCAATCCACAATGGGCCTAAATCCAACGTTTGGATTACGTTCTTGCCTCACGGTCGCTTGTTTGAAACAATAATATGCAGTCCAGGCTGCGAGGCTCCGTGCTTAGAAGCGAGATGCGTCGGCTTCAAGACTAGGCGGTAATACGAAATGCGGACGGCAGCGGAATGGTTGCGCCGCATATACCGAAGCTCGTTGATTTTCGTGACGGGTATCCTCAGAAGATGCAGAGAGAGGTAGCGCTGTGCTGGCAGGTTTCTGCTGCTACAACCGGTGGTGTCGCAGTGATGACGCTGGGTTAGGAGCGATTGTTGTGAGGGATGGTTGATGGCGGCAATGCGGTCGTGGCGTCGTGAGGGTGATAGAAGGAGGTGTTCGCAAACGAAGAGAGTGTCAACGAGAATTAATCCCATATATGTGAGGGCCAGCATGTGCTATGGAGAAGAGTGATTGAGGAAGTGAGCAAGCCGAACACCGTCCGGATTTGTTTGTGTGGAGGGAGCGGCGCAATGTCAATAGACAATAACAGGCCAAAAGGAATCGGCCCCAATGGTCAACAGAAGCTTCCTAGGGCTAGAAGGAGACCGGGAGTGCTGGTCGGTGGGAAGAGATGATGCTTTGCCACGGAAAAAAATGCTACAGATCACTCCGACGTATCTCAGGAATGGAAAGTTTCATGGCATCATTTGTCGCCGGTTCAGTGTTTGGATGAGCAGGAAATCGGTGACGCCGGCTATTCTTAGCACACAGACGAGAGGAGAACTGGAGAACGGGTCTAAATACAATTGTGACCACTGACCAGTCAATGGACCAGTCAACCGTCGCCGGTCACCACAGGATCTCCATCCATTCCCACCAACAGAGTCGCCAAAACGTGCTGTCTGTTTCAGATCCGCCAGTTTTGCCGTAATCCCGTTCCGTGCCACTCTAGCTGCTGTGGATCCCCAGATTTGCAGTTTTCCAGATGGATGCCTAGATAGTAGATGGCGAATCTACCCGAATAACGTATCGCAGCATCAAATCAGGCTGTTCAAGCGAACACGAGATGATGATGCAAACCGGATGGATCGCCCGTCATCGTCTCAGTAAACAAGCACAACCTCCAGGTAAGAACTAAACTTTAATGTCCCATTATCCCAGCCTCCATGTCAGCAATCAGGAATCGGCAAGAAATCGGAAACAAACCAGCAAGAAATCAGCCATCAGCGCCTCAAATCGTCAATGTTCTGGATGGAACCGAGCACCGGGCGCTGAATGGCTGGACCCTAACTCGGCTGGCGGCGTTTCAGGTGATATGCCGCTAACCCGATGCTGAGGAGCCTGAGGTGGAGCGCCCGTCCTGTTGCGAAACATTCGAGACGTCGCTTCGACCAGAAGGGTGGATTGTTTCAACCTTCTAGTATCACGATATGTGTTATTCAAGGTATAGATCGTTATTGGGACGTTCTCCCTTCTGCCCGGTTGTTACCTACAGCGGAAATACATACTAACAATCAAAAGCCCACTCCTCAACCGACCAAGGAGAGCGAATGGGAGATGGAGATGTCAACCAAGATGAGGTCTGCATCACGGCGCTTAGAAGCACTTGTGTCTACCGAGTCGGTAAGCTTCCATTCACAGACTCCTGAGATTGCCGGCCTTGTCCCTTCGTTTCTGTGTCTAGTCCTCGTTGAACCGAGCACGTGTCTGGCATCCATCGCGGTGTGAGCGTCTAGCTTCAAAATGGTCGAATAGCGGTGGAGGAGCTAATCGGCGTGATATCTAGCAGAAGGTATTGTGCTCTTGATTTATTTGCACATTGCCAGGAAGTAAAGTAGAATGGTCCGATCCCTATATCCGAAATATCCGATGTATGGAAGCAGACCAAGATATTACGGCTTTGCTTGTTGGCACGTCCTTGGCATCAGTCCGATTCGCTAACCACCCGAGTCGAATATAGTACTACGAATCCAGATGAATTATGCTTCATGTATAGTACAAGTCGACCGAAAATCCAATCGATCGACCTATTTCTATATTCGCTCGTTCGTTGTCAAATCTCGCCTCCATTTACTCTAAAGTGTTGTATCTCTATAGTTACCCGTTCTTTTACACACGTTAAGTACTTCATTCCTGCCGCCATGTCTCGTTTTTATCCGATCCTTCTTCAACAGGTCGTCTCATTTTCTCTTCTTTGTCATTCGTTTGCCCCTCAAGTCGCTCTTTCTAGGTTTCCAAGTAGAGACTTATTAATTAATAGAACGAGGTGGTACCATCATGGGTTATCTCAAACACCTCGTAACCCTCCTTTCCTCCCTCACCTTAGTTTCATCCCAACTGCAGGCGGGAAATGCTACTATTCAGGGCTTCACTAAGGAGGGGATCGCAGCCCTGAATGCCGCGATGCACCAGTGGGTGGACGATGGTAAAGGCGCCGGCGTTGTCACTCTGGTTGCTCGTCACGGCGAGATTGTGAGCCATGATGCCTACGGGGTGTTGAATGCCTCCGCAGCCACGAAAACTCCGGTAGAGAAGGACTCGATTTTCTCCATCATGTCAATGACTAAGCCCGTCGTCGGTGTGTCAATGATGATGTTCTATGAGGAAGGGAAATGGAAGTTGGATGATCCAGTCTCGAAGCACATCCCCGAATTTGCAGACCTTCAGGTCCGGGAGGCGAATGGTTCCCTGGTGCCGCAGAAGACCCCGATGACTATGGCTCAGCTAATGAGCCACTCAGCCGGGTTTCCTGCCCAGCTTACGGTCAACAGTTCAACGCTGCAAACGATCATCCCTCCGCTAGTAGCGGGCCAACTAGCGTTCCAGCCAGGAACGGATTGGCGATATGGGCCGGGCGTTGAAATCCAAGGTTACTTGATCGAGAAATGGGCGGGCAAGGACCTGTCCGACTTCATGGAGGAACGCCTATTCCGACCCCTCGGCTTAAAGGACACCGGCTTCTGGGTCGATCCATGCAAGATTAACCGCGTTTCCGCGCTCCACTCCGCGATCGGCGGCCGCGTCACAACCATCTCTTCCCCGTTCGGCTCCGGAATAGCGACATCCAAACCCACGCGTCTCTCCCCTTCCGGCGGCCTCTACTCCACGGCCGAAGACTACTGGCGCTTCAGCCAAATGGTGCTCAACGGCGGCGAGTTCGAGGGCACGCGCTACCTCAACACGAGCACCGTCAAGCTGATGCACACCAACGTCTTGGCCGAGGGCGTAGCGATCGTAAACGGCGGCGTGGGCGCCGCGCGCAGCCCGGGCACGGGATTCGGCCTGGACTTTGCCATCATCTTGGATGGGCCGGCGTCCAAGCAAAGCATGCCGGAGGGCAGCTTCTACTGGGGCGGGGCGTTCGGCACGTGGTTCTGGATCGATCCGACGGATGATGTAGTCGTGGTGGGTATGATTCAGAATCTTGGGGGCGCCTTGTCTGGGGATGGCTCGCTTCGGGAGGCATCGGCGAAGGGGACCTATGCGGCGTTGCAGCGGGACGCTTGTTCGAAGTAGCGGAGGGCGAAGTACTCGATATCGTGCAACAACGTTCGATGCTTTTATTGTTGACTAAATATCATATTGGATACCAGTACATATCATTTCGGTGCGCCAACGCTTCAAAGACCACAGCTAATTACCTGTTGCTTCATGCCCAAGTCAAACCAAGCTTCCCTTGCTTGAAGTACCCTTACCAGTTTGCTCCGTTTTTCTTCTGTTATTTCTCCTCGATAATACCTGGTAAGCGAACAATGTTAGTGAAAAGCTGTTGCCGCTAACTATCAAATGGACCAACTGGCGAGCACTGATTTGAGCCCATGGCGTAGCAACCTCGCTTTTGGGCTATGGGAGAGCCTCCTCGGGTTCATGAGGCTGTACTAGAAACGGCATCTCAGCCCAGCCTTGTTGGTGGGATACCTCTGTCGAGCGAGGACGACTATTTCTCCTCTTCTCTATTTCTTTCTCTCATGTCGCGGCACAGAAGGTGCTCACACGAGTCTAGGAGTGCTGGTGTTTTGGCACTCCGTACCTAGCTCGCTCTAGGTATCTTCAGCATGGCCGATCCTATCACAGCCATTTGTATGCTGTCGTCGAATGAGTACGATGATTCAGCGAGATACATTGAGACGATATTTCGAACCGACAGGTTTCAAACGGACCCTACGGGCAGTATCCCATCAATGATACAAGAGACAATCGAGTGCTATATCGTTTATTTCTGTATCGGGTGGAAGCCGACCACCCTTAAAAGGTATCGGACTGCGCTTGTTACTTTTGCTTCCCTTCAGGAAGTCGCAGAGTCTAATACTTTTCAAAACCCCACCGCGTCTACGCGAATTCAATTTCTGGGTTTCGGCGGGCGAGAGCAATTAGCCTCCGCCATTGAAGCATTCATTGCACGGTGCCATTATAGCCTCGGTGACATGGCAGCGTATAACTAATAACGCGATGCTCCGACGTTCAGAGCAGCCGAATCGCCTTTTGAACGCTCTTCGGCTTGTTAATGCCTGGATGGAGTGGTGGAAGGCCGATCCGCCGAAGTCCAAAGAGGAGCTCAAAAGGAGGACTGCGGAGTGGTATCAAGATGATATAGAGATTGTGTCCTTGCAGCATATTTCGTCCTTTTTCACAACCACAGGGTCGAATACACCCGGGTTTAGATGCTTCATGTTGAATGGAAGGAATCAAAATTCGAACCCGAGTTGACGAAAGTGACAGTGATACAACACAATTAGAATTAGAATGTGGAATCTGAATAACGTGACGTGCGATCAGATAAGGCGTGAGGGTGAGGCTGAGGCATCAATAAGGCATCAAGATCAAGTCTGTCACAGCGTCACACCACCAACAGAACCCGATCTCTTGGCGCAGCAACCGAGCTCTGCGCCTGGCTCTCCCGACCTCAATCAATTAGTCCAGCTCACCTCACATTGTTCCAGGCTCACCTTCTGCCAGCAACCCATCACCACCAATTCGGAATCTCCGCTCCTCCATCGACTTCAGTTCGATATCCACGATGCAATCCCTCATCCGACGCGCGGTATGCTCGGCACCCCGGGCCGCAATGGCCGCGAGGAGCACGAAGGCTGTTGCTGTCGTTTCCGGACGCCAGTTCAGCCAGGTGGCCGCCAGATGTGAGTAGCGATGGTTTTATTGGTCATATACGGGTTGAGGATGCCCATGGAAACAAGACGAGGTGGGGGATAAGAGGGAGGATGGCCATTGAAGCCTTCACGAGTCAAATGTGATGCCGAGGAAGTTGCGGAAGGGTTTGGACGAGCAAAGGATGGTGTTGGGGGCTTGATGGAAGCGTGGAAGGGCTACAAGCGCGAAGACTATCATGACTGTTGCTGACGACCAATCGTTCAATAGGTGACGCGGAGGCCGGCAAGCCAGCCAAAACCTACAAGAAGTTCGAAGGTAGGCATTGCTCCACAGTCTTCGATGCCTCCCACGAGACTCGCAAACGATTCCTATCAGAACAAGCTCTAACTCACTCCGTGTATAGAAATCCGAAGCGAGCATGATCTCTACGGACCTGGCGTTGAGGCTGGCAAGTTCCCCACCGATATCGAACAGTCCACCGGTCTGGAGCGATTGGAGGTTCTTGGAAAGATGGAGGGCGTGGATATCTTCGATATGACGCCGTTGGACGCAAGCCGACTGGGTAAGTGCATCCGTTTTCAAGACATTGGTGTGCTTCCAAGGTTGAGCATTATCAATTATCAATGTGGATTGAAAATCGCCAGACCATGCTATAATATAAACGCAGCTTTCTAACGCAAATCTTTACAGGCACGATGGAGGACCCGATCACCGTCAACTCGTTCGGCGACGAGCAGTATGCTGGGTGCACTGGGTTCCCTGTTGACTCTCACGGTGTGAAGTGGCTCGTCGTAAGTGATGCCTTCTTCCATAGTCAACATAAAGTCACGGGAACTAACTTGGATAGATCTCCCGCGAACGCCCGATCGAGCGCTGCCCCGAATGCGGGAGCGTCTACAAGATGAACTATCTCGGACCCACGGAAGACGAGCATGCCCACCATGATGAGCGTAAGTCACGAGCCCAACCCTTTGTCCATCATCCAGAACGCTGACAGTCGATAATAGACGGCCATGACGACCACCACCACGCCGTTGCTGAGGATCCCAAGACCTTTGCAGACTTTGTCAAGCCCGATTACCGGTGGACATAGAAACGTCGAGGGATGTTTGGGTCCCTAGAAAATTTGTATAGAACCCGTTTCCTTTTGCCTGCGGGAGATGGATGCATGCACCCTGTGTCTCATGTAGAATTACCTCGAATCTAGTGTGGTGGTGGGATGAATAGAGACTATTGTCTGTTAAAAGCTGCGTGGTTGTTTCCCTCGCGAACCGCGTACCCTTTGCAAGATTGAAACCAGCTTGATCATTCACCTCCTGCCCTAGAGTCCATTCAGGTTCCAGAGACATTGGATACGATACGTACCAATGCGTTTCATTGATCAAAATCACCTTAATGGCAAAGGTTCCTCATAACTGGGCACTGAGATCCGCATGCTATAAGCTTATACCGTATTTGTCTGGAACCCAATCGGATGCACAAGGGAGTAGTGGGCCAATAGCCCTTCGATGGACGAAAGCAAGGCATTGTCAAAAATAGCATCACCGGCGATCTTCACAGCCACCCCAAGGGTTCTTTTTCAAGTAAATTACGAAACCAGGGAGTGCTCAACTGTTCACGACATGTTTTTGCTTTCATGGAGGATATCGACTCCTGCCAGTCTGGCAACGCTCCACGCGTCCGATGAGCTGGAGGGCCATGATGCGATGACACGAAAGGCCTTGGGATACACAACATGTACGCTCGAAGTTCTGTAGCACAACCGGGGAATCGGTGTCACATAGAACTCGATATTTCGAAGACCCGATGTGAGACTTCACCTTTCAGCTAGAACATGGTGACTTTGACGGAGAGGTGTCGATATTTGCTCCCTCCCCTCACCCAAGCATCCTTGACGGTGATAGAGGACTTCGGCCATCGCAAGCAAATTAGATCGAGCATTATTAAAGATCGTCTTTTAATTGATCCACGAGAGGCACCCAATTCGCCCAAGCCAGCCTCACTGATCTACAACGCCGTTCCCGACCTCCCAGATGCGGTCATCGGATGCCGTCAAGATCCCACGATTGTCTGATCCATATCCGATCCGGATCCGTCGCCTCTCTGCTGTCCAATTTGTGTTTTCTGCTTCAACCGGGGAGTGGATGCTTTCGCGATTGGGTACAGCAGAGACGTTGAATATCGAATACTCGAATTCATTCCCTCCGTTCCCAATATCTGGTTTTCAACGTGACCTGAAACGCCCAGCATCGTCGTGCTGTCAGCACACCGGTGTCACTCACGGTCTAACCACTCCAATTATTATTGCGCCCGCGTATCGATTTGTCGTGCGGTTGCGGTTGCTGTAGCCTATGCAGCTCCGACGCCCATCCCAAGCCACCCAATTATTAGGAGCTTATTAAGACAAGGAGTAAGGTCCCGACGTCAGCCCAACGGCGCTTTGAACCGCTGCGGCTCAGACGGCGCATCTGCGACGGGAAACTACCACGAAAACCTTCAACGCCATAGCTTTTCCCAACCACGACGACACCACGAAATTTGAGGGTTTTGCTTCTGCAGCCTTCTGGATTTTGATTCTACCGCTATCTTTTCGGACATTCGCTATTATTCCACGTATATCCATTCGGTCGGGAGCTGTCGAAGCTGCTGGACAGAGGCGGAAGAGACCGATCTCGCGAGTCACAAAGTGCTGGAAGCCTGGAAGCCTGGAAACCCGAACCACTCCACGAGTCCACGCGTACGACTTGCCCGGACAAAATGCGCGCAAGAATGCGGAGGCACTGAGGAATATGGAGATATACCATGACTTACTGGTGAAGAAGAGGAGACGGTGGAGCGGGAATGGACGGAGTCGTATGGAGAGATGCGACTCGACGCTACGCGGCTTGTCGTTCAAGAGGAGGATGCCTCTACGATGGCACTTCATGCTGGTGATAGCATTATCGATCCTCTCGACAGCGATCCCGCGCACCAACGCTGCCTTCCTCGCCTTCGAGAACTGCCTCCCGCCAGGGATGATCAGCAGTGGAGACCCCAAACCACTTCAATTCGTTCCCCATTTCTTCTCCGCAACTTTCAACGCCACCAACGACGAGAACTCCCTCGACCTGACCGTGTATGGGAACGTCACCGGCCAAGCATACGTTGGGGAGCTGCCTCCGCCGACGGACCCCGCGTGGAAGGATCCGGGCAGCCCGGCGGGGAAGATCCTCAACGTCTCGGAAACGAACAACTACTATTCCACCATCTTTTCCGAGGCGAAGGTGTTGACCTTTACGCCTTGGGTGTCCCACCCGGCACCGTTTTGCGATTATGTTCGGGACGAGGCATGCCCTATTGCTCCTGCGTTCTTCCAGAACGGATCAAATCCCCACGAACTCCCGTCGTTCTCGGTCTCCCATAAATTCTTCTCGACGTACGCATTTTCGACCTTTAGCACTCGAATTTGGGTTCAGTCGGGTGATCTGGGCGCTCCGTCTTTGGCTTGTGTCACCGCCAATGTTACACCTTCACTGGGACGAACGATCTCTGATACGCTCACATATGTACCGGCAGCGATTCTAGTACTCATGGCCATTTCGACGGTGACGGCAGCATGCTTTAGTCCATGGAGCTCGCCCGACCCGTTTCATTGGACCAGCAACTACGGACGAGACGGCGATGTGCTGAGGCTGGTTACTCCGGGCTTTGGCGATTGTCTACAGTACATCCAGTTCATCGTGCTTGCAGGCAGCTTAACCCTGAACTATCCTGGGTTCTTCCAGCCGGTGATCAGCAAGGCTTCGTGGTCGGCGTTGGTTTTCAATCGGAGCTTCGCAAGCAATGGCCCGGGGGCGCAGAGTTTAGTAGACGATGTGTATGTGGTGAACGCAACGTTCGGCCTCTCTGCTTTGGGACAGGTCGTCGGCGTCAGCGAAGATGAGGACATCTGGACGAGCATGGCCATCTGGTTTGCCGTGATTCTTGGAGCGGTGATCCTCCTTTGCCAACTGGGATTCTTGATCCGGTCGCTCCATGCCCGGTGGAGGGGCTCGCAGGATGTCGATCGGCAGAGCAAGAACCTCCCGTTCACCCTGGGGAACATGGTCCGAGTGGTGTTCAATTTCTTCTTCCTCCCGATTGTCTCCCTTACGCTTTTCCAGCTCGTCGTTGCACCACATTCTCAAGCTGCAGTCACCGCCATGGCCGTGGTCCTTCTGGTCCTTGTTGTTATATCTGCGATCTGGATTTTCCGCCTCATCTTCGCGACCCGGCCGCGCGTTCAGCTTTTTGACCATCTCCCTACGCTGCTACTTTATGGACCATTGTACAACACCTACTCCGACGAAGCCGCTCCTTTTGCATTCATCCCGGTCGTTCTCAACAGCATTCGGGGCATTGCAATTGGCGCGATCCAACCCTCTGGTATCGCCCAAATTGTCGTCCTTGCTATATGCGAGGTCATATTCCTCTTGACATTGCATGCTTTTCGTCCCTTCCAATCTCCGACTTCCATGACGGCCTACCATACCTTCTTCTCCGTCTTCCGACTTTCTGCTATCCTCCTAAGCGTCGCATTCGTTCCAACTCTCGACGTTTCGGAAGGGGTGAAGGGATGGATTGGCTATGTAATCCTCCTCCTACATGCCATCGTGCTTGCCTTCGGGTTCTTCCTCAATGCTCTGCAGACTCTTATCGAAGTATTTGCCCGCCTCCTTGGAGCAGGACGCGACGAGCGTGGTGGCCTTTCCAAGGTCTTCGGTATGCGGCAGCTTTCTAAGCGCCATCGTAAGCAAGTGCGTCGCTCCGAGCAGTCCGATGCAGCGATGTTAGCTTCAGAACACGAACCGAAATCTGCGATGGACGCTCGCTCTCGTAGCCTCTCTGCTAGCTCTGGCGTCCTCTTGCAGCAGCATCTCACTGTTGATCGATCCAGTCAAGGCGATATTACTCCCGGTGGGGCGCAGAGCCCCTTCAACTTCATCGCGGGCAGCTCAGCACCATCCGTGGCGGCAGTGGCTGGAGCCCGGCGACCGACTGTAAGCAGCGGTGGGAAGCCATCGGGTGAACACGTTGATCCGTATTATCGCCCTCCGCGAGCCCGTCGCCCTACACTTGAAATTAGCCCCGTGGCGGGCTCATCGAAGTCGCCTCAAACGCCCACTCAGCGCGAGTCAGGAACATCTGCGGACGGTTCCATCCGTCAGCAAGATGAATTCTCACTTGCAATGGCTCGCGACGACTCATCCACGGGTGATCTACACTCTTCCACCTCCATATCCTTCTCACCAAGTGGCCCAGGGGGAAATACACTAGGACGTCGAAATTCGATAGTATCCCAAGGATACATGCAGGAGCCGAGTATCGCAGGCGATCAGCGTCGTACTACCGATTATGCGATCCGCGAGGCGGACTTCTACTATGGCGTACAGCGTGGCCCGGCCTTGTCATCTACGCCAACCCGAAGATTGAAGACCGGTCCGGCTGATCCGACCAGTCCGGCTAGCAGTGCGGCCGGCTGGTTCAGGGGACTCGTTGGGATGGGTGGTACTAGCGGAGGACAAACATGGCCATGGAGCAAACCTAAGCACAAAGGCTTCGAGGTTGTACGGAGTAAACCTGCTGCTATCGCGATGATGAACCTGGACGAGGAGGATGAGGCGCAGGTGCGCTATCGGGATGATCCGGATCTGGAAGCTGGGACTCCAACCCAACGAAGGAGGACAATGACGCTTGATAGCACGGACGAAGCGCCGAGAGGCGGGGATGAGCTGGATGCCACGGCCGGCGCAGCGAGAAGCATGCACTCTTATTCCGATTACGACTCTCCGCGTGTCTCTAGGGACGATGATGCGTTTAATGCGAGCATGCCACCGCGTCCTTACCAAGGCGCGAACTCTTCGCAACCTCCTATTCTCGCCCCAATCAGTTCCGGCTCTTCATTACATATGCCTAGTCGAGCACCCAGTAAGACCAGCGCAGCTGCGCAGCCATACGGTGTCCGCTCCAGCTCCCCGCCGCCTCCAATGCCCGTCTTCTCATCCAGCGTCATCGGTGCGCAATCCGGACCTACCGTGCCTCGCCGCTCATCCCGGCATCCGGGATCCGCTGACTCCGGTCGAACACACCCGACCCTCTCGCCGTACCAGGACAGCTCGATTTATTCGCAACCCATGCCCCCCGCCCACGCTCAAGCTCCCTTACAATCCTTCCATGCCGATAACCTCGATCCACGCGCCAAGACCGAAGACCCTGATCGCGATCGGTACAATGTGTCAGCCTACAGTAACTTCAGCGGAACGAAGACGCCGAGTGAATACTACCGCCGTTCCGTCGAAACCGCCCCATCCGACGACGACCCGCGCGCGAAGACGGACGTCCCGAACCGGAACGACATCTCCGCATTCTCCTTTAACAAAACTCCCGTCGAGCACTACCTCCGGCCGGGCCAGACCACGCGCATGCCGTTTTCCGGCAACAGTGAGGAAACCAGCATTCTGAGCACGAGCATTAGCCCGGTATCCGATCGGAGTGGGCTAGAGGGGATGGGCGGGATACCGGGATCTGGAAAGCAGGGCGAGGTGCCGGCAGAAGGGAGTGGTGAGCGACCGATGAGCACCGGCACGGTGGCGCATCGAGTGGGAGAGGGGATGCGGACGTCGCAGAGCAACATCCAAGGCGAGCAGGCGGAGGTGATCAGGAGGTGAGCGTTGGAGAACCAGACGCTGTCTTGCGTATTGGACGCATAGACGGTCGGATGGCAAGGCACATGAAGCGAGCGCCCTGGACATCCGTTGATGATTGGAAACGGTAGCGATTGGAAATGGTAGCGACGGCGAAACATTGGGAAACGGCAGAATTTGGAACTTACCGGACGGAAGATAATCGTAATTTGTGCCCGGTTGGCGGCGAACGCAAAAGGTTACGTACGAGTGGGATTGTTTCTTATTTTTACTTCGATTGTACACTTTTTTGAATGAATCTAGATATTCATCGGCATCCTCCCATGCGAGCAGTGAACAATATGCGTTTTATAACTCCGAACCTGTCCACCCGTAGCAAGAACCATGATGCCCGTTGCTTAGTTACCGCCGTGGTTGTAATTCTACAACAGTGTAAGGTAAGCCTCAATAGAAGCGTATCCAATGGATTGGACCCTTCGGCAATGCGCTCAGCTGCCTCACCAGTACGGTATCTTCATCTCACAATAAATAGAAACCCTTCCCCACGCCATTCCTAGTACAAATCGCTCAAAGACAACCTCCAGCGCCGATGCTGGTGAAAGAAAAACGAACCACGCCCGGAAATCTACACACATATCCACCTGCATGCCAGAGATCTGCTCTATGACCTATTGCAACCGGCGACAGCCGCTTGCAATTCACTCGTCGTGCCGGTACACATTCTGTGGCCACGTGGGGCCTGTGGGCCCCGTGGTCCCGTTCGGCATCTGCCTCGCCCCCAAGTTCATCAGGGCGTTCGCTGAGGATAGGTACTCGTTCCCCATGTTCGGAGCGAACGCCGTGTTAGTGAAGTTGTCCCACATCGCGGACCCCATGTTATTCGGTGGGCCATTCGCCCCGGAGGTATAGGACCCGAGCGCTTCGGCGAGAGACATTTGCGGGGGGCCGTTGGGAGGTGGGGGAGGAGCGGTGTCGACTGGTGGGGCGGGATTTTGGTAAGGGGAGATGGGGTAGTTGGTGGTGGTGGAGGGGTAGCCGGCGGAGGAGACGCCGAGACTGACGCTAGGGTCGGGGTAAGGGGTGTATGGTGCCGCTGAGGGGACATATTTAGTACCCGTTGCGGAGTTGTTTTCGGTAGGGAGTTGGGCATCTGTCCGTGCAGCTTCTGCCTCTGCCTGCGCCTGTGTTTGCGCGTCCCGAGCGATGACTTCGAGCTGGTGCTTGTTGTTGAAGCGGTCGTGAATCTGCTTGAGGATACCATGGATGATTCCCTTGATCGTTTTCTGCAGCTTCTCGGCCGATGTTTCGACGGGGGGGATTCTCATGGGGGGATATGTCCCTTCGGTCTTGTTGGGGTGGACCTTTTCGAGCATCTTTCCAATCTCGCCGACCATGTATAACCACCGTTCCATGTTGCTCCGAAGTTGGTCGTACTCGTCATTACGGATATCTTCGGTCCGTTGGCTGTACACGAACAAGGCCGTGAACAATCCCGAAAGATAGGAGGTGACGGCAATCCAGACAACGTCTAAACTCCTCAACTCATGCATGGTCCATATGACATCCAGCAAAGTATTAGCGGTAGTGAGGCAAACTTGAAGGTTGTTCGTAATGTATTTGGAATCCATGGACGCGCATCGGGCCGGATGGCGAATCAAGAGCCGGGTCTCGGCATCCCATAATTGACAATAAGTAGCGAAGACACGATCTTCCTCGACAGCCTTGTCTGGGTGCAGGGTTGGATGAAGTTCGTTCTTGATCCGGTCTAGTTCCATTTCTAGGGCAAGTACGGTCTGCTCGTAGTTATAGTTTGGCGGACGCAATGCATAAATGGTGGTGAAAACCTTGGCCATGAGCGAAGCGATCTTGAAAGTGACAATGCCAACGCGGAATGAGCATTTTCGATCTTCTGGAAGATCTTCGTTGGGGAGATTGTCGTGCAGCGGCTCAGGGATCTCGCAGTCAAAGTCCTCGTCACGGAGCGGCATCGGTCGTCCCAACCTTCCACTGAGGGCGACAAGCAGAGCGTAGAGTGACCACCATACCCTCTTGCCCATCTCGATCTCATTCGAGTCAAGTTTGCGCTCGCACTCGCCCCAAGCTTTCGCAGATCGATGAACACCCAGTTCAATAGCAATAGAGTATGTCCAATTCGCCATTAACCAGGCAGGCCCGGGTTTAGGTAGATTGCGAAGGTAGAAGCAGATCATACATAAGGCTGCCACGCCGGAGATCTCTGTGGCCCCAACGAGCTGGCTCACAAACCCTAAAGAATAGGCATAGTGGGCGTGAGATTCCTTCAAGTCGTTTTTGTCTCCATTTCGAAGTGATTGCTGGAACTTCAGGCTCGCGATCATCATATGATACGAAACGATTTCCGATGGTTTCAGCTCCACATTCTCGTCCGAGTGGATACGATCGAGCTGGAAGATATGTCAGTGACCGCGGATTTAGGATCAGAGCTCAACTTACAAGTCTCATGAAGTCCGGTTTATGAAGGATAGGAGCGAATGGGTTGACTGCACGAAAGAATCCTTCCGCACACATTCGTGATGACTCAACGGATATCATCTGTGGCTTTTCGTGCTTTTCCAGACCAAATACTCCCTTCAGGAAGAAATCATACGACTGCTCAACCGGATCGTCTTGGATAAAGTCTGCAATGTCTACCTCAATGCTAAAGAAGGACAATGAAGTCCCCTTGATGGTGCTGAGAGTTGAGGAGGAGGTGACACCAAAGTAGTTGTTCCCTTTGCCTTGCTTCAACGCCGGGAGAACGCTGGTGTCGAAACTAGGATGTGGGTATGACCCGCTTGCAAGCGGATCCCCTTGAGGGTTAGAAGACCAGTCCGAGGTTGGCGCACCAAGGGTGGTTGTTGGTTGACTTGGAAGCGCAGCGAGTACAGGATGACCAATGTCAATCATGAGTGGAGGAACGTCCTCCCCCAAATCCCGTAGCCGGGTTTCATATTGGACAATGCGAGACTTGAGGATACGGTTCTCCTCTTCCAGTTTGTCGCCGATGCCCCGGATCCAGGCGCGACCAGTAATCCGATCTGTGGTCAGACACTGGGTTCCTACATCTAGGCAGTTCTGGCAACCCGAGGTGTTCGGGTCGCACCGCATCTTGCGGATCTAGTAATTTGTTAATGAATAGAACCGCGTAGCGACTTTATTTTGAAACACATATGTAATGTTGCACAAGATCTCATACGCAGGGGTTCAGGGGTATCCTCAGATCTCCTTTTGCCCGCGATTTCGAACCGTTAAAAAATGAATCAATGCGAATCGACTCACCTTGCAACGATCGCATGCTTGCCCAGTGCGACTAGACGCGTGCAACTTTTTTCGAATGGGTTCTCCAAAGTCCTGAGGTGCAGGACGGCGACGGTTTGCTGCTGACGAAGGCGATTGCGCGGGATTCTGAGGAGTACGGGCATTGCCGTCTGCAGTCGCGTTTGCGGGATTCTCCATGATGGCGTTCTCCGGGCGGATTAAGCCGTTCGTTCAGTATACTGCTCCTGAAACATATATTTTTTAATTATTTCACAGTGAAATGATGCCGCCCGCTAGTTGAGAGGGTCCTCGAGGGACGTGATCAGAAATATTTGATGATCATGAACCGTTTGCGCATGTTGTCGTCGGTGGAAAATCGACATCTGGGGATATTCTGGGGGAAATGGTCTGTGCATGTGCTAAGAGATAGTCAGTTAGTCACCTGATTGACTGCACGTGCGAACTCCTGTCCTGTAACCTGACTGGCTGCGTTCCTGCCGTTCCTGTCTTGTGCTTTGAGCCACAAACGCCACACTGCCCGCATCCTTGCAGGGGGCAGCCGTCTCTGCCTCAGGCATTCCAGGCAGCCGCATCCACAGCCCATAGGAAGCCAATGATGACACACTAGTTGCCAAACGCCAACACAATCCGGAGCTGTGTTTGCCTGATTCAGATATTATATACTCTTGACCACCTTGTAATTAGTTCAATCAATGCGGTGTGTCATACTCTCAGCACCGCCAATTGTGACCTCAAGGCTAAGCAACACACCGTTATCCAATTTGGGCCTCAGAACAGCTGATACGGAAGTCTCAAGTCCTGTGGCCCAATCACAACTCCCCATTTCCTGCGGTGAAGAGCATATTCGGGCTGTGCAATTATAATACTTCTCCTTCGCTATAAGTTGCTTTGCTACCCAAATGTTAGTTGAGACATCATCGGGGTCGATTTCTTCTTAAGCATTTGGAGGCCAATGTTCAGGCCCGCGATCACGATGGGGAGTCAACCACCGAAGTTCAATCCGGCTCTCCTGATAGTCGACTTTCAAGAGGACTTCTGCCCGCCGGTAAGCGCCGAGCCATGTCAACTTAAATATAACTTGTACTAACCAAATGTTCCATCAAGAATGGCTCCCTCGCGGTCAAAGGGGGGCGAGATATCGCCCCGGTTCTTAACAGATTATTGGATCTCCCCTTCACATTGAAGATCGCTACGAAGGACTGGCATCCTAAAAACCACGTCTCATTTGCATCAAATCACCCCCATCCAAACAACAAGCCGTTTGAATCCTTCTTTACCATCACAAACCCCCTCAATCCCGCCGAGTCGGCAGCGACGAGGTTATGGCCCGACCACTGTGTCCAAAGGACCCCCGGTGCCGAACTAGCCCCAGAACTTGACCAAACCAAACTCGACGAGATCATTGAGAAGGGTCAAGACGAACGTGTCGAGATGTACTCCGTCTTCGCCGATCTATTCGTCAACCCGACCGTTTACCGCAGCGGGATCTCGAAGATGCTGAAAGAGAAAGAGATCACGCACGTCTATGTGGCGGGTCTAGCGATGGACTACTGCGTCAAGTACTCCGCCCTGCACGCGGCGAAAGAAGGGTTTGGAACGGTGGTCATTGCCGACGCAACGAAGGCGGTTGATCCGCATCTGTGGGATCAGGTGAAGGCGGAGATGGAGCAGGCAGGGGTCAAGATGATCGATTCCAATTCACTAGAGATCGAGAGGGTGAAAACGCTGGCAGTCGACCCGAACACATAACTCGACTAGTCTGATAGGCTGGTAAAGACACTTCAACGAAGGAATGCGTACCGCGATGCATGATCTAGGAAGCCTGGCGCCAAAGGTTCAGAGTTTAGATCCTCGGTTCATATGGGATATACCCAGTACTGATACATAGAATGGTGATTCTTTCATGTTCATGCTGTCTACTTCATCCTGGATTCATATCAAGTAGAGCGGCCTTGGATCACAGCTTGGGACAGCTTGGGGACGTCAATGCGACTCGCGTGTGACATCCAATACTTTCATTCAGAAGCGCATCCGCCAGCTTCGTCCTCCTATGTTCAAGGCCCGTCACCCTTCATTTCCACCCCAACGGCACCATCATCGCCGCCACCATATCCCCCCCCCTCTCCGTCGCCAACATCGAAAACTGCGCCGCCGCATTCCTCGTATCCAGCACCTCCAACCGGATCCCCAACTCCGCCACGCTGTTCTTCGTCGCCGGATCCAGCATCTGCACCCGCTCCCCCGTCCCCAGCAACAGCAGGTCCGGCTTCGGCGCCACGTGCTCGAGCAGCGTGAATGCCGCCGCCGGGATCACCACCCTCCCGACTCCGTCCTTCGGGAGCGCTGTCGGTGATGGTGTGGTGGAGGAGGAGGAGGAGGAGGAGGAGGAGGAGGAGGGGAGCGTAGGATACCAGCGGAAGGCTTCACCGGCGACGAGGATGATGCCAGAGTTCTCGACGCGGACGCCGCCGTTGAGGACGAAGCCGTCGGGGAGGCAGATACTCACGGCGGTGTTGGGGGGTGGGAGGTTGCTAAGGATGTCCAGGTTATCGAGGTCGGTGGGAGGGGGTCCGTCCCGCGCGGGTGGTTGTGAAGGGGGTTCGGGGCGGGTGGACGAGGTTGGTTCGAGGTATCGGTGGCTATAGGAAAACGATCGGATCATAGGTATAGAGCTCGAGGGGTTTATGGAGCGGGGAGACTTGGAGATGTGTCGGAGTGCGGAACGAGCGAGTCGTAATGGTGGTTGTGACATGCTGAGAAACGAAGGAAATTGTAGAGGCTAGACTCAGCAACACCGGTGCAATTGAATTATAGAATGCTGAACTTTTATTTAACACGTCGAAAATGTAACAAAGTCTTTATAATCGCTCAGATAGACTGGTTATCAACAAAACTGTTCTTAGAAATATATTTGTGATTATGGTCAAGTCGCAAACTCATGATCGTCATTAGCACTTCATGTAGCTGTAGTCCGCTGGAATACTTCGTATCTGTTTGAACTTTGAAGCAGTAAGGCGCCAACCATCGTCTGGAATCAAACCAATAAGTCGGAATATCAGTTCAAATGAAACTACTAATAAAGATCTGAAATATTAGTGGTAGGATCATATTAAGGCGGTCTAGATTCGATCGCCCATAAAATCCGCCAAGAATCCACAATGGCCTCCCCAAAAGCCTCCCGCTCTCTCCGCCCCAAAGCCCCCCTCCAGCAACCCAAGCTCAAAGCTTCCACAAGCGGTTACACGGAGTCGGCGAGTACCAAAGGGAAACTCGAACTATGCATCAAGACCGAGGAGGATCTCCAAAAGGAAAATGGTAAAACCCCCGAATACAGAAGGACTGTCCAGCAGGACTAATGCTGCATGGTAGATATCCACTACTTCGATTCCAGCGATGCGCCGCACCCGTTGCTAGGAGAAGGACCGTATGGGAAGAAAGACGCGGGACGATGGCTTCTCCCGCCTGGAGGTACCGGATAACTGACGGAATGAAGGCTGGAAGGTAGATGATTCCTAACGTGAATGGATTTCGATTCCCGCTGACCCGCTAATTTCGACGTAGATACACGCACGCAACAAGCGCTCGACAAAGATGCTCGGATACTAAGAAACGTCGGACAGCGCTGAAATGCAACAGATTCGTCCTCATGCAGCGATTGTGCGTCTTTTCCCAGCCAGCATCACTCCTTCTCCCGTCTCCAGAATCTCCCATGCCTCCCCTTCCCTTCCTCCTCCTCATCCTCTTTCTTCCTCAACACCTTACTCTGCTTCTTCTGCCTTTCCTTATCCCTCTCCTTCCCTCCATATCTCCCCCCATACTCTTCCTCTGCCCCAACCCCCACCTCCCCCCCCATCCTCGGCAACGCCGCCCACAGCCTTCCCCGCTCCTCACTCCCTGCAAACCCCACCACCACCTCCTCCCGCTCGGCCGCGAACGGCAGATCCGCCAAATTCACGTACCCCACCTCCGCCTCCCCGGCTCCCTGCCCCGCCGTTCCCCCCGTGTCGTACCGCCCAGCGAATCCCCCCTCCTTCCACGCGGAGCTCAGCCCGTCCAGCAGCACGCTCTCGCGCTTCCCGCGCCCGCCGCCCGCGCTGAGAAGCGATCCGGCTAGCGCGGGCGAGCCGTCACTAGTGGCGGTGTCCGGGCGGTGGTCGACGCTGTTGCGGGGGGAGGGGTCGCGGCTGCGGGGCTTGGAGCGGGTGGTGGGGAAGCCGAATTTGGCGTCGGGGAACTTGATGGCGAATTTGCCGGGGGCGGAAGCAGAGGTGGTGGTGGCGGAGGCGAGGGCGAGGCGGGAGGGGTCGAGGCGCTCGAAGGCGTCGGAGGGGCGGAGGGGGATGGCGAGATAGGGGGCTTGGGGCCAGGAGGCGAAGAAGGCGAGGAGGAGGGTGAGGGGTGGGTGGGTAGGGGAGTGGAGTTGTTCGAGGATTTGGAGGCGGGTTGTGGAAGAGGATTTGGGGGTGCGGGTGAGGGAGAGGGCGGAGCGGCGGGAGCGGGAGAGAGTGAAAGATTGAGGGGAGCTATATGGGGTGAGTTGGAGGCCTGGGTGATGGTGGGTGGGGGGACTTACCAGTCGTATTTCACGGTGAATCCAGTGAGGATGGATTCCAAGGTGTGCAGGTCGGACATGGTGGAGAAGGTGTAGGAACGGATGGTGGGGGATTCGGTGGCGTGGAGGAGCTGGCTCCATTCCGGGCCGACTTTGGTGGAGGGGTCGGTCCGTTCGATGGTGCAGCTGAGATCATGGGGATCGGAGCGAAGGAACTCGATGCGCGGCTCAAGGTCCGTGGCGATGCGAAATTTTAACTGCGACGACTGGTTGGTGAAGCGGTCGGTCAGGGTAATCCTATATCCTTGCGCCGCCGAGTTGAAGACGATCCGGAGGTAGGTGGAACGATCGGGCTTGATGGTTTGAATGATGCTCAACTTGCTCCAGGGCGGCTGGCCGGATGCCGGGTATCGTTTGCGAGACTCGACTTCTTCGAGGTCGAAGCTATCGAGCGGAAGTTCCGCGAGAACCTGCTCGCCTGGTTGGATGTAGAAGCCTCGCATGACCTCCAACAACTGTTCGCGTTCTTGGACGGATCGGAAACTCAGGACGAGATCTCCGCGAGTCTGTGCGGGGCCGTAATGGAACATGACGAGGACGGGAAAGCCACTTGCATCCATGTATGATCCAAGATGCTCCGGCTGTGTAGCGGGAAATGTCAGAGTTAGTGTGTTCATGCTCTTGTATCCCGTGGTAGTAATGACGACCCGAAAGCCCGAGAGCGACTCGCTTCGATACCCGCCACTATGCACGGGTCGCCGTGTGTAAACCCCGAAGATATGGATCGAAGTACTGGGAAATGCTCCGCTGGGGAAATTGTAGATCGACGGTCGTTCGGGGGGGTGGGATTGCGGTCCATTTTGGTGGGCAGGACCTTGCAGGAATTTGAAGTAGAATTCTCGCAGGATTCCCTGGTAAAGTAGGGTTTCGTTTCGTTGCTGTTCGATAGCAGTGGCTGCAGCGTATGTAGAGTCGTATGCCTTTCGTATCGTCGTGAAATCGGAGGGGTTGAGGGCGATCATGAGGTAGGTATCGTTAGGCCACGGACTAGGCAGTGCGATTCGCATTTCCGGTCTCGAACGGTTCAGTGCGACTATGTCGTCCCACGGAAGCTTGTCCTCATACTAACCAGGTTAGCGAATATCAAATCACCGTACTGAAATTACTCACGATGAAGTTGATGGTGTCATTCTGCGTCGCGAGCGTCAATTTCATATCGTGCGTGCCTCGACGACGCAGAATGGTCAGGAGCGCCGGCATTTTCTTAATCTCGACGTCCTGCATATAGTCCGGATCGATCGTTACTAGCACGAAACACCGGTGCAAACAGAAGTACTCATGGGTGTCCGCAACCGTCATGGTGAACAGCACCCGTGCGTCGTCAAAAGGAAGCAAGTCGTGCCCGATACACGACATCGCGACCGCCGGGATCTCGGGGAACGGCAGCTTGGGATACCGGATCCATATGAGTTGATCGAGCCCTTGAATGAGCACCTCATGCGGCGGCATCAGCTTATTCCTCGTCATCGACGACGCCAACAGCTTCATCTGCCCCCGCAGCGTCGATGCCTCCGAGAAGATCCCTGCCGCATACTGATCCCCCGCCGCCTGCGCCGCCGCCTTCTGCGAATCATCGTCGACACTCATGTAATCCTGCAGCTGCTTATGCGACGGCAGCACGTCCTCCAAGATCCAGAACGTCTTTCCCAAGTCCACGTGCCCCTGGTCCAGCTGCTGCGTTCCGGGGGAATCCAGCGAGTGCTGGGCTTTCGCCCGCGCGCGAATCAGCTCTTCGAAGCGTTGGCGGGCGCGCAGGAACCACCACACGGCGGCGCGGAGCCACTGCTTGGCGGTGAACTGGGCAATGGGGGATTCGCGCTCCGCGGTTAGCGGGAAGATTCGGCGCATGTGGCCGATGCGGTCGGCGAAATCGATGAGCGACATGTCGGCGGTGGCGGAGGTGGGGTTTTTGACGGAGTCTGGTGTTAGCTGGCTGAGGGCTTCTTCCTGGTCGATCTTGGCGGCGGAGAAGTACGGGAGGGAATTGGGGGGGTGGTTTTGGGTTTGGATTAGCCCTGGGGAGCGCGGGGGGCGGGAGGGAGGCCGGTCGGCGGACGGGCGACTGGCAGTTCGTGCTTGAGGGTCAACCGATGGAGGGTGGGGTTCGTTGATCGATAGCGGAAACGGGCCAGGTGGTGTCTGATACTCTTCGCGGTATCCTGGGGAGAGCCTAGCATGGAAATTTGGAGACGGTGTGGTATATGAGCCAGCGGGTGGGGGACCAGTTCGTGGGTGCGGTTGTACGGGGACGGCGTCTGCGCTGAGATATCTGGTCGGTGGGGGTGGAATATTGCGAGGTTCGGGGTGTTTCGAAGCGGAAAAATCTGAACCGCTCGATGGTGCATCATGGGACTCAATTCTTGGAAGCGTTGGCTCACGGAGAGGAGAGGCGGAACTCCGCTTTTCCTCTCGCGTGGATTTACCCGCATATTTATCTGGTTTTGGACCCGGTGCAGGTGGTTGTTTCGGTTGTGTCGCCGAGGTCCCAGATGGGCCCAAGGCATCGCCCAGTGATAGATCCGACAAGTCATCTGGGAGCTCCAGCAACTGGCTTCTCCGCACTTGATGTAGGATCCGGCCTTCCTCCTGTCGCATCCGTTGCTGAAGGACCTGGGTTGGAGAAATCGGTGACTTGGGAGACTTGGCTGGTAGATCGTCCTCCTCTTCTAAATAATCCGACCAGCCCGTGGGCGCTCGCTGGAGTGGCTTCGGCTGGAAGTCATCGTCATCGTCATCGGCACCCACGGTGGTGGATACCGTCAACGACGGAGGAACAATGGCCCAACTTGACCGCTGATTAGGGGGCAACGTATTGCTCCTTTCCAGGTCACCCGAATTTCCTACCGGCTCCGAAACATTGCCTCGTGTCGGCCGTAGCGTATGATCTTCCAAGCTCATGCGCACCGGAGGCGGCTCCCATCGTGGCTCGGGCTTCTTCGCCGCATTTCGGGCGCCCACATCCCTCGCTTTTGATTTTGAGATCGCCATGGTCGGCTCATCGCAGTCGTCCCCTCCATATCCCATGATCTCCAGTGCGCCATCATCCCATGCGACATTCAGCCTCGCCCGATTCCTTGCACTCCTCCCTTTGATCGACGACGGCGTCCGAGAGGTGTTAACATCATTGGCAGTGGGATAGCGTTGTGCGGCGGCGATATCGATTTTGGGAGCGAGTTTCGGAGCGAAGGAGCGAGCTTTCGTGGTGGAAGGTTTGAGGAAGTCTTGAACATCGTCGCTAAGTTGGTTGGATGCACTGGTGTAGAAGGGTTGGGGGATGTCTCCCGGGCGGCCCTTTTCCTTGCTGGCGGACTTGTGGGTGGGTTTGGTTAGCCACTTGGGGCGGGCAAATCGCTTGTGGTCGACATCTCCATCGTCGCCCATAGTGGACATAGAGAGATCCTATGCCGAGAGAGGGGTGGAGGGGATGGAGTAATGAAGGAGACGAGAAGAGGAAGAGGTGAGGGTGGTGGTGTTCTCATGGGGGAGGGCACAATGGAAGCGTGGAGTGCGGGATATTCAGGTTTGGCTAGGAGACCCTGGCAAAGCTGCCACAGTGGATGGCGGGGATGCTTAGTCCCTTTTGGTGGAGCTGGCCGGATGGATGGTGATGATTGATGAATGATGGGGAATTGGTGAGGTGTTCAGTCGGCACAGCCTATTGACGATTGACCGTTGGTGTCTGATGGGTCATAAAACTCCACCTGATTGTATTGACATGAGTGTATTGACATGAATGCTATTGTACTGGAGAAACAAGAGAAGCAATCCGCCGTGGGAGAGACCCGTTCTATTAGCGTCACATGTCTGTGCTTGCACTTCGACGATAAAGTCCCTGAAGCCTTAATCCTGAATTGTAAGGTAATAATCAGTACATATCCTCAAAATAGATTCCCGCCAAGTACTTCGGATCCCATCAAAGGCACTACGGAGCAGCCAGCAGTAGCGAAGACGGACTAAAAGTCGAAAATCACCGATGTCTATCATCATCATAGTAACCTTCAAATTGGAGCAGAGACATAGGTAACTGTACGATAGTTCCGAACGGAAGCGATGAAATTCTAATTTCCAGTGGTGACCCCAACCATGGCTCACTAGCAAAAGGGTCATCTCCCGGAGATATTAAGTGACCAATATCAGGATCCGGGGAATAAATAAGAAGACCCTTTGTGTACCGTACCACGATAGAGAGAGGATGGGGGGAGCAAACGCTCTGCTAGCATGCACCGATGATTGGGCTACTAACTCAGAGGACGAGACTGAGCGGAAGAGACGGGGCCGAAGATAAGATGATGTTCGATATTGCGCCACGGAGATCAAGTGACTCGAGGAAGATGTTGATGATTGAGATCTATTATCGGGATGGCGATCTGGAGGGCGATCTGGGTCGACTGGGTGTCTCTCCCCGCCAATTCTCCGTACCCCGCGAAGTGCCACATCAAGATCCGAATGTGTTTCAGTAACGAGGGATGGTCCGGACCGTGATATATTAACAGCACCTTGGATCTCTAAAGTCGAAGTAGTCAACTGAAGACTTTTCGGTTTGCCTACCAGTTCAAACAATAGTTAGGACAATAGTACTACAGACCAACATTATTCAAACGCAGGGGCCGAATCTCCATGAAGGATCCAAAGCCCTCATCACGACTCATATCACTCCTAATATTAGCTATACCGGTAGTATTATTCGTACAGGCTTATGAGATACGTACCGGTTATAAGACTATATGAGAGAGATCATCGACATCATTGGAGGCGTCATCTGCTCTCCCTTGTCGCATCTTCTCGGACATTCTCTCTCATTGCCCCCATTTGGCTCCTCACCCCAATCCTTCAATCTATCTATCTTAACCCATCATCGTCACTTGTACTTCTGGTCGAAAACCACTCTTGTAATCATCCTATCGATTTCTTTCGTACGGAGTACGCTCTGTTCTATTCCAACCGTGCATATCCCCTCTCCTCATCTTCAGTGGCCGTAGACCGGTCACACGGCGCCCAGTGAACCCCCACCCCACGCCGAAACGCCTCTGCTTCATCCCGGCCCTCAACGCCTCCCCAATCCCCATTCTCCCTATGTCTTTTCTCAGCACTTCAGAACAATTTCATTTCTTACTCCAATAATAATCCGAACTGCCTCGAACTCATCGCGACATCGTTCCCAGAGCACTGTTCGACGCATCACGTTATCCCTCCTCGTTGCGCATCCCGTTGCGCATCGCCTTGTTTCGTCTCGCGACAAGCCGAACCTATCATCGTGAACGAGGGGAACCACGACGCTTCACATCCTGCAGAACGTCCTGCAGATATACTCCCCACCCGGATCCGCTGAGAGCAAACTTTCTAGGGGTCCTCGAAAGCCTCGAATCTCTCGATATCCGACGGTCCTGGATGCGAGAGATCGGGGGATGCAGTCGTGGTGACGACCCCCGTTGAAAAGGTGGCTGGGAAATTAAGTCGCACCGCCGCCCACGGCGCAACGCTGCACGAGGACCGATTCTTTCCAGAAGTATTCCATCGCGACCGTCTTGCGGCTCTGTTCTCGATATTTCCGATGGAGTCTCGGATTGCGTTCATACCACACTAAGGATGCAGGTCACGCATGTAATTGATCCGCACCAGCCTTCCGGGAAGTTCATTCTGGCACCCAGTCGACACTCCGTGGATTCAGCAGCGATCCAACCGCACGGCACCAATTCCTCTAAACCCCTACGAACAAACGGGCGCTCCGCAAGGACTAGCGAACGTGTGAAGTCCCCCAACGAGGGCATTCTTCCTCCCACGCCTCCATCGGGGAGCGCGAAAGACGTCACCATGGCCACTTACCCTTGGACCCCCGACCGACTCACTCCCGCTAATCTTCAAGGCCCGCCAACCCCAGAAACCACCCCACCCACTCCCTCCGTCCCGGTCAGACCCTCCCCCAACCATTATCCTTCATCAGCGGCAGAGTCGTTTAAGACGGCCCAGGAAGACCTCGATTCGGAGGAGGAAACGCAGACCCATACTCCATCCGACAAGCTCTCGACCGATCTGTATTACATGACGAACGGGAAACTAGGACTTCCTGGTGGACCCTCGCCGAATACCAGTCTTCATTCTCGGACTAAGAGTACCCCAATTGACATGGCTACCGCGAGAGCGGGGATTATCAAAGGAAAAGGCGTGCAATACACCTCGAGCGGTGCCGATCGTCCTGGTACGCACGACTCTGGCTATGATCCCGGAATGAACGGCGCTATCAGCGCATCAGCTTTCCAAAGATTACGACACGTTCACCCACAGCCCGAACGAGAAGTGCAATACAGTCCGGTACGGACCGGCCGGAACTCGATTCCCACTGACGATAGCACCGCCGTAACCCCCATGCGACGCAAATCGCTTGGTCCCAAAATCCAGACCAACCTCTCCCCCCTCGATGGCGGCCACTCCAACCGACGAAGCATCTCCGACGCCTCCCCCCTCTCCGTCGGCGACTCTATCTCCCACATCCGCTACGACCCCCGCAAACCCATCCTCCGCCACGTCTCCAAGCGCGAGTCCCTCCGCCTCCGCGGCGGCAATCAATCCGCCTCCATCTCCCCAATCACGCTCACGACGTCCAACCGCTCGTCCCTCGTCTCCAATGAATCCAGCCCGCCGCACCCACTCCGCCATAAATCGCGGACGGTGCCGAAAAAAGTCGCGTTCGGCTCCGCGATCGACGATGCTGCGCTGCGGAATGGCCCCGCGCCGTCCTATCCGGGCGCGCAGCGCAGCCGCCCCCACGGGAGAAGCAGATCGCTCGCGGACGACGGCGATGCGCTGCGCGCGCTTCAGGGGGGCGCGGTGCAGCCGGTTGGCGAGACATCCAGCAACGCTATCGATTCCTCCCCGTCGAAGTCGTCGAAGTCGTCGGGGAGGAGCGTAAATAGTGGGGCGCCAGGTTCGTATCTCGACGACGCGCCGGTGGAGGGAAAGTATGCTACGGAACCTCTGTTGCCGCCCAGTCTACGGAATCGGGATGATGTCGAGTTGTTGGGAGCGGCGCAGTCTCGTGGGCAGGATACCGTGCCAGGCGCGCAGCCGAGCAAAGGAGAGTTAGCCGTGAAACAGGGCATAGACAATGGCCTTGGAGTCAACGCCAACAGCGTTTACCAGGGGTCGCAGCAGATGCTCGAAGTGCCTTCCAAGGCTCCTTCCAAAGTTCTGCGTACATCGCAGACAGATCGTACGTTATCTGCGGAGAAGCCAATGACCTCATCGAGATTGAAGCCAATCTTCGAGCCGGAGAGGCCTGCAGTAAAGTTCCATATCCCCTCTGATACCATACTAAGGCCGGATTTTACTGGAAATGCCGGGGCCGGACCGGAGAAGAGAGCTTTGCCTACCCCCAGCCACGTTTCGAACCCAGACTATGTTCCCTCGGGAGATCAACCACGGGATTCTGATGAGACGATCGTAGTAAAAAGAAGGGCCGAGAAGGTAGATGCGACTGAGCATCCGCCGGACAACATTCTAGCGATTACAGCCCTGGTGCCGGAAGATCCTTCGCAGCATTCAAAGAGACAGGATAGAGCGGCTACAAATGCAGTGGCAAGACCCGATCGTCTAACAGCACCTCGACTTAGTGCTCATGCTGACGCATCGAGTTCATCTGCATTTCATACAAACTCCGAGCGCTCCGTCTCCTTCGACGCCCAACGCATGAGTTTGGACCGCATGTCGGTAAAGACCGATGATCACTATGGCCTGAGTGGGTCGATCAGGCATCAGCTCACTCCTGGCACGCCATTCTCTGTTTATTCCGACGCACCCAGCGCCATGGAAGTGAGCCAAGCGACGGCAATCAACCTCTATCCGCACAACAACGATTCGCTATTGCTCGTGCAGCAAGCTGCCCGACCTGGCACGTCATCTCGTCCGCAAACCCGCGATGAAGCTACCGCTCAGCCAAATGACGACTCTGCAGCAGTGAAAGAGGCGACAAAGAATTTGAATACATCGGATATTCATCAACCGACAGTCGTGATTGAGCCCTCGACTCCTCCTGATGCGCATCCTCCAAGCCTCAAGGACGATAGTCCACTGACCAATCCACGCCCTGCACCGGCCCCTCCAGCACCTGTGATACCTCCAGCATTCCGCGTCATCCCTCCCACACCATATTCGGATGAAGACCAACAGCTTGGTGAGGCCTCCGCCGAGAAACCTGTAAGGCGAGGCTCCGTTCCGACCCGCCGAACAAGCATCAAACAACGTGCGCGTCGCTACTCCGACAATTTTATCCAGCCGTTCGCCCGTGCCAGCTTCCCCTTCACCCGCCGCGGGGTCACCAACCCAATCGATCAGCGCGACGAATCCCCCATCTGCGTTCCCCCCAAGCCCGTGATCACCATAATCTCCAACGCCGACCCTCCTAAACGTGTCCTCGACTCCCCCCCTCAAACCGCCCCAGCAATCACCACCCGCAACCCCCTTCCATCTCTCCTCCCACTCCCCACGCGCACCCGCCCCCGCTCCTCCACCATCGACTCCACTCGATCCCTCCGGCCCACCGACCTCTCCAACACCCTCCACCCCAACTGGCGCCCTCGTCCCCGCCGCGACTCCGACGCCCCCTCCCCCTCCCCACACCGCTACTCCCTCGACGACCTCGACGACCCCGAATACTACTCCGACTCCGACTCCGGCCCGGACTCCGGCCCGGACCCCGGCAGCCGCCTCCCCCCCGGTGGCGACACCAGCGACATCGGCGAAGCCCGTGGCCTCGGCAAGGTTCGAGGCAAGGTCCTCGAACGCTTCTCCAGCCTCAAGCAACGCAAACGCCAACGCGCTACCTCCCTCCCCGTCTCCGCCTCGCCGACCGCCCACACGAACGGCGGCCCCCGCGAAGTCGTCATTACCAACGGCGCCGACCAAGACAGCCCCACCCGCCCCCGCATCCCCGCCCATCCCGGCACCAGTGCCGTTGGCGTCGGACTCGACGCACGGGCGTTCCTGCTAGGCAACTCGCTTGGCCTCGACCGCGCGGGGACGAATCGGCGTAAGCCGCAGATTGCGGTGACGGGGGAGGTAGGCGGGACGAGACATGTGCGGGCGATGTCGGCGTCGACGGCGGGGTCGTGGCGGGGGACTTCGGCGAGTGGGATGCGGCGGTCGGTGAGCGCGAGTACGTTCCGGACGTCGTCGCGGGAATCGGGGGAGTCGGAGGATGCGGCGGAGAGGGCGGGGATGGTGTATGGGGGGAGGCCTCGGGGGGTGGAGAAGGGGGTGAGGGTGCCGGGATTGAGGGGGGTGAGGATTCAGTATGTGGGGATTGGGGGGTTGATGGGGCGGTGGCGGACGCAGAGGGAGGAGAAGAGGGCGGAGGGGCGGAGGGAGGTGTTGAGAGGCAGGATTGGGAGGCCGGGGGTGGCGGAGGGGTAGGGAGCGAAGGAAGGAAGATGGTTGACGTTGTTTGTCTGTGTTTTTGTGCATACATCTATTTGATCAGCGGTTCTTTGACGGCCGAACGACGGGATATTATATGTCGTGGGTTGGGATGGGAAATGTTTGTCCATGATGGGATATGGGAGGGAGTTGGTTATGGCTGTATCATTAGTGTGTTCCCGGACGATGCGATGATTCATGATAGCGCGGTTATGGCTGATTTGGCGATTGAATACAGTTTAGTTGGACATATATCTCCTGTGTGCTGCGGTTCGTCCTATTTGGTGTTGAGTTGATTTGGCGAGGATGTGTCTAGTATACTCACATGGAACAAACAATCGGTTTGGACGCACGGATGGAGCCAGACCTGACGCGTGCGCGTGGTTCCAGAGCGCTGTATCCACAACTCGATCAAGGCGGATCTTCTGAGGAACTTTGCTACCTGCTTGGGCTTGCTAGGCACTGATGTCTCGGCAGTTTTAGAGGAACTTGAAATGGGTTTCCACAGGGCTCCAGCATGTTCGGAGAGGACGGGGTAAGCAGGGGGACCTATGCTGTAGCTACACTTCTCCACGGCCAATGGCCGGTTCTATCATGATAGAAGGACGTCGGTAGTGGATATGATATGGGAGGACACACTCCCGTCAAACCTCGCGGCATCAGTGAACCGGATTGAAAGTTAGAAAACATCAGTCACTACATAATCCTACAAACCACCTCTTGCTAGTAATATCATAAGGGCAGGATATAGCAAACAATGACCCAAACGACTCTTCAAATAAATAAAACCAAGAACAAAAAAACCAAAAGAAGAAGGGTTCCAGCAGGAATTGAAACCTGGACCATATGCTCACAGACCGGTTGTCGGGCTCCCTTGAACCGTGCAGTGACGTCAATTTACCCGTCGCGCCCTCATTCTCAATTAAAAATCTAGAATTAATAATGATATACTACATGTGGGTTCTCAGTCTTCTTAAATTCACTCATCATGTCATAGTCTTGGGCTGTCGGCCCAGAGGCTCTACCCCTGGGCTAGGCCTATCATGATTCCTCAGTTTTCTCCTATATTTAAGTTATCTTCATCTGGCTTACTAACTAGATCTCCTTTTCTAGACTATGGGAATCGTTAATACCAATTTGCGTTATGACTCGACAGTAACTGAGCTTAAGCAGCGATCGTGCTTAATCATCACCCACGCGAAATGCGACAGCGAGAAGAATATAAGAACCATATAACTTATCCATATGGCCCCTTTCACAGAATTTAGACGAAATATCTAGCCCAGCCGAGCAATTCACGAGAGAAGCGCCTCAGATGCTTCTCCTGAAGTTGAGGATACATCATACAAGACACGCCCGACGTCGTCGGTTACCTGGCCCCTTGATGACTTCCCCACACGACTGATTGGCCACCCACTACGTTTCCCCGCGCCATTCCCGGCTTATTTCCAGACCCCATTCCAGCCATTCCCGAAGCCGACGATCCACGAATTCGCCATCATCAAATCATACGCACTGGAACGTGGGGTATCATCTCGTTATTTCCACTGTTCCAGGGCCTTCGGGCCGGTCTAGCTAGAATCTTGGAGCCGCTTGCAGGTAATGAGCGCGGCTTCGGCTGTGCGGCCGGGTTTAAATAGGTAGAATGGCCTCCCCCGATGGGAATCCCGCCGTCTGTTTCTTCATTTATTTTTCCTCGGTCATTCGTTTGAAGGCAAGATGTGGACGTTGCGGCGCCGATTGGTTCGAGAGGGCACAAGATCCTTTGCACGGACAAGAAGAAAGTTCTCCACTGAGGGGATTGTGGACCATCATTATGAGTGAGTGGATTGAACAGACTGATTACTTGAGAGCTGGTTGCTAATATAGAGTGTAGCGCTCTTGTCGTCGGTGCCGGTGGTGCAGGTCTTCGTGCTGCGGTAGGATTGACCGAAGCTGGATTGAAAACAGCATGTATAACGAAACTGGTACTTCCACAATATCACCGCACCTCTTACAATCCGCTAATCGATCCAGTTCCCAACCCGCTCCCACACCGTCGCAGCCCAAGGAGGCATTAACGCCGCCCTCGGCAACATGCACGACGACGACCCCCGCTTCCACCACTACGACACCGTCAAAGGCAGCGATTGGCTCGGCGACCAAGACGCCATCCAATATATGACCTCCAACGCCATCCCCGCCATCGTCGAGCTCGAGCACATGGGCATGCCCTTCTCGCGTACCGCCGAGGGCACTATCTACCAGCGTGCCATCGGCGGGCAGTCCCTCAACTTCGGCAAAGGCGGGCAAGCCTACCGCACGGCGTGCGCCGCCGACCGGACAGGCCATGCGCTGCTGCACACGCTGTACGGCGCCAGTTTGAAGAGCGGGTGCCAGTTCTTCGTGGAGTATTTCGCGCTGGATCTGATGATGGTGGATGGGCGGTGTGTGGGGGTTACATCGCTGAGTTTGGAGGATGGGGTAAGGCATCGGATGTTTGCGAAGAATACGATCCTTGCAACGGGGGGTTATGGGAGGGCGTATTTCTCGGCGACGAGCGCGCATACAAGTACGGGAGATGGGTGTGCGATGGCGTCGAGGGCGGGATTGCCGCTGCAGGATATGGAGTTCGTGCAATTCCACCCGAGCGGTATCTACGGCGCGGGAGTGTTGATCACCGAGGGTGCAAGAGGCGAGGGAGGTTACTTGCTGAATAGCGAGGGAGAGAGATTCATGGAGCGATATGCGCCAACAGCCAAGGATCTGGCATCAAGAGATGTCGTGGCGAGAAGTATGAACATGGAGATCCGCGAAGGACGAGGCGTGGGGCCAAATAAGGATCATATCCACCTGCAGCTGAGCCATTTGCCCAAGGAGATCATCATGGAGAGATTACCCGGCATCGCAGAGACGGCGTCCATCTTCGCCGGGATCGACGTGACGAGAGAGCCGATTCCAGTCCTGTGAGTCCCTCCCTTCTACTCCACCCCTTTCTATCTAACACCCAACCAGCCCAACCGTCCACTACTGCATGGGCGGCGTCCCCACCAACTACAAAGGACAAGTTCTCACCACCTCTACCGCCACACCCCACCCTTCCACCACCGCCCCCGGCGCCACCTCCCTTTCCCTCCTCGCTCTCGTCGTCTTCGGCCTCTCCGCCGCCGTCGACATCGCCGAGCAGCACGCCTCTGCCTCCGCCCCCGCTATGCCCGACCTACCCGCGGACATTGGACACGCCTCGTTCGCGCAGCTCGAGCAGACGCGGACGGCGGACGGCGAGCGGCTGACGGCGTCGCTCCGTGACGACATGCAGCGGGCGATGCAGCGTGACGTGGCAGTCTTCCGCACGGAAGAGTCGCTGGTCTCGGGCAAGTCGACGGTCCGCGAGGTGGAGCAGGCGTTCAACACGGACCTATCGCTGAAAGACCGATCGTATATCTGGAACAGCGACCTAGTGGAGGCGCTGGAGACGCGGAACCTGTTGACGTGCGCGGCGCAGACGGTGGCGGCGGCGGTGGAGCGGAAGGAGAGTCGGGGGAGTCATGCGCGGGAGGATTATGGGGAGAGGATGGATGGGGAGTTTTTGAGGCATAGTTTGACGTGGCAGGGGGAGGTGGGGGATGAGGTGAAGGTGGGGTGGAGGGATGTGATAATGAAGCCGTTAGATGATACGTTTCCGGTAAGTGGAGTGGACGGTTCGGTGGTTGGGATAATGCTAACAATGATGTAGGAGGTTCCGCCGACGAAACGGTCATACTAACGGGTGTTCGATGCCGTCGTTGTCTCACTGAGGCTGGGCGTCACGGTTCGTGGTTTTCATCCGTTCCCAGTAGATTTGATTTGGATTGGAAATATAGGCAGCTCATTTACAGCAATAATGTATGGGGCTGCCTCCGATATACAACCTGAGCCAAACCAACTTCTGAATTCGGTAGATGTGATATTCTCGCTAGCATTCTTGTTATAGGTTGCTTGATGTTGAAACCAACGACTGGTGAACTTCAAAGCCACACACCTCACTTTTCCGTTAGTACTTGTTTCTCACGGTGGCGATCGTGAACCATCCAGCGAACCAGATAGAGGCTTGCGGGTAGCCAGCATCAGATCAGTCGGTCATTGGTGCAGTCTCTCCAAGGCATGTCCTAATACTACAGTGCGTAAGTGGAGCGAACTTCCTGGATGATACATGCAGAATACTACGAATACATTTACAATTATTATGCGTCCCTCTATCGCTGGGAGTTTCCAATCATTCCTTGAGTTGATGGCATCACTCCTTAGGCTGACCTCTCCTACCCACCTCTTGTTAGCTACATGCACTTGAAAGATCGGGGCTAGGCATAAACCGGCATGCACCCGAGAAATGTCTCTCACGTTTCTATATATTCCACCATCACTCGAGAACCCGTCCAGTGATTCGCGCTCGGAGACCGACAATCCCCCCCATGACGGATCGACCCGACCGCGCGATATCAGAACGCATGGATCCCTCCCCGGAACCGCGCCCGGATAGCACCGCAATCTCGGCGATTACCCTATTCGCCATCGTCCCGAGTTCCTCCAGCGCTCCGTGTGTAGTAGCAGCGGTGTCAATCGCGTGGTGGGATGGAACGAGCAGGTCGGAGGACGAGGTTTGCAGTGTGGGAGATAACCACGCCCAGAGGGTTGGGACGAACGCATACCGTGGAGATTAAACGTGGGAAGGAGAGTGGGTAGATTAAGGCTGGAATTGAACGGCTGTTCATCTCATCTGCAGGACACGTTGAAAGTCATCTAGAATGTTTCGCGACCGACAAGGAAGAATCGGCAATGGGGACGTTTCACGTAGACGCCGTGGCGCGTATCGTCCAAAGAGCACCGGGCAGGAGATACAGTTAGGTCTTAGGGTCGGCTCACGGCTTGTCGTAAGTTAACCGAGCTGGACGATTTGAAATGGTGCTGCACTCCGCACGCATTTATCAGGGGTTGGACTTTGGTTCGTCCGTCCGTGGATGCAGGGACAGCTGGGGGAAGGGGTCGCGGGATGAGGGCGAAGAGGGTAGGGGGGCCCTGATCTTCGGTTGATTGCGTTGACGATCCAGAACTGAGGGCGCGCGATGGATCGTACCATCCATTAACTACGTAATCGGGTGGAACTTGGAAGAAGATACAAATGGGAATGGGAATGGAGAGGCTGGGGTGGTGTAACGATACGATCTAGGCAAGTGTAGATATGTGTGAGACTGGACTAGAGGAAAGGAAACAGGCACAATTGACAACAGTAGGGGGGAATTCGATGGAAGTTCTGGAAAAGCACCAGAAGCATCCGATACACTTGGAACAGTTGAGAACGGGCATCAGGGCGGCTCTCTCCCTGCATCTGAGTACATCATGTTCCGATGTTCGGGGGATTCGGGCGATCAGACCAGCTTCAGACCAGCGCACCCAGCACATGCTCAAGAGCCAGGCCCTGTTTCAGTGTTCGACTACTCGCGATGTTGGAAACTTCGGTTGGAGTGTGCGAGTTAACTTGACTACGTAGATTGCTTGGTTCTTAAAACGATGAATGATAATGATAATGGGAAGATCAGGGTTCTCCCTCAGCCTCCTCGATGTGGGGATTCTTGTGTCATATCCCGGGGATAGTTCTCCAGCGGACTGATGATGGAGGGAACACTGGGGATAGAAACTACAGGCGGAACAACGGTCCTGTTTCATCTTTTTCTAGAAGCTTGGGCTGACGGCTGCCGTCGACACCATCTTTCAACATCATCGCCCTAGACGGCCGGGAGCAAGAACAGTAGAAGGGGATCATCACTGTGGATCATCGACGAGATAATACATGTAAATACCCCGCGAGAACGAATTGGGAGCGAGTGGGAAAAAGGCCGACACCGCCAACATCAACACATCAAAGGGTCGCGTGTCGAGATAAATTGCCAATTGCCAATTGCCAATTGCCAATTGCCGCGAACACCTTGAATGATTCCAATTTGCATGCACGGTAACCTGCAGAACCGCCAGCACGGAAGAATTTAATACTGGAAAGATTACCTGTAGCTACCGTCTACCGTCTACCGTCTACCCTCTACCGCCTACCACCTACCGGGCCTTTCTCCGTCCCCCTCCACGTCTCTCTTCCCCGTCTCCCCCATCGATCACCCGCGCCTCTGCCTCTCCTCTCCCCCCATGACCTCCCACCTCCCACCTCATTCACATCTTCGTCAATCTCCCACTCCCACCAAATATTTCCCATTCACAATAATTCTTCTATTGTTTCAATCTTTAATCATCTCGGCCTCATCTTCAAACATTCCCACTGGCGTCATATTTCGCCCTTATTTTTTAGCCGTCGCCGATCCTCTCGACGCCATCACATCACTCAGCAGTTGAGCTATACGGACCTGAACCTCCCACTCCTCCCACTCCTTCCACTGTCCGACGGCCCGTCCGACCTCACCGCAACGCCGCCACACACGCGTTTCGATCCTCACTCACCTCTCGTTCAAGGCCGAAATAACTCTTCTAGGCGATTAGAAGTAGACATCTGCATTGCGGCGCTGGTAATATCCGGTATTACCGCCCATCCAGATCTTGACCGCCTCTCGTCGCTGCGTCCTGCCGACATCAGCTCGTGGGTGACAGCAGAGCCGCTGATGCTACTTCGGATCTGACGAGCGTGTGCGACGATACCTCGGACTTCTCCAACGCTGCTGAACCGCCGTTGACATCGGATTCCTTCTGTATTCTAATGTACATCACGTGTCGCATCCATCGCCCGATCTTTACCACGAACCGGACCTCTGACGACGTTCCCCGCGACTAAGCGCGACATTCGAGACCTATCGAAAGACACGGCTGCACGATTGATTGCTACTCATATTCCCTGTTCCACGCACCTACCGTGGCTCGCAAGCGCATCGACATCATCCGCTTCACGTCGACAAACCGACCTCGACTTGGTTTACGTCTCTACCATTCACGCATCCGGCTATCCCTACCAGTGAATGCGGCAGTCAAATAATCTTTTACTATCTACACTACCACCTTCACCATAATGCGCCGCCATGGACGGGGCCCCGGCGGCGGCACAATGCACGCCCACCGCCCGAACGGTGTCCCCCCGATCCCCGACACCATCAGTCTGATCCGATCCTACGACTCCGAGAGCATGCCCACGCGACCCGTCCGACCATCGCCATTGACGGCGTCGACCATCCAGGGCCTGCCGCTCGACCTCCTCGACCGGATTCGATCGTTCCCGCTGTTCGAACGAGCGCCCGACTCGTTTCTGGCGGAGATCGGCGCGCATCTCCGACCGCAGCTGTACTCTCACCATGACTATATCTTGACGGAAGGAGACGAGGCGAAGGCGATGTATTGGCTGGTCCGAGGGTCGGTACGGGTCACATCGAGGGATGGGGAGAGCACGTATGCGGAACTAAAACCGGGCGCGTTCTTCGGAGAGATCGGCATATTAATGAACATCCCGCGGACCGCATGCATCGTGGCGAATCTAAAAAGCATGGTAGTTCGCCTGAACAAGGAGGATTTGCAGAAAGTCCTCCCCAGCTACCCGGACGTGGAGCGCGCCATTCGGGAGGAGGCGCAGGAGCGGTTGACGATTTTGGAGCGGAAGAAGAAAGAGGTGGGAAATCAGACCGCGACGGGGAACGGGAAGGTAACCGGAAGCTTCACGCAGCATACGACGGCGGGTGTTGATGAGGGTCTGCGAGTGTTTGGACCACGAGCCGGGAAGCGGCCACGAGATCGAATGGATGGCGACGTGCAGATGGGCGAAGCCGGCAGCATGGATGGGGAAATGTTCGCCGTGAGCAAGAAGCGGAAAAGCCCCAGTCCAAGCTTGGCCGAGGCAGCGGCCTCAAGCGCGCTTGGAAGCGGGTCGGTCAGCGTACGACAAACGCTCAAGGAGTTACCGCTATTTACGTCCCTTCCTCAGGAAATCCTGCATTTCCTGGGCCTCAAGGCCATCCCGAAAACGTATCCCCCGTTTACCGAAATCGTCAAACAGGGATCGCAGGGTCGGGATGTGTTCTTCATCATACGTGGCGAAGTCGAGGTAGTGAGCGAGTCTGTGCCCAACCCGAAGGCACGACGAGAATCGACGACGTCGGGAGCGCGGTGCGAATCGCATGTGAAGGCACGGTTGAAGGCCGGGCAGTACTTTGGTGAGGTCGCAAGCCTCTCTCTAGCGCCGCGCCGAACCGCGACTGTGCGATCCGTTTCCTCGGTCGAGTGCCTGATGATTGGCGGCGACGTGTTGAACGAGCTCTGGCAACGGTGCCCCCCGAACATCCGCGCACAGGTCGAGATGACTGCGAAACAGCGGCTAGGCGTGTCTGGGAGCCAGGATGTCACCATGGCGGACGCCTCTGAGGGAACGCCCGCGATTGACGAGCTGGCCATCGCGGACATGGGCCCACGTTCCCCGCGACCCCTTACCATCCCCAGCGTGACTTTCAACGATCCGTTCCACGACACCGCATCGAAGAAAAGTAAATCCGACGACAAGACCGTCATCGAGCAGATCGATCCAGATCCGTACCTCAACCCCGAGTTGGATAGCATGCAGATGCGTTCGAAGTCTCGTCGTGGATCCCTGGCGCCTCCATCGCCCTCGGCTTCCGCTCAATCGACACCGACTTCGAGCCCTTCCGGTACCCCCGAACCTCCTGACACCAATGGCCATGGAATGATCACTATTCTTCACACGAAGCACGATGTCACGCCTCCAGAACATCCCACCGCCTACAAGCGCGCAAAGCTCCTTCGAACCCCGCACAAAAAACAACGATCCCCACTCCCCGACAGCATCCTCATCCGGATCTTCGACAATCTTCCCCTTCTGCCGCTCATGCGTTCCCGCCGCGTCTGTCTTCACTGGCACAAACTTATCTCCACCTCTCCCGCCCTCCTCCACAACCTAGACCTCTCCCCCTACAACCGCGACGTTACCGACTCCGCCATCGTCAATATCATCGCCCCCTTCGCCGCCAACCGCCCCCGACTCATCGATCTCAGCAACTGCTTCCACATCACCGACGAAGGCTTCTCCACCCTCGCCAACGCCTGCGCCCCCAACCTCCGCGCCTGGAAGATGAAGAGCGTCTGGGACATCACCGGCCAAGCCGTCCTCGACATGGTCAACAAGGCCAAATCCCTCGAGGAAATCGACCTCTCCAACTGCCGCAAAGTCGGCGACAACCTTCTCGCCCGCGTTGTCGGCTGGGTCGTCCCCGACCTCTCTGCCAGCATGGCCCACCACCAAGCCGCCGCCGCCGCTGCGAAAGCCAACGGCGCCCCCCGCGGCGGCGGTCCGCAACCACGTGCCAGCGCCGCGCACCAGGGCGCCTCGCCGCACCCGCTGCAGGCATCCGCGAACGCCATGCCACCCGGCACGGTGATCGGGTGCCCGTCGCTGAAGCGGCTGACGCTGTCATACTGCAAGCACATCACGGACCGCAGCATGGCGCACATCGCGGCGCACGCGGCGCAGCGGATCGAGTCGATGGACTTGACGCGGTGCACAACGATCACAGACGCGGGGTTTCAGCAGTGGAGTGTGTATCCGTTTCCGAGATTGACACGGCTTGTGTTGGCGGATTGTACGTATTTGACGGATAATGCGATTATTTACCTGACGCATGCGGCGAAGGCGTTGAAGGAGTTGGACTTGGTGAGTTCCCCCCTTTCGTTTTCGATTCCTTTCATCCTTTAACCCTCTGCGATTTTCGTGGGGAATCCAGCGCTGACCATTCTAGTCTTTCTGCTGTGCCCTCTCTGATGTAGCTACCGAAGTCCTCGCCCTCGGCTGCCCCGCACTCACCTCGCTCAACCTCGCCTTCTGCGGCTCCGCGGTCTCGGACGCGTCCCTGCGCGCCATCGGGTTGCACCTCCTGGACCTGCGGCACCTGTCAGTGCGCGGGTGCGTGCGGGTGACGGGGCTCGGGGTAGAGGCGGTGGTGGCAGGGTGCACAGAGCTGGAGAGCTTCGATGTGAGTCAGTGTAAGAACCTGCAGGGGTGGTTGGATGGCGGGGGGGTGGAGAGAGTGAATCGGAATCCGGCGAGGAGGAGGGGGGGTGGGGGGAGGGGGATTCGGTTTGAGGTGGTGGCGGATGGGCGGTGGAGGACGGGGGTGTAGGGCATATCTTGGATGCAAAGCAGGGGATGGATGGTAGTCGCGTTTATGACTCCGGCGATGGAGCTTGGTTCTTCGGGATGTGGTGATGCCGTTCTTTTTCGTTGGGAATGATACCTTTTACTGTGATACCTAGATGACCGGGCTAGTTGGAGTTTTGGAGTTGCGCATATATGGATGCTGGATATGACGGCAATGAGATACGGACCGGACTATCATTCTGGGGGGGGGGATGCATTAGTACGATTGCACTCTTGGAATAAAAACACCGCTAAACTGCTATATGATGTATTAAATATGTCTATTGAGACTTCTACTGTGCAATCTGTGCTGGACGATCGGACATGGCATGGCGGTTCTCCTTTAACTCCGGATTGTGTAAGCAAACGGTTGATCACGTGCCGTCAAGTCACGTTCTCGAATGTTCCTCTCACGTGCCAAGACCGGAGTTTGCGGCGACATCATCGAAGTCATCAACGCAAATTGGCGCTAAAGCTTCTGGTTATGAAGAGACACCCAACCTCAATTGTATCCCCAATCCTCCCATTCTTCTCCCCTTCACCTCATCGACATCCCCCGTCTGCTCCCCATCCTCCCCACGATGTCCTTCGTCCTTCGTCGCCCGTTCGCGGTCACCGCGACGTTGAGGCAAACCACCTCCAAACCCACCACCGCATCCCTCCTCATCCGCACATTCCACTCCACGCCACCGAAACCGTCATATCGCAGCTCCATCCTTTCCCAGACGGCCAGCGTCCGAACCACATCTAGCAAAACCCTTGACTCGCTCCGACATGTCTTCCGACGCAACTACAACGCCGGCCCCAACACATCCTATTCCCCCGGATCGAATTCGGCGGAGCTCCGCCAGCGGCTGCTGTATGGCGCCGGCATCTTCGGCGGAACGCTGCTTGCGATCAACCTGCTCTTCAACCGGGAGACGCGCGAGGATGGCGGCATGCCGGCGTTTGAGCGGTCATACTTGAATGATACATTTCTGCACACCGGCCTGGGGCTAGGGATCATCGGCATCGCTGCCCGCACGCTCCACACAAACGGATGGAGCCATCGGTTGATGGCCATGAATCCGTGGCTCGTTGCCGGTGTTGGACTCGTTGCTAGCATTGGATCAATGTACGGCACTTTGTACACCTCGCCCGATAAGTAAGTCTTCCAATTCTCCCTCCTCCCCACTATCATTCCATCCATATGCTAACGGGTTAATCACAGCTATCTGCAAAAGTACGCTCTCTGGGGCACCTTCAACCTCGCCCAAGCCTTCCTCCTCTCCCCCCTCTTCTTCATGTCTCCCGCCATCCTCGCCCGCGCCGGCCTCTACACCGCTGGCATGATGGGCTCCATCGCCTTCGTCGGCGCCACCGCTAAGCAGGACAAATACCTCTACCTGGGCGCCCCCCTCCTCGCCGGTGTCACCGTCGTCGCCCTCTCCGGCCTCGCCCCCCTCGTCATCCCCGCCACCGCTGCCCGCACGCTTATGGTCACCGAGAACCTCTGGCTCTACGGCGGCCTGGTCGTGTTCGGCGGGTTCACGCTCTACGATGTGCAGCGGGTGCTGCATCATGCACGGATGGCACAGCGGGGTATGATGCGGAGGGATCCGGTGAACGAGAGCGTGAGTCTGGAGCTGGATTTCATCAATATTTTTATCCGGATGGTGCAGATTTTGGGGATGGGCGGGAACCGCAGGAAGTAGGGATGCTTAGTGTAGGCGGCTGGAGGTTTGGAGCGAGGCGGGATCCGAATGGAATTTTCCGTCCGCTGGAGCAATGGATAGCAGTTTCGGTTGGCGTATGGTGTTATAAAAACCAACTCGAGCATTTCTATTCTCCTCTCCTGTTGTACGGATCGACAGCAGATATAGAAGCAGGTGTTATCTGCCTTCCTTTCAGTTAAGACTGATTAAGATAGCCTTCAAACAATACATATTATCGCAATCATCGCTCGCCAGTGACATATGGGGTCGATTAGGAATGTAGGCCGTAATCATTTTACTGTCTGCCACAGTATTTGAACTTGGAAACCGAAATTATGTGGGGTACATATCGCCGACAGTTAGGGTTTATAAATTTACTTTCTTCAGACTTGATAGAGAATAATTCTGGCGAGACTTAAGTACATCTCTAGCTGTGATATTGGTACCCGATTCCCTTAGATGATCTAACCCCCCCGTTCAGTTCCCGATATACACCCTACTAATACCCATCTGCGCATAATTAGCCATTACTCTCGCACATATAGACAGGAGCACAGTGGAACAAATACGTACGATGTCAGACGGCCCACCACCTCCATGATGATCCTGATCCAATGGATACTTCACCGTATCATACTTCGCCCCCACCACCAACGTATCCCCAACCTTGATATCCGCAAAATTCAAACATGTCTGTGCCTCACTGATATTTAACCCGCTCTCCCTCTTCGTCTTCCGGCCATGCGAGTGCCCTGCCCCGGTCGCCGCGAAGCCCGGCTTCGTATTGTAGAACTGCTTCGAGACGCAGATCGGCGCGCCGTTCTGGTAGATGACGGTCTCAGTGCCGCCATTGTGCACGTGGCCCGAGGCGGAGAGGAGGCGGCCGTTGATGGTGGAATTCCAGCCGTCGGATTTCACTTCGTAGAGGCCTTCGCGGGCAGGGTACTCAGAGATACCGCAGCCGGTGATGTCGAGCCTGAAGGGAGTAAGTGTCGTTAGATGAACAGGTTTGATGGAGGGAGGGGATGGAAAGGGGTTAGTGACTTACCAAGCCATCTCGGCAGCCTTGTAGCCTTGAGCTGCGGCGCCGTCCACGACCTCGTAGGTGAGGGTGAGGTAGTAGGTCTTTCCGGTAGTGTCCTGATTCATGAGATCGTAGATCATACCTAGGGAATCTTCCTGTCCGACGTGGAGGCCGTATTTGTAATGGTTGTTGAGACGGCTGGTGACGCGTTCATTGCCCGAGGCATAACTAGAATGACTGGTTAACAACTCCTTCCAAGAGACGGTGCATGTCTATATCTTACACTCGTTGAGGGTAGATCCCAAGCGTTCCACCGCAGACAAGATCCTTCCTCCCAGTCCCGCGGAGGTAAAGCACCATGTGGTGCAGCCACGCTCCACTGTCGACATTAGCCACCGTTCCATCCTCGTACCGCAATCCCGCCTGCAGCGCGACAATATAGCAGTCACTGCACGGCTTCTCCATGTTCATCTGCGGCCGATTCGATACCATCCCTTCCGCGTCCACCTTATACGGACCGTACTTCAAGGTAACAAGTCGCCCGCCAGGGGTAAGCGCTTTGCCTTCCCCGTGTTCTCCGTTCAACGCCGGCTCGATGAAGATGTTGGCTGGAATTTGGTCGGGATCGGCCCCAGCCGTGGATGTGGCTGCAGGAGGCGCAATAACATCCGAACCATGACCATGACCGTCACTCGCATTCCCCGAACCATGACCATGATCGTCACTCGCATTTCCCGCACCATGACCGTGGCCTGCACTGGCGGTGGCGGTATACGCGGCAGCCGAACTGTTTGAAGCTGGGACGATTGGTGTGGTGCTGCTGATCTTGTGATCGTGTGGAGCATTCGGATCCGCAACTTCATGTCCAAAATGGGTGCCGGTCGTAGCGTTTCCAACGGAAGTGCTTGCAGAGGGGGTGGGGATGCCGATCTCGTGATCATGCGGAGCATTCGGATCTGTAACCTCATGTCCAAAATGGCCGCTGGCCGTGGCGTTTCCAGCAGGCGTACTTCCAGAGCTGGGGGTGCTGCCAATGGGGTGATCGTGGGGAGCATTTGGGTCCGCAGCCTCATGTCCAAAATGGCCGCCTGACGTGGCGTTTCCAACTGTCGTGGCGTTCCCAACAGACGTGCTTGCAGAGGGAGGAGTGCTGCCGGTGGGGTGGTCGTGCGGAGCATTTGGATCCGCAACCTCATGTCCATAGTGACCGCCAGATCCGGTCCCGGCACCTGTCCCTGCGGAAGCTGAACTAGAAGGCTTCGAGACGAGGGAGCAGACTCCAGAAGCACTTGGTGAAGGCTTCGAGACGGTGGAGCTGATTCCAGAAGCACTTGGTGAAGGCTTAGAGACGGTGGAGCTGATTCCTGAAGCACTCGGTG